CGCGATAAAGCAAAGTTTGTTCCTATAGTTAGAGTTGCGGGTAAGGCAGGGGGTACAACAATAGTAATAAGGTCCAATGCGCGAACAATTATCAAATGCCAAGCAAGTCCCAGTCGCACAAAGTTGACGAAGGAGGCAGTAAAACCAAGTAGAGCAATTCCACCCATGACCGAGATATATCGAAATGAGTCACGGTAAAATTTGAAGCCTGATGGTTTCGGGAAAAGCATAGACCGAACCAGTGCTCCTTTGGTCGTATTGAATCCAATGCGAACGGCCATTGCAAGGCCCACTGCTTCATCATCTTTGTCATCTTGAGGTCGGCGAGCACGAATGATTTTGGTGCCACAGAATAAGAAGTGTTTGCCCACTTCAGGCGCCACCGATGTTGCTGCTAAATTCATGTATTGGAGCGACTCGTCCGTGGCCGGCGTTTTCGAAACTGGCACCGACTCGCCTAACACTGTTAGGAACATGGGGGAAATATCGGTATACATAACTCACCAGTCAGCATACTCTCATTTACAATACAGTCGCCAGATAGCAAGAGGCTGTCGCATGGAAATTGTGACAATACTGGATCTGTTACTTCGTAAACGTCTCCAGGAACCAATTCGCTTGACGAAATATAGCGCCCTTCACCAATATCAGTATCATCCAGTGAGCATGGCGGGGGAACTCACAGAAGCCATTACGAAGAACCCGTATGTCACATTCAAATCTTGAGATCTCTCGCAGCCGTTTCATGGTCTTCAAGTGTCAATTAGTAGCTGTGCTTGGATTTCGACAAGAAAACGTACCGAGCGGGTTTCAATAACAGTGGTTGTGATACTCGCAACTGAGATGACAAATATGCACATGGCGTAATAGTAGTACTCATCAAGAGACCACAAGATGATACTAGCTATCTGAAAGACATAAAATGGATGAAAAGCCTGTCGAGTTAGCTGCAGAAAAGGGTGTTATATCGGAAGGGACCAACCTCGTCCATAAGTAGCTGGTGAATAGTCTTCTCCTTGATGTTGATGAGATTATTTCCGAATACTGCTTCACGGGTATCTTTTTCTTCGCCATCAATCCCAGCCCGGATAGACTTGACATCGACCCAGGAGGGATCCTTCCAGCTATCAATTGATACAAACCTTCCCTTAAAAGGATGGAAGCAGAATCTCATGTAACGATAGTCAAGAAGCCTCAATTTTGGCAAAATGGGATCATCATCTTCGTATGATGTTTGACGATGCTTTTCCGCGCCGAAGACTGTTGAAAGTGGCTTCTCATAGTCGATGATATTTAGATCTTGAATAACAAATTCGCCCCATTGATTCTGTAGCAACCATTAGCCCATGCAAATGGACAACATTGCAGTGGTCATACCTCAATAACCACCCATGAGCAATCGCGTAATGGGGTTGGTGACCCAGTCAACCAAACCTGCCATTTAGGAACCCAACGGAATAAAAGGTATGCCAGACCGAATGTTATAACGCATATAATGCCATAGACAATATTGCCCACCTGGCTCGTCCTGAAGCCGGCCACAACAATTGTCAAGTCCTCATTGACGATATATATCCTTTGGCTCACCTTACCTCGACCGTGCGGATGGCTCTCAGATATTCCACTGTCGCTCTGAAGTAAACGGTCATGTACAGAACCCCGAGAATAATTTGACGACATGCGCCTCATTGACAACTGCCCGGCTTCCAATCCTGCGGAGTCCTCCTCGTAGAGATCTCCCTCGTAGTCATCTTCATGGTAGATGTCTTCTTCATCTTCCAACGCCTCCTCGTCTCCAGCCGCAGCAGCATGCCACTGGGCATCATCAGCAGGCTGCAAGTACGTAAAGCTAGCGGTAGAATCTGCTCTTGCTCTGTGATGGGCAAATGATGTGACGCTCGTGGGCACGCTCTCGGACATGGGGCCCGAAAAGATCTAGATATATGTAAGTATTTGCTGCCTTTATAGAGAGCCGGTCAAACTACAGACCTCATCATGTGCCATTTCTACATCGCCCATGAAGCTCGAGGAGCTTAGATTTGAATTACGCCTGCGAGAGGAGCGATAGCTCTCATTTGACGGGCGGGGAGCCTGAGAGCTCCTACGCCCTGGACGCGCAACTGACACAGGATCGGTGGAATCCATTGTGATGTCAGATGCCACGGGGAGCTGAAATTTATGCCAATGAGGCCTCCAGAGTTATTATATCATTTTGCAGAACGTAAAAAGATATCATAATACTTCGAAAACAAATTTGTTACTCCACTTTCTCCCTTCTGTACGCGTTCTTGTTCTTGGCTCTAACCGGGAAGAGAGAGGCCCAGCCAGGTTTATCTTGTTTTGCGGCGATTAGCGATTAGCGATAACGAAGATTGTACCTCAAAAATCACGTGATTCGCCTTTGACCCCACGCCTAGATCTTAGACCATTTTTTCAACCCAACGTGAAATTCGGCTCTGAATTCAACCACCGCCTCCCCCTCAGACTTCACCGTTCCCAACGACACCTCACCACCCCCCAACCCCACCTTCTTTTTACTATCCAAGAAGATTCACACCTTGGACAATACAAACCACCATACTCACTGTCTTCAAGTACAACCGTATTGAAGATGTCTGAACCCATTCGCAGCAAGAGAATGGACGGCGTCCCCACTGCCCCGTATGTTATCGGCGCTTTGTTGCAAACGACGTGTTGCGGCGGTAACTGACGATGTTTTTTTTTAGGACGCCACAAAACACGCCCGCGAACAACGCTCCTATTTCATCCCATGCTCAGCAGCCAGGTGTCTCAAGCATTAAAGAAGGTATATACATGTTCATGTTCATTCTCTTGATATTGTGAGTATTACTCTAACACTCAGCACCAGAGGAATTCGACAGAGCTGCTGCAGCCTCAATCTTCGCACAAAACCCAAAGCTTGTCCAGATGATTCAAGGAAAGCTCAGCTCGCTGGTTGGCCAGTCATCAGGATACGTCGAGTCACTGCCAACACCTGTGCGCCGTCGTGTCGCTGGCTTGAAGGGTGTCCAGAGGGATCACTCTAAGTTGGAGGCCGAATTTCAAGAGGAGGTCCTACAACTGGAGAAGAAGTACTTCGAGAAATTCACCCCGCTCTACCAGAAGCGCGCTGCGATCGTGAATGGTACCGCCGAGCCCACCGAAGATGAGATCAAGGCTGGCGAGGAGGACGAGGAAGAGGAGGAGAAGGACGAGGAAGAGGCTGCCGTCAAGCCAGAGGAGACTACGGATGTCATCACTGGTATTCCAGAGTTCTGGCTCTCTGCCATGAAGAACCAGATTTCTCTCGCAGAAATGATCACTGACAGAGATGAGGCCGCCCTCAAGCACCTCACTGACGTGAGAATGGAATACCTCGACAAGCCTGGGTTCCGTCTGATTTTCGAGTTTGCCGAGAATGACTTCTTCACCAACACGACCATTACGAAGACATATTTCTACCAAAATGAGAGCGGCTATGGCGGTGACTTCATCTACGATCACGCCGAAGGCGACAAGATTGACTGGAAGGCCGGCAAGGACTTGACTGTTCGCATCGAGAGCAAGAAACAGCGCAACAAGAGTAAGCCTGTATTGAATTTGCGTTATAGCAGCGAAACTAATCCCTTCCCTAGACACCAAGCAGACCCGCGTTGTCAAGAAGACCGTGCCTACGGAGTCATTTTTCAACTTCTTCTCTCCTCCAAAGGCACCGACGGATGAGGACGATGATGATGCTGCATCCGACATCGAGGAGCGCCTCGAGTTGGACTATCAGCTCGGAGAAGACATTAAGGAGAAGCTCATCCCGCGTGCCGTGGACTGGTTCACCGGAGAGGCTCTCCAGTTTGAGGAGATGGATGATGATTTGGAGGAACATGATTTCGAGGATGACGATGATGAAGAAGATGATGACCTTAGCGAAGACCACGATGACGAGGATGAGTCCGAAGAAGATGTATGTTCTGCTCCCGCCCATTTATCAGCCGGCATCTAACAAAACCAGGACGACAATGCCAAGCCAAAGCAGGAGGCTGCCGAGTGCAAACAAAGCTAAATCGACTGATATCTCACCTGGTTGGAATACTACAAAACAGCAATGGCACACCCCCGCCACCTAGTTACCGCCCAGAGCAGGACAGAGTCAGCGTCAGAGCCCCAGCCCATTATAATGGACGTTCCGCATGAGGCCTTGCAGTAATTATGGATTGAGAATTTGCATAGGTGTTTGTTTTACTGGAGATTTAGTTTTGGTTTCGTTACCGCTAGATTTTAATACGCTACCAAACTCAGCAACTTTATTAACGAAACATCAAAATGCTTTGATTATTCAAAGATACATCTGTTACCAACTAGTCCAGCTGCTACTCCTCGAGTCAAAGAAAAGTTTGTAGCTAGCGATCGATCTGATAAAAGTAAATACTTGCCTTTTGACGTCTATGCTTTTTTGCCAAGGACACATTATTTGAACATTGTCGCGTAATATATGAGAGGACTTATTACTGGGAGGTTTGACTTTTATAATAGAGTAAATGCGACGAAAGCGCTGAAGCAGGTGGCCGAATAATACTGTGTGAATAATATTGTGTGTGGCAAGACCTCACGAAGTCGATCTCACCTGAGATCGACTTCGTGAGATCTTGGAAGTCGAAAAGCTACAGGGAACCGCTCTGCTATCTCCATAACCCCGCCATACCCCTCCTCTCCTCTCCACACCACATCTTTTGTTGGCCTCTGTAATCGCAATGCGACTATTCAGAATCTTACAGCCGTAACAAAAGAATAGAATTCAATAGTAGCAATTATATTAATTTATAGCCATTTTCTTCTCATCAAACTATAAACTATGCGCACAAACTAGCTCAGTTTATCCGGGAAAGGCTTTTGTAGACCAGGGGCGGGGCTGAGCGAGGGGTTTCCTGGGCGTATGACGCGACTGCGATTGCGGACCGACTCGTCGTAAAAATATTTGGGTGGTAGAGTCACAACCACAACCACAACCCGCCTTTCCCTTCTTTCTTTTTTGTATATTTCACCTAAGCTTTCAAATATACCATTCACCATGGCGACTCCTGCTCAGAACATTGTGGTCCCTTCGGACAAACTCAACAAGTCAATCACTGCCAGCCACAGCGTCTCTACGTCGCCATCTGCGACGTTCCAGTTCCAGTCGCCGTCATCAAGCTTTGGCGCCCTGCAGGCGAAACGGGCAGCCAGCGCAGCAAAGCCATTGAAGCCATTCGATACCCAGGATGTCAAGATTTTACTCCTGGAAAATGTGAACGAAACTGGAATTTCCATTCTGGAGAGTCAAGGGTACCAAGTCGAGGCCATTAAGACTTCGTTGCCCGAGGACCAACTGATCGAGAAGATTCGGCGAGTAACCACGGCCCCAAATGGCAACTGCACCTTGCTAACTCATCTGCGAGGATAGTAACGTCCATGTTATCGGTATTAGATCGAAAACAAAGCTCACGGAGGCGGTTCTTCGGGAAGCCAAGAACTTGATTGTCATCGGCTGCTTCTGCATCGGAACAAACCAGGTCGATCTCGAATATGCCGCGAGACACGGTATTGCAGTCTTCAACTCCCCTTTCGCAAACTCGCGAAGTGTTGCGGAACTTGTCATTGGAGAAATCATCTCCTTGGCCCGCCAACTGGGAGACCGCTCGAACGAGTTGCACAACGGCACCTGGAACAAAGTGAGCAACAAATGCTGGGAAATTCGTGGCAAGACTCTGGGTATGGGCATAAATTCTTGACTTTCCAGACACATCTAACCCGTCACAGGTATAATTGGCTACGGTCACATTGGATCACAGTTGTCGGTTCTGGCAGAGGCCATGGGCATGTCCGTCATCTATTACGACGTCCTCAGTTTGATGGGGATGGGCACAGCAAAGCAGGTCCCTACCCTGGATGCACTGTTGGAGCAGGCCGATTTTGTCACTTGCCACGTACCTGAGCTGCCAGAGACCACAAATCTTATCAGCGTCAGACAGTTCGAGAAGATGAAGACTGGGAGCTACTTGATCAATGCAAGCCGTGGCTCTGTTATTGATATCCCTGCTCTCATCAACGCAATGCGCAACGGAAAGGTTGCTGGTGCCGCTTTGGACGTGTACCCCACTGAGCCAGCTGCGAATGGCGACTACTTTACAAACAATTTGAACGCTTGGACCGAGGACTTGAGGTCGCTAAAGAACATCATTCTTACCCCGCACATCGGAGGAAGCACTGAAGAAGCCCAGCGGGCAATTGGAGTTGAAGGTCGGTAACATAAATCCAGAGCTCGTTGTATTGGTTGACTAATTATATAACGCAGTCGCCGACGCCCTTGTCAGATACGTCAACCAGGGTGTGACGTTGGGTGCCGTGAACTTGCCCGAAGTCAACCTTCGTTCATTGACCTTGGACGAGCCAAACCATGCTAGAGTAAGATACCAATGCCAATTACATTGACTCAAGTTGCTGACGAAATAGGTCATCTATATCCATCACAACGTCCCCGGTGTGCTGAGGAAAGGTAAGGCCCCCCAGGAATCAACTTTGAGTAACGCACTGACATTTCCTCAGTCAATGCGATCTTGGGAGACCACAACGTTGACAAGCAAATATCTGATAATAAGGGCGATGTAAGCCGCTGTTCTGTACTCTGTACCGGACACATACTAACCTGAATGTGAATAGGTTGCCTACCTAATGGCCGATATCAGCAATGTCAACCTGAATGATATCAAGGAGATTTCTGATGCGTTAGAAGGCCTGCAGTGTAAGTTTCTTCGAATAATGAGTTAAACTTATCGTTTCATGGACTAACCTTATCAGCTCGCATCCTGACCCGTATTCTGTATTAAACCATAGATGCTATCGGGCAGCACAAAAATTTGGATTATTTTACAAGGTCGGCGCGAGGTGCGAGAGGGGATGGAATTCAACACTTGTAGATGAAAATTGTAGCGAAATTGGATCTGAATATACGCTTTTATTAAATGGTATCAATCAACTGTAAAAGACTTTGTAGTCATCTCATATAGTCCTGGTCGTGCTGTGCAATGGTGGATATGGTGAGTGTAGATGATATGGCCAAGACGAAGACTCGCAGGAGGTGTGGCCACCTTGAGATGTTAGGTTAATAGTGCAGTATTACCATGCTTGTGCACAGCAGGTCTAACTGTCATTTCAATAACAATCCAGGCAATACAATTGTCAACGATTCACTCAACAGCCTAGACTTGGTCACGTAATATCAGACTTTTGCATATTTGATGAGCGGCGTTCCGATTTCTATTTCTATTGAGCAAGCTATAAGAAAAAGCTCTCCCGCCCCAATTTCACACAAAAGCCATGTTTCTTCGAGCAGAAACTGTCTGTGACTGGTACCCGCTTAGCAAATCCGTGAAAATATAATATCCGTTCCGCAACGCCGGAGCGGGAACATGTAGGCCAGAAGGCTAGGGTATCTTGAGATGTGAAATTGCGACCATGTCCCACGAAAATGCAAAACGCCGAATGCGCGACCGAACGCCCCAGTAATAACGAGATTTGAATATGCGTAACCTGAATGCGATGTAAAAGCGAAAAGTAGAAAAATTGAAAAGGTCTATGGTGTGTTTGAGTTTGCGCGAGGAGTTCGTCGCTGTTTGGGGCCTCGAAGATGAGCTTCTTGGATGTCCCTTTCAGCCCAATCGGGTAATTTTTTGGGAACCCGAGACGCTGGGCCTGAAGAGGCAGGTGAGTTTCTTGCGGATCTGCGAGAAGCGTTGATGTGTGCGAGGTATTTTCTATCAGAGGCAGCATGAGATTTTGACCCCTTGGGCTTCTAGTCTGTGTCAGTTCGAGGACCCGGGGAGAAACTGCTGCCGAAGCGGGAAAGGGACTTTGGAATGGGCTGGTTTTGGAGTTGGACATCTCTTGACTGTTCGGCCGAAGAAATGATTGACGTTTGGCCTACTTTTGATTTCAATAATCCACCCATTGTTGCGGCCGTATTGGAAGCTGTGGCAGTTGGCGGCTTTGGTGAGCCGTTACTGGATGACGACTCTGGAGCGATCCCAGTGAGAGTCCCATTTCCATTTCCATGTACTTGAGGTGTAGAATTTGACGAATCGATATTATCACCAAACACAGTCTTTATAGCCCGTTTAGCGTCTAAAGCACGAGAGACAACCCTGTCTCGGAAACCAGTGTCGCTCTTAATATAGGCGGTTATTTCCTTGATTCTCGATGTCAACAAGTCGTTGTTATCGCCAGTTGATAGTTGAAGGTATTCATAAATCGAAGCTGCGGGGCCTTCAGAAGCTTGCTCTTGGCTATGGCCGCGTTGCTTCAAGGACAGCTCGAGGTTGTGGATGAGATTCTGAGAACCTAGTGGCTGACGCGGTTGTGTATGCCGAGAAGTACTGGGGGTGCTAGGTAACGGCAAGTGAGATCTACCACCCGCATTCTTCACTGGACCTGGTTCCTTCAAAGATCTAACGGGAGAGACTGGTGCTCGTGCCCGCTGTTGTGAATCTTCTGCGATGGACATTGTCCCACTTCCCATGATAGGAGGCCGACCAGGTGTGCGTGGCGCTTGAGAGGATGGTACTGCCGGTCTTGGGGTACGCGGTCGAGATGGGGAATCATTACGGTTTGTATCCGTAGATTTAGGAGTGGCTGCACCCGGCTGCTGAGAAGGCGGTGGGACCATTCGAGGGGTCAGATGGTGAGCTTGACCGCTTTGACCGTGTAATACCGTCGGGAATTGTCCAGAAACTGTGTTTTGAAACAGAGCCTCATTTCTGCTTCTCTCCATACCTAATCGCTGAATGACCAGTGCCTGCCATGCGGCAGGGTCTGAGCGCTTCAACTTTTCATCTTGAAGGAGCTGCCGAACTTCCTTTCGTTCTTCTGGAGTAAGGTTGTCATCGCCTTTGCGATTGAAAGTATCTGTCATGATGATGTGTCGAATGCTAGGTGTATCGGCCTGAGAATCCAAGATCTTGTCAAGTACAGATGGGTCCATTCCTCTGACATTAGCCAGATCCTTTTGCTCGACGTGTTTGGGCCTAAACAAGAATTCACCCTTTTCACGCTTCGCCACAGCGAAAATATGCTGCTTATCAACCAATTGCGAAGCTAATTGTTTTTTGAAGACAGCTTTATTGTGAAGCTTCTCCTCGAAAGTTCCGCCTGCAATAAAACGATAGACATAGACGGGTTTCTTTTGGCCAAGCCTGTATGCACGGCCAACTGCTTGTTCTTCATTGATTGGATTCCATTTGAAGTCGAAGATAATGACACGGTTAGCTCCATAGAGATTAAGCCCTAAGCCGCCAGCCGTGGTGGAAATGAGGTATACCTCAGTATCTCCAATGTTGAATTCCTTGGTGAGTCCCTGGCGCTTCGCCATTGGTGTGGTTCCATCAAGTCGACCATAGTTTCGCTTCGATAGTTTGCAGAGATTTTCCAGATAGTCAAGAGTTGCAATTGTTGTGGAGAATATAAGAACTTTGTCTCCGACTTCCCTGGAAGCATCCAGAATTTGAACCAGGATTTTTGTCTTGTATGAATTGTTTACGTTTTCCGTTCCTGGTCCATAGCCGCCGAAGAGATCCGCGACCTCACTAATCAGAGCCTGCGAGATGTCGCTAGGAACAGCAATATCCCCATCCGAATCGCCATTTGAGACTTTGTTTTTTCGTTCGGTCAGCTTATTTTTGAAGCATATCGGGTGGTTGCAGAGGAGGGCCAATATTCCAATCCAAGACCAAAGAGTAGTTTGGCGTATTTTTCCACTCTGAGTGAATTGGTTTTCATCTAGCGGAGACCCAAGCATTGCTTTCACGTAGATGGTGTAAGCCTTGTGTTGTAAGTCAGTCAAGGGGACCGTAATAATGAACTCTATCTTCGGTTTCAAGTCGTTTTTCAAGACTGATGAATCGGCCCTGTTGACCTTGGGGGAAATATCTTCCTTCAAGACTTCTAGCATCTTCAACGCCCGTCGACGTTCAGCAATCGTACTGTTTCCGTAGAGGCCCTCTTCAATAGGCTCGACAAATTTCGCGCGGAATTCAACGACAGGGCCAAGGTAATTGGGTGCGATCCATTCAATCATCGAATGGTACTCCTCAACATTGTTAGAAAGGGGTGACCCAGTTAATGCGATGCGGCTTTTCGATTCGAACCGAGTCGCAGCGACTGTAAGCGCGGAATTTGTATTTTTAAGCTTGTGAGCTTCGTCCGCAATGATGATATTTGGCCCTTTGAGGAGCTGTTCTTCAACGACTTCGAAGGTAGCCTGGTCTATGATCGGCTTTTTGTCCTCTGCTGGACCCATGTTCAGGATATTTCTAAACATTTCAAAGCCGAGCAGAAGAATGCCTCCATTTTTATACCACAAGTCAATTTCGGCCAAGCGCTGGTCAATCTTCATATTGGAGTCGACCTTTCGAAACCTCCCAATTTTCGGGCCCACATCCTTTTCTGGCACCCAAGTGAGCAGCTCGTCCATCCAGTTATCCATGAGTCCAGGTGGGGAGAGTATCAGAGTTCTTGAGCGCTTTAGCCTGTCAGGAATCTGGGAGGACACAGACAAGTCGTCGGAGCATGCAGCCTCGGCGATGGCAACGAGTAATGTAATGACTTGCATTGTTTTTCCCAAGCCCATTGTATGAGCCAGGAGACATCCCTGCGATGCGCCATCTTTGTCTCTTGTGACAATCTGGCTCCACATAAATCGGACGCCATAAATCTGATGGTTTTTGATTCGGCTGCCAATATGATCGTGGACGAAAATGAAGCCCTCGTCTTCATACTTTGACTCATTGATAATGATTTTTGCTCGATCTGAATTTAGTGACGAACCAGATTGGGCCAATTTTTTACGAAGAATTTGGCGGCGACCTTCTTGCTCTTGTAGTCGCATCTGGTCGTCTTCTCTTAACTTGCGGGCCTCAACGTTCTCGAAGATTTTACGTTGGCGTTTTCTTGGGGTTTCCAGCTGTTCTTCATCACTAAGAATGGGGCGTGTGACTAGACTTCTTTTTGTGCGCAACAATGGCTCTTCGTCATCGTCGTCGTAGTCGTCGTCAGCCAAGGGTGCCGTTACATCGATATACGCCTCTACCGCCGCAAGACATGCTCGAGTAAAGGGCCTAAACTTCGGTATATTGTCTATCAGCTTCTGACAGGTTTTCGGCGCCAGACGATCTGTTCTGTTGTTTCTTTTTTTGCAATCGACATACATTTCGAAAAGCCGGATCACACCCGTGAAGATACAGAAAGTCGTCGCGTCCATTCCTCTAAGCTTATCTTTTCCGTCACGGCATTCTCGCATAACATCGATAGTCTGGGTCCAAAGTTCATCTGGACTGTGAGCAGAGAGTAATTCACAAATGCTTGTTCTTCCTTCTTTAGGCATATTGTGGAGAACCGTAATCACTAGGCGTGCCGGGTCGTTTTCTTCCTCCCACGCCTTATAACCATATGAGGCAATGAGGGCTGGTTTATCATATGGAATGTTTTTTGGCGGTTTATTCACTACCAGTGATTTTTCAGCATCTAACTGGGCACCAGACTCCGAAGTTTGGCTCCCCTCTATATTGGAAGATCTCGCTTTCGGAGTATTGCTTCCTAGTGATGACACACCCACAGCAGTTTTCTGCCGGGATTTGGATGGAGTAACGAGATCGATGATTTCTGGAGAATCTGAGAGGAAAGTCAAATCGACAAAATTGGCAGAGCTTTCATCCACAGAGGCGCCATGCCGGAGGCGCGACGAGGCTGGGGTCTGCGGGGACGACAACGGGGAGCTGGGAGGCAGATTTTGACTGGACAGCTTGTGGTCGATATCGCTGACCTCATCAGCATTGCCACTCATCGGGGTATCATCCACAGCACCGCATTCAACAGACGGAGCGACGTCTCCATAGTTTTGAAGACGACGTGTAGCCCCCTTTTTGATGCTCCTCCGAAATTCCGAATCATCAGACTCTGTGACTAGTTCATTCGCGTCACTGCGCGCACTCTCTTCGTCACTGACAATAAATCCTTCCATTTCATCGCCAGAACTTGCTGAGTCGCTCCCAGCATCGATAATCTCTTCATCAGCTCCCAAGTAAAGCTGTTGGACCGTGGTTTTTTTAGATTTCGGGGCAGACAAATTTGGTGGAGATGGCTTTGCAGGTGGTTTCGTCTGCTCCAGAACTGATATTTGCCACAGAAGGTCTTCGCGGTCGAAAATGCTCTGTTCCATAATTTGGCACTGCCTATGAACTTGCTTCTGCGTAGTCCACTGGTCATTTATAATTTCCTGGCGCATTTTGACCAGTCTGTCATTCACAATCCGATCAAGGTGTTTCTGAGCCGCATTGACTTTCTCTCTCCTGGTATTGCGGGTTCGAGACTTTTGCCAAATACTCCACGCTTTCGGCTGCCGTTTAGGAAGCTGCTCGTTGTGCCATTTGGTATGAAGCAGAGCCATGCCCTGATCAATTGCCTCACTGACTTCCTCACTGGTTAGAGGGTGCCTCTGTGATACAACCGAGGCTTTTTCTTGGGTACCTCGTTCCTCCTCAATCTCACGCCAAGTCTCAATATCATATTCACCATCCTCATCAGATTCACCAAAAAGCGGAAGCACTTCATCTCCTCCATCAATGTGGTGATATTTCTCGAGTGCGACCTCCGGATCCCAATAGTCATATGACGATGGGCCACCCAAGGCCATGTTTTCTGGCAAATTGAAACTTAAAAACCGCTCGCGCTCCTCACCATGACTTGACGCCGACGGTTTTTGTTGTTCCAAATTCAACTCAGGCCATGATGTTAGGGCTTCTCTCGTAGTTATAACGTTGCCATTTGGTGTTGTATGAAATAGCGAGAATGAAGGGGTTTGAAACCTCGGCTTTAGTCTTGGAGGGTAGGGAATCACCGCCGTGAAGCCCTTCCCATGTCGGCGAAAGTCGACAGCTTGCGAACGTAGAAGAAAGCTCATCCTTTTGTTGACGTATAGACGTCGGCCTGTTGATATATCTGCGTATGACTGGCAAAAGTCACCTTCGCCGCCATCTGCCAAAGGAACTTCTTTTCCGATCGGGACTCCAGAATAAAAAACGTTGTCCACGGGTAGGCTTTTCTTGCCAAGATAACCATCTGCTAGACTCGCAGTAGACTTTTTTTGTAAGCGGTTCTTTGACTCGGCTTCATGTTCCAGCTTCTTAGCTGCCTCGAGAGCGTTAACCCCACCCGATATCATGGAAGTCACAGCGCCAGGCGGAGCCAGCTCAGGTGGGCGGAATATAAGTGGAACTATCCCGTCGTGGCCTGGTTGGGGTACTGGGACCATGCGCTTCCTCCCATCGTCACCCGTAAATACAACTCCTGGTTCCAAATTTTGAGGGTCATAAATCCGAACGTTGTCTGCAGCAGTTGGGATCTCCCTGCGACGCTCGGGATCGATTGATTGGGAAATCAACGTTGGCGCTAGACGCTTTCTTTGCTTTCCATTGCCAATTGGAGCCAGTTCTTCGGAATGCAACTGCGATCGACAGCCGTCATCGGCGTCAACTGGAGTTGGTACAAGGCCATTTTGAGGCACAATCGGCACGGGCGAATGAGATTTCGGATTTACCTGCGGGGGTTCCTTTGTAGCTATCTGGTTTGCACCGGGGGCTTCCGGCAACACACCATCCTCTGTAGGCAAACCGGTATAAGCCTTGCTTGTGGTGACAGATCTTTCAGGTTCTCTGAAATCTCCACCATCGGGTCTCGACTGTAGTCCATGTTGCTGCGCGTGACGAGCGTATTCCTGACTCTTTCCTCGGAAGTGAGATATCGCATGAAGTATTGTACCCCGGTATTTTATAGAACGAGCGCCTACAAGGCCAAAGTCATCTCTCAATGTCTGATGGGTGATCGCAGTCAACAACCAAAAGCCATCTATTTCATGTTGGCGCAAGTCGAACTCGAGTTTTGTTGCATCCGGTAAGGCTTGTGTTGCAGACAGGGGAGGCCAAGTTCGATTTTCTGTGCATAGCTCCTGGACAACTCGATCAGTGTCCCATGTCCATGGATCTTCCTCGCCCATGGTGGACATTGTGTCGGTGAACTCGTTGTATGAGCATGTGTCCGGTCGCTGTGGTGACTTAACGGATGTGAGCCAGTTCGATACGGCTCGCCGATTCTGGCCTACTATATCAACATCGTTAGCCATTTGGGTCCACAGCGTCGTTTCACTGAATAGTTTGACGTGGGGAGGTTAGTACCCATCATGCGCCACACTCGTTCAGGCAGATTGGATAGATCCTCGAGGAAAAAGAAGAAAGGTAAGGCTCACTTGTTTGTATTGAACACGTAAATTAGACCAGAAGAAGTTCGCAGGCACGGTCGACTTGGATGAGAGTAATTGTCAATGAGATCGAAGCTGTGTGGAGGATTCGCCTTGCTTGGCGTTCGACGAGGTGGTGTTCGTCGAGAGGGAAGGAGAAATAGAACAACGTAAGAAAACAAAACAGAAAAGAAGGGAAACAATTCGAATTGAAGCGACTTCAAGGTAACCTCGTAGAATTGTTTGCTAGACATGAACATTGGAACGGAGAAGGAAGATGAGTTGTGAGTTGTCAATTTTGGGGTCGCGCCCGTTTGCTTGTGGAACGTCCTTATCGCAATCTTTTGATCGCGTTGTCAGGTGGTCGGGCGATCGTGGGGAGGAGGGGGAGGGGCAGAGGGGCGGAAGTTCGGGGAAATATTTCAACCGCGCTTAGTCACATTGGTTTACTTCTAAGCCTAGAATATCTCTCTCTCACACAATCGATCCGTGTGATTACAAATGCATGCTATTTATTTATCTATTCATACAACATTACCTGGATTTGACTTCAATTTCACTTCAATTTCACTTTGAAGTTATTTCCTTCAAACAGTTGCTTTCCACTACAGCTTCAACGAGCCGGGTTTTGCGCTGATTTAAACGATGGTCTACAAATCATACCGTCGAGAGCCGACGCCGGAACAGATTGCACACATTACTACGCTGGTTAAAGACTGGTCAATTGCACATGGACTGGCTGTGAGGCCTCCGCCGGCTCTTGTTGCTTCGGAGTCAGACCCTCATGGCATTTTGGCAACAACTGCGCCAGTCACGTTATTGCCCAGTCCATTTCCCCAAGTCTGCTTTAAGCAGGCTAGCTCTGTGCAGACAGCATATAATGGGCTTTATGCTTCGATTTCTCGGGATGAGGGGTTTTTGGCGAGTATTGTAGAAGAGTAAGCCATTTTGAATTGAGTTCCATTCCTTGTTGCTGAGAAGGTTGCTCTGGCCGAACCATATTCTTTCGGACAATTCGTTGGCTAGAAATTATACTTTGCACGGGTCCTAACCTGAAGCAGGATTTTAGAGGTGGACGAATTTATTGCTGAACTTTGGAAAGTTCATCTCAAGGTGAAGGGGGAAGGATATAGCCAGGTACCTTGCTTCTTATTTTCAGAACCATGAAGATTCTAATTTAGCTGAAGAAACTTTCATTGGGGCTATTTCGCTCCGATTATATGGTGCATCAAGACCTTGAAAGACCAAATTCGACGCCGCATATCAAACAAGTCGAGTTTAACACCATAGCCTCATCTTTTGGTGGCCTCTCTTCGCAAACTTCAAAGCTGCACAGGTAGGTTGGATTTGTGCCCCTCTTTCCCCAACATCTAGGGCCATCACTGACGGCGAGAAGATACTTGGCCCGAACTGCGTACGGCGATCTTGTTGACGATACCTTGAAAGATGGCCGTAATTTGCCCGAAAATGCAAGCACAGAGACGCTTGGCTCAGGGCTCCGTACAGCCTTCAAAGCTTATGGAGAGTCTGCCGCAAAGCACCAGACTTGCATCCTCTTCGTTGTCCAAGATCAAGAAAGAAATATATTCGACCAGCGCCATCTAGAATATGATATTGAAATGAACTCTGACAATGTACGGGTGTTCCGCCTTCCGTTCTCCAGGATATTAGCAGACACCACCTTGGAATCTACCACGCGCCGCGAGCTTCTCTACCGGCCACCTCACTCACCTTCTGAAGTATATGAAGTGGCTGTTGTCTATTTCCGATCAGCCTACGGCCCGTCGGACTATCCAAATAAGGCAGCATGGGAAGCACGCCTTCACATAGAGCGTTCAAATGCCATAAAGTGTCCCTCGATACTGACCCAGCTAGCTGGCGCAAAGAAAGTTCAGCAAGTCCTTGCTACTCCAGTTGAAAACCCCGCGACTTCCATCCTTTCAAAATTCATTCCCGATTCTACGACTCGTACCAGCCTTGAAGAAACGTTCACCAACATATATCCTCTCGATCAAACTCCAGCCGGCCTCTCAGCCCGAGAGCTGGCACTGGACGAGGAAAAGTGCAAAGGATACGTGCTAAAACCACAGCGCGAGGGAGGTGGGAACAACATCTATCGCTCTGCCATCCCAGGGTTCCTTCGGTCCCTGCCTGAGTCTCACTGGAAGTCATACATTCTAATGGAGATCATCACGCCGCCGCCAGTGCAGAACCTGATTTTACGTAACGGTGAGGTGGAGAAGGGAGGTGTCATATGCGAGCTAGGCGTGTATGGCACCTGCCTTTGGAACCAGGAAACTGGTGACGTGTTGAGCAATGAGGGGGGAGGATACTTGCTCAGAACGAAGGGCGATCAGAGCGAAGAGGGCGGAGTAGCTGCTGGATTTGGTGCTATGGACAGTGTTTGGCTTAACTGAGCATGTCAGCCTGCTGAAAATGATCGATAGAGTATAACTGAGATAATGATACAAATGGTTTATTAGATACTTTCCATCGTCATAATTCTAGCAGCACCTGGACTACAAAATTGGCGTCCCAACTAAAAGGATCTGGTCGATTTAAGGTTTCGGCGCCAACCGCCAGTGGTTGTTTCCACAAACCAAGCCCCTCGGATCTCAGTTTGAGTCTCCTTAATCTCTACTCATGGAAAGAACGACCGTGATTGCTCTTTCCCTTGCTCCTCAACTGAAGGGTATGGATGGAAGGGTCTTTCTCTGTCATTTATTTCGCTATCACTGAAGAATCCCACGACGGACATACCCCTGTGATATTCCACAGATCCTTTGCTCTCCATCTGCAGGCAAGGTATTGGCTGGAGTCTCCCAAATGTTAGCTACTCCACCGACCGAACTCCTTAAAATCCCACAGATCAAAAGGCGTCTCAAACCAGGTACCGCAGCCAGGGATGTGTACTAGACTCCAAGCGCCGCAATAGCTCGATTTAATAGTCACTTCCAGACTTGACTGGAAGCTGGCGTGCAGAGACTTGACTCAGACTCTACACGCCAGCTTTAGGCGGATACCGTTCTCATTGCAGCGAGGACCATCAGCTTTGGTATCGTCTGTCTTGACCACCAGCCCACCCTCCTTTCCTCTTTCGCCCAAGCCATAAGTCCGGTCTAACGTTGGCGTCATTTAGTAGTCGAAATGGAAATATAGACCCCTTTGTCGGGGTCGTTATAGCCCAGTCTGAATGAGAATCCCGCAGTAGAAAGCCTGTGGGCAACTCTCAACTGTTCCTTCCTTCCTTCCTCACCCACAATTCGATATTCCGACGCAGTATCTTAACAAAGTCAACACCATCAACAACTATCAAACCAGCAACAATACACTCCCTATACCCGCCTTTCAAGACTCTGTAGTTGTGAGCTTCTCATTTTAATCGCCCTCATGGCCGTGGTTTCAAAACATTCTCGCCCGGACCAGTGGCCCTCCGTTCGTCTCGCGCCGCTAGCCACTGATACCTCCGGCACCTCTGGATTGGCATCGAGGCCAAGCAAAATGGATATCGGTTACGTTTTAAACCAAGAAGTAACCCCAGAGTCTGAACATGGGTCCAGGTTCGCTGGGCATCCGAAAGTCATTGGCTTCCCCATCGCGCCGTCTTCGCAGTCTTCATCACCGGGACCAACATTCGGGCGAGCACCGCTCCCCGACGTGAGACCGCCTTCATCGACAGGCTCGATGAGTTCGCCTGATGTTCCTCTTTCTGGACCAGATCACCTCGCGATGGCTGCATCTATGAGCAAACCATCACCGGAGCACCTCGCGCAACGTGGAAGCTCCCCGGTGAAAGCTAAAAAGGTGACGAGGACGTATATCGAGGAGGTTTTGGCACAACGGGGCGAACCAATGACGTCGCGTGAGATCTGCAAGGCTATAATTGCCGACCTGAAGGTAGAGCTCGCGCCCCAGAGCGTGCGTAAGGAACTGTCTTGCTGTACGTTGCTGTTTTAACCCCTCCGGAAATCGAAATGGGCGCTGACGAGCTGGGGATTACCGGATCATGAAAAAATGCCGCGCAGATTTGGCACTGGCGGGGGTACAAGGGAGGCCAGGCGGAGACGGGCGGCAAGAAATAATTTATGATTCGACAGATGGGTAGAGGAGTTGCGGCGTTGTGTTCGGCTTTGTTTCTATATATCGGCCGACTGAGAGATGGATGGTGTGCCACGAAGCCCTTAGGAGAGCGGATTGGCAACTGGAGAAAATAACGCCGGCCCAACTTCGACAACCACGCGAGCGACTGCCACTGGACGACGCCGACAACATCTAACTGCATCTTGCAAACTAATACGCCTCTTAAAAAACTTGCTGCTCGGATATTGGGAAACGTACTGCGGAATTGCATTTTGAAATCTAACAAACTCTAACCTCGAAAAAGAAAAAAAACTCGGAAAACTACCAAACAATCGCCAAAATATTTGCGTCCTGTACTTTGGATAACACAACCTGTATTGCTTCTTGAAACCAACTTGCTCGTTTGAAAACAAATTGTTTCTTGGCTTTGGACGAACGCAACGCATTCATTTTCCTTTGCATTTTGCAAACTAACAAATTCACACTCCAAAAAGAAAAAAAGAAAAAAAGAAAAAAAGAAAAAAATACCCCTACCTCTTGTGGACATTGGCAAACGCACACGCCAACCCGCCTTTGTACACTGGAAGCAGCAGCTTGTGCGTCACCGATCCATACTCAGGCCATGCCATGAACGGCATCAGCAGCATTGGCAGAATTTGAAACTGGAAACGAACGAAATCGCATCGACAACTTCGACAACTTCGACAACGCCCCAAAAAAATCGAAGCCCGACGATAGGTATTAATACGAATAACCCGGATATACTTTTGGAATAAGTATAGTTAATTGGAAGGATGGAAACGGTTCGACTGAAGAGGAGTGAAGAGGAGGAAAAGCTCATCACTTTCCTTACTTCTCCTATCCTTGTCAAGTTCCAGAAACACCTCAGCAAACTCTCTTGGCCTCCGACTAACCAGCTAGAAACTTCTGGGCTGGGACTGATTCAGCATTTGCATTTCTTCTGGATATCTTGGATGATTCTGTGTTTGCATTTTTTCTCTTGGTTTGTTTTTAAGAACTTCTGGCGTTCGGATTTCCCACGACGTCTCCCTCTCGGGGATGACTCGACATCAACATCGACTTGGGATTTTATTTTGAAAATTTTCGGGCTGAATGAGGACGGCGAGCTCATCAAATTCTTCGTGTCAATCTTGGGGATTGTCTCTTTCCGTAGACTCTCACCCACCCCAGCCAACCAACCAGTCAAAACTTTTTGGCTGGAAATGGTTCAGCGTTTGGGTTTAGCCACCCAATCAGTTAGGACTTTCTTGGCTGAAGATGGTACAGCATTTGGATGTTCTTTTCGGGAATCTTTGAACACTCCCTATCAACCAATCAAGCTTCTTAGCTAGGAATGGTTCAGCGTTTGTGTTTTCTCTTGGGACATCTCCCAATGATTTGGGATGATTTCGACTTCAACATCGACCCGGAAATGTCTTGCGTGCATGTACTGCGATAGCAACGGTGGAATTGACAAGAGGTAATGAGCACGAGGGAATAATACGTAAAGGAAACGCACTGTCATTACAAATGGGATGCAAAAACTGCGCAGAAAATTGGAATCCTCCGCTCTGGTCAAGATTGTATTATTAGTCCTATAATGTGTATTAGAGGACCAGAGTCAATGAAAGGATGTTTTCCACCAAAAAAAATGCAATTAGAGCTGCGCGCGTTGTGAAATGAGGTTGCGTGGCCAAGGTAGAAGGTAGAAGGTAGAATGCAATGAAAGTTTTCTGATTGGTAGGTATTCCTTATACATACTCCCGCGCCGAGACTCGTCCATACCTTATATCATACATGTAAGGAAATGCTGCCGCCGCTCCCGTGTTTATCCATCTACTCATCCCTCTCTATACCGAGCCGGGGGTGTCGAGATGCATTATATTCCGCACTCGCTGTTCGCCATTTCCTCGTTCGAAAATCCTAGAGGGGAGATCTCCCGCGCATCCATGTCATCCTGCCCTCTTCCTAATCGTCTCAACCATCTACTCCTCGCTCGAAGTCGGTCTCTTAAGGATCTCCACAGAGCCTACATCACGTCAGTAACCCTCCTGTTACCCGCCACACACCCAGAGTAACTCACGATGCACAACATTCAACGCCCTCCTCTCCTTCCCCTCAGCATCGGTATACTGATCCATCCTCGCGTCGCCCTCCACATAAACCAGCGTCCCCTTATCCAGCGCCAACAAAAAGTCCCTCCTGGGCCCCGCCTCAATGAAGGCAGCCACGTTCCACCAGCTCGTCTGCCTGTTGTCCCTGGGGCCGCTGCTCGTCGCCAGGCTGTACTTGACGATCTCGCTGCCGGTCGAGGTGGCTGTCAGCTCCGGCGCGCCGGCCAGGTGGCCGATGAGCTGCAGCTTGGCGAGGGGGCGGGCGGGGGTGGTGCTGAAGGCGCGGAGGGGGGTGGTGGCAAAGGCGCGCGGGGCGCGGAGAATGGTGCGGGAGAACATGTTTGCGTGTAGGTGGTGGAGATGGTGGTGGTGGGTTGATTTGCGGCGGTGGTTGATGGGTTGGTGTTGTCAGGGTGAGATGAGCTCAGGCGCGTTTTGGGGCTTCGCGCGCGTCTCGTCTCGATTGGGACGATGGGCTGTGGAGAGGAGGTCACGTGAGACGGAGATGGCTGATCCGTCGGGTGAACGTCGGTGAACGGAGATTGGGAGGGTCACGTGGACGGAGACGGGTAGGTAGGAGTAAGGATGGTCGCTTAGTGGACGGAGAAGGAGATTGGGAGGGGTCACGTGAGACATTGGGGGAAGTGGGTGAGTTTAAGAAAGTGGGTGGTTGGGAATGGGGCTAGTCGATTTTTAAGATTAGATTAGGGACGAGGCTGGGAGACAAGGCTGAGAGCAGTATGTGTCCGCATTCAGCCCCTATTCGCTCTTTCTCCACGGCGGTACTCTGTAATAGTTTGCCTTTGCATATGTATCTCCCCTACGAAAGGCATGAAAAGTATGAATGCACGAAAATGATGGCTTGGCTGTCTCTGGCTGGAACATTTATGGAACATTCAGCGGATTTTTTTTCGGGGTGATCACAAGTCCCCGAGATTTGAATTATCGGAATGAACGGTGGGGCGTGGAGGAGAGAGGAGAGAGGAAAGAGAAGAGAGTGCTCTTCTGCATTCTCTGTACTGGCTCCTTCCCATTCTCATTTCCAGCCGCTTGGAAAGTTGGTTGGACCAGAGCGTGGCGGAGTGTGATGGAAGATGGAAAGTGTGATGGAGCGTGATGTTGGCGTGCACGACGCCACGACGCGCGGTGTTGAACGCGGTGCTGAACGCCCGCCGTGTTGTTGTTGGTCGCGGCTGCCAAGGAAGCCAACAACTACTTCATAGGAAGTTGTTCCTAGTTGTTCCTATTCCTTGTCGCGTTCCTAGTTGTTGGCTGTACATGTACAGCACTGGAACAACACTGTAACATTATCAAATCCTCTGTGCACCTCATTTCGCTTGCTCCTCCCTTTAGCCCCTTTAGCCTTTAGATGTGCTTAGCTGTACATTAGCACTCCAGTAGCTGCACAATATCTCACTTTAGTACAGTAACCCCCACCTTAGCTTCCTCTCCTTATACCTGCATTTGGACAAATCATCGCTAGGATATCCACGTTCCCACTCCCTTGCCATACTCTCCCTGTCATTTCCTATTTTCCTCCGATTTTCCTTGCCATTTCCTTCCCACCCGTGCCACTTTCCTCCCCCTCCCTTGCTCTACCTTACCGCCCCCCCTGTGACGCCTTCCCTACGCCTGGCCACTCACGCTCAAGAATCACCTTAATATGGACTTAATATGCCATATGTCATGGACGGCTAGAGCACTCCATGGCACTAGAGCACGCACGGGGAGGAGGAGGCCACGCAATATTGGTTCCTGGCCCATTCCTGCCGCCGCTCTTCCTAGCGCTGATCCGGATGTTCTTTCTTGATCCCGGAGGCAGGAGGCAGGGAGGGGAGAGAAACAGACCACATACTGTATACTTGTGTGTACTTTCCAAAGTCAGTGGAGCTGAAGAAAAATGCGTGTCTTGCTGCTGTCTCACATACTCGGTGCTGTTGTCTCACCACCACTCCCCCATTGCCGCTGTGTACCCCCAGATCACTGCTGCTATACAGGCAATTACCATGACAAAACTGTGCACGGCAGTATCCCTCAAGGCAAGCACGACATCCAATGGATCCGCGTCTCAATATCAACCCTCAACCCCAACTCCTCTCCCTTCTCGACACTCTCAACACGCTTCCGGCATGCCGATTGTGCCGGCTGACTGAAGTAGAGTTAGAGTACTCTACACCAGTCTATCGCCGATTTTCGCATGGCTGATGTGCTCCACTGCCCTGTCCTAGACTTAGAGTACTAGCCTGCTCTACTTGGCACCAAGCGCCCCATCCAGTCCCATCCAGCCCACCACGGCACCGCTACAGGGCTCATTCAAGCATCCCTGCGTGCCTGAAAGCAGATCAAACTCTGCGTCAAACCAAGCATTGTCATATCCTGCGATCGGTTTTTGATCGAATTTGGCCCCTCCCCCCACCATGGAACTCCTAATGAATCGGGTGGTGGCCCGAGCATTCCCGCCGCAGTACCTTGCTTGCTACTGGACTACTTCCAATGTCCTCCCCAAGGTTTGTCAACTTCTTCTTCGCGTCTTTCTGACGTGTTGATTCTGTCACTCGTTTCAGTGCTTCCGTGTGCGGTATCTTCTTCTTGTCATATTCGTCGGGGTCAAGGGATTGCAGAGGAGAGACACCATGCACTCCTGCGTCTCCTGTTGAGCGCTTTTCTCACTTTCCTTATCCAGAGCGCACACCCCAGACACCTGTTTGTTCGTCGTCTCTGACGTACACCCTTATATGTCGACCTTCGTTCGGTAATACACTCTTTTATTTTGGCTCCTCCTTCATCACTCTTTCGATAGAGGTTCCAACTAGTCGCCATTATGGCTTCCTTCCGCTCATTACTCTGCGTCATTGTTTTATACGGCCTCTACTTTGGTCTAATCAGCGCCCACACCACCATACCACGCCGAGAGGATGGTCTATCAGGGCGAGACACGGGTCCTTCAGACCTACCGGATCTAGCCACGGCCACTGCGGAACCTAGCACCACCAAAAGCGAAGCTTCAATGACCTCACTGTCTTTAGAGACATCGATGAGCTCTAGCACTTCCACCACTAAAACCTCAACACGTTCGCGGACGACTACATCCGCTCCCGCAGCTACGAGCGCCGCGGACGCCATTCGAACATCAGACTATAAGACGGCGGCTCCCGATCCACTTCCCCTCCAGCCTCGAATAACGCCCGCATTCGGCGTTGGAGGAGCGCTTCTCATTATAAGCGGCACTGTATTTGCATTCGTCGGCATACAGCATAGGCTGATATACGTTTTCCTCTCTGCCGCATATCTGGGCAGCCTATCAGTTACAGTCTTGATCCTCTACGTCATGAATCCTGCCGTTCCTGACGCTACTCAAGGCGCTTATCTTGTCGCCATCACTGCAACCGGTATAGTATTCGGTGCGGGCGCTATGTTCTTTCCCGATTTGACGGAAGGCTTCGGATGCCTTCTTGGCGGATTCTGCCTCTCAATGTGGCTATTAGTCCTCAAGCCCGGCGGCCTGCTTACTTCTACAACCTCAATCACCATTTTTATTGTCGCTTTTAGTGCTGCGATTTGGTCCACGGCATATATCCCCTTCACCAAGCCCTACGGCCTCATAGCGTCTCTTGCATTTGGCGGTGCTACTGTTATCATTCTAGGTATCGACTGCTTCTCGCGTGCTGGTTTGAAGGAGTTTTGGGTCTACATTTGGAGATTGAATGATAACGTCTTTCCCTTGGATACCAACACATACCCCGTAACACGCGGCATTAAAGTTGAGATTGCCGGAGTCATCATGATCACCGCAGTAGGGATATTGACGCAGATGAAGCTGTGGAAGTTCATCAAAAAGCGTAGGGACCGCAGGGCGGCGGCAAAGGCCGAGAAGAGGAAGAGTTTGGACAGGGAAGAGGAGATGGTTGGGAGACGAGTGGAGTGGGAGAATACCCGCACGAGGCAGCAATGGGAAGCTGTCTATGGTGATGGCAATAATGATACGAAAACTTACCTCTCCGTGGATTCCGGGATTGGTACCATGAGCGGGAAAGGGCAGACTACGCCACAGATAACCGTCCAGATGGATGGAATCGAGATGTCGGATCTGCCAAGCCCAACTGAGGGTAGTATCAGTCGCACAGATGGCAGCACAATGGACGTTGGAGGTCTGACACCTGGCGTGCATGAGAGTAACCCAGCCAGGCGTATATCGCGTGATGAAGAAGCCCTTGCTGCCCTCGAGGGATCTGTCTCGAGGCAGACCTCTATATCAAACCGCAAATCCCAATCTCTCGACCCGCAGTCACCGACAGACGAAGAATCTGTTTCACGTCGCAATTCTCAACGCCTCTCCACAGGATCGAAGATTTTGAATAGGCTGTCCAGCAGCTCTTTGGCGTCACAGAAGCACCTCTCTTCCAGCTCAAAGATACTGCATAGGTTATCACATAACACATCGACTTCGCAACACCGCCTATCCAAATCGCCATCGAAGCACAGACTGACAGACAACATGGATGACTGGGATCGCTCATCCAGTATTGCAGCTACGCTCGATTATCTCGATTCAGAGGCCGACTACGACGACCTCAGGAGTCTACCAACAGGCACACCAAGGGCGAGCATGATACTTGATAAGATTATTGTTGGTGAAGATGGAGAGACCACTTATTCGCCTCTCGACGACCAGACAAAAGAGGCAACAGCTGAAATGCCACCTTCTGAAATGCCACCCTCTGAAACCGCACCGCCCTCACCACCACCTTCCCTACGAAAATCTCTCCTCCCACCTGCACCACCAAAGGTCGCAACAACATTCCGCACACAAGAATGGGCCAAACGCCTGTCCCTGGCCGAGACCCCCGCCGCACTCCCTATCGAGGACACCACACCCCTCACCCCAACATCCCCCTCCCCCTCCATCGAACTCGCCGAATCCCCCGCCCCTGTCAACCCCGCAGCCCTGACCCAAACCGCGACCACCGGCTCGGTCGCCCCGTCCCCTATCCGTCCCCAGTCCGCGGGCGTATCCATCCACTCCAAGTCGCCCAAGCGAAGCAGCACGCGCACCTCTATGCGCCATCCCGCCCTCCCGCACGCCATCTCGCGCTCCACTTCTATACAGTCTCTCGCTGCGCCGCCGCGCGCTTACCGCGCCTCGTCGAGCGCAGCCTATGGCCCTGGGGGTGCGCTGATGGGCAGCCCGACAGAGGACGGGATCGGGCCGCTCTGGTCGCCGCATATGCGCCCTGGAACCGCGATGTCGCGGGTCTCTAGCGTGGGTTCGGTGGCGGGGTATGGCTCGATGCTGTCGCTGCCGGGGAGTGCACAGCAGCAGGAGGCGATGGCGAGGAATGAGGGGAGCAGGAATAGTCTTGGGTACCTGAATAAGGGTGTGTTGAGGCCGGAGATGGGGGATTTGGAGGTGATTGATTTGAGGAGGCGGCAGTTGATGGAGGAGAAGATGAGGGTGGCGCGACTGAAGCAGGATGAGGAAATTCGGAAGAGGGTTGCGGAGGGGGTGTGGGCGGAGAGGAGCTTGAGAGAAGGTAGAGCGGGGAGGGTCCATAGGGATGGGCTGAGGAAGTTGATGGCTGAGGGGAAGGTAGGGGTTTGAAGGGAATTGTATTTTGCTTTTGTGGATATGGATGGGTGGGATTGATATCTTATCACAGGCGTGGGTGTATGAATTGGGATATCTAATAATAGATAATGAATAGTGTAATTAAACTTAAGGGCATTAAGTCAATGCTGGTCTTTTCCTCCGCGTGAGTGTGGATGATGATACTAACTCTCCTAATGTATCGAGAATCTCAAGTATATCGAGAAAGTTTTGCCGCTAGTAGTTGAATGACAACCAGTCCGAAAAGTCCATATTCGGGCTGTACTGGGGGAGCGTATGGCCAGGGTGCGCTTTCGGCTTCCAGCCCTGATACTTCAGCAATAGCTCCGGATTCGCTGGAAGAGTCTCGAGAGTCCCCGACATATGTCCTAACGGGCTGAAGACTACCATAGCCTTGTAGTTGAGAAGAACTGCCTCGTGTGAAATTAGGGAGTCATCGCGGACCAGAGTCGGTTTCCTTGCGTCCATTTGAAGACATAAACGATATGTATCGTATATCAATGTCCTTGCAACGAACGTGGTGAAGATATGGAGATCCCGACGAAGAGCTTCCTCCGCTGCAATTCGACGGATTCCTCGATGGAATATGAACGGGAAGCTGATGCTCCTGAACTGCGCCGAAAATAGGTAGTACAGTATGTCGTCCGTGAGCAAGGAGCGGAAGTATAACTGCCTAGACTCGTCTGTGGCTGCCCTCATCGCGCCCTCGTTGCAGCGTTTCCTTTGTCACCTTCAAGACGTGCCTTCCAATCTTTCCTTGGGCTACTGCGGCATCTATGCCTTCCCCCGGAACACACATCTCCAGATTTCTCTCGCTGATCTGGTGATGGAGAAACTCGACACCTTGCACGAGCCGCGTGCTTTAGTATCAGTTGCGTATCTTGCGCACCCCATCGACACTCTTTTACACCCATCGGCTCAGCAGTATTCTGAGTGATGAAATGTTTCATTGGGATATATTCAGGGAGTTGGTATGTATCCTGTAGTTAGTGTTAATATATGATTGGAATGTCGATAGATTGAGAGCATGGAGGTGGCCTCTGTGAGATAACGCTAATTATATAAGTTCAAAGAGGACATCTCCGTCCCCACCCAAGTTTACAGAGACTCAACTCACGTTGTTTAGACAGGATATAGTAATCATGAACTCCACATGAGTTGCTACGGCAGCATATACCAAATCCTAGCGTAGAGGCCATCCGGAGGCAGCTCACTTGGGAGTGGCAGAGAGCAAACTTGGCCGAGACCATGTTGTAAAACAGGTCGACGGAGGTGGGAGCAGAGAGGCAGATTAGGCAAGGTAATTTAATTACAGACTCGCATATAATCCTCACCAAGGAAATAAAGATTTCCGCGAGGCGTTCAGGGTCGATAGGAGGGCACGAAGATTTACCTCTAATTAACAGCATATACCTACACTACACTATGGCATTCACGAGTTTAGTATAAGCGACGGGAATATATGACTTGTCATTCTCATGACTGTATATGCACACAATGTTCATTTTTATACTCCAATTACAATTACAATTATACTATTCGCATTTTCATACACATACACACGCAGTGTAGAAAGATGGCTCGGCAGGAGAAAGCGATGATTCATTCCCCGATACTATCATATCTACTAAATCCACCCAAAGTTTCCCAACATCTCTCCTGTAACCCCGATGTCATAAAATCGGTACCTAAGAACCCAAATATATGTAGATAGACATCTCCGATCATAGGTATTTACGCTTGAGAGGGTCACTATTTGTGTGAGATATTGAATTATAGCGAAGATTATTTGTTGATCTGCAAGCAAGGAACTCGAACTAACACCCCTGTCCCGTAAGCTGACGGATTACAAGCATTGCACCTCAACACACACCAGAACTTATCGCGACTCTGTTCTCCCTGTTCTGTTAGAAACCCCCTTGAAGCTGCCAGAGCGAAATCCCAGAGCAATAATGTCTCGCGCTCTACCAATTGCTCTCGCCATAGTGGCCATTGTGGCCTATAGCTGCGTGCAGCGGTACTTGGCCCTGAGAAGGCAAATCGCGATCGCGAAGACGACCAACATTCCCTATGTAGTGCTCCGTGAGCTCCTCCCCCCAATGTACGAGACATTATGCTAATTCTCATAGCATTCAATCACATTGGTAACTTCTGGACTGCATTTCAGAAGATTGCCCTCCCTCTGTATGAGATGATTCCCGGCGCCAAAAATCGCATCACCACCAAGTGCGCCTTCCCCAATCCTACCACGTACCAGCCCACTATTAACACGCACAGGATCGCCTATACATACTTCCAATGGCACTTCCAAGACGAGACGGCAACGCAGCTTGCTCCCGTCTTTCTCGTTGTTAGTCCGTATGGGATGTACATTAGCAGCCGCTCGGCCGAATTCAACGCCGCCATCACAGCGCGGAAGTCCGATTTCCTCAAACCCATCCACCTGTACCATGTCGTCGAGGTCTACGGCAAGAACATGCTCTCGAGCGAAGGGGAGGAGTGGAAGCGCCACCGCCGCATAGTCGGGCCATCCTTCAACGAGAAGAGCAACGCGCTCGTCTTCGAGGAGTCCGTGCGCCAGGCGCGGGGACTATTCAGCTACCTCGCCACAATGGATGGCAACTCACAGATCGATTTGACAGTGCGAGATGTCGCGCCGCACATGGCGATGTTGGCCCTTCACGTGATTTGCGGTGCAGCGTTTGGTGTGCCGCAGACATGGCCAGGAGAGGATGAGAGTGTCTTGGGGACGCGGACGGTGCCAGGGTTCAACACGAAGAAGTTGAATGCGAATCACAAGTTGCCATTTAAGTATACGGTGGATTTGTTCCAGGATTGTTTCTTATGGGTTGCCGTGCTGCCGATGTGGCTTATCAGTTTGTCTCCTCTCTCCCCATGGAGTTTATGGTGTAGTTTCGGAATTCTAACCATCCATAGAGATTCTCCCAATGAAAATAACCCAGGAAATTTACGCGTCATTCCTCGAGCTCAGTGATTATTTTATCGAGCTTGTAGAGTATAAATTCAAACGACTAGAGACCGGCGAGACAGACACCCACACGATGGATGTCCTGAGTGGGTCATCTAGATCCCCTTACCTATTTACACAAACTAACCAGAACAGAACCCCTCGTCTCCGCCCTAAATACCTCCCCCGGCTTCGACGAGAAGCCTGCCGCTGAGAAAATTGGTTCCCTCTCTCTCTCCGAAATCACCGGCAACGCCTTCGTTGTCCTCTTCGCAGGCCACGAGACGTCTGCCAACATACTGCATTTCTCCATGGTCTTCCTCGCCATGAACCGCGACTCGCAGCGCTTACTTCACGCCGACATAGACCATATTGTTGGCAAATCAGACCCCGACACCTGGACATATGCCGAGACGATGAATCGTCTTTTCAATTCTATGGTCGGCGCTACGCAAAACGAGGCAATGCGGCTGATGCCGCCTGTGGTGTCCATACCGAAGCATACGCTGTCTAAGGAGAAGGGAGGCACAATGCAAACTGTTACTGTAAATGGGGAAGCTCTGCGGGTCCCCCCTGGCACGTTCATGCACATGGACGCTGTGGGGACCGGCCGTGACCCTAAGAATTACCCACATCGGCCGTCGAAGCTTACAGGGAAGACTCACGATCTAAACGACTTCGTACCTGAGCGGTGGTTGCTTGACTCCGAGTACCACAGGGATGCCACGGAGAGCGAGACAGCCAAGGGTCCCACACACCGCGCACCCCTGGGTGTGAACAGGGAATCTGACCAACCTGATGAACTAGAGAGCGTGAGTTACGATAACTCATCTGCACTATTCCGGCCGGCCAAGGGCGCCTTCATCCCATTCTCAGAGGGCCCGCGCGGATGTCCTGGGCGCCGATTCGCACAGGTCGAGATAACCGCCGTACTAGCCGCGGTATTCCAGGAGTACTCTGTGGAGCTGGACGTGCGAGAGTGGGCGAGCGATGAGGAGGTTGAGCACATGACGAAGGGGCAGAAGAGAGACTTATATTCCAAAGCAGTGAGGAAAGCAGAGGAGACCATTCGGAAAGCCGATATTATTATCACTCTGAGATTGTTGTCGGGGACCAGTATTCCTCTACGATATGTGAAGAGGGGAAGCGAGAGGTTTGGGGATGTGGGGCTGCTGTAGATGCGGGGAGGCCGAGATCGTCGTCGATGCAGTATGAGGTAGACGATAAAAAAAAACAATAGAAAAGACTAGAAGGGATTAGGAGGTTTGCAAAGCGGACTAATCTGGAGATATGACAGGAGGTGATAGGAGGACTATACTTAAACGCACTTGGCGCGTTGTAGCGCGATATATATTGATTGAGAGGTTGTTCTAGATAGTTCAGGCCCTGACAGAAGCTGGGAAAATGAGCTGGATATTGCCTGAACCACGCCACTTTCACCAATATCTGCCTATATAATCATATTCTTTTGCGGTCTGGCCCCTTTTGCCCATTTGCCTTTTGCCTTTTGGGCTCGCATCGAGTTGTCGTCATATTATTTAGAGACTTTTTGTTGCACAATTGACCATTTTTTCACTTATATATTCTTATTGACAGTAGCGAAGAGTATAGACTCAAAGTAATGCATAATACCGTGTCTGCTTCCTATTTCCTCCTATATATTATCGACGAAGACGGGCCTTCGTGGTATTTTACATTTTACAGTTCCCGATATCCATACAAACGATACCCGACGCCGCACTAAAGTATTCCCGGCTCCGATGTATATCCGCTTGATCTCATCACTGTCGACGACTCGATGATTTCGCAGCACGCAGACCCCAAAAACACACCCGAAAACACCCCGGGTCCTCACTGTATGATTATCTCTCCCTCGCGATCAAGCAGTTTCGTGGAGTCGTGGCCGAGTGCCGCGCACGCTGTTATGTCCGAGAGTCAGAGGGCGCAGGAGCTCAGGAAGTACGTACCCTTCCCCGCGCCAAGCATCACGCCCAACTGCACCTGCAATGATGCCGCAAAGATGTTTGCCGCCGTGTCCGCGCGCCGCCCCCCCCCCGATCTATGCTGACGGTGTTTGTTTCGCGATAGGTTCTATGCGCCGTTTGATGATGGCTCCACGCCTGGCAGCGCCCAGGGTATCAACCAGTCCATCCTCGATGACGGGGCGCTGGGTGCATATGCCGAGCTGATCTTGTGGCGACTCCGTGGCACTCGGGCTATGGTCTCGCTCATAGACAACACCACTGAGTACTTCGTCGCTGGAGTTACCCGCCTTGACAGCTCTTCGAACGAGATTACCACTAGCAATGACTGGTTTGGCTGCTGCACTATCGAGACTCCTGGAGGTCTCTGCGAGGTATGTCATCAGCCTAGTCACGTGGAGTGGACGTTTCTAACCTGCCACCAGAATGTCATGGCAATGGACGGGACTAAAGGGGAATATCCGTGCTTTGAAGTATCAGGTCTTCATACGCACCCGCGCTATGAACACCAGCCCGTTGTCAATGGGGCAATTGCCTCCTACAAGTACTACGCGGGGACCCCTATTACCACGGCTCACGGGGTCAATATAGGGTCCTTGTTCGTGTTTGACAACGAGTCACGGCCAAATGGTCTTACTGTGCGAGAAAGGAAATGTAAGACACAACTTTTCAGTTCTGTGCCACACTCTAACACAAATATCAGGCTTGTTTGAGACGGCGGGAAATGTAATGAAGCACCTTCAAAGTAAGAGGGAGGCAGCAGAGAGGCGCCGCGTCGCCTTGATGAGCACGGGCGTGGCCAAATTTTTGGAGCGGACGACGTGGCTTGGAGATGCAGATACGGACTCGAATCCGGAGTTTCCGTTGTCCTCGAATAGCTTTGGGGAAAGTGAAGCTCAGCGCTCGAGCATGGAATCGACAAACATCACCAGTCAGACATCAACCTCCGGCGATACCGACATAGACGGATGGCCTAAAAAAAAGGGGGCTTCGGAAATTGTGCTGGATAAAATAAAAAAGGCGTTGGATCATGCAGCCTATGTACTCCGAGAGTCTCTCGAATTGACTGCCGGCGGGGTTGTTTTCCTCGACACGGCTATCGGGCCCAGCGAACCCAAGTCTAGCACAGACTATTTTGATCCTATTCAGCCTGACCTCGACAGCGTAACATCTGGGATTGGGGGCGTTGAGCTTGAGAATGATTTGACCCCCGAGAACGACTTGACGATGACGGGAATTGACCCGAAGTCTACGATACCCTCTGGCCAGGTCCGAGGGTTCTACGACGAGTATCGGCCAGTTCGAGTGCCAGCGTTGTCCTGCTCCAAACATGCGTATCGGAGATCGAGAGCACTAGATGGGAAGACACTCCAGGATTTCATTGATATGTATCCAAAGGGAAACATATGGTATATAGACGAGAAGGGATATTTTTCCTCTCTCGACCAAGACGACACCATTGTTAGCCCCCAAAGAACCACCCCGATGGAGGGGAAGAGGTCGATTTATAATATAGGCGCCGATTCTACGAGGCAAGCGGCCGAGGCTGCCATCTTATCAAAAGTTTTTCAGGGCGCTCGTCAAATCATTTTCTTGCCGTTGTGGGACGCAAGCGGAAGTAAGTGACCTCTCCTTCCCTCGTAACGTCGCTAATTGCCCCAGATCGCTGGCATTCCGGGTGTTTTGTCTGGAGCAATAATTCTTTTCCTGTCTTCACTGTCGATTCTGAGTTGGCATATATATCTGCTCTGTCGAACTCTGTAATGGTTGAGATTAGTCGCTTAGACTCCATCATGGCCAACAACGTCAAGTCAGACTTCATCAGCAGCATATCTCACGAGTTCCGCAGCCCTCTTCACGGTATCCTTGCCAGTGCGGAATTCTTGCACGACTCCGACCTTGATCAAACACAGGATCAGTTAGTGGCATCGATACGCACATGCGGGTCCGCGCTGCTGGATACGATCAATCATGTCTTGGACTATAGTAAGATCAACTCATTCCAGAAGAAGGACTCGTCCGGTTCATTCTCAAATGAGTTGGATCTTTCGGCCAATGTTGCCCTCCTCTGTGAGCGTGTCGTGGATGGATTGATCGCTACTCGCGGCTACACTGGCGTTGGCAATGAGGATACTACAGCGGACCCCGATTCCCCACACGATGCACCATATGCTCACCCAGTCGAAATCATTCTCGACTTCGAGGACAGAGACTGGATGTTTAAGATCATCCCTGGAGCTCTACGCCGTATAATCATGAACACTGTCAGCAACGCCATGAAATTTACCAACACTGGATTCATCCTCATTCAGCTTCGCGTCAAACAAACCGACGGACGACAATCCGACCCGACGTCGAGGATAGGACAGAAGATCCTCGCCCTTAACGTTATTGACTCTGGCCGTGGGATGTCAAAGCAATACATGGAGCGCAAGCTGTACACACCCTTTGCACAGGAAGACCCCTTCATCCCGGGAGTCGGTCTGGGCCTGTCCATCACGCGCAACATCATCGCCCAGCTCGGCGGCAAGATAAACATCCGGTCCGAGCTCGGCAAAGGCACAGATGTCGAAGTCTTGCTCCCCCTCGCCCTCGCCGATACCGAGATCACCTCAACTGAGATGAGCTCTACGCACGCGCACCGCCACGATGCACCAGACCGTGAAGCTGCCGCGGCAGTCGAGGCTGTGCGTGCCCTCGCGCCAGGCAAATCCGTCGCGATCTGGCGCGCGCCCGCTCATACAGCCGGCACCCGCGACGACTCGCTCGCTTGGAAGACGGTAGCAGGGTACTGCAAGTCCTGGTTCGGGTTCACGCTGATGGCAGATCCCAATGCCGCCACCCTCGCCAAGGCAGACTTCGTCATCAGAGAGTGTTCTCCCTTCGGCCCGGATGACGCCCCCCTCCCACCCTGTACATCCCGCGTCCTCAACCTGCAGGAGCGCATCGACCGTCCATCAACACGACGCACGCACATGGATTCTCCCCTTTCGGAGACGCTGTCCCTTCCCACCGGCCCATTCAAGCTCGCTGTCGCCATTCTCTCTCTCTTCCACGACCCCGCCCGCCGCGCCGCCCTCGAGGACGAAGCCGCCAATCCACACCCCGTCCGCTTTCCCAGCGACGAAACGGTGACGCAGCATTCACTCGGCTGGTCCGCCGGGCCACCGACCCCCACTCCCGAAAACCGGCAAGAGGAAGCTCTGGTGCCAGCGCCCACTACGAACGGCACATCGGCATGTCACCCACGGACACTATTGAGCACGCCGCCGCTCACCCTCGCGTCGCTATCGCTACCCGTACCGACGCGCCCCCTCCGCATCCTAGCCGTCGACGACAACGCGCTCAACCTGCTCCTGCTAACGCGCTATCTATCCAAGCGACCCAGCGACATCGTCATCACCGCGCGCGACGGTCTCGAAGCCGTGACGGCCGTGCGTGCCGCCGTGGACCCCTTCGACGTCGTCTTCATGGATATCAGCATGCCGGGCATGGATGGCTTCGCGGCGACGCGCGCGATCCGCGTGATGGAGGCGGAGCGTGCGGAGCATGGGGGGAATAGGGCGCGTATCGTAGCGCTGACGGGGTTGGCGAGTAAGAGGGATAGGGATGAGGCGGAGAGGTGCGGGTTTGATGATTTTTTGACGAAGCCGGTGAGTTTCCGGTTGATTGGAAGGCTGTTGGAGGGTCTGAGTCGGGGGGATGGGAGGGTGGGGTTAGAGGAGGAGGATGGATGAGGGGACGTACTTGTATGGTGCCGTCGGTGTGTTTGGGTTGAGCAAGTAGAGGAAGAAAAGCATGGGTGAGCAGAGGAGAGGTACACTGTGTGGTACTATCAGTCTGCAAGGGTGAGGACGCGCGCGCGATATTTTTCTTATTTTGGTTTACGAATTGGAATGGGCGACGAAGGAAGGAATGCTTTGGGAATTTGGAATTTGGAATTGGATGATAAAGGCTGGCATATAATACCCCAAGCACATCTCAGGTAAAGCGATATATATCTATCTACACTAGTATACTACTATATGGTAGTAATACCTCTGCATCTATGCAAAAACAATTTAGGAATTTAATGTCTAGACCACGAAATCTTTTGCGACCGCCGCCGCTACCGCTTCCCGATGCGTGCGAATGAACCTGCCATCACTAATCCCCCCAGCCCGTCATCATCAAGACAAGAACCCAGCAACGAACGGCTCATGTCTCACAAACACCAAAGACACGCACGCTCGATTCCCATCCCGCACCCATCGCAAACCCCCAAGACACACCCCGCCATCGCAAAACCCGCAGGTGAGACAAAAACCACCGATACCGTCCATCCTCGAAACACACGGCCCCGCCCCCGCACCCGCGCGCGCCAGAGACATGACGGTGGCTAAACGGCGGCTGCGATGCGGCGGGTGGGTAAGTGGTTGTCTTGATGCTGTACCCCGCTGTTTCGGGAACGGTGGTTTGGGCGGGGATGTATGTCAAAAGGGATGACGATGGGGGCGGTGTTTGTCAGGCTTGACACGGGTTGTGGATCGGTGGGGGATGGGATTGGGAAGTTTAGAGGCTGTGAGGTTCGGTGTGTGGGTGGTGAGATTGGGAAGTTTAAAAACCTTTGGAGTGAAGGGACTGCGAGGGGCGATGATATAGGTTGAGCGAGGTGGGAATAGATGGCTCAATGAGAACCCCCCCCCCACACCTCTAACCCAAGCTTGTCCAAAGTTATATAAACCTCTTGGCCTCGCTGTTCTAGTCAGGGCCGGCCAAGGACTGTAGGAGACGCACGCGGATATTGTGGATAGGGGTGGGATGAGGTGAGGTGAGGTCGGGCTGGAGGAATATGTTGATGGGTGGGGATCACGGGGTCGATGGGATGTGTTGTTCGGGAATAGAGATTGATTTGGTTGGGAGCTGCTTGAGTTCCGAAGTTGGATAGGTGTTGGTCGTACTGTAGTAGTTGGGTGAGGCTGTTGTTGAACTGAAGAATGATGACTTGGTGGTTCGAAGTCGTCCACTTTTGTTTTACAAGCCGGTTCGGAACGGCTTCTGTCCTGAATGAGGACAACAAATCTTCCCAAGTTACCATGTTTCAAAAAGTGAGAAGTTCAAACCATGGCACACCGACATTAAATAAACTGTGGTGTGGTCATTATAACGTATTAATTATCAATCCAGTTCACGACAATCACAATATAAGTAAACCAACGTTTTTACCAACTCATCTCAATTCATCCCCACATATATATACCCGTCACCTTCTCCTAACACACCACAGCCAACTTCCTTAAAAAAGTGTAATTACAACATCCCTCCTTCCGAAATTAAAACCCTCCGCGAGGATAGACCGCTTACAAGGCGAGAGCAGCAAGGGCGAAAACGGCGACGGATCCGAGACCGGCCGAGAGCTTGGCACCGGCGCCGGTGGTGAAAGATGGGGTGGCCGGGCCAGTGGGGGTGGTACCAGTTCCGTTTCCTGGGTTTCCGCCGGTAGGGGCAGCGCCGCCGGGGACCTGGGTAGATGAGCAGACCGTCACGTACACTGTCTCGGGTTCACCTACGGCTCCTCCAGTGGGGGACTCAGTGGTGGTTGGCTCAGGCGCGGCCTCGGTGGAGGATGGAGCAACTGGGGCCTCGGTGGAGGATGGGGTAACTGGGGCCTCGGTGGAGGATGGGGTCACTGGGGCCTCGGAAGAAGATGCACCGGTACCCTCATCGGCGGGGGGGTTGGCGCAGAGGGCCTTGGTGGCGCTCAGGGTTGCGATCTGGTCAGCTGGCTGGCAAGCGTCCTGGACGCAGCCGATGGCGGCGCTGGTGATCTTGGCCTGGTTTTCGGCGGTGCACTGGCAGGAGAACTCCTTCTCACCGCAGGTGGTGGCCTTGGTGGTGGCGTCGAGGATGCACTGGACCTGCAGGGTGGGATGTGGGTTAGCTAGTGCCCTTACTAGACCGGATTGTGACTCTCGGTGGTGAAAGAAGACGTGGAAGGTTGGAACGTACGGCGCAGGCTGGGATGCCGTGGGTGTCATCCTGGGCGGCGACGGCGGCGATGAGGGCCACAGCGGCGAAGGTAAGGGAGTACTTCATCTTGATTGATTGATTGAATTGATTATCGCAAGTTAACGAGTGTGTAATGAGCAACGAGTGACTCTTGTGTTGTACAGGCTTGATAGATGAGTTGAAGCTGGAGTGGGTGAGAGAAGAGGAAAAGGAAAAGAAAGAGGAGGCGGCGAGTGGCTGGACTATATATGTGAGGCGGGTGGGGACATCTTGGGGGGGGGGGGTAGAAGGGAGGGACTGGGGGAGATGGATAGGAAGGAGGAGTTGTGAGAAGGCCGGGGGTGGAGATGGGGGATGTCCGGGGGGAGATGGTGGTAGTGGTGGTAGTAGTATGTGGTAGTAGTATGTGGTAGTAGCAGTGGTGTGGGGAACTAGAGAGGTAGACAGGGGTAGAGATGGAGGGGGGGAGGAGGAGAAGGGGAAAGTTCCCCGTTTAGCGATGTCAATAATGTCAATGTCAATGTCAGACCTGACATCTGCTAAGTAGCTGGAGAAGGGAATTAGAGGAAAGATACATGACGATTGGTGGTTATGGTGGTACGGCATGAAGTATCACAAGATTAGCTTTCAGGGAGGGGTACACTGGTCCAACACAGTTTGTACTAGTAGGCGGTACAGTGGAACTGGTTGGATCAGTGCTGAAAGTTAATCCTTGGCGGCGCAGCGGGGGACAGGGGGTGGCACAGGGGAAGGCGCAGGGGATGTAAACAAGAAAGGGCGAAGGCAATCTCGGAATCTCCAGAGGCAATCTTACGTTGTGAACTAATCACTGTGCGAGCGAGCAGTGTGTATGGAGGGAGGATTGTCATTGTCATGGTTAGACCAGGGCCGATGCCACTGTTGCTGCTGGGAGATTTACCGTGTGTTGACAGCCGCTGACAGGAGACTGACAGGAGACTGACAGGAGACTGACGGCAGGGGAATCAGGAGAAATCAGGGACGGACTCGATGGAGTGAGTAGAGGAGAAACGTGGAAGAAATATGGAAGAATTGATACACAGCAACGGATACAACGACATGACGTAGAGAGCCTTCTTCCATGAGCAGTATCCAAGGAACGAGCGAGGATAGGGAGTGAGGGTGAGGGTGAGGGTGACGATGACGCCGTTAAACATTAATAGCTAGTATACCCATGGTAGGTAATTAGGTCCTACTTGCTATATAGGTTATACTGGTGCTATACCGGTTATACTGCTAGCCATTCTAGAATACTGGAATATGAGTATTACTCTCTCTACTCCTCACACTCAGTACGTAGTGACGATAGGAATCGTCATGGCCGTTCGCAGCGTCTAACATACCTCACACACTAATCTACTTACCGAACGCGGAGAGTAGTGTACTATACCTGTACCATAGCGTACTAGCATACAGTATGTACTAGGGTTAAGGATACCCCTAAGTAAAAAGTGGCAACAACAGGAAAACAAGCTGGGGAGAGCTGGAGGGGATGGGGAAAATAATGACGGCGGCGGCGGAATTCAATGGGGAAAATCAAAGAACGGGGGGGCGGGGTGGCAAAAAGGTACTTGGCATGTGTGCGGGAATATGTGGCAAATAGGTGGCTGCAGGAAGTACCTCGCTTGTATGTTGGCGGTTGGTGGTGTGTCTAGTCCAGCCGCTCAAGCCGGGGGAGATTACTTAGGCAGTAGTTCATATGCTTAGCACACGCCGAGCAACAGAATAAACAGAGTTAACACCAGACTAGCACGGTTTCGCACTTTTGCGAAATGAGGGATCACATGTTTGCTGGCCTATTAGGGCGACAGACCGGGCGAGGCTCGGTGATTTGCGATGCGATGCGATGCGATGGCAGGCGTCCATTGTTAGAACGGACAGTTCTGGAACGCGGAGACATACTGTATACAGTAACAACTACTATAACTAGGAAATACATAAATAGGGACACAACGGCATAAAAGCAGGTACAGTCCTGTACTTACAGTGGTGGCAGTGCAGTGGCGATCGCTCAAAGTATCACTATGTCGAGTCTGCTACAGTACGACTAATATCTGGTATGCAGTCGATGGTTTGCCACGCTATGAATAGGAACTGATATGCTACACAAACATCGCTGGTACAGTCGTCTCCTGCATGTATACATCACCACTCATGCCTAATACTGGTCATAATACTGGTCATACCTCGTACATGACACTGCTCATACCGGAAGATCAGATCGACTACCGCCCAGCCACCGTAGCACACTCTAAACATCTAAAGCATGTTTACTAGTACCTATTAAAGTAGAGGTATCCCTCTCGCCATTTCACATGCTTATTTTCTTGTTTAGTACTGCCTTCTACTACCCTACCCCCCTTACTACCTTCCTTACCCTCGGCCCAACCGACGACACCTGCACTTGCATCTGCCCGCCCGCCCTGCACTCCTAGCCGGTTTAGGACCCCCTCAATCCTTCGCCGAATAACCCCCAGCCTACTACTACATATGGGGTAGTAGTAGCACAGTATGCCTGCGGATACTCGGAAAACACACCAATAGGACACCTACTTGTGTTCGAGTCTTGTACCAAGTAAACCCCAATAGACTCCCCATAGACTCCCCACAGACTCCAATAGTACTTCCGTCCTCCATACCCGCCTCCTTCCACCAATCATCCTCACAGCATTGATTATGCAAATTACACCGAAACAGACTCAGATTACTTCCTATCTCTTTCCAAGCAATCCCGACTGTCTTGGCCGCGGAAAGCAGGGAAGAGGGGAAACAGGTACAGCAAGTACTACGAGTATCCATCATCATCGTCTCGCCGATCACCAACAACAAAATCACTACATACAACATCAACAACAACAACCGTTATGCACCCTCCCTTCCTGTTCTAGTCCCTCTCTCCTCCTCCACTCCACTCCTCCAGGAACGCCCGCACTCACATGCATCCTGCCTACCCGCCCACCGCCGTCCCAATCGCATCCCCATCTACCTCCCCCCCAACCCAACACCATCTATTTATAAACCCCCTCCTTCATCTACAATCCCCACCACCCACCACCCACCACACACAACCTTCACCCTTCTGCAAGTCTCGACGGCGGGTGTAGGTGTGTATTGGCGATCCCCGATCCCTCCAAGCCAAAGTCCGCGCTGACACCGCCGCCCATCGAGGGACCAACCGCCCATCGCAATCTCCCCCATACCACGACCCGCCTATCGCAATCTCCCCCGGACTCGGATCGCCGAGCGCTGAGGGCCGGCGACAGGTGACGGCTGAGGGGGTTGGCGCTGCTCTACGAAGGGAGAGGTATATTACTACTGCGTGGAGCCCGACGTTCGCGTCGGAGATGGGCATGTGAAAGCTGGGGACACCCCAGGTCGGCCTATCACGCTCGTGTTTCGTCCCGTTGCGGTCAGGTGTTTCTGACTCGGTAAGAGTGTGTCACGGTCCTTGTAGGTAGTGGTAGGCAATAGGGGTTTGGATTATCTGTGGCCAGCCAGCCCAGCCACGCGCTCAACGATATCGACGATCGACGACGACCTTGATGGCCTCGCTCGTTCGGCTTCCGCCTTCTCCCTCTCTCTCTCTCTCTCTATCTCTATCTCGAAAATAGCAGCATACTCTCACTCAATCACTCCCCCTTCTTTCCCCCCGAAAAACTCACCACAGCCCACTTCCCACTCCACGCCCACCGTCTGCCCTCACCCTCGCCCTGCTCAGCTCGCAACTCCTCATCCTTCCCCTCCGGCAACCCAACGACCACATCCGCCTTGCACGTCCGCAGCGACAGCAGATCAACCCCCGACGCCTTCCCCATCGGCCCCAGCGCCTCCGCAAACGCCGTCGTAGGCGCCCACGCCGCATCCGCAACAAGCTTGCGATAATTCAAATCCCCCTTGAACACCACGAGCGTGCTCTCCCTCAGGTCCTCATACAGCCGCGGCGCGCTCGTCGGGAGGCGCCAGAAACTGCCCCCAGCCGTCCAGAAGGCGTTGGGACGCATGCGCAGCGCGCCCTCGGCGTGCAGCCCGCTCCAGTGCGCGAACAGCGCCTCGAGTGCCGCCACCTCGTCGTCCGCCAGCGGCGCGGGCTTGGTGCCTTCGCGCTCCTCCTCCTCGGAGGCCGTCTCGAAGAAGGCGCGCGGGTCGTGCAGCGCCGAGAGCAGGGCCGCGAAGTCGGCAGGCACGACGTCGGAGACAAACCAGGGGATGGATTTCGGGTGCAGCGTCACGCTTGTCGCGAGGCCCGTCGCAAGAAGGTACCCGGCCAGCAGCAGGTCGGCGAACAGCTCGAAGCCCGCGTTGTCGAGGATGATGTCGACCGTGCGCTCGCCGCCCGCTGCCTGCGCTTTGAGGAGCACATCGTAGGCGGCGTGCAGGTCGTTGATGAGGATGTGCTTCTCGGCGGCCTTGCGCGCCTCGGAGCCCTGCAGCTTCTGGATGTCGGCGTAGGAGAGCGACGTCAGCAGCGACAGGTCCGTCGCGTTGCCCCACAGGCTGATCTCGGCGATCTCGGTGAAGACGAGCGAGGCCGCCTCGGCGGAGGGCGTGGTGCGCGCGAGGTCGCTGAGGATGGCGTTGTAGCGCGTCGCTAGCTCGAGTACGGCGGGGCGAGAGGACCGGAAGGTCGAGATCTTTTGCCGGGCGAAGACGTCATGTTGTTTCCAGTGCGTGGAGCGCGCGAAGTGGGTTGCGATGCGGCTGTGCGGTGTCAGTCAGTGTTTCGTCCTATGTGTCCGGGTTCTGGACCCTCCTGCTCATGCCGCTCTCCTTCCTCCACTCCCATATTACCTCCCTTATCCAAATCCGGTAGAATTGAGTATGTAGATGTCCATGACGTACCGGTAGAGATAGCATTCCGAAAACAGCCACGGGGCGTGCAACCACGTCGTCTCCCCCAACGCCGCTAGTTCCCTGTTATATTCCTCGATATCGCTGCCTCCATCGTCCTCCAGCGGCCTATTATCCATTAGTCCCTGTATTTCATCCCAATGTCCCTGTAATTTTATCCAATACCCCTCCCGTCCCCTTCCCCTTCCTCCCGCAACTAGAACAACCCTCGACAACCAACACGCAAGAAGCAGGAGAAAAGAACTTACGTCATCGCCCGATCGTGCAGAACCTCATACTTCAGGGCCCCAACCGCCTCCACGATCCGCTTCCCCTCCTCCCGCTTGTCCGTTTGCGACAGCTCCAGCGCGCTGACGGCGCGGTGCACATCGTCTATCGCTCCGGTCTGATGCGTCACTCACTGTCAGTATTTATTTCTTGCTCATATGCAGGGTCTGACACCTGGGGTGGGATGGGGTGTAGTTACCAAGATGACAGGCCATCGCGATCGCGCGGACGTGAAAGCGAAGGAGCTCCGGTCCGAGGTGAGGTATTGCGCTTTGCCTTCTGTCAGTATGGCCAGGCGAGAGGGAGGTGAGGAGGGGCGTACGGGTTTTTGTATCGTGTTCCATTGTGTCGACGTCGTTGGTGGTGGGAGGTTGTGGGATGCTTCCTTGATTACTTACTTACTTACTTATGGTGCTGTCAGTTAATTTTGGTGGGGTCGATTCGTTTGGGTCAGCGGGGTCTTCAGAGGGGGGGAGGTCGGTCGCCGTTTCCCCGGCCGGATCGGAGGTTTTGGTGGGGTGGAACGTGGGTGTCGGAGGAAAAAATTTGTTTGCAATTTTAAATAGGTTTATATGGCATAACACGGCCTTACGTTACATCAATCAAAAGGGGATATGGTTTAGTGGTATAATGCTTCTTTAGCACTTGAGTTTCGTACTCTGGTAATATAGAAGAGGTCCGGCGTTCGATTCGCCGTTTCTCCAATTTCTTGATATATTTTTTTGGCTTTTTTTTTTTGGCTTCTCTTTTATTGCGGGCATGCGTGGGTTATGCAAGGAGGAAGGAATCGTGTGCTCGACTAACAGTTGAAACGGTGCTTGGGTCTAAGAATTGTTGCAAGTTATTTTTTAAATATTTGTAGAGTATATTCGTGGCCAGACTTTAATATCTCTCAATATCTCTCAATATCCCAATGTTTTGGGTGTTTATGTGGGATTTTTTATTCAGGAATATATATTCGAATATATCATACTACGTTAGATTATTCTCTATGACTACAATTAAAATAAGGACAACAATACCCTCGAGTGATTGAGCATTTCACCTTTAATTATAGTTTGTAAATGATGCTGCTGCTGATTAATTTGTGCCGCCGACTTATTGTAGCTCATCAAAACGCGCGGGGCTGACAATTGTTTTTGAGATAAATAACTAATGCAGATTCGAGCATGAATGCGCTGTCATGGAACATGCATGAGGCCAGCTACTCGCTCCAATCTAGATCCCCCCCATTTCAAAGTCGTCATCATCATCATCATCGTCATCATAATCCTCCTCATCCTCCTCATCCTCCTCGTAATCTTCTTCTTGAGGATATCCCTTAAACCACTGCTGATTGCCCTCTCCAACCCACGCCTTCTCTACTTTCCTCTTTGGTCGCCAATTACCTCCTTTACCTGTCCACCAATACACATGATCACCTCCTATAAACGTCTCGTTCCCAACTTTCACTGGCTGCTCTGTAAGCCTATGATCCAGATAGTTTTTCTGCCCCGCCTTAAACCACACCGCCTCAAACTCGGCATCTTCGCTGTTTTCAAGGCTTAGGCTTGCAGTCAGAGACATCATCTGCAGCGCGGGCATATTTTGTTTTGCCTTGCCAGCAGCAGCCAGCAACCCGTCCATCGCTTCATCATCAGGATATGTCCTGAACATCTCTGTGCCACGATCGCTGTCGAACTCTGGCTCAAGCGGGGCCACAAAGTCGTGTGGGACGGGGTTGTTTGGGTGCCGTACAAAGTACCATGAACCCGACGGGCGCACGGTGGAGAATATTGCAGAATAGGTCCTGAGAGAAGGCCACTGAGGAGCCCGGTTGGCTAGGCTCGCGAATGCGGAGTCCAGAGCGGCAGGAGGCTGGAAGAGCTGTGGTGAGATCATGATGGGGCCTTGGAGGTCGATAGTCTTGAGGGTTGGGATGAGGGAAATTGCATAGAGCGCTAGGGAGAAGTGGTCGATATCGGAAAGCAGGATTGAGGGGGGTTCTTGGAACTGGTAACGCGGAGACGTATTTTCGGCGCATAGTGAAAAAGAGGTGAGGGGGAGCGAGGAGAGGGAAAGGAGAGCAACGGCGAAGTCTAGCCATCGTCAGTAGCGTGTTCCTGTATATTAACAGGTGTACAGCAAGGAAATATACTCCCCGTCCACATTACTGGCTCTTGAAAGGAAATGTATGGGTGGAGTGGAAACGCCGGGGTTCAAAAGCGCGAAGGATAAATGCTTCTACGTACCATATCTATCCTTCCGCCGTACTTCGAAGTCCTCACTTCTTTCCATAATTTGCAAGTCCAGCTTCTCCAGGGCCGGAAACTTCTTCGCCAATCGCGCTATCGACTCTGCCTCTACAGGTCTCGGATAGGATGGAGAAACAGCGTATTTTGTCACTCTCTTCAACTCAGGTACCCCATCCAGCGGCCCCAGACGAAGCCAAGAATCGCAGTATCGCCCCTCAAACAAGTCCCTTCGCTCTCCCCGTTCCACTGCCCTGTGTTGCTCACTTAAAATCTCCCTACTTCTTTTCTTTGGATCGCTAGGCGAGTAGATCTGCGACATTTCCAACGACAGCGGCACCAAACCCTCACTCGCCCTTGAACCTGTTCTACTGAGCTCCTGCTCATCCTCTTCCTCCCACCTCTTCACGAGCCTGAATAACTCTGTGATAGCAGTAGTAAATGAGGCATCGTTTACCCTCTTATCTTCCTCAGTCTCCACAACTGCACATGCTGCATCATCATACTCGGGTAGGGCAACCTGATACTTCACTTCCCTGAGGGTGGCTCTCCGGTGACCCGTCATAAGCTTAGAAAAGTATGCTAGCTCGGAGCTTGGGAGGTTGATCTCCCGAAATGTCCGCTGCTCTATGTGCCACTGCCAGGTCTTGCACACTGTGGCATAAGGTGGGAGCTCGGAGACGGGCTTGATAGGGCCACCGTCTCTAATGCGCGCTAAACGCACTATGAGGTTATCATGGTCGCGAGGGATGTAGGAGAGGATCTGGGCGAGGGTTTCTGGGGAAAGTGACGCGATTGTGGCCATTTGAAGCGGTTGGAGAATGGGGTTTGTGGGGTTTCTTTATGGTTGTCTTTGTTTATGGGGATGCGGCTGTCAGATTACAACGCGGATTAGATGTGGAATATAATAGTCACGCTAATCCTATTACAGACACGCTATACAAAGAGAAGAAATGAGTGCGTTGTAGTTTAACCAGTAATCTTAAACTGTATTTCAATGGTGGGTTTCTAGACAATATTCGTGTCTATACCGCCTTTTCCCAATGTTAAGATTAGTTCTTAACATTAGTTGCGACCTCCACAGGCACTCTACAGCCAAAAAATAATACTTACAAGAAACAGAAATGAAGGTTTTATAAATCGCCCTAGAACCTATCAACGATAGAGTAATACTTATCAGCGAATCCAAAATGGCAGCATATAATTACAAAATCCTACTACCTATAAATAACCTAATAATGATCCCCACTTAATCGTGGCGATACCCCACACTCCCGAAATGCCGCTCTCACCCCTTGAGCCGACCAATAATATGAATAAATCCCCCTTAAAATACCGGCGGGTTCCAGACCCAGGCCGGGCGAGAATTAACCTCCTGCCTCAGCCTCGTAATCTTATCAATGAAGATCTGCTCATCACTCAGAATATTTGGGTCGCCGGTCGCCTGTCTCAGCTCTGTCGTCCGATCCTGGGCAAAGCTTAGTTGGTAATTGGAACAGTAAGTTGTCTCTAGTTGGGTTGTCCAATTGTCCATCCACAGCTCTGCACGGGTATTGGCCGTCGCAGCTTTGGTGTTCATGAAAGTCCTCCATTGAGCCTGCAGATTCGCATTCTGGTAGGGTTGCAGGAGTACGTTGCCGGACTGGTGAAGGGCGGGTTGAGCAGCGAGGTGGGCTTCCATCGCCTGGAACATAGCGCCAATGCGATTAGATTGAGCGAGGAGATTATTGTTTATCTCATTGAAGCGATGGTACTTGTATGCTGTAATTACGTCCTTGACGTTTTGGAAGCCCGCCATGCCTTGGCCGAGGTACCCCGTCATTGTGTTCTCGTTGTTGATGACGGTAGGTGACCACATCTACAAATCCTGTTAGTATACTTCTTTCATTGCTATATTGTATAATTTAACAGTATTGTTAGCGGTAAAGGAAACTTACGCCACGCTTAGCCGCGTTAACTCTACTAGACATGGAATCGAACGCACCCTCTATCCTTCATCCCCATCCCAAGCCACATGCGCCATCCAATCATAAACAACCGCAAAGCCACGGATAAGATGAGAACAGGCTTTGTTCCATTGATGCCCTTGTTCAGATTCAATATCACAATATGTTCCAACCCTTCATCCATGTTTTGCCTGCATCATGCAGCCTCATGTAAGCGTTGCATTTATCCTTCACCCCGGGCGTTATCCTGACAGTGATTGGCTCGCTGTAAGCACTGGGGTGTGTCTTTCATTGGCAAGCTGAGTCTGGGAATCTCACGATGGACCATGGCCAGAATTACCACCCCACCATTATCTCCTTCCCTCTCATAGTCTCTCACAGGACTTTGGACTAACTCTTGTTCATGAGGAGGGGGATATTGAAAACCCCCCCTTTCCTCTTGCTGTTGGTATCTTGTGCTCATCCTGTAGCTGAGTCTTCCTTTGAAGTGTTTGCAGTTTACCTCACTACAGCCACACCAGCAAATATGTTCTCTTTCTCCAGCCATTGTTCATGGTCCGTTGTTATCATTCTCGTGAACTTTTTATATTTTTCAAATGCTTTCCAAGCTCTGACCACTAAAAATATTGATTCTTCCCTCACGCTGGCCTGCAAAAATGCCCTCACGGCCGATATTGCCTGCAGTCCAGTCGTCGCCCGATTTCAGAAAGGGAGCTATTATGCAGAATCAACGCTTACTGACACTTGCACGACTGCTTGCGCGGCGGCGCTTGACCAGTATTATACGAACGTGAATTCCGCCTGTGGCAGTCAAACTTGGAATGGATATGAAGACACAGAGATGCCGCTCTTGATAATTCCAGATATGATGAAATACCAGTATAGTCTAGCGTGTTTAACTGACAGTGGGAGGTTTTGTAATAATGTAGCCGCCGAGGCCGCATATGTTCTTGATCCTGGAAGTGAGTATATTTCAGAACAGTTTTATTCTCACCTAGACTCATAGTTTTAAACTACTAACTGGCCGATAGGCAATGACCCAGTCACAGGGATTTCCATTGCTCAACCCAACTCCACAGCGGGAGAAATCCCGAATCCATGCGACCTCTGCTTCATCAAAAACCTCCGCTTGCAAGCTGGATCACCATACTACGATGGCCCCGCACTGGCAGATAGCTCAGTGTACGAATCCAAGACATCAAGCTGTAGCATCACAGGAATGCCACTGACAACAACGGACCTTCTATGGTATACGTGAGTTTTTTCCGGCGTGCCAAGTCCCAAGTTTCGATTCTCACATCCGTGAAGGGTAACCACTACAACTACTGCCCCACCAACTTCTACATGCGCTGGTTCAGCCTACACTATCCAATCCGGGGATACGTGTCATACGATTTCCAAAACTCAGGGAATAAGTACTGCCTGGCTTCTCATGGACAACAATCTCCAGGCTTTCTGTAACGAATTCCCTACCAGTGGCACACTCTGCCTAGCCAACAAATGCCCGGTTTACACAGTCCTGGCGACCGATACTTGCAGCTCTATCGCAACGGCATACAACGTTACCGAGCCACAATTAAAAGCCTGGAATCCCGTTATAAATGCCGGTTGCTACAATATGAACAAACTAGTCGGCACGGAGCTATGTGTCGGTTCCCCTGGAAAAACTTACACCACCCCAACAGTTACGCTCGTCCAGCCTACTACGGCTACGACGCCGGCACCGGTCCCTACTGATGTGGCAGATCTCACTTCAACATACTGCGGAAAGTATTATATGGCTGTGACCGGGGATTACTGCAACCTTATTGTCCTTAGGTTCTCGATAAGCATGCCCGATTTCGTTTTTTTGAACCCGGCCATTAATGTCAATTGCACAAACTTATTCGCAGATGAGAGCTATTGCGTACAGCCCGTAGGAGATAGTTACTTGATTCTCTCCTGTGTCCCCCGTTCTCCCCATTTTATATCGTCTTGGCTAGATTCTGGTCTGACCAACTACACAGTCAACACCTACCCTGGCAAAGCCGGTGCCTCGCATCCTGTCACCGGAGCTCAAACCACTATTCCATTTTCTGCCCTACCAGACGTCACTCCAACTACTACCACAGGGGGTTCAATATCCACACCTTCCCCCATTGCGACGGGAACTAGAAGGGACAGCAATGACTACTTCCTCGGCGATTCGTTCCCGTCTCTCCCTCCCCGAGTAAGTTTCAGCCCCTTTCGTGTCTCCTCTGATATTTGAAACCCTTCTAACGCCATTCATAGGATGGCGCCGTAAGCGACTGTACAGAATTTGAGAATTTTTATGACGATGCCAGCACCTGTGCAGACTTCCTCAATGCATGGCATCTCACCATAGCCCAGTTCTTCGCGTACAACCCGGAAGTGAATGCCGATTGCTCAGGTCTGTGGCCAGCCTACCAGTACTGCGTCCGCGCCCCCCGATACGTAGACACCTTCCCATCAACAGCTACTGGCACGGGAACGACCACCACAACCCCAACCACACCGCCAACCGGAGTGGTGACCCCAACACCTATCCAAGACGGTGTCATCTCGACGTGCAACAAGTTTGCCAAGGCGGCGAGCGGCGAGTATTGCTTGCTTTTCGCCGGTAACAACGGCATCACCGCCGCCCAGCTTTACCTGTGGAATACAGTCCTTGGTTCGAATGGACAGAACTGCGATTCCTTGTTCTGGGCCGACGAGTACTACTGCGTAGGCGTTTCAGGTACCTCGCCGCCTGCAACGACAACATCTACGCCTGTGCAGACCCCGTCGCCAATCCAGGATGGGATGGTGGCCAACTGTAATAAATTCGCTTTGGTGCCGGCGGGGTCGTATTGTTCAGTGAGTAACCCCTCGTCTCTATTGCTAGTGTGGGAGAATGGGAAATGCTAACGCGGGATACAGCTTTTCGCAGATAACAACAGTATTACGACAGCGCAGCTGTATACGTAAAATCCAGTTCTAAGTTCCAACAAAGAGAACTGCGGGAGCAGCTTCTGGGCGAATGAGTATTACTATGTTAAGGTTAGTTCTTGAGTAACTCAAAATCGTGCCGCCCAACTCAACTTGAGTTGGGCGGCACGATTTTGAGAAGTACAGATGCTGAAATCGGGGTGCATCCTTGAGTTTTAGGAAGTGAAGACGTTGAAACTGGATGGGTGATTATGAAGTGGCAAACTTCTCATATTGTGTATTTAATACGAATCTTACTATTCCGTTTCAACGTGTAGCTAAACACCTTTCGAGATCACCATGCTCATAGTTTTCTTGTGGCTAAATAATCAAACTATTCTGCATCTGACCGGCTGGATTATTTACGACTTTATAGGGAATATTAGCCCGCCGTGCCCCTCTCTCCCTCTTATCTAAAGAGATGTCTACTAAAGCACTGCTGATTTATATCCCAACCCATGTCTCCTCTACCTCCCTCGTTGATCGCCATCTCCCAGTTGCTAGGAGGGACATTGAGATTGAGGTGTTAGAAAGCTTAAATAATTATAGCGCTTGAAATTAATTGTTTCCTGCCATAAACTAATAAGAAGCAGCATTGGTGTTGTTTTTGTGTCCTTAGTAACCATAACCAATATCATAACCGTTCCGTTCGAACAAACCGTTTTTTTTAACCCAGCCTCTAATCATCTTCCAACCTCCGGTATCAAGCTTTATAATTAATGCAGCCTTATGGATATTTAAACCCATAATAATAACAGAGTTGACTTCTCTCATTGGCAGCACCTCGGAATGTCCGCCACGGTTAATCCATGGCTAATCCTGCCTAGCAATGAATGACTCCAATAATTCAACTCTAGGCAGCAGCGGCGATAATGGAGATAAGCCCGAGCCAGCCTACATATTTCTCACAGCTCGCCCACCTTTTGTCAAATACATCAAGAGTACTCGAATTTACACAAAAAATCTACTTGCGCCATATCTCAAACACAATGGCTTCATCTTCAAACGTACTCGGCCAAGTGTCGACCGACACCCAGCTCGCCAACGGACCCGACGACGGCATCTCAGGCCTTTCCTGGTCTCCATTGTCGCGACATCTCGCAGTCGCATCCTGGGAGGGAAAAGTGAGGATCTACGACATGACACACACCAGATCCGGGGAAGGGCGCGCACTCATCGATTTTGGCGGGCCAGCACTCAGCTGTAGCTGGTCAAAGGTATAGTTATATAGATAGCATAATCCACAGGGACAAACGAACATAATCTGATCGGACATCTCCACGTCGAAGGTAAGATACCCCTCCATTAATAATTCCCATCTTACCTATCATCAAAGCGTCTAACCACCTCCCCCCCTCAAAGGACGGCCAAAAAGTCATCGGCGCCGGCGCAGACAAGGCCGCTCGACTTCTAGACCTCGCATCAAACGGCGCGCCCCCCCAGCAAGTCGCCGCACACGACGCGCCCATCTCATCCGTCCACTTCTTCACCCCGCCCTCCTCCAACGCGCCCATGATCGTGACGGGGTCCTGGGACAAGACCATCAAGTACTGGGACCTGCGGCAGCAGAGCGCCGTCGCATCGGTGGCGTGCCAGGAGCGCGTGTATTCCATGGACGTGAAGGGCGACCTCCTCGTCACCGGAACAGCAGATCGCCACATCAACATCATCAAACTCGACAACCCGACTACATTCCACCAAACCCTCCGCAGCCCTCTCCACCACCAAACGCGAGTCGTCAGCTGCTTCAACGACGCAAACGGCTTCGCCATCGGTAGTATCGAGGGGCGCTGCGCATTTAGATTCATCGATAAGAAAGACACGAGGTAATTCCCCCCCCCCCCCCCCCAAAAAGCATCAAACAAACGCAGGCGCCTAACACCCCCACCCAGCCTCAACTTCACATTCAAATGCCACCGCTCCCCGCCCGCGAACAACATCACCACCGCCCACGCCGTGAACGCCATCTCCTTCCACCCGCAGCACGGCACCTTCAGCACGGCGGGCTCGGACGGCACATTCCACTTCTGGGATAAGGACACGCACATGCGGATCCGTGCGTTCCCCTCCGCGGGCGGCAGTATCTCCGCTACGGCGTTCAGCGGAGATGGCGGGGTGTTTGCGTATGCGGTTAGTTATGACTGGAGTAAGGGGTACGCGGGGAGTAGTGCGCAGGTGCCTAATAAGGTGATGCTGCATGCGGTTGGGGAGGAGGAGTGTAAGCCCAAGGGGAGGGGAGGCGAGAGACGCTGAGGATCTCTTCCCCTGGGGACGACTGGGGCTTGGTTTGGACGGCGGGTAAAGCTCGGTCTTTGCATGAAGCATGGCTGGGCTGGGGCGCATTGTTTCGCGTGGTAGGATGGATGATGGTGGTTTTTGCATGAAGCATGGCCGAGCTGGGGCAGATTGTGTTGCGTGGCGGGATAGTAATGGTTTTTGCATGAAGCATGACCGAATTGGCCTGAGCAGGCCGGAGAATGAATGAACTTCTTGCCTACAATGCCCGAACTTTGTTTATAGTGTATGCTGACGCCGCCTAAAAGTCTGAACATCAGGGATGCCCTTCTACCACCCATATACCCTTAATCACAGCACAAATGTCGTCACGCAGCACATAGAAAAGGACACACACGTAGAAGATAGATGCAACACGTCTACATTTGATCTATACACCTATACATCCCCTATAGCCCGCTGTGGCTAGGTAAGAGCCTTACTTTTGTCTACTAGCATCGTACATCTCTCTCCCCCTCTCAAATGGCTCCACTTCCCTCCTCTCAGAAATATATCGTAGTAGCTGGACGACCAGCGGCAGGCAGACACATCCGCACCCTGCCCTTCGCCCCTCTTTCGAGCTCTCTCCAACAAAACAAAGTTTCCATAACGTCGTAAAACCGCCAACCAATCCCCTTGGCGGCCCCCAACCTCGCAGTAGCGACCGTATATAAAAATTCCCAAACCAAACAGTAGCGACCGTGGCCCCCCAAAATCCCATCTAATTTGTTGTAGTAGTGACCGTGATACCCCCCAGCCCCACCTCTCTAAAAAACACCCCCCATCCGAAATTTTCCAAGAAACCCCCAAAAAAACATTGTAGAAACAAAAAAAAAAAAATGTAAGAGTGTTTATATCTCTTTTCGAGCGACGTCCACGTATCGTATCCAAACAACTTTCTTCCTCCATCCTTCCGCCCCCTGAGAGCCGTGCAGTTTCTCAAGGGCCAGCACTCAGCATCGACGGGAACAACCCGTACCCCCCCTTCCCCCTTCCAAGCGACCCACTAATCGTGCTCGCCCTCCCGCGTCTCTCCTTCCCTACTTGCCTAAGCAGCGGCACGCTCCCCTTCCGGCCGTGCGCGTTGATAAACGCACTCGGCGCCCTCGATGGCGGCAACAAGCGTTCCTCCGCGCTCTGGAGCACCAAGTCCTCGGGCTTATCAGCTGTTGCCGTCGCCGGCTCAGAAATATACGCCAAGAATGGATTTGTGGACAGAGTAGGCGAGGAGACGTATGTGGTCTCCGTCGGCGCAGGGCTGGGCTCGCGCCCGGTAGGAGAAACGTTGTCGAGGGGTCCGGCGGAGTATGTTGACGTGGGCGATGCGGTGCCGTTCATCTGCGCCGCGTAGTCGGCAGGGATAAGTAGCGAGGGCGAGAGATTGAAGCCGTGCGACTCTTTGAAGGATGACGCTGCGGATGGGGAGCGCAGGTGTGTTGGGCGCGCGGGAGGCGTCGGGATGGACGCTGGAGAATCCGCCGTTGTGGCTGTGGATGGCGGGATGAGATCGGGTGTGTGCGCTGGCGCAAGGATGGTGGGGGTGACGTAAACAGGCGGGTGGCGCAGCCCATCGAGGTGCGCAGAGAGTCGACTCGAGATGCTCGCCGATGCAGAATGCAGAGATGCCGGCGGCGGTGAGTTGTTAAGCGTGATGTCGTCTGAGGACGAGTTGGTCGAGATGGCGGAGTCGTGGAAGTAGTTGCGGACGGTATCGACGTCGATCGAGCGGCGCTCCCAGTTGTAGTCGCAGTCGGCCTCGACCTCATGGTCATAGCAATAGTCGATGTCATCCTCCCATGAGCCGGAGGTGTCAAGGTCGAGCTTTGCGCCCGATTTCTTAGGGGTCATGACGAGGACCGGCGCACGCACAATGTCAGAGGACGGGGTGTGCGGGCGGTCAGAGTCACGCCTGGCGCGGAACGTGAGAAGGTTAGGGACGGACTTTGAGACGCGCAGATCGGTGCTGCCGATGGATATGCGTGAGCGTCGTGCGGCTGCGACTGTCTCCTCTTCTTCAGGTACATCCTCCAGCTGTGAATCGGCTGGTGACGGGGTAGCAGAGAACGGCCAACCCTCATTCTCTGGTGACCTTGGCGACACGGTGGTTCCTTCTTGGAAATAATCCACCTCGTGGTCGCCATGGACATTCGGTAATGGGGGAGACGGCAGAGGCGGAGAACGCGGGAGGTGGAAGGCCTGTGGCCTCCGGAATCCGGCAGAGTAGTGAGGTCTCTCTAGTGACGTGGATTGTAGAGGGTCGTATTCGTCCCAGATCATGGATGCCGTCCTCGACGATGTCCTTGGGGGTAGGGATATCGGACACTGTGCTGTCATTGGCGATCGTGGCGGCCTTGGTGGAGGGGACAATCCCGCGCGGAAGTTGTCTTGGGACTTGCTCGAGCGCAGGCTCGGCTTGAGAGGTGCTGGGCTCGGGGGCTTCCTGATGATGCTCTTTCTTGCTGGGCTCTTCAGGGGTAATTGAGGTGGGGGCTTCGGAGGGTCTTTCTCGACCAAAGCATCGAGGGCTTCGGAAGAGAAGTTGTGAAAGTGAAGGTCGTCTGCCCTGATGCCCCGAAGCTCTCCTGTAGGTGCATTTGATCTCCGTACTGTGGAGAACTCCTCTAGGAGGTCGTCTCTGCTCGCGATATCTACATTGGGCGCCTGCTCATGTCCTGTGTGGACGACGTGTTGGAAGTCGTAAGGCCCAGAGATGAGGTGCTTCTTGAAAGCAACCTCCTCGTCGACAGCGCTTCGCGGTGTGACCATGGTAGATTCCCTCGAACTTAGCGATAACAGTGATGATGCCCTCGACCTTCCCTTCTTGGACCTCTTCGACCCTCGCGAGAACAATGCCTTCCCAAACATCTGTAACGTGTCTGGCCGTTCTGCTTTGATCGACATGCCCGCGGTCGACTTTCGCGACGCCTGCCTCGACAGCGATTCCTCCGGAGACCTTGTTCCCGAGTCAGCGCCCGAGGCAGACGACGACGTTGAGCTGGTGCCGGTGCTTGTCCTGGAGTGGCCAGCGGCTACGCTCCTCTTCATCTGTTCTGTGTATGCTCTGATCCTCTGTGGCGATGGCGGCCCATCCATGGCAGGCTCCATGGTTAACGTAGGGGATACGCGCGCCGGGAAATCCGTCATCGAGGATGTTGATATCGAGCCAGCAGGACTTCTAATGGGTTTGTTGCTCTCCCCAAAGTGGGAGGTCGTGTGGAGAGACATTTTCGTCGACTGATTGCCGCGCCGTCGGCGGGATACCCTCCTCCCAGGGGAGAGGGTAGGGTAGACAGTTGGACGAGTGGGCTGTGTCGCGTGGGATGGAGCTGTCCCGGGCAACAATAGATTGCGGATAGATTAGGGGTTATATTAAATCGGGTTTATAGGAGGCATAGGATAGGTCGGTCCCTGGCACGACGTCGAAAGGAGAGCAACGGTGATGGTGAGATATTCGCTGCCTGCAGAGAACAATCAGCGAGATGAACAAGATTAAAATTCATGCATATTGATTTGGGGGCGGAAAAGTCGAGATATATTCTAGAGTGAGGAGAGCCTCGGCAGGATCCAAGCCCATAGAGCTGGAAAGCTGGGGGAAATGGTGGATGCCAAGTGGGAAACGCCTCCGAGGTCATACGAAGAGAGAGGTGTGTGTGAAGATATGTGTAGGTGTGTGTGTGCTCACCTTGTTGCGAAACCTGGCGCAGGCCGAGGATGAAGATGAGGGGGTAGAAGGTCAGTCAACAGCTCTGTGCGTATGTGTGAAGTATGCAGGCGGAAAGTTTGTGGGTGTCGTGAAGTCGTTGTGCAGCAAGAAAGTGACGCGGACTTGTTGGGTGTATATATATTTTCTTCCTCCAGGATGCTACCAGGTGTCAATTGTCACTGATATGTCGCTCGGGACAGCAAACGCGGTGTCGATGGCATCGAAATGTGAGCGTGAGCGAGAGCGAGACAAAGCTGATCAGAAGAGCATCAAAGATTTTTGTTTCTTTCGCTGTTGTCGTCGAGGTGCCGGGAGGTTTCAGGACATGAGAACGTGGAGCAGGGAAAGTGCGATTGGACGTGTACAATAGGATAGGCGGGAGCGGGCGTGAGGGCGTGCAGGAAGAATGTATTCCATGTATTATTGTATATGCAGGAGCGCAAGCAAGGTTGGCGGAGATGGGTGGTGGAGGGAGGTGAGGGATGTTTTGCGGGTAGAGAAGCAAGGGGAGGAGAGTGAGTGAGAGATAGGTCGAGTTGGGAAAGAAGGAAGCAAAAGAAGAGGGACCGACAAGATGATGGACTTATTTTCAGTTTTCTGTGATAAGCCGAGTTGAGTTAGTTGTTGGTTGTTGTGAGTGAGGAAGGAGAGGGTACGGGTACGGGGGAGGGAGGTGCTGGGGGGGTGCTGGGGGGTGCTGGGGGGTGGGTAGAGCATGAACAGAGGATGAGCATCAGTTGATTTCCAAAGTACCTCTACCTACCTTGTAAGGTATAAGGTATCTCGTCGTCCACCCTAGACTAGATCCACCCCTGGAAAGCGGAAAGCGGGACACCTTCTAGGGTTTTGAGCATTGGCCAATAGGAAAGGGCGACAGCATTGACCAATAGAAATTGACCAATAGGAAACGGCCCCGCTAAAGGAGCAAAGGAGAAAGAGAAAAGGCAAGCAAGTGCTCTAGTAGAAGTACTAGTATTACTATAGTTAGTGTGATAATAATAATATCTACAACAGTACTACGGTCTACGAAGTACACCATACCGCAGTACGGCTCAGACACATCCTCAGGCACACAGCACATCCTCAGGCACATATTCAGGCACAGTCACCAGGAGCAGCCAGGAGCCACAAGGACCAGCTAGGAAGAACAGCTAGGAGCAACCACTACCAACTAGTACTATTTTGGCATAGCTCATTATAGCTTGTGGGCCGCTTCTTTGGCCGCCATCCATGACCCTCATCCATGACCGCAGAGGAACCTACCCACCATGAATATTGTACGGATAACTACTACTTCGTATGACGGGCTGTACTCGAGAATATCCAGCTTCTAGCTTCCACCATCATCCACCGTGTATGCGTGTATGCGTATATGCGTGTACAGTCAGGTCCGTCCTGCAGTACCAGGTATCACCGCATGGCCACTCTCTCTCTTTCTCTCTCTCTCTCTCTCTCTCTAGTGCTCTATGCACTACACACGGGACAGAACATGACTACTAAGGGTCCAAGGGTCCAGGGACAGGGGTGCCGCCTCAGTCGAATCTGTGCTAATCAGTGGGTTTGGCTAGTCGACCAGAGAGTCCACTCTCTTCAACGGGCATGCTGCGCTCAGAAGAGAAGAGAGAGAGAGAACTGCGCTGGAATATAGCCGCCGGCTCATCAGCGAAACCCCCAGATCCCCAGACGGAAAGGGTCCGGCAGATGCTATACCACGCCCATACTATAGTCCAGCTACTCTATTCCTAACCCACAGGCACAGACAGTCACCAAATCATCCCCATCCAGGTCCCTTACGTTCCATCGGCCACCCACCACGCCGGGTGCGCTCCACACACCCCCTCCCCTCCCCCCTCCCCGACACATACCAACCACAGGGGAATTCCCACTCCCCTCCAACCGGACACCCACGCCGTGACGGGCGGCGGCCGGCCCTCCTACCACCTCGAGCCCACGGCACCGCGCCGATCACACCTCACCTCTCCTCGCCGCCACGAACCTTCACGGCTCTGGCTACCCGTCGATCACCGGCTTTTCCAGCCCCCGTCGATCCCCCTTTCTCGTCCATGATGGCCGTTGCAGAATGGACGTACCGTATCCACCGCCGGTGCTCGGTGCCAACTACTCTCTCTTCCGTGTGCGCCCCTCTTCCGTTGTCGTCTAACAATAAACATGCTCGTCCGTTCCCTCTTTTCTCTCTCACCCCCCATCATCCCCAGCCACACACACACACGCACGCATACTGTACTCGTATGCATCAATAATGCAAGCTTGCCATATACCCGACCCGACAAAAAAAAAGCACCCGCCAGAGTACAGTAGCAATACACTTAGCCCCCTCTTTTTCCCAGCCAAACCCAATCAAAACCCAACCAACAGTATCCTTTCCGCGCTCCAACCCACATCCAACCCCTCCCCCCTCTTCCCTGCAGCTGCTCTTGCTCCATCCACAACAGCGCAAATACCGCGTGCGGCCCGCCGTACACCTCCATCGCTCCCTCCTCCGCCCTATCCGATTGAGGAAAGGCGATGGAGCTTCCCTGCTATTCTGGATGATGCACAGCGAGCATCCCTGGGGCTGCTGCAGCGTTGCATTGGGAGAGTGGGAAGGAGCGAGGTAGGGTTGTATATTACTCCAGGGCCAAGAGAGAGAGGGAACCACAGAAGCAAAACATCCATCTATCAGCAAAGTAAACATCCCCAAAAAGGCCCGGAGAAAATCTGCACGTCGCTCTCCTCCCTGCGCACCAGCCAGCCCAGCCCAGCCCGTTCTCCGCAGCTTCAATTCGCGGGCACGCACATAATCCACGAAAACATGCTCACTCACTCACCGCACGCACGCACGCACCAACCAAAGCTCTCACGGGGCGCGCGCACAGCACTTCACGGCCCTTCACAGCGCTTCATGCGACCTGTACACGCACTCACCCGTCCTTACCTCCCCTTATCATCACACCAGCGAGCGAGCGCACATCAATCACAGCCAGAGCCAGCCATGGCGGCGACGTCCTCGACGGAACCCACCGCCCTGGACGCCTATCGTTCCTGCATCCGCGCTACGGCGATTGTGCCACCAACCACCATTGAGTCCCTCCACTGCGTCCCTGGCGCTGGAGAATTACGAGGAGAGCACCACAGAGGGGACCTGCGTCTGTACGGCGGTACACGACATGGTTGAAATTCAAATCGCACGACTCAGCTCAGTCGTAAATGACGACGACGACGACGGGGCTCTGCTCTGCTCTGTACTGTCATCCTCGAGCAACCCCCCCAGGCCGGCCCCCACCCCATCCATTTAAATCCACCGATCCTCTCTCCCAATCCCATCCTCTGCGATCTGGCCACTACTGCTGCTGCTGCGCTCCTCCCTGCTTCAGAGCAGTATATCACGCAAAAGCTTGGCTATATCGCATCCCCCCCGGCCCTGCAGCTCTGCAATCTACTCCCCCCAGCCCAGGTACAGTACACACCAGTGCCAAGTGCAGTACAGTACTGGACACCATTCTTACACCAATATCCAGCCCGCCTACACCCTGCGATGCTCACTGTATCCCCTTCATCCACCCCCTACCGTAATCCCAACCTCCTGCCCCGCCATCACCACCGCAAACGCCCTCCTTCCCTCCCTCCATCACTCTCCCCGCCCACCGCCCAAGCCCTACCTACCGCCATAACGCTCACCGGGCCCCTCCCCAGCGCCACGCTCGAGCGCAACCCGCCTGCCTCCTTACCCGGATCATACACCCCCAGCACGGCACCCGTACAGCGGACGGGGAAGCCCAGCCAGCCAGCCACCCATCAAAGCGTACAATACTACTACGGTAGGAATCCAGCTGTGGATCGCGTGTCCCCCAACGCGCCTCGCCTCATCACCTCGCACCGCGTCGTCCCCCCCCCTCCCCCCAGCCCGCTTATACCGACCGTATCACACTCCCCCCCCCACCGGCCCCATCAATCACAGCGCCCAAGTCCGCCCGCCCCGCCGCCACGCACACCACCGGTCGAGTGCCGGCAGGCAGCCCGGCTACGTAGAGCGGATGGGTGCTGGGAGTGGACCACTCACTCCGAGCTCTGGCGATGTGATGTGATGTGTGCTTGTACTGTAGCGTCGGTAGCGCATAGACGGAGATGTGCTTTCCCTTTCGACCCACGGGGGGGCCTGCCGGGCGAGTACCGGTTGGGTGGTTTTTGGTCACGTGATGGGTAGTTTGGAGGAGGGTAGGGGGGTCTCCGCTTTGGTGGTGTGGTGGTGGGGACAGGACCCTTACTACTGTACTAAGGGTGTTTGGTAACGTAAGATGCCTTTGTTACTTGGGCTTGTTACTTACTGTACTATTTGCCTTTTTAGTGTGTGTGCGCCAACGTAGTGATCCTGTCCTTCGATGAGTGAGTAAGGAGACAAGTGCGTTGAGGAGGAGCAAGTATGTCCGTGAAGGGAGCCGAGGTATCCCTGCCTCAACGCCGACCGATATATGGAAATCCCAAAATGCCTCCCTCATGCCTCAAAACGAAAAGTAAATGGGGGAAGAAAAAAAGCCACAACAAATTGCATACCCAACCCACTCCGCGACCCGACGGAGCGTATCCGGCGGCCCCCCCCCGCCCCTTTCCAATCCCGTGTACTCGTACTCGTAGAAACCACACACCCTCCTCCTCCTCCCCCCTCGCGAGACCACCACAATGCCAGCCCCGCCCTCACGTCCACCCACCACTCCACCGCGCGCCAAGATCGCCGCTGCACCCACCTCCTCTGCACATCCGGCAGCAACAGGAGCAGCGCAGCTCCAGCCCTCATCGCGCCGCTGATCGAGCGTCGACCAGCGAGCCCGACGCTCCGGAGCGCTGGTCGCCCAGTCGGGGATCGCCGCAGGGGAGCGTGAGGGCTCCGGTGCGTGACACTCGGAGTGCTGAGCGTGCTGGGAGACTGCCCCGAGACATTGTTGCGTGGCTGGTATGTGACGGGCTGACGCAGCTTTTGGCTTGCTCCGAACCCGAGGTGCTGTGGTTGTTGTCTTGTGTGCGGCACCGGTGAGAAAGGAGGGATGGGTGACATGCACGCCCGCTTTTCCGGGCGTGTCCTCTACGCCAACCAACAGCGCCACGGTCACAGATCACAGATCGCGGATATTCCACTTTTTTGTTTCCTTTTTTGTTTTCTCACTTTCTCACATCCCTTTTCTGTCGCCTTCCTTATCTTCCCTTGCAAATCTAGCATCAGAAAGTATGTAGCTCCGTTTCAGAACCGTGGAGTCGCGTGGTTGGCGGTGCCCGACTGAAACGTAGCCCGGCGGGACACCTGAAACAAAGGGCGTTGAACGCATGGTCTGTGCTTGGGCGGGGGGGGGGAAAGCCTTGCTACTTTGGGAGAGTGTTGCGAGGAAAGGGGTTAGAGGGGGGAAGGTAGAGTTACTTGCTATACTGTACTATAGTCGGGTAAGATAGGGTGCTCAGAATAACTTCGGGCCTTGTGGTTAACGACGATGGTGAGGTTTTTTGTGGAAACTGACAAGCATCGCTAAGGAGGGAGATCGTGGATGGAGGCTACAGTTTGAACTAACTTACTCTTACTTACTTTACTCGTGCATGAGGTTCTGACTTAGGGCTACGAGTCGCTCTCGCATGTGTGCCGAATGCTTGAACATGTGATCCTGAGTCTAAGAAACGGCTTTCTTTAGCAAGGCGCGTCGCTTGCGGCGTTTCTAGCAGCTTAAATCCGGGGAAGCCAGCATGTGACGGCGCGGGGTACATGATATTTTTTTGGCTGGCGCGTTTTGATTATGGGAGCTTGTTACCAAAAGAGGCATCTGCAGATGGGGCGGGGTACAGACTTGCAGATATGGACGGGACAACTGTCAGTGCTGCATTGTCATGCTGCACGCACTATCATCATGGGTTGTGAAGACCTGGGGGAATCCGGGGAATCTGGGCAAGCTAGGGGAGCTGGCCGGTGTGAAATTCCTGGAGGTGTCGCGGACAGAGGCTTGTGAAGATCTGGAAATCCGGGGAAGCTGGTGATGATGATACGGGGATGATACTTCAGCATCCAGGTCCAGACCGAGGGATCAGATATAACATGTGCCGTCATAGAATGAACAATGTCCCGTGACATACTCGTCTTGTCGCTCTACCATCAAAGGTACAATCTTTCCCTTGTCATAGTACTTCTCTGGCCTTTTACGTCGTTTGCCATTATCACCCCTCCATCCTTTTGTGCGTAGCCTCCAGCCCTAACCGACTCCCGGTTGTCATGGGAAGCTGTGGGACGAAACGTTCTTGAGCCGCATGAGGCTCTGTATTACCATTATACTGATGAACAACGTTGCGTCGCCAAAACAATATGCAGTGCTTGGAAATTCAATATACAGCATGGAAGGCCGACATCATATTCGCAGCTACGGAGCTGAGTAGAATATAAGCCCTACCAAAAACCGAGATCAGATCAAACTAACCTCACGATCTAGCCGCGCGTCTGCGCTTCGAGAACAAGATCTGATCAAACACCATCCCCTTTCACCACCACCATCCGCCCCAATCCAGAACTCGCAATATAGTAACCGACCGTTGTCAGCATCACTCCCCTCGTCCCCATCTGCGCGCCCTTCCCATCCCTGCGCACCGTGGCAAATTACCCGAACATCACGCCCAAATTGCCAATCTAACGCGTAAATGCAGCTCCACCAGGGACAAGGATGGTGCGGCTCCAACATCACGGACAAAAGGGGGGGGAGGTGCACGGATAAACAGAAGGGGATGCCTGAATTTACAACGTGCTGCATGGAATACTGATGTGGTGCATCTCATCTCCAACGGCGACTATCGTAATCTCTCGTTCTGCATCGCGGGCTGGCTGAGGGGGGCTATGCGTGTTCCCTGCGTGGCAATATCGGACATTCTTTCTTAGATTAATGTCTATCACTATCAGGGCTAGATTGCTTTGCATTCCTCATTGGACGTTCTGTTTTGTTTGGGAGTTGGGGTTTCATGGATGAGGGTGTAGAGGACTTGCTTCGTACAGTAGTAATCTAAGTGTGTAGCTAAGGGTTCTCAATAGGGGGTCATGCGTGGGAAGAATGGAAACAGTGGCTATGAGCCGCTATCCTCAGTTCAGTTTTTCTTAGTTACCTATGAAGCCCGACATGCTATAGTTGAAGAACAGTGGTTAAGAAGTCTTATTTGCAAGATAGTGACTGAGAAATCATATTTATATTGATAATTACTATACACGCTCACAACTTACCTAGTAATTTTCCTTAAAGTTGCTCTACGAGACCATTATAATCCATTATATATAGTTCTGATTAACTAGATTAGTAGCCACATGCCATCTTCAAACCTTCAACCGCAGTAGGATAGGCCGCATAATACTAAGATTCTCCTGTTGCAGTATTTCTCGATCATCTTTGCGTTTTCATGAGATGGACAATCATGTTTCGATTATAGCTTCGGTTTCAACATCCCCTGACGCCGTGCTTCAGGGGCCATGGTATAGAAAGCTGCTGGTATAGCTTCTCTCCGAGTTTATGTATCGTAACCCTACAAGTTGTACCATGCCTCTTATTCGACCTCCCCTTTGATGGATGAGGGTACTGATCTTTCTTAGAAAACAAACTATTTCCCTTGGTTACCCAGCACCTCCTCTGGCTCTCTTTCCGGAGTAACTCCCGCTTCATGATATTCTTAGTAGACGTCGGACATCCTTTGCAGCTATCAATACAGCATTGTGTTCTTGACAATGCAGAGTAGTGCTGCTTGTTAGAGTATCACGTTCACTGTGCACTTCACCACTGCGAGGCCTGCACATGTTCAAGTGATGTGGTGAACAGACACCTTGTCTAGCATCCTATTATCATATCCCATTTGTTGGGCTTCTCTCCTATATACCCGATCTAGCAATCTACAGTTTGTACCCAAACACCTTTGTCCGACAATGCACGCCACAGCACCCATATACTGTTGATACCATACCCAAACACCGCCGCTCGACGCCGCGAGCACCATTGCCCAAACCACACCAAGGCCAAGAGACCTATATGCAACCCTCCTCCCCTTCATCTTCCTCTACCTCAGTCCCACCATGCTAACCATCTCGATCACCTCATCCATCGCCTCCCTCAACACCCCAGCCTCTCTCTTCAACTCCTTATTCTCATCCCTCAAATCCCTCACAGCCACCCACGCCGCACTCGCCGCCTTCCCCTCACAATTATCACACCGCCTCACCACAACCACCTCCTCCTTTCCACCCCCCCTCCGCAACGGCTCCCGCCTCGCCGAACTCGCCGACGTAACCGCACTCCCACCGCTCGTCCTACTCGTCCGATTCCCATCCGGACTCCCACACCGACTCCACACACTCTCCACCGCACTTTCCGCATCCGACTCCTCTGCCCCTTTCCACCCCTCCACCACTAAATCCTCACTAGACCCACTCCTCCGATCCGGAACCTTCTGATCCAGCACAACCCCCGCACCCTCCCTCGACTCCTCCTTGCCGCTCCTCTCTCGCTCCTCCGCGCCACGCCGCCGCTCCTCCACCAGCTCTCCGAGAATACTCTTCAGCGTGCCCTCCTGCTCTGCAACTCTCGCCGCCATATCCGCCAACTGCGCCTTAAGATGCTGCGTCCGCGTATCCGCCGCATCGCGCTCCTCGGCTCGCGCAGCGGCCTCGGCGCGCAGATCGCGGATCTGTGTTGTGCGTGCACGCAGCGCGGATTGGAAGGTCGCGAGGAGGGTGAGGGCGGAGGTGTGTAAGTTCTTCGAGGAGGCGGGGGAGAAGGGGTCGTGCGGTGTTGGTGTTAGGGCGGTCGAGAGGGAGAGATTGAGGAGTGGGTCGTCACCGTCGTCGTCGTACGCGGTGGGTGTGGCAGGTTGGGCGGGTTTGGGAGAGAAGAAGGAGAATTTGGATTTTGTTGCTGAGGCGGCTGAGGCGGCTGAGGCGACGGGGATGGACATGTTGCGAAGTTTGCCTGCGGCGGAGACGGTGGTTGAGGTGGGGAGGTCGGCGGACTCGAGGGAGGGAGTGGACGTGTTGCTGAACCAGCCTGCGAGACCTCGTGCAGGTGCGGTTTGGGCCGGCCCCTTGGTTCCAGTGAGCGTGGGCATGGAGCCCCCGTTCTCTTGCTTCTGTGGGGAGCCTGCCCCTGGGGTTGTCCGCCCAGAATATGTTATTTTGGTATCGATGGGTTGAAGAGGGGTCAGTGACCTCAGGTGTGCCTTCAGTTGTCGCGGAGTAACTGGTTCTTCGTTGCTGTGAGCTTGAGCTACGTTCCGTCCACATGGAAGTGTTGTCGTTGTGGTTGCTGGGGTGCTAATGATGTTGCCATGCGCGTCTCCGAAATGCTGCTGGAGCGAGCCCGAGTCGTAGTTTTCATTGCTCCACGCCTGTGGGGTTGTGTTCTGTGAGGATGTCTGAGAAGTGTTGCTCAGCGAGCGGCAATGCGACAGACCCGTCGGTATGTTTGGTGTTGATGTGGAGGACGCCATGCTTTCATAAGAGGGGTTAGCCTGGCGATGCGTATAGTTTCGCACGCGCGGTCGACTATTAGCGTTTGCTAGACTCTGGTTTAAAACGATCCGTTTGTGAGGGATTCGACGATGCGACGTCGATGGTGCCGAGTTAATCTACTTGGTACCAATATATAAATTAAGGTTCATGCGCTAATTGGGAGCGTGTCGCAGGTAGCTCGATATGGCAATGGCTAGGCTTTTGAGCGGAATTTTTATAGTGTGAGAGCACAAGATTCGTGATCAGCATATAATTTCATTTTTGTCGTTATCGTTGGTTTGTTGTTATGAAGGTATTGTGATGTTCGGCCAGGAGGGTTGCTGTTGCTGTTGTGGAACGGTGGGTCGGCAGACGATCTGTATCTGTGCCCCGCGTCACGATAAGATATGGTTCGCCGGGTGACAATAGGGTGAAAATGAGGTGATAATAGGATATAAAAAATGAAGATGAAGTAAAGGTTCGGTTCTTCCTTTTTGTTGTCGCGACGTGTCGTGGAGATGTAATATTAAATATAGAATGGTCTAAATTACCTGAGACATTGATGCGCCGACACGTCTCTAGCTCTTAAAATTCTCTCCAGGAGGCTGGATATTCTGGTGGTTGGGTCACCCACGCGAGATCTCGCGACTGTGACAGGGGGTCAGCAGATCTCAACGTCTCCACGTCTGAGACCAATTATGCGGCCATACTGAATCCCTACAAAAGAAGAGAAGTGAACTTGTTTATTATAAGATTTCGTTTTCGTCACTGATATAATACAGCTGTTGGCGATTATAGTGATCATAGGCGCGGTCCACCAAGTTTGACACCATAATCCCTCCTTCCTGCTCAGTCCTCCAGAGGCCGAAAGTGTGATGCCATTTCCTCCTCGATGTCCTTCTTCCACTCTTCCAATGACCACGTGCCCTCTACCAGCTCTGTAGGGTCACTGGCCCACACAAAAGTTCTCCCAGACAGCAATTTCCCATCGACCGAAATCCGTACGCCTTCGATACGATAAGCATCCGTCTCATAGTATTTGAGCATTTTCTCTTGCTCCTCGGTCTCCACAACGAACGCCATGCCATCCACGTGGTTGTTAATTGGGCCGTGAACGAGAGCAGGGTACTGGCCCCATAGCATGATACTGTAGCACTGCACGCTGGCTGGTTTAAGAACTGGTGGCGCCGGGAGCTGAAGTATTTCTTGGAGTCGCAGCGGATCCGTAAGAGAGCCATAAAAAAAGAATGGCATTGGTGTATATGTATATGGAGGGCGTGATGGTTCGACGTCAGCCGGGAACTTCTCAAGCATGATGTTGCGGCGGCCTTTTTGTTTGGAGGGAAGTTTGCTGGCAGGCGAGGGGTTTCCTAGCCTTTTGTTTTCATCGTTATCGACTTTTGCAGCAGAAGAAGATCCGCTGAAGCTGTTCGTTGTGTTTTAAAACATTACGGGCAGTTGTAAAGTCGAATATGATAAAGAGGTTGTGATTGGAATGAAATAAGATCGGGTAGTCTAAAACGAAATGGACTAAGCGAAGCCACAAGGCTGACCCGACGGAGCTGCCACACTAGTGAATTCTTAGCACATATAGTTCCGCCATCTCCTCAGCAGTATCCACTTAATAATAACAAGGAGGGAGACTGAGAATAATGCTGCATTTTCTCAGATAATCCTTAACTAATTCTTAATCACTCGCATATATAAGGACACTCGCATATATAAGGAGAGAAATTGGCAAATGGTGGAGATATAGCAAAGTCTAGGTTTGAGAATACGCTACTTGCACCCATTATTAGGGCTCGCTTCATCTTCTCGCTCATCAGGTTCCTGTTCCAATGGCGCTGTGGAAGGGTGAGGGTGAAGGTGTCGTAAGGTAGAGAGGAAGTGTAAATAGTTGGGTGGTTGCCCTTTGCTTACAAGCAAGTGAATTTTACCATTTTGGCAACTAAGAATTTTGAAAGCGATTTCTACATGTACTCACTATGTAAGATACGCTTGTCATTAAATCCGAAGAGGAGGACTTCAAACTACGGAAATGGCGTACACTTCGCTCAGCCCCTCCACCATTGTCCTACTATACGCATCTATGTAGTCCCTCTCAAACCCCAATCCACCCACCTCCTCACCACCTCATCCACGCTTCTCACTCCTTCCCTCGTAGCTTCAACCTCAAACCACTCGCGATGCTCCCGGCCACAGCTCTCACAGCCCCCACCACCCCGCGCCCGTATCCCATTCAACTCAATATGGATCAGCCTCTCAACTCGATGCGCATACGGCACCTTCTTTGGCGTCCCCACCCCAAGGCCCGGCGATGAGGGTTGATAGGGATAGTACCGCACGAGGGAAAGGTTGTACCCGCACTGCCTTGACCACTCGTTCAGACGGCGCTGGACATTCGACGCCCGGCCAATCTTCAGCAGGATCGTCTTGCGTGCCCCCCTATCCGTGCTGGATGAGAAAGTCTGGAGCGACTCGCTTGTTCGGCGTTTGCCTGGTAGAGGGCGAGGGGGGGAGTCGAGGAGGGACGACGCAGCTTCTGAGGGCGGGGTTTGCGGGTGTGATGTGGACGTGAGCCAGAAGATGTAGATGTAGCCTTCATCATCTAGTTGGGAGGGTGTTTTGGAAAGTTCCGCCAAGAGGAGAGAGGTGATCTGGGGCGAGGTGGTTTTAGGTATCAGAGAAAGGAGTTGCTGGGTATGAGATGATGGGCCGCGGGCAGGCTGCGGTCTTTGGGGATCGATATTGATGGGTTTCTCCCGGCTTCCAGTGGATGGACGGGGGGGCCGAACCTGTTTTGATGGCTGCGAGAGCTGTGGTGACTGGATCATTGGCTGGAAATTTGATGGTCGATTTCGTGAATTGTGAGATGTGTGATTTCGAGTCTGAGCAGGTCTTGCAACGACGGGATCCTCGTCTGCAACTCCGACACAGCAGAGGAGTGTGACATTGTGTTGTTTGCGAGGAGGGATTCTCGGTGCCTTGCTCGGGTTCATATGTTGCTGCTTCTCGGAATAATGTGTGCCACTTGCGTACAATATCGGTCGGGGTTGTGAAGACCTCCTCCGCTGCTTTCCAGCTGTTTTCTCCGGCTTTATTTCAAGTAGTCCTAGCCTGTCAACGAGTGTATCGACGCTCGTTCGTTCTCGTATGGTCGAGTTCTGTACGCCACTAGGTGGGAGCGCTTGTGCAGATGTCGCTTGATCCTTATGCTGCCAGCAGAAGGCATCTGAGGGAAGGATGTCCTTTATGGGACTCTGCAAAGACAGTCTCACAGTTGCTGGTGGACTTGAAGTCGCAATGGCACGACGGCATAGCCGCCCGCTGGAAGTCAGTCCGCGGCAAGTAGCAGTGGGGTCTCTCGAGTCTGAGCGAGGTATAAGTGATTCTGGGGTATGGGGAATAAATGGCATTTCTGCTGTAGTGGTTAGTGCTAGGGAATAGTCATGAAGATAAAAGGAAATGAGATATAGTAGTAGAACTCTACTATAGAAACTTGGTAAAGTGAATCATGACAGGCAACCAACGTGGCTTGTAGTTCTCGGCCATCGTGGTGTGTCTGTTAATCGTAGCCAGTGAATCCCGCCTGAAGTCGTGGATTTGGAGGAGGCTGGGGAATCCACTTGTGTGGCTTGTGGCTGAAGATGTGGCTCAACCTTCACCACGACTTGGAAAGACATGCTCTTGCTGAGCGTTTTGCAACACCAAGTGGCGACAATGTTTACAATTCACTTTTAATGGTTTTAATACCTGACGCATATGTGCTCGTTCAGCTGTCATATTCTGTAATGACACAATTATCCGTGGGATTTTGTGGCAGGGTCTGAAGGTATGAGTGCCAGAATGTTAAATATCACCACCATCATACATACACAGTCCGCCCTTAAGACTCTTAGGCAGCATGAGTAAGAGAGGGTTCCGAGAAAGGCGTCCAAGTAGGACACATGAACGAATTAATCGTTGGCATGGACTTCAGGTACAAGTGTCCCAAAACTACATCTGGGCATACGACCATCGTAATACGACCATTGAAATCCAGCCCATCTTGTGTTGATTATTACTTGACGCCAGTAACGTAGTAACCTACCATCATAGTTGTTGGCGCCTACCAGTCCACACAATACTTCATGATACTCAAACTCACGGGTTTGAGATTGCTGCAAGCTCCATGTGCAACTACCTTCGTCCCCCTCTACCCCGCCTTTACGCCCAAAACCATCTCTCCCACCCACGGGGCCACCTTCTCTGCTATTTCTTTCGAGTGATCTGTGCACGTCAGCAACGCTCCCCTCAATCTCATCTCCACCCGTAGCCTCCCAAGGCAGCTAAAGAAATGAATAAAACTTACTGAGGCAAAACGCATGCGGTATTCCCGCCTCATCAATCTCGAATCTAACACCCCCCTTGCCCCCCCTTTTAGCCATGAGCGCATCCCTCTTCTCCTCATCAACAAAATGGTCATTCCTCCCAAAGTACAACATCAACCGTGCCGGTTTCCCTTCCTCCTCCTCCACATCCGTCCCCCAAACCTCCTCCCCCCACACATCTTCAGCAATCCCCACCATCTCCTCCCCCGCCAACTGCAGCGCCCTCCTCACCCCCTCCTTACTCCTCAAAAACTCACTCGTCACCTTCGCCGCCTCACTCCCCTGCCCCGTAATCGCGCCAACCACGCTCTCCAACCACGGCCTCGGCAGCGGATACAGCCCCCCGCGCGCCAACAACCCCGTTAGCTCCGGCACGAACGGGACATAGCGCAGGAGCGGCGCGAGGACGGCGCCGGAGGGGGACTGCGCAATGTCTGTAATCGTGGGGAAGAGGAGGATTGCGCGTGTCGTTGCGCGGGTGGTGGCAGGGAGCTGGGAGAGCACGGAGAGCACGGAGAGCGCGAGGTAGGCGCCGACGGAGTGGCCGAGGAGCGTTAGGCTGTCGTGAGGTTCGCCAGCGCGGGGCCCGGAGGGGATGCGTAGGCCGAGGATGGTGGTGAGGAGGGCAGAGGTGGTCTCGGAGAGGGAGAGGAAGGAGGTTTGGGGGGATGGAGGGGAGTTGGGTTGGGGTTGCGGATCTGTGGGGGCTGGGGCAAAGCCGGGGAGAGTGAGGCAGCGGATGTGGACTGCGTCTTCTCCTGATGGGGAGGCGGGGAGACCGGTGCGTAGGGCAGAGAGGAAGGGGGCGTAGTACCCGGGGTAGCCCGGGTTGCCGGGGAGGAAGACGAGTAGGTGGTGTTTTGCTTCTGCGGCGGTGGAGGGGGAGAGCGGGGGGAGGTAGATGGGGTCTGCGGGAGAGGCGCACATGGTGGGGTAGGCTCTATGTGAGGTGTCTTTGGTGGTGGGGATTGGACGTGGAGGGGGGTCGAGGATTTTGTACAAGAAGGGTAAAGGGGTCCTGGGAAGGGGTGCTGACTAATCAATCACATGCATGCGATATTTGAACCCCTGAAGACAAACGGCATTGAATTGGCCATGAAAAAGCTGTACTGTGTCTGTTTTATGAAGAAGTTCGGCCAATTAAAACAACGAAAAGACTACATCGTGTCATGGGATTCGTGAGGTGTACACGTTGCAATGTTGTCCGCAAAGATGTTGTGATGAAGCCTTCGTCCCCAGCATATTACCCACTATCACATTAACTCACCTGAAGTTATCTTCCGTGCAGCGCAGCACGGAGCGATTAATCATAATTCATATCCCATATTCCCAGGGCCGTCCCATACCAATCCATAATATAAAACCCGTCAAAACTCCAAACCCCCTCTCCATCCCACGCTACTCCCCCTTCTCCCCATTTTTCACCTCCACCTCCACCCCATCACCCTCACCCTTCCTCACTACTCCCCTCCTACCCCCCGGAACTCCAACCTCCACCCTTCCACCTCCACTAACCGGCAACACCCTCCACGCCCACCGCGCAACCCCATACGTCGCCACCGCCCACACCCAAACCCCAACCCCCAGCGCGCCCGTCACGCACAGCACAGGCAACAACACCAGCAGCGCCAGCCCCGTCCAGAAGAGTGTGAATGCTAGCGCGGCGAGCGCGGCGAGCAGCGAGACGCCGAGGACGAAGGAGGCAAAGAGTAGGAGCGGCGGGAGGGAGAGGAGGAGGTGTGCGAGGATGAAGGACTGGGGGACGTTGTTAGCTGGGCAGTACTATAACGTGGGTGTGGTGGATTGTGGGAAGGGGGCGTGGGAGAGGGACGTACAGCGAGGAGAGGCTGGTCGTGAGCGAAACCGCGGACGTTGGTGTATACCGCGCGCCTGACGTCGGGGCTGATAACACGGTCGAGGACGGTTCGCACGCGCTCCCGCACGCTGGGCCTGCCCTGGTATGAGGCTGGCGACGGGGTCGTCATAGCGAGCTGTGTGATTGTGTCGCGAGTATGGTGGTGTCGAGACGGCTTATGGAGGGTAGGGTGCCGGAGACGCGAGATGTTCTGGCCCACTGGACAAAGAGGGCGGATTGATGTTCGAGGTGGATTGAAGCTGTGGTCGTGGAGCTCTCAGCCCTGTCTGTGGAGTCGGCGATGACGTTACGGACAAGGGTAGGACGAAGGGGTAATCACGTGATATTGAAATTAAATTAGAATCACGATTTGTATCACGTGTCAATGATCACATGACCAATGCATATTAGCCGAGAGCGTTGGCCGTTGGCTTCACACTACTACTAGGGCGCTACTTTTGATACGGTATACGGCAGGCCCCCACCCAATCAACGGCGGTCGGGCGGATGGGGCCAGGAGTTAAAAATACCAGAAGTCACATGTGCATCACTGTTTGATGAAGAGGAAATATTGGCTGGCTGCTTAGTAGAATTTGAGGATGGGGAATTTGGAAAATAACAATTTGTCTTGGCGAGTATGCCCATTTACTCATAAGAGGAGCTGATATTTATTGTGTTGTTGGTTGTAATATTGGCTGCGGCGTCGAGACCGAGGTTGGTCAAAATGAGGGAGCAAGGTGCAAGGAGATGAGAGAATCTTGGGAGCTGGACTCGAAATGGAGTCAGATGCGATTTGATGGGGACCTATCTAACGGCAGGCAGGGTAGGGAAGGGTGAGGGGGTCAGGGCAGGTCAGAGCACCTCGAGGAACCACCGGAGAATACATGGGCGAATGAGCATCCCCGCTCCCGACCAACATCAACTGCACATGCATGGCCATTTACCCGCTCTGACTCCCTACCCTGCCCTGGACCTGGTCAGTGTCCGTGAGTTGTAGTTGTGTTTGTGAGTCTCCCAAAGTCTACTTTCCCAGATATGCGACGGTATCCTCCGTTGGTGGTGCTACTCCCTCCCGCTGTAGGATCCGCTCCGCTCCCTGCCCTGGCCGCGTCCTCGAAACAACCACGCGCGGACGTCGTCCAACAGCCACTCGGGATCCCGAAGATGAAGGATGAGCGCGGCGAGGAGCTGTTGGACCACGGCCGCGGCAGGGACCTTATTGGGGACGGGCCCGAAAGGCAGGCCCTGCTCGGGTGGTTGTTGGTCGGGCCAAGGCGGGAAGTCGAGGCGCGCTGGAGAGTGGGTGGCTGGCGAGGAGAGTAGGTGGTTGGGCTGTCGGGCAAGGAAGAGAAGGTGGTGGTTCACGTGGGACACGGGCAGGTCTCAGACATGATGATGGCGTCGAAGTCGGTGAGGTGGTGAAGTGGCGGGCGGGCGACGGCGAGGTGGGCACAGTGCTTTGGCCTCTGGAATGGGAAGTTCATATGAGTACGCATACTCAAAGGGACCAGGAAAAGGGGCGCGTGGAACAGTATGTACTGTGTGTGTTGCTGAAGGAGCGGCAGGAGCGAGCTTTGTGTCTTGGCGTGTAGGCATGCAATGCATTACTATGTACACATGCAACGCCGCCACCGAGTACAGTCGTCGCGACCAGTATTATATTCTGAAGATCGTCGGGTCGTGGTGCGTCAAATGGCCATCCCGTTCCATCTCGTCCTGTAGCTGCGTGAGGAGTAACTGGAGCTAGAAGTCCCCCCAAAAATGCACATAGGATCGCGGTCGCGGTGGTCTTAGGTGCGTATCGTATCCAACGTCGATGGATTCTTCAGCATGCATCGCGGGATAATAAATGGCTTGGCTTCCAACATACTGTAAATTCCCGTCATGGGAAGTACAAATGCAGTGTTTCGCGTGGTATTGCGAGGGTCGTATTCTGGGGATACTGGGGATTCTGGGGTTGCATTGACATGCACTACCCCGCAAAAATTACGCTACTACACCTACTATAGGAGGTATCTTCAACTGGCTTCAATTGGAGATACTTGGTGCAATTGTATCTCTTCTCTAAAGATACTTAGCGTCCCCATAGTGTGTTGGAAGAAGATTAAAGTACTTTTAGAGAGACAGTACCTCGTGCTCCTCTGAACTGATCCTCTTACTGCTCATCTCGCTGCTCCCCTCGCTGCTCTTTCTCCTTTTTTGCACGTAAAAACTTCATATTAGCCTATCCACGCCCGTCCGCCACGCCGCTACCAATAAGTCTCCACAGCTGTCACTCCTGTCACCAAGCCCACCAAAGCAGAGTCTCTTTCTTTCCCGTCCGGCGATCGCTCTCGTGCCTCTTCCTCTCCTTAACAAAAACCCCCCCGCCGCTCTCTACCGTCTGCTGTCGAATACAATACTGCGCCTGCTTCTCTCTCTCGTCTCTGCTTCTCCTCCCGCACTTACTACGACGACGGCACTTGCTTGGATAATGTGAAATGCTTCACTCGCTGTCGTACACCACCCCGCCGCATCTCCCAGCTTGATGTTCATTCGCAACTCCCATTTTGGTGGAGTTCAACCCCAATGCTTCTCCCCCGCGATGGCATGGCCACGAACGTTTCTGGTCCGCTCGAGGTATGAAAGATGCGCATGCGATCAGCTATAACTAGACTCCAAAAGGAAAGACTGTGGCTAATACATGCTCTTCGTGATAGTTGGGCGGGCCGAATCGAGTCAAACAAATTATCGCAGGCATGCTAATCCCGACGGGCGTCGCCATTATTATATTCCTGTGTCGAGTCTACTCACGCGCATTGGTCCTGAAGAAATGGTGGATCGACGACACGTTGACTCTGATATCCATGGTGCGTCGTCATTTTCGGCTTGCGAAATTGCAAACTCGTCGCAGCTCCCAGGATGATCAGTGCTAACATACTATACTAAACAGCTCCTGACGATTGCGCTTGTTGGTCTAGGCATCGGCGCAACCAAGTATGGCAACGGATACCACGACGACGACATTCCCAAGGATGATCTCTCCCGGCTAATGGCGATCTTCTGGAGCATCAACCTCATCCACCCCTTCACAATGGCCACCTGCAAAGCTGGCGTATGCTTCTTCTATCTCCGCGTCTTCATAGACAAGTGGATGCGACTCCTCACCTTTGCAACCCTCGCCGTCATCGTCTCCTGGTCTATTCCCTGCTTCTTCATCATACTCTTCCAATGTCGCCCCGTCCAAGGCGCCTGGGCACCTGACCAGACAAATCTCAACTGCAACTCCATCACGTCCACCCTCTACCTCACCGGAATCGCCAACATATTCATCGACGTGCTCCTCATCATAACCGTCGGCCCGCAAATCCTCAAGCTCAACCTGCCGCCCCGCCAAAAGACGAGCCTTTTGATCGTCCTAACGCTCGGTTGGATGGCAATGTTTGCCGCAGTCATCCGCCTCTTCCGCATCAACGATGCGATAGGCCGTCCTGATCCATACTGGACATCTTACGATACGGGAATCTGGAACGCTCTCGAGCTCGCCATAGCCAACATCTGCGTCTCCATCCCAGCCTGCAAACCCATCCTCGACCTACTCTTCCCGACCCTCATGTCCAGCCTCGTCCGCAACAGACCCGTCGACCCCAACTACCGCGGCAACGTCAGCCTTCAGACCACTGCTGCGCTGGCGCGGGCCAAGGCGGACTTGGAACAGTCGCTCGACGGCCGGGCGCGCCCGATCTCGGAGTTTGGGAGCATGCAGTCCCACAACATGCTGTTGACTCCAGATATCGAGATGCAGGCGCAGCGGCGGGGGTCGAATGCCACGGACGGGTGGAATATCGAGGGGTCTGATAAAAGAGACAGTCCATGCGGTAGCACGGAGGAGATCATGCCGCACGGCCGGCCGAAGCGGGACGCCGTGTAGATTTTGGATGGGCTACCTTGCTTGGGGGAGTTCAAACTGGGTAATTTTTTAACGGGGAATGGGAATAGGGCATATTACTTTTTGGTGGGGCCCATTGGGGGGGCCATGATTTTACGGATTGCGCGGATACCAAAGGCGGGCGTTACTTCTTTTTGGGGGGACTGGGTTGGGTAGGAAGGCGCGCGGCGACGATTAAAGGCAGGCGCGTCCGAGACGTGTATAGTAACGAACTCAATGCCGGGTTTGCATGTTGGATTGATGAAGGACTGAAGACCTTTCACGATGTTTTCATATATATACTACATATACGCATGTGTATATACAACATGGTGCTGTGTTTTGTTTTATGTTTCCGCTCTCTTGGTCATGACCATCTTGGTCTCATTGGGCCTGGGAGAGGCTGTCACTTCGCTAGGTAGCTTATTCGCAGAGAAAAGCAGATCAGTCGGAGAGACGTCGAGTTCAAATGCATTGTCTGACTTTAAGCTGGGACTGTCGTGGGTGGGATCTCAGACTCAGAGAGAATGTGACAGGCCGGATTACTCGTCAATTGCGGCTAAAAGCCAAAGTTAGATCTACTCCGATAGTATGGCATGTAGTCAGCAATCCCGTCCTGCCCCCACCAGACTATGAACGACGATCATTATTGTTATCGGCCCATATAAAGTATATTTCTTACTTTTTACTGTAGGTAGCAAAACGACGACTCGAGATCTCACATGCCGGCAGTTAGTTCTTTCCCTCACCCGCCATCAACCACCAGTACCAGCACCACCGTTATAATTATTATCATTGTAGCAATTGTAACACGCAGTCAATCCACGATCAATCGCAGCTTCTTCCGCATTAACAATCAGTTTCTTGGCCGCTCCTCCCCTCTCTGCCCCACCACCGCCGTCGCTGGCACCATCAATCACGGATGTCTGCCCTCCGTGCCTTCCCCCCCACTCAATCCGCCATGGCTCGCTCCTCAAGAACGGCCACTGCCAATTCTACCCCTCCATATTATCCAGAAAGAACAAAACCAAGCAACGCTGCAAAATAATCGTCCGTCTCGTCTTTGTGTCCCATCTGCCGCTGCAACAGTACCAGTCACAGTCATCTTCCCCTCAATAATCAGTACACCAGCGTCTCAACGGACAAAATGGCCATCGGTGTCGCGATTATAGGCTCTGGCATCTTTGCCACTGAGCAGCACCTCGTGCGTCCCCACTCTACCCCTCACAACCACAGCATCCAAACTTACCCCTCCTCCAGCCCGCCGTCGAATCCACGCCCGTCCTCAAACTCAAAGCCATCTTCTCGCGCTCCCTCGTCGCGGCCACCACACTCGCCACCGTCGCCAAGGGCGACGTCGACACCTACGCCGACGACAATAATGGCAAAGACTACGCCGCTCTCCTCGCCCGCTCGGACATCACCGCGGTTATCATCGCACTGCCCATCAATGTGCAGCCTGTGTACATCGAGGCCGCGCTCGCGGCTGGGAAACACGTGCTCTCCGAGAAGCCGATTGCGAACGACATTGAAGCGGCCGAGAAGCTGATCCACTTCTACACGGCGATGAAGGAGAAGGGAACCAAGGCGACGTGGGCAGTTGCAGAGAATTTTAGGTTTCTGGCACCTTTCAGGTTTGCTAGACAGGAGATTGAGAAGTTAGGGGGAGTGGTGGGGTTCAGGATTAAGGTGTTCCAACATGTGAAGGCTGGGACGAAGTATTTTGGTGTGTTCATCCCCCCATTGCTGAAGATGAGAGCCCAAAAATGGAAGGCTGGTCCTGAAAGCAAATACTAACTGACTCTCTTCATAGAAACCGAGTGGCGCAAGATCCCATCCTACCAAGGGGGGTTCCTTCTTGATGGCGGCGTGCACTTCACAGCCGGCACACGCCTCCTCCTCGGCTCCGTCAACCGCCCCGTCTCCCTCTCGGCATACACTGCGCTCATCCAGCCGCACTTGCCGCCCATTGACACTGTTAACTCGATCTGGCAGACTGCCAAAGGCATATCGGGGACTGTGCAAATCAGCTTCGGCACGTCGCTGAGCGGGGATGAATACACCATTGCTTGCTACGATGGCAGCGTGAGCGTGAGCAGGGACACGGTTAGTGTTCACACTGGGGAGGAGAAGGACGGCAACGTGACGAAGAGAGTGCTTCTTTCTAGCGGAAGTGGAGTGAAGGCCGAGGTGCAGGCGTGGGCCGAGGGGATAGAGGCCGGGAAGGAGAATCCCCTCCAGAGCCCTGCGGAGGCGTTGGCGGATCTGGAGCTGTTGGAGGCTATGATAAAGAGTGGAGAGGGCGACGGGGTAAAGGTTTTGTTGACGAGACAGGAAGTCTAAAGCCTGCGTTCCTATGTGCTTATATACCCACAGAGGTAGTTTTGACGAGGGAGGGGTAAAGGCCATGTGCCTATATGTTTATATGCTCGGCGGCGGTTGCTGACAGAATCAAAGGGGTGGGATATGAGTATATCGCCTACATCGCTACCCCTGAGGGGCTGGGTCGGAATCATGGCGACGTGGTGCATTACGCACAGATACAGCATTATTCTATAGCTATGACATGGCATTACTCTTTACAATCAGTCACTCACTACACATCCGTCGGCGTGAATCGCAGCATCCCTTTTTCGCAGCGAATATGCAACATGGCTCACAGTTGGTAGAATCACAGGACAGCCAGACAAATTTATATCATTCGCCCTCTATCCTCTATCTCTGACATGCCAATCATCTGCTAAAGTTCAACTTGCAGTAACACAATTACCGCGCTCATCACAATAAACCACATACATCCCAGCCAAACACTCGACAAGCACTATGTGCAAAACAATCTACTCTATCCACCGGTGCGGGCACCCCGCCTCCCCCATCCCGCTGTTCTACCGCTACCGCCCGCACCAGGGGTTAGACGACGCGGAAGCGCGGAGAGGGGCTGAGGAGGTACAGAGGCATCTCCTGTTTGACTGCGCTGCTTGTCGCAAGGAGGTAGGCGAGAGAGGTGGGAAGGGAGGTGGGGGGAAGATATGGAAGCATGGGGGGAGAGGTATAGGGTGCGGGCGTTGTGTTGTTATGTGATGGTTGGATGACCTTGATGCGGGTGAGTTGTAGGGGGCAAAGCCCAGGGGGACGGAGGCGTGGCGGGTGGGAATGGAGTGGATAGAGTGCCAACTGGTTTGCATAACCAAAGGGAGTAAGTAGTCCCCAAAACAATCTGTAGTTTGTATCTACAGAAGTTTTGCTAAGCCAAGCGCCCCAAAAAGATAACAAAATGCAAGCCCACGCCGTATTTCCAGCTCATTCTGCGCCGTATATGCTCCGTTGTCCCGCTTTGTAAACACCTTACGCTAGAATCTATGTGTCGTTAGCAATGGGAGTTGGTATTATGGGGCTAGGTATAGATAGACTCACCGAATTTCATACGACCCCGCTCTTGTCATATACCGCACCCACTTGACGCTTGAGTAATTGCTCTTCTCAAACACCTTCAGGTAGCGCACCAGCAAGCCCGAGCTCGTAAACATGAGCAGGCTAAAGTTCAAGCTCAGCGGCGGCCGCGACCAGGCCTTCTGGTTTGTCATGCTAGTCAGGGTCGCCTCGGCGCTCAGCACAAACTCGTTCTGTCCCGTGAAGCGCGGGATCTTCCACACGATGACGTTCTCACTGGGCTCGTACTTGGCCTTGCCTTGGGTGGAACGCTCGGTGATGCGCGCGGTGTTAAGGGGTGTGGGGATCTTGACGACGACGTTGGTGGCGAACAGCTTGGACCCGTAGTTGGCGCGGATGGCGATGCTGTACTCCACTTTGGTCTTGCCGATCTCGTTGACGATGGCGTGCACCTTGAACGGCAGGTTCACGTTCTCCGTCGCACGGTAGCGCATCAGCTCGAACTCGCCGTCGGGCGGGACGAAGGAGATGATGCGGTCTGTGTCGAACTTTCCCAGCTTCACGCACTGGTGGAACTGGCAGTCCTCCAGCGTCACGCTGCCGGCAGCCGCCTTTGTTGCCTTGCTGCCGAGGCGGTTGCCAGACGGGAGAGATGACAGGCCGTCACCGTCGAGGAGGAGTCGGTCGTTCAGCCCGAACTTGCACTCGGGGGTGCCAGAGAGGTAAGCGCGCATAACGATTTGGCCGTTGACGTCGGCGCGGAGGACGGTGCCGGTCGCGGACATGAGGAGATTGACATCTTCGATTACGTCGACGAATGCTTCGTTCTTGCGGTACTTGACGTCTGCTTTGCGCCATGAGAGCGCGCCCGTGGCCTGCATTGTGATCTTGGCCGAGTCCTCCATCGTCCGCTCCGACTTCACCCCCTCAGTTGTGATGTACATCTTCAGTGTGTCGGTCTCTGTGTTTTGCGGATACCCAAAATCGATAACCTCTGTTCATGATAGTCAGTGTCACTCCTAATTATGTTAAGTCTGAGGAGCAGCGTACCATCTAAGAGCTCGTATACCAGCACAAAGTTATTCTTGACGGCTTCTTCATCGAACTTCCCAAAATATCCCTTCCCAAGCGCAATAAATCGGTAGAGAAACTCAAACACAAGCGCTGCATTGGCATTGCTCTTCGTTATCGCCACCAGGTATATATTCTCATGCTTTACATGACTGAATGTGGTGCTTCCCAGCGTCAATATCGGTGACCGCACCTGCGCATTGGATATGACTTGAATTCGAAATACGTCGGCTAGTCGTGGGCGGCAGTCATTGCGGAAGGCGCGGAATATGAGATTCTCGCCTTTCTGATTAAATATCAGTATGCCAGAAAGCATAGTGACGGAGAAGGGCGTTGGTAGATGGCGAGTGCGAAAGGAGTGCTTATACTGGAGAATGTCCACCCAGGTTTGGCGGGGAGCTTCATCTCGGAACCTGCCGCTACCCCAAGGGCAGTGGTATTGTGGGGAAAGCAGAAAAGGGGCCGACGGGACCGACACCGAGCTATATTTTCAATTCTGAGACAACAAGCTACTAATAAAAAAAGTTTGGGCAGTTTTAGGCAAGGCATTTATTCTGAAATACATATCAATGGCAAAGAGTATCATGCTTCCGCCACATCTACCACATATAAATCCGCCGCCAAAGCTAATCCAACCAACGGACGAAGGGTAATTCATAGGTATACAGGAGATTTTATTGACCAAATAAAGTCGAACACATCTCGTCAAAGCCCATATTAATGGCTCTCTAATTCACAAGTCTAATCGTAGCAATACCTTAAACCAAGTCGCGTCTCACAAACTCCGCGTGGAGAGTCTTGCCCAACATCGCAGGGGATCTCTCGACGATGACGCCAGCAGCCTCTAACGCGGCGATCTTGGAGTCTGCGCCGCCTCGTCCGCCGCTAACAATGGCACCTATTTCCCGTTAATACACGCTGAAGTGTGGGGAGTCTTGACTACGTACCTGCGTGGCCCATTCTGCGTCCGGGTGGGGCAGAGATACCAGCGATGAAGCTGACAACTGGCTTGTTGGCAGTGTTGTACTCGCGCAAGAAATCCGCAGCTTCCTCCTCAGCAGATCCACCGATCTCGCCAATCATGATGATACCATCAGTCTCCTCATCTTCCAAGAACACTCTCAAGCAGTCGATGAAGTTTGTGCCGGAGAATGGGTCGCCGCCAATGCCGACAACCAAAGACTGGCCAAGACCAGCCTGGGTGGTCTGGTTAACAGCCTCGTAGGTAAGGGTTCCTGAGCGGGAGACAATTCCAATGCGGCCGCGCTTGTGGATGAATCCAGGCATGATGCCAATCTTGCATTGTCCAGGGGCAATGATACCCGGGCAGTTGGGGCCAACGAGACGGGTCTTGGATTGAGTCTTCAGGATGTCGGTAATGCGGACCATGTCTAAATATATAAGTATAGCACGGTGAAAGTGAGTATGGGTCACTAACCATGCTGGGGGATACCCTCGGTAATGCTGCATTAACGTCAGTACACACAAAACTAGTTCGGATGATTTGGCTTGAACATACCATACTACCAACGGAATCTCGGCGGCAATGGCCTCCTCGATACCAGCAGCGGCGACAGGTGGTCTAGGTTCAGTCAGTTTGGTGCCGCTTGTACCCCCAGTGTGCGTCTTACGGGACGAAGATAGCAGACGCGGTTGCGCCAGCCTCCCTCACAGCCTGCTCAACGGTCGCAAAAACGGGTAGTCCAAGATGCGTTTGGCCAGCCTTCTTGGGGTTTGTTCCTCCAATAACGTTCGTGCCTGTTAAACGGGGTCAGATATTTTGGCCTTATTTTTGTATCGGGTGAATTCGGAAACGTACCATACTCAATTGCTTGCTGGGCATGGAACCTAGAAGGGAAACATTAGAATATGCTCATCCAGCGAATACTCAATGGGTGGGATGGACTTACGTTCCCTGCTTGCCAGTGAAGCCCTGATACAAAACACGGGTGTCCTTGTTGATCTTGAGGTTGTTGATGGTCGAAGCGTAGGGCGACGTGGTGTAAGCTTGTCTCCGAGTCGCCGCACGGAGCGCCGGCTTTGAACAACGTGTAAGGGCCTGCATCTTGTCGACGACAGTTGGGAATGGATGGATTGGGGAATGTGAGGTATAATTTTTGGACTGCTCAACGAGGGTTCTAGGAGCTTTCCTGTAAGAGACATCAGAACGTGGTTTAGCGTTATTTCGGAACAACTTATGGCCGGCCGTTCCGCTCCATACTGCCGAAGTAACCATTTGTGGCATACAACGATTTGAGCCTCAAAATATTTCGGGGCAACCCCACCACATCAACATACCACAAATACACCTAGAATAGGTTCAACTATTCGGCGTTATATTATATCGTTATAGAGAATACTTAAAACTTGTGCCAGCGAGTTTTATACGACAAACTCCCCCGTGCGGACGCACTTCGAAAGTTTCAACACCAAATATTTAGTTGCGAGGCCATTCTTTCACTGTCGCCACCATGGCGACCGAAACTGCGACAATGCTCATGCCAGAGAAGCGACGCCTCCCAAAAGACCCAAATCTTCCGCCAGAGAATGAACGGTATCTCAGAGCCTGTTCCGATGTGGCGAGCGCGCTCATTCAAGAGCACGAAGCACAGCAGGACCCCTCCAAGCCGAAAAAGGATATCAATTTGAACAGCTTACGAGCAAAAATGTCCAAGAAACACAGATTAAGCAATATCCCGCCTCTTACAGCAATTATTGCCGCTATTCCAGAGCATTACAAGAAATATATCCTGCCGAAGCTGATTGCAAAGCCAATCAGAACTTCCTCTGGAATCGCAGTTGTGGCTGTGATGTGCAAACCCCACAGGTGCCCTCATATTGCATATACAGGAAATATTTGCGTGTATTGTCCTGGCGGCCCAGATTCCGATTTCGAATACTCAACACAATCATACACTGGTTATGAGCCGACGTCGATGCGGGCCATCCGAGCGCGATACGATCCATACGAACAAGCAAGAGGACGGGTGGACCAGATAAAGTCTCTGGGACACAGCGTGGACAAGGTGGAGTATATCATTATGGGAGGGACATTCATGTCTTTGGCAGAAAGTTATCGAGAAAGCTTCATCTCGCAACTACACAATGCTCTGAGTGGATATCAAGGCACAAACGTGGACGAAGCTGTCCAAGCCGGTGAGATGAGTAATATTAAGTGTGTCGGTATTACAATTGAAACACGGCCGGATTACTGTTTGCAACCCCACCTTACCGACATGCTGAGATATGGCTGCACGAGATTAGAGATCGGGGTGCAGTCACTATACGAAGATGTTGCAAGAGATACCAATAGAGGACACACCGTCGCCTCAGTAGCGGAGACTTTCTGCTTGGCAAAGGATGCCGGCTTCAAGGTCGTCAGTCATATGATGCCTGACCTTCCAAACGTCGGAATGGAGAGGGACTTGGACCAGTTCCGCGAATACTTTGAGAGCCCTGCTTTCCGAACAGATGGCTTGAAAATATATCCAACTCTCGTTATCCGAGGGACAGGTTTATACGAGCTATGGAGGACTGGGCGGTACAAGAACTATACACCAAATGCGCTCATCGATATAGTGGCTCGTATTTTGGCGTTAATTCCTCCATGGACGCGAATCTACCGTGTCCAGAGAGATATTCCGATGCCATTGGTGACTTCAGGGGTTGAGAATGGCAATCTGCGAGAATTGGCATTGAGCAGAATGAAAGACTTCGGAACCACCTGCCGCGATGTCCGCACACGCGAAGTTGGAATCAACGAAGTGAAGAATAAGATTCGTCCTTCGCAGGTCGAGCTAGTCCGTCGCGACTACGCGGCAAATGGTGGCTGGGAGACTTTCTTGGCCTATGAAGACCCGAAGCAAGACATTCTCATCGCCTTGCTTCGTCTTCGCAAGTGCTCCCCAACTCACACTTTCAGGCCCGAATTGACCGGCCAACAAACTAGCATGGTTCGCGAGCTCCATGTTTACGGGTCTGCAGTTCCGGTTCATGCCAGAGACCCAAGAAAGTTCCAGCATCAGGGTTATGGTACATTGCTGATGGAAGAGGCGGAGCGCATCGCCAGAGATGAGCATGGTAGCGCAAAGATCAGCGTCATTTCAGGTGTTGGGGTTAGATCCTACTACGCAAAGCTTGGATATCATTTGGATGGTGTCTATATGTCGAAGGATATCAAGAGTCTGGATTGCGATGACAGCGATGACGAGTTCTAAATGTTACATGCTCTGACGATCTGGACTTGGAGTTTATAGTGAATGGGCAATATTCGATGGCGATCGAAGGATTGGAGGGGCGAGGAGTTTGGACATTATCTGCATGGGCATTACGGGACTTGGGACAGACCAAGGGCACGATGAAATCATAGGCTTAAAATATCATATGGTACAAACTTCACTTGAACAACTTGAAGAAGTCAGTCTTATTTATCACCAAACGATTCCTGACGTCTTTGCAAACCCCACCTTTTTCATATTTCAGTGCTTGCAAGGTGTTGGCTTTTGAAATGCAACTTACCTTCTCCCAACTCTTTCTTAATACCCATAACATAATCGAGGCAGTGCTTCCGCTTTTGCGTTTAACTTCACTCACAGCTAAGATCGGTTCGGTAGTCGGTTCAAACCGGCAGAGAGGTTGAAGCTGAATTCACGACGCTTCACCAACTAACATTGTCAACTTACACCATCCATACTACAATGCTTCTTTTTTTCCAAGTTCATCTCCTTCCTTCTTTTCTTCGAACTCACCTTCCGAAAACCCTACATCATATACCAGGCTCTTCATAGAAGTATTTGGGGGGGTTGAATGTCATACTCCTCCTATCACTACTTTCTATCGTCACACAGTCTATTAGCTTTTATTGCTTCCAATATTCTGGTTACCAACTACAACTTCATCGACGTCACCATCGACATACCCCGCTGTTCCTCAAGACACTCCAGCTACCAACTACATCTTCAACATCGTCACCATCAAACCTCAGTACCCATTCATATGAAGTCAGATACTTAAATCTATTCGAGGTAGGAACCGTCCAAACAATCAGTGTCAGTTCGTCTTTACTTTGATCTACTCCGCACAGAAGTTGTTTCTCAGCTTCAGACTCAATTAGCCTTCTCAATTCTTACATTTTTTGACCCTGTTTACCTTTCCTATTCACATCCGAAGGTTTATTTGGACGTCTTATCTATTCAAAGGTTGTGTACTTGTGTTTGGTTTTGGCATTAATGTACTTTGTCGTCTGATGTTATGAATCTTACTGCCGTTGGCCTCTTTGGGGCTCACATGAAAGCCAATTGTTGCTTATTTTATATTATGGTCCGCTCAGGTGGCTGACGTTTCAACACAGATGCCACCAAAACGCCCTAACGAAGGGAGCGATGGCCAGGCAACCAAACGAGCAAAGCCTGGTCAGGCGAGTGACCCTGCGCCAAAGACTGCTTCTGTTCCACAGAGAAAAGGTAAGCATCATTTCCGAACTCATGCTATTTTTTTCCGTTTTCCCGCATCCCTGCTGACTTTGCGGTATAGCAACCAGGTCTACGAAGATAAATGGTGATGGCGGCACCCAAATTTCGAGGTCCAATCCTCCCCCAGAACTTCAACTCATTCAAATCCCACGTCCGACAAAGCCCAATGGCTTTCCATGTTTTTCTGATGGCGACGTGCTCGTTATATTGGATCATGGCGACCTAAAACATCAATTCCGGCTACATAGCCAGGTCCTGAGAAACTTCAGCCCCGTATTTGGCGAATTGTTGTCAGCAAAGCTTCCCGAAAAGATTCCCAAGAGGATCTTAAACGCAAACAAAACCGAACTGGAATTTTGCCTAGAGCTCATCAAGGACCCAGAATCGGGTTGGTGCCTTCAAAGAAGGGTATGTATAAATACGAGTTTTCCCGGTTTTATAACGAATGCCACGAGCATTTTTCTCCTCCTGTTTTTTTGGACATCATGCCTGACAAATAACAGTCTCTCTACAGAAACGCAACCCTGGACAATTCCAAGGCGGTTCCGGCGACTGGAAGTCAAGTGAAAGATTATGACGGAGGTTTTGGCAGTGATGGCAGTTCGGATGATACATTAACCCTGCCGACTGATAGATGGTCGCCTCCACCACCGTTACAGGCGCCTGGCGTGTATTCCCATGGAGAAAATCCCCCTAGGGGATCTGATCGTGATACTTCCCCTAGTCCTATTATAACCCCAAAAAGGTTGACCCTGGCAGAACATTTGGGATCGTCCCCAACTCAAGATCTTGACGTTGATATGTCTTCCGCCTTAGGAGCATCAGGAGATTCGGCCCAGATAGATTGCTCAGGGTGTCCCCAAGCTCAAGAAGACGATGAGATATCTGTTTTTGAGCGCGCGGTTTATAATGGAACGGGCGAAGCATCCCGTGAAAGTTGTGGCTCGACTATAGCCAAGGATAATCAAACTCAAAGAAGCACCTACCCAGATACCAAAGTTGTCAACTCGGTCACAGGAGCAACCATACTTAGTAATGGAGCACCACCAACTCCCACTTATGAACCGGAGACATCTGTGGTTGAAATGAGGCAATTCGCCAGGCCTGAACAGATAAGCGGCGACATTTCAGCCGACATGGAAATTTTGCCAAAGGAAGATGCCTGCGATTCTATTACGAGTCCGCGAACTGAAGCACTCGACAATGAGCCTCCCTCAGCTCCAACCTCAGACTGGGAGTCTTCTTCAGCAGCCGCAACGGCCCCGAATGAAGAGAAAAAACTAGATGGCTCAGAAATGGGGGCTTCTATGAATACGCCGAATATAATGACCATACGACAAGGCGTTGTAGAGAGATTTATCCCTATACTAAACTTCCACAGAGCAAATTCCGCAATATGGACCGGAGACAAAGGCGAGAAGGCTTATTCGGTCGGAGTCAATATTGAGTACGTTTCGGTGAAAGGAGTTCAGGATGATGACTGTCAACTTGTTTCAGTCCATCGAAAAAGTCAATCTGCAGGAGTTTCCCCCGTTATACCCATTTTTAAATCTTGTCTGATGCAGCAACGCAAAATCCACGCTTATGCTTCACTTCTACGTGTCGCGTACTATAAACCCCCTATTGTTTCGCAGAAAGATATAAGCCAAGCTCTTATCCAGTCTGAACATCTGATTGAAGCAGCAAAGTTATATCAAACACTACCAGCCATCGAAGCACATGTTAGCCATTTGCTAGCACAACATGGTCGCTCACTGTTTCAAAGCGTAGCTCTGGACCCAGTTCGGTGGCTCAATATCTCGATTAATCTCAAGAATAAAATTATTTTCCAAGAAGCGATGATACACCTCGTTGGTCGGATTCCGGATGAATTTACGTCAGAGACTTTTTCTGGAGTTCCTCACAATATCCTCAGGCTTCTGCAACGAAAGTACAGGGAAATGGATGAGGAAATTTCTAGGGTTAGCAGATTGCTTTCTGCGGGTTCAATTTATGAGTTCGGGATCAGAGCCGATTTGACCGACAAATCATCATTTGATATTTGGGTTTTGGCAGGCCTTTGGCGAGAGTGGTTCGCCACAAATTTTGAAAAGGCCAAAACTGAAGGTCGTCATCCCGAAGAACCCACGATCCAATCGAAGCTAGGCTTGCTCTACCGAACCATATATGCAGGCGGCGATGCATACCTTCCGAAACAGAAGGTTTTGGATATTCTTCGTCCATTTCAGAAAGACGGTGCAGATCAGACTGGAGGTTTTCTGCAGTGGGATACGGCTGAGTTTGATCTCACTCTGATGAAAGCATATGCCAGAAAAGTGGTGCAAAACCTCTGCTATAATAGGAGTCGGCTAGATCCTTCAGAGGCCGGCTTTTCATACCTCACTTGCACTCACATTGACGACATTGAGTTTCCATGGGTCAATGCTCCGAGAAACTGATACACGCCGTCAACATCCATGCATCTGGCAACAACGATGATGCCTTCAATCGGCTTCTACTGAACTTCTCTTGGTATTCACATTCCAATGAGTCATACTATTTCGGTGGCTAAACGACATTCAAATATTCATACACACGTTTCACATTTTATTGAACTCACGGCAACCAAATATACGTATCCAATATTCGAACTTGACGCAGTCCTTGTTCTCCATTTACTCAGCCGTCTATCATTCCGCTCTATTCAGGCCCGCCCACTCTCTAGGACTGAATTCTCCAAGCCGATTTGAGAAGCAACTAGGACGGCGTTAATCTTCAAAACAGCAAAACAATAGGCCAACTCCTAGGAAGTTCTGATTGAAGCAGGCAGTCTCGCCATATTTCATAACTTTGAAAATATTAAATATAAATACTTTATCAGCTATGTGATGTCCTCTAATTTGTTATTGTGGGGATTTGTGCCTCTAGTACAAACACAAATTCGTCCCGTATACCCTACACACCAACACCCTGGTTCACTGCCCCTTTCTTTTCATCCCCAGAACTTTCGCCCTTATCAATCTGTTTCAAATCCATCACTTTATCTGCCTCTTTCTCTTCCAGCCCATACTCTGTATCGAGCTCTTTGCGTAGTTTGATCTGTTCTTCGCCAAAGGAGAGCAAGAATGGGATTGCTGAGACCCCAAGTGCCACAAACCATACCACCCTCAAAGAGTCGGAATAAACGCCAATGATCTGGCTCTTCAATGGTTCCGCGAACGAATTCACAAAATCCCGTGACCCGTATTGATATGCGTGCCCATGAGAAAGCAGCTCACGCGTCGCTGCGTCGGCAATTCGGTATGAAAGGTTCCCAAATCGGTTGTTAAATACGGCGGCTGGGATTGCTACACCCCAGATGAAGCCTAGGCTGCGGATGAATGCCCATGTTGCGGTCGCGGCTGCTTGATCAGACTCATTTAGTCCGGCTTGGAAGGCGGGAAGCATGGTATTGAGAACCATGCCGCTCCCCAAGGCGGGAATTACTTGATAAATGACCCATTGAGCGGTTGTAGCGTGCCGATTTTGAAGTGCAAAGAGTCCGATGCCAATGGTCGTGATCCCAAAGCCAACCTGGTGCAGAATGCGGTACTTGCCCCATTTCGCAAGCACAACGACGGAGATTGCAGCCCCGGGTATGCCAATGACGGTCATAGGAATCACTTGAACGCCAGCCCGTGCTGGAGTAGATCCAAGGACGGCTTGAAAGTAAACAGGGAGAAAATAAACGACCCAGTAGAGAATAATCGAATTGACAAATGTGCATATAGCGATAATGACCGACGTTCTGCTATTGAACAGGCGATTAGGCATGACTGGTTCGATGCAGAATTTTGATGCTTCGTAGAAAGGAAACACGACGAATCCAAGAAGACCGAGAACCAACGGCACAACGATGTTGTAGGTACTCCAGTCGTACTTTGATCCGCCATCAGTCAATGCGAAGAGAACCGATAGACTTGAGAGTATGAGTATCATATTCCCGATAAAATCGATCCGTCGTAGTTTTTGGAAGAAGGTCATCTCCTTGTTGTACTTTACGTGCAAGGCGACGTATAGAACCACGAAGGCTGCCCCTCCCACGGGGAGATTGATGTAAAAAATCTACAATAATGTTAATAAGGGTAGAAACTCGGCCAGCTTCCGCAGCGGAACATACCCAGCGCCATGATGTTGTCTGGACAATGATGCCACCCACAAAAGGACCTAGAGAAACTCCAACGCTGTAGATAGAGAGAATTATGGCCATATAATTTCCACGTTGACGTAGAGGCACTAAGTCGCCTATGATTACTTCGACAATCATGTTAATGCCCCCACTTCCTATCCCTTGGACACCCCGACCAGCAATGAGCATGGCTGCGCTGTTGGCTCCCCCACATATACCGCTACCAAGAGTAAAAATAGCAACGATGAACAGTGTGACCCATCGTCGCCCAAAGATGTTGGCTAGCTGTCCAAAAAGTGGCTGGAAGGCGGCACTTCAAATATAGGGCCGGTTAGCTAGTTCGTACCATGGCCCGCATCTAACAGGATTTGGTTACCTTGTTAAGAAGAAAATATCGATAATCCAGACGTAAGCCTGGCCAATGTGAAGGTCTTCCACTATGGTTGGCAAGGAGGTACTGACGACTGTATTTTCAAGTGCGACGAGAAGCGATGTAAAGCCCAAACCTATGATGATAGACCAGAATCTTAATCCCCGTTCATGTTTCTGTCCTTCAATAGTGTCGGAATTGCTGTGTCCGGTCAAGTTCGAGCCAACAGTATCAGTTGGCTTTTCAGAGATATTCAGCACACGATCGTCGCGCTGTGCACTAGCGGTGGTAGTCATTTTAGCTGGTCATTGGCAATTGCAACAAACAGCTTCTTGAATTTTGGGAATTTATTTATTGCGCTCCTTTCTATTTAACCTATGGACTGGGTTGCGTCAACCTGTTCTCCCCGAGATAATGTGCGATTCGTAGGATTATTCGGAGGGTTTCACCTCGCAAGTGAGAAAAGTTCGGAGATGCCTGAGGCTATTTAGTGTTGGAAGGATCGTGCGCCACCGCGACTGGGGATTGGATAATATGGATGTCAGCTTAGATACGCGCCATTCATGTGGGTGAGCCTTGACATGCAGTTATAGATATGTAGTCGATAACCAAATGACAATCAATGGTGGTGGAGTGGTATTGCCATCGTTTCATCAACGGCAACATAACAGCAAACATTGTTGCTGGACGCCGGATCCAAGAATATTGGCGTAGACGCCATGCAATCGTGTGATTGCTAGGCCTTTTGGACACAACACCTCGTGTTGAAAGGCTATTAATACTAGCATGTCTAGTACACTTTCTGACGGAGGAAGGAATACCTCAAGGCGCTCGGCATGCGATCGATGTCGAGAACATAAACTTCGGTGTCTGCGTGACAACTCCAGCCAAGAGCCATGCAGGCGGTGTTCCCGCGCTGGCGCTAGTTGTATCACTGGCCAGGCATTGCCTCCTGGGAGGCCCGTTCATGGAGCAAGGTTAGAAAAACGTGGAAATAACACAACTTCCAGCAAGACAAGACAGGCAACGAATTTGAGTGATGGCGGGATCTCACATGCTTCGAGTGCGTTACCGCTTGAAACTGACCCCAATCAACCCAATGGCAATGACGCTTTGCCAGAATCGATGCAACAAGATGCCTCGTTCATGACACCAAACAACCACGGGCATGGTGGAGATATGGACTATGTTCCCTCCTGGCTCAGAAGTTCTACTGACCAGGCGCATCAGTCTCGAAACTCGGTGTCTATGACGGCAAACCAAGTCGAGGGAGATATCTCTGTCTCGGACGAGCCCATGGTTGGCGTGGTAAACTCTCCTGATGGCCATGGAGACGCATTACACTGGATGGATCCTGACAGCCTAGATCAGTTTGGACTGATGTTTCCGGGGAATAGCGAGCTGCATACTCCACCGCCGTATTCTCCGGATATACCAGTCACGCACACATTTAAAGAAATGGGTCTTCAGCCCAGTGAATTGACGATGGGATTCCATGATACCCAGCGGTTTGCTCAAGCATCAACTCCAGCTGTTACGGAAACGCTTGGGACGCCTCCAACCACAGATACTTGCGAGATTGCCAGACTGCCCGACCAAAGAATCGCCAGCGATTACATGCAGCAGCTATCGTATGTAAATTTATGCCTCGACAAATTACTTAGGCGTATCGACACGGCTTCACCTCCTGCGACACTCAACAACCTCGTCTTTCCTCATCCTGATGATTATCCCAAAAAGACAATTACAATTGGCGACACCCTATTATTATCGACCAAGTTCCTCAACATCCTCAACTTCTTGCAACCCCCACGCCCTCTCGCTTCCTTCGCCCCAGGTGGATCGTTCACACCCACCGACTCGGAATCCGATAGCCAGAGCACCCCGGGCCAGACGGGTACCTCCACAAGTTCAGCTGGCAATTTTGCAGGCAACAGCTCAGCATCATGTGATGATTCTACAGCCCCTGCTCGCTCTCCTAACCCAACTTCCTCAGATGGTCGCCCTCTGGGCTCGTCCTCAGAAGCATTTGCAAGACGCCCTTCTCCGCCCATCACGAGCGTTTATCTTGGCACTCCCGGCATTCTACTTATATTATCATGTTATCAGCAGTTCATCCGAATGTACAGTATCATATTCTCTATGGCTAACGACGCTTTTGCGGTGCATACGTCACCCGGGTTTCCTCCGTCACTCAGTGCTCTCCCTGGTATCAGGTACAGCGAGTTCCCAGTTGACAGCGGGAATCTGCAGACCATGCTCCTAATTCAGATCACGCTACACCTGGTTGGCCACATGGAGAAAGTCCTTGGGCTGCCTCGAGAGTTTAGGGTCCAGGAGGTTGGGGGAGAATATGCCGGCATTCTGAGTAGTGAAGCTGGCCTCCGACTTCTCCGTATGGTTGTCGGAGATGTTGGTGTCGGAGAGGAGATCGGAGGTGCAGAGGGGGGATCTTCAGGGAGGGGTGGCTGGAAGGACCTTAAGTTGTTAAGGAGCAGTATTCGACATATTACGCATACAGTTCAGAATAGTATGGCGTGGTGAGTTGGGTTAACAATTATCAACCAACCCCTACAAAATATAGATTCGTTTGTTAACTACCATTAATATATGAATGTTATTAGTGTATACTCCCTTATCCGCCAAGGGCCAACCCCTTTTCAAAGGTGGTCTTGTCAGACGTGATATCTGCGGGTTCTCATAAAACCGGGAATCCTTATCATATTCTAAAAATAAATTATGAGATAAATGTATTAGATTAATGAAGTGGCGACAAGATAAATCTGATCTTAACAAGTTTGAACGTAACATAGCTGTCTTCTAGTTCCACTCAAAAATACCACCCGAATACTTCTGAAGAGATTTACTTCACTGTAATTGAAGATTTCTCATAGGCTCGAGCATCGTTGACGTTTTGTGGCAAACATGCCAAGACGTGACCCCGCCGGTATCACGTGCGACACGTCATTGGGGCCGCCACCCAGTCCGTCAAAACGAAATATTTACGATAAGGCCGCCAGCAAGAGGAAGCCTTCTTCAAATGTGACGTTTCAAGTTGGGTTTCATTCAAGATTTCCCTGGTTGGAATTTTTTTGGGTAGAATAATAGGCATTAAAAATCAATATAATTAATAATTATAAACTGCGAATTAACATCTCGAATAATAGTGAAAGGCTCATTCCACATTGTGCTTGAGAAATCTGACTTTTGACCGCTTATTAGCGCCAATCAAGTATCGACATAGCCCCCCCCACCAAGAATTTCTCTCCACCCCGCCATCGAAGCAGCCTCCTCAGTCTGGGACAACAACAACTCCACGATCCCTCAAACCACCAAAAGGATCTTTTCGTATATTCACCAGAAAAGCTCTCTTCAAATATGGTTTCTGCATCGAAGGCTGCGCGTGACGCCAAGAGAGCCGCCGAGGGAAAGGCGCCCAAGAAGACCGCTGCCTCCCGCGCCAAGGGAAAGGATTCCGAAAATGCATCGGGAGCCTCCTCAGTAGCTGGGGACGAGACGCCGCCTAGCACCAAGAGACAAGATGAGATCAAGAGACTTGCTGACCAGATGGACAAGCATGGCCTGTCGGATCGTGTCACAACTGGTGTCCTGTCGTCGCTGAAGGCGTCGAGGGATGTCAAGATTACGTCCGTCTCGCTTGTTTTCCACGGTCGTGTCTTGATCCAGGATGCCACTCTGGAGCTGACATATGGCCGTCGTTACGGTCTGTTGGGAGAGAACGGCTGCGGAAAGTCGACCTTCTTGAAGTCTCTCGACAAGCGCGAGTTCCCTATCCCAGGTGAGAAACCCAGATTTCCAGATATTCGTCGAATGGCATGGACACAAAAGACTAACTTGGTCTAGAATTTATCGATATCTATCTGCTCAACGAAGGTGCTCCCCCAAGCGAATTGGGTGCACTCGAGTGGGTCGTGACCGAGGCCGAGAATGAGATGGAAAGACTTGACAAAGAGGCCGAAGAGATTTTGGAGACCGATGGCCCTGAGAGCCCGCTGCTGATGGACCTGTACGAGGTATGCAACATTCTCCTTATCAACGATCTCTATCCATAAACCAATCCCCCCCCAGCTGCGCCAATATGATCAGCTTGATCTGGTTCTACGAACACAAGATCTAAAATGTATTGAGCTGTGGCTAATTAGTCTATAGCGTATGGAGTCGATGGACCCGAGCACATTCGAGGTCAGAGCAAGCATCATCCTTACTGGTCTTGGTTTCAACAAGGTCACTATTAAGAAGAAGACCAAGGATATGTCTGGTGGATGGAGAATGAGAGTTGCGCTGGCCAAGGCTCTGTTCGTGAAGCCGTCGCTGCTGCTTCTCGATGACCCGACTGCCCATTTGGATCTGGAAGCCTGTGTGTGGCTTGAGGATTATTTGGCAAAGTGGGATAGGTGAGAATCTACAGTACTGAGCCCGACAGGAAGATGACTGACCAAAGACAGAACCCTCGTATTGGTTTCCCATTCCATGGATTTCTTGAACGGGTACGTATACTTGATTACTATCACAACTCGAGGGAGAAGTATTGACAGTGATGATACAGTGTCTGCACAAACATGATCGATATGCGCGATAGGGCCCTCCTGTACTACGGTGGTAACTACGATTCTTACCACAAGACGAGGGCAGAGCAAGAAGTCAATCAGATGAAGGCGTACCACAAGCAACAGGTAAGCAAGCGACGACACTCTGACAATCACAATTGCTGACCCTGTTTTAGGATGAAATCAAGCACATCAAGGCATTCATTGCCAGTGCAGGAACATACGCCAATCTTGTGCGACAGGCTAAGTCGAGACAAAAGATTTTGGACAAGATGGAGGCCGATGGCTTTATCCAACCCGTCCATGAGGACCGTGTCTTCACATTCCGCTTCGCTGATGTGGAGAAGCTTCCACCGCCAGTGTTGTCTTTCGACGACGTTACCTTCTCATACTCCGGAAATGCCAAGGACAACCTTTACGAGCACCTGGATCTCGGTACCGATATGGACTCCAGAACCGCCCTTGTCGGACCCAACGGTGTTGGCAAGTCCACTCTCCTTAAGCTGATGACGGGTGCTCTCTCGCCAACTGGCGGACAAGTCTCCAGACACACTCACTTGAAGATGGGTGTCTACTCCCAGCACTCTTCGGAGCAGCTTGACCTGACCAAGTCCGCGCTGGACTTCGTCCGTGACAAGTATTCCGAGAAGAGCCAGGATTACCAGTACTGGAGACAGCAGCTTGGCAAGTACGGCCTGAGCGGAGAGTCCCAGACGGCGCTCATGGGCACCCTTTCCGAGGGACAGAAGAGTCGTATTGTATTCGCTCTGCTTGCCATCGATGGCCCCAACATGTTGTTGCTGGATGAGCCTACCAACGGTCTGGATATCCCAACCATCGACTCGCTTGCCGATGCCATCAACGCCTTCACCGGTGGCTGTGTCGTCGTGTCCCACGACTTCCGTCTTTTGGATAAGATCGCCAAGGAGATCCTGGTGTGCGAGAACAAGACCATCAACAAATGGCAGGGCTCGATTGCCGACTACAAGAACCACCTCCGCAAGAAGATGAAGGCTGAGGGTACGCTATAAAGGGAGTGAGTCTGCTACGGGAGTAGGCTGGCTATATAGGGGAAGACGCGACACATGGCAAGGACGGATTGATTGATGAATGGATGGATAGATATGCATATTGGCATGTGGGGGGGAAAAGGACAGATTACTTTAGAATGCCGTGATCCGTTTCTACTAGAAAATGGCGCAGATGTTTTTGGGTTTTTATTGTGCCTTGTCTGTGCAGTCTGGGTCAATTTGGGTCATCTTGGCCCAACTTGGCTTCACGTTTTAGGGCTTTTTGTGGTGACGTGAATTTTGTTTTGGTTGTGTGGTGGGAGTTGCTTGCGGCCACTGTAATTTCATCGTAGCCGTAGCGTACTCCAATCTCCTTATGGTATGGATCGATCTATTCCACAATAGACCTAGTCCATTCCTAGCCATTCCTTGGTGAATATTGTACCACGTGATATCTAACCATAACTAGCTAGACTTAAGTCACGTTTACGCGTTCCCCGAAAGGGGTTAGGTTAGGAAGGCTAGGCTGCTCATCCTCTTTTTTCCGTGACCGAAAGCGAGCAACAGAGCCAAAAAAAGAGCTTAGAGACAGGACCGCGACAAGGCCCCAACAATCATGACTTTGATGGTTATCAATTTCTAATCGCGAGTGTGTACACGATAATTTACGAGGCACTCCATTTATATAGAGTATTCCCTGGGAATTAACAACATGAGCCTCACCGGGTAATTATCAGAGTCTACTTTTTATGTACTACGAGTTATACTCATAACCACATCGTTGTCGTCGCGACTTCACCGAATACAAAAAAGATGACGGGGTGCATGTTCAAATAGTGGTATTGGTTATGGGTATGCACCTGGCGATGATGGCTCGCCTCAGGTCCACAACCACCACCACCACCACCAAAATCACCCGGCTCTCCCGTGGCTGATGCTGCTCTGAACACACATGGAGCCTTCCCTTCCCTCACAACCCCCAATTCCATCTCATCATCAATTATAATCAACTTCATCCCACATCTCCATCTCTCCATCACCAACACCAACTACTACCATCACCAATACCTTCACTTTCTCCCCCCCAGATCATGTACCTGCCCCCCACTGCGAACATACCGGTAATCTGAATCCCGCGTCTCTTTGTCGCCTCAACACGGTTACTGTACGCAACTGTACCAACAATACGACTCCTCCTACCTGCCATCATTACAACAGTTACAGCATCACTCGACAATCTCACCCAATCTCTTTGTCTCTGCTCATCTCCAATCCCTTCACGACCGACCGACCGACTGTGTCTTCTCCCCCCATACGCATCGTCACGTCACGCTCATGGAACCATAATATAATCTAACCACCCTGTCCCCCCCCCAATCCCAACGAGCCAGGGCTCAAATCTCCCTTATGGACTCCAACTTTCACAGCACCGTGATGCAGCGGCCTCAGGATGAGGAGGACGAGCGCCTGAGACGAGAGCGCTTGAATCACGTCGCGAACCAGAATTCTCCACTTCCACTCTACGCGGGTCAATCACCAACCCAAGCCGCCTACAACGGCCCATCGTCCTACTCTCCAACAAAGAGTCTTCCACGTCGACCAAGCTTCACCAAACAATACCATCCACCGACACCATCACAGCTTCCTCCTCCACCACCAGGATCAGCACATCGTGCGCCATCGGAGGCATCCCCTTTGGTCGCAACTCAGACTCCTTACCAGAGCTCTGAGTACCACTCGGCACCACGCGATAAGCCTACCAGCAATTACTACGACCCGACTTCCGACTCGGGTGAACCCAGACCAGCAGACCCAACCCGACACAACGGCCAAAACCCAGCACCTCAGGTGAGTTTGCCGACGCAAGGGGTCACAATCAGCATCAGCCAACTAACTTGTGCCTTTTCAGCAGAACAATCGCGACTCCTATACCTGGTCCCAGACCGGCACCGAATCGAGAAATTATCGAAACGGCGCCTTCACGTCGCCAGTGAATGCGACCTTCCCAGGGCCCCAATCGCCTGTCACGTCTCATTCACATCCTGCAAGCCGGCTGGGATCGACTGCCCAGTCACCCAGGGTGACAGCGGCCATGGAGACTCCGGTCGCGAGGCAGAATAATGGGGTTGCTGCTGGCTTACCCGCAGAGCCCACGATGGCTTCACCAAGCGTATGTTTCACTTCTCCTAGAGGCAATTGCGACGCGACAATACCGAACAATACAAGCGAGGGTCTGAATTCAACTGACAACCTGCTACAGAAGCCGGCACGAACCACAGATCCGATGTCCTTCTCGAGCATCCTTACCGAATCAGCTCCTGCTGCTCCTACTCCCACCGCGCCCTCATCGCCACCTCCTGCAAAGGTGCCCAGAAAGTCGTCTCGAGCATCAATACCGCCACCTCCCCCAGCTGACGAGACTCCCATCAAAGAAGAGTCGCGTCGACCGCCACTTCACGCCACGACACCGGTCTCTTCATCTCGCGTCCCGGCAAAGCGACAAGCAAACGGAAGCCTCAAGGCCAAGAAGTCCGTGGCCGAACAAGAGGAGGAGATACAAGTTATGTTGGCCGAAATCGATGCGAATGCCAGCGATCTCGAGACATCCGAATTCGAAGATGAAATGTGGCTATTCAAGGCTCGGTGCCTCAAACGCAGGGTTGAGCTCGACGAAGGTGAGGAGAGGCGACGGAAGATACGCCGGAGAAAGTACGTCGACGACATGACAACTAAGCTCATGAAGCACGCAGAAACCGGCGAAAAGCGATACCGGGAAATACATGGCGAGGAGGCAATCGCATCGGTACAGGAGAGAGAGGTCTTGGCCGAAAAAGAGCGCAAGAAGGATATGCAACGGAAGCGTCGTCGGGAGAAGACCGTCGCAACGAACCTTGAGCAGAAGGAGGCGCTTTTGAAGAAAGCTCAGCAAACTGCCGATGATAATGAAAGAAAGAAGCTACTCAAGGAAGCCGAGCGCGCGGAGAAGAAGGCTCAGCACACAAAGATTATACTTGCGCGCGGCGACAAGGGCCCAGAAATCCGAACAGTGTCGCCGATTGAGCCAAATTTCTCGGGAGGCACTATGACTACTTTCGCTGCCGAGCCAGAGACCTTCACCGGGAAAGGCAAAGGCAAGGGCCGTGGTGGTGCTCGCTTGCGGAAGTCGAAGGAGCAAAAGCAGGCCGAGAAAGACTCTGCTGTCGCTGCCCAGGCTGCGATTGATGCCGGCGAGGAACCTGCACCGCCGCCACCGAGCGAACCGAAAATCAGACTTAAGCTGGGACCAAAGTCCAAGGAGGAGCCCCGGGAAGAGTCACCGGCAGTTATCGAGCCGTTTGTTTCAAAGACATACAATCAAATTTACGATCAGATTTGGAAAGACATCGCAAAGAAGGACATCACCAAGGTTTCTAAGATCGTCACCGATTCTCAGAGCGTCAAGGCTTCGAATTTGAAGAAGACCGCTATTCTTGCCTCCAAGGAGGCCAAGAGATGGCAGATGCGCACCAACAAGGGCACCAAGGATCTGCAGGCGCGTGCCAAGCGCGTCATGCGAGAGATGATGTCTTTCTGGAAGCGCAACGAGCGCGAGGAGCGTGATCTCAGAAGACAGGCTGAGAAGCAAGAGATTGAAAATGCGAAGAAGGCCGAAGCCGACCGCGAAGCGAACCGCCAGAAGAGAAAGCTCAACTTCCTTATATCACAGACGGAGCTGTACTCTCATTTCATTGGCAAGAAGATCAAGACCGATGAGGTGGAACGCTCGACTGACCACCCCGACGTTGCTGTTGTCAAGGACGCTCAAGGACACGCTCACAAAATCAATGTCCCCGACCAGAGCGGCGGCGTTGCCGGAAAGGTTACGAATTTCGAGGACCTTGACTTCGATGCCGAGGACGAGTCGGTGCTCACTGCTGCAGCGATGGCCAATGCTCAGAACGCAATCCAGGAGGCGCAGAACAAAGCTCGCGCGTTCAATAACCCAGAGCCCGCTATGGACGAGGAGGGCGAATTGAACTTCCAGAACCCGGCAGGAATGGGTGATGTTGATATCGAGCAGCCAAAGATGCTTCATGCTCAACTGAAGGAGTACCAGCTGAAGGGCCTTAACTGGCTTGTCAACCTATACGAGCAAGGTATCAACGGTATTCTTGCCGATGAGATGGGTCTAGGCAAGACCATTCAGTCCATCTCTGTCATGGCCTACCTTGCCGAGAAGCATGGAATTTGGGGACCGTTCTTGGTTGTCGCCCCAGCTTCCACTCTCCACAACTGGCAGCAAGAAATCACGAAATTCGTGCCCAAGCTCAAGGTTCTTCCTTACTGGGGTACTGCTGCTGACCGCAAGGTTCTCCGCAAGTTCTGGGACCGAAAGCACATCACCTATACTGAAGATGCGCCATTCCATGTTCTCATCACCTCTTACCAACTGGTTGTTTCAGATGTCGCGTACTTCCAGAAGATGAGATGGCAGTACATGATTCTGGATGAAGCTCAGGCTATCAAGAGCTCGCAAAGTTCGAGATGGAAGAGTCTCCTGGGATTCCACTGCCGTAACCGCCTGTTGCTGACTGGCACTCCTATCCAGAACAACATGCAAGAGTTGTGGGCTTTGCTGCATTTCATCATGCCTAGTTTGTTCGATTCCCACGACGAGTTTAGCGAGTGGTTCTCCAAGGATATTGAGAGTCACGCCCAGAGTAATACGAAGCTCAACGAAGACCAGCTGAAGCGTCTGCATATGATTTTGAAGCCATTCATGTTACGTCGTGTCAAGAAGCACGTGCAGAAGGAACTCGGCGACAAGATCGAGTTGGACATTTTCTGTGACCTGACCTATCGCCAGAGAGCATATTACTCGAACCTTCGCAACCAGATCAGCATCATGGACCTGATCGAAAAGGCCACCATCGGAGACGAAGGAGATGCAGGAACGTTGATGAACCTGGTCATGCAATTCCGAAAGGTCTGCAACCATCCAGATCTCTTTGAGCGCGCCGAAACTACATCTCCATTCTCGTTCGGCTTCTTCGCAGAGACTGGCTCGTTTATGCGCGAAGGTCCACTCATCAATGTTGTATACTCCACGAGGAACTTGATCGAGTACGCATTGCCACGATTGATTTGGCGCAACGGCGGCAGGCTCGATATGCCTGGCACAGACAATGCAAAGGCCGGCTTCCGCCAGAAGTGGATCGACCACGAGTTGAATATTTGGAAGCCTACCAACACCATCCAAAACAAGGCCTTCTCATGGGCACGATTGGCAGGATGCTCAAGCAATGAGTTGAGCCTGGCGACCGATGACCTGTTTGTTCGCGCCGTTGATTTGGCAAAGAAGCGTAACAACCTAGGTCGAGCTAATGTCATCTATGACGAGAACGAGTACACTCCTGTCGAATCTATGCTACGAATTGTAGACCGCAATGATAGGAAGCCGCTGGCTGAGGTTACCGAGGGCTATATCGGAAAGCTGTTCAACGTCTCGAAAGACGTGTTTGCAAATTCGGGTATGCCACGAATGGAACAATGTGGACGCCCAGCTGCATCAGCACCACCGATTCAGGTCAGCTGTTCAAGCCGCGGCGCTGTCATTGAAACGGAGAATACTCTCTTCAACATCCCGATGCGCAAGGCCCTGTACGGACCTTCGAGCCGCGACGAGACATCACTTGTCGAGTCCAAGATGCCACTGGAAGTGTTCCCACAACCGATGATGCTGCCCACGCCATCGTCCGAGAAACAGCGATTTACCAATATTCTTGTCCCTTCGATGAGTCGCTTCGTCACTGACTCCGGAAAGCTTGCGAAGCTGGATAGTCTCCTGTTCAAGCTCAAGGAAGGCGGTCATCGTGTTCTTCTCTACTTCCAAATGACACGCATGATCGATCTCATGGAGGAGTACCTCACATATCGAAACTACAAGTACCTCCGTCTGGATGGTTCTACGAAGCTCGAAGACCGTCGCGACACAGTGCACGATTTCCAAACACGTCCCGAGATCTTCATCTTCCTGCTCTCCACGCGTGCTGGTGGCCTCGGTATTAACCTTACCAGCGCCGACACCGTTATTTTCTACGACTCCGATTGGAACCCTACCATCGATTCTCAGGCCATGGACCGCGCTCACAGACTGGGCCAGACCAGACAAGTCACCGTGTACCGTATGATCACCCGCGGCACTATCGAAGAGCGAATCCGCAAGCGCGCGCTGCAGAAGGAGGAGGTCCAGCGTGTCGTCATATCTGGTGGCGCTGGTGGTGGCGTCGACTTCAACACAAGGTCTCGCGAGAACAAGGCGAAGGATATCGCTATGTGGCTTGCAGACGATGACCAAGCGGCTGAGATCGAGCGTAAGGAGCGTGAGTTGGCTGCGATCGAGGGAGCGGAGGCTGGGAAGCCGAAGCCGAAGAAGGCTGGGAGGAAGAAGAAGGTCGAGGAGAGGAGCTTGGAAGAGTTGTACCATGAGGGTAAGTTACTTTCTACTTTTCTTTCATGTGCAGACGTTCTACACATGAAGATGTTTGAGTTTTGTTACTAATACATCATTACAGGCGAAGGACACTTTGATGACGGCAGCGCGAAGCCCTCTGGGACAGCGACGCCGATTGAAGGCGGTCCGGCGGCGAAGAAAGCCAAGGTCGACAAGAAAAAGGGGGGTGGCAAGAAGGCTAAAACTGCCAAGCAGAGGTTGGCTATGGCGGATGGCGACGTCGATGCCGATATGGACGATATGGAGATGTAATCCGATCGACGCCGCGCCGCTTGACCTGCTGAGGGCAGTGTTGTATGTACGATAATAGAAAGGCGAGTGCGCTGGGTGCTTGTCTTGGTAGACGCAGTCCACCCTTTTTCTTCTCTGGGCTGATGGGGGGGGCATGGCAGGGGATAAAAAGCAAGACGTTTAATTTTATATGCATGGGAGCATTTTTGCTGGCGTTTACTGGTTCGGGGTTGGGAGCCGCAGGGGGTGTGCGGTGTGTACTCATGTATGTTTAGATGAGATAGAGAGTCGAAAATTTACTAGCGCATGATTTCCCGTTTTGATATACTATGTGCCTGTCCGTGAGCTACCGGGAGGGAGAGAAGGCAGTGCCATCATCGCAACCAGGCCCAGGCGGGAGAAACGGCAGTCGTGCAGATATGCCATAGTCGGGCTAGCTCCTACCGTGAGGGGCGTGGACGGTGTTTGTCCGAGAATGCGGGGTACATGTAAATACGAGCCTCTGTGTGACTTCAAGTACTGGACTTATAACATCTTCCAGGAAAGTTCAATCTTTTTTCAACTTTAATAACGTAACTGATAACCTCGTATAGTATTCCTATAAATTATTTTTACTTTTGCTAGATTTCGATAATGGCAGCTGCTGCTGTGCAAACAATACCAGGGCCGGAACGGCACGTAGACGGCCTAGCCGTGCCCTCTGGCATTGGAGCGAATCAGGGAGTTATCAAGAATGAACATATCCAAAGGCTCCGTCCCACTCCAAAGGATACTCCCATATCTGAGATTCGAAGGAGGCTGAAGGAGGACGGATATATATTTATGAAAGGCCTGATACCACGCGAAGACGTCTTAAACGTTCGAAAACAGTGCGCCCTTTTCCCTCCCATCCTTTCCATTTTCTCACTTTCCACATCAAGTAAATACTCACATATCAGCCAGCTACTTCCAGAACTGGGCCGACACCGCGCTCCTCGAGCCCGGAACCTCTCCGCAGGAAGGCATCTTCAACTCCTCCGAGAACCCGCTCCACCACGGCGGCATCGGCGCCGGCGACCTGCCACTCAGCGAGAAGGAGGTCGAGACGCTGATTAGTTCCCACCATCTCGACAACTACTTGCACTTTCTTGACAACCCGGCCCTGCGCCAGATGGTACGGGATATCATGGACTGGAAGAAGGAACTCCTCCTCCGACGCACAATGTTGCGCCATAACCCCCCCGGTGGGGTCAGCACAGGCATCCACTACGATAAGCTGTTCATGAGAGACGGGGATGCGTTTTTTCTCACCGCTTGGGTGCCTCTAGGTGAGTTCCCGATTCCGTCGTCCGCAGACACGCGACGAAGATGCGCAGCTGACTCAAGAACCCAGGCGACATTGCCGCGAACGGCGGCGGGCTGATCTACCTCTCCGACTCCGTCCCGCTCGGGCGCGCCATCGAAGACGACTTCACCCGTCGCGCAGCCAACTTCACTAGGGCTGAGCGTATCAACGCGTACAACATCCACATGCACAAATTCGGGATCCTGTCCAACGACGGCGAGGAGTTCCTGGGGCGCGAGGCGGGCGGGAGGGGGAAGTGGCTGGTGGGCGATTATGAGGCGGGCGATGTGGTGTTTCATGATCCGTTTATGGTGCATGCGAGTGGGAAGAATAATGATGCTGGGGGGAGGATTAGGCTGAGTACGGATTTGAGGTTTTATGAGGAGGGGTGTGAGGATATGGATGAGCGGTGGATGGAGTATTGGAGGCCTGGGGATGGGCTTTGAGGTGGTTTGGTGTGCTCTGGGTGGGCACAGCGGGATTGTTGGAATCGGTGGTTTGGTTTCTAAACTGTGTAATCGATGGTGTCAATGGTTCTCTTGGCTAAGAAACCTGGTGGTTATAGTAGCCTCCGAAATTGAGTCGTCATTTTTATCACTTGTTTTTGGGACGAACGGGTCGCACTTCTCGAAGTAGTCATCTAAATATATTCAACCATACACTCAGTCATATATTTAGTCACTTAACCCCTGTTTAGCTATCTTAAACTGCATTCCAAACTTGTCTCTAATTCGTCTTCTCGCTTCGATACGCATCATACAATACCTTGAATGCCGAGTCGCGGCTCAAAAGCTCGCTGGGCGAACCGTCTTCGATGATCCGCCCCCTATCAAGAACCACAATCCTGTCAAAATCGAGTATTGTATCCAATCTGTGCGCAACGGCAAGAATTGTCTTGTGTCCGAAATCTTCCCGGATGATTTTCTGCATAGCTTTGTCGGTGTCGATATCAACACTGAGCGGTATAAGCTACTGTCTCATTGTGGGTTTCGTAGGGGTACTAACTTGCTTGTAAATTCATCCAGAGCTAAGACGCGGCTCTGGTTGAGCATAGCCCTTGCGAGGCAGAAGAGCTGTCTTTCGCCGTGGCTTAGAGATGCCTCTGCATCCAGCGGGGTATCCAATCCTCCAATATCTTGGATTTTATCCCACAAGCCAGTTCGCTGCAACACTCTCTCCAATTGTTCATCTGATAGATCGACAGCATTGGCCGAGATGAGGTTATCTCTTATGGTACCTGGCAGAAAGAAGGCATCTTGGGCCAGAGCATTAATGCTGCCTCGATACTGGTTTATCGCAATGCTCGAAATATCGATGCCGTCTATGATTATTGATCCCGATTTTACATCCATAATGCGGAAAATGGTGCTAAGCAGTGAACTCTTTCCACTTGGACTAGTTAGACCTGAACATTTGGAATTGTGCAAGGAGGACCTACCTTCCGCTACGGCCGCAAATACCGACATGTTGGCCCGGCGCGATTGACAAATTAATATCGTGTAGAACAGGCTCAGAATCTGGGCCATGGCCGGCATACATGTGCTTGATATCTATTTGGCCGGACTTTAACCAACCGCCTGGGGCCTTTGCAAGTTTAAATGGATCTTCAGAAGGTGTATTCTCGGAAAATGCTCTGATCCGAGAAACAGCACCGATGGAGGTCTCAAGATCCGTCCAAAAGCTAACGAGTGACTGGAGACTTGTGCCCAGTGTCATCTAATACGCATCAATATGTGTAAACAAGGGTTAGAGTGACCACCTACGATATTGACCAAAGCAAGACCCAAGAAACCAGGATCAATGGAACCCCGTAACTGCACGGCCATTACTGCAACAATTATTGCAATTCCAGAAACTATCAAGTTAAGAACCAGAGCAAGCCAACGCTGGATTGTCGCCAAGAGGAAAAATGGTCTCTGGGAGGCTTGCAAGTACTCGTTGTTTTGGCGTTTGAACTCTTCCTCCCAACCGAATCCTCGAAGTGTTGCCAGCCCTGCCAAAGACTCAATAAAATTCGTGTAGAGGGGTGCCTTGGTCTCTAGATCAAGGAATCGAACTTGTCGCGAGGTTCGAAGGTAGAATCGTTGGACGAAATAAAATGTGGCAAGGACGAACGGGAAGGTTATAGCAACGTATGCTGTTGCCAGACCGATGAGAACCATTCGGTATATGCAAGTGTATATGTCTATTAAGATAATCAGTTTAGCAACTTCTGTAATGATGCATAGATGCCATACACTCGACACAATCGATTAAAGTCAGGGGCAGCTCATTGTCGGTGAGCATAAGGTCTTGGCTAAACCTGCGAAGGTTTTATTATCAGTGCATAGCAACTTTGGCTCAGGGTAGTTAATTACCTATTAATTGTTACGCCAGTATCTGTGTTGCTAAAGAAGGCCATTGTAGCACTGGAGACTGCTGTTAACAACCATTCTCCTGGAAGTTACTCATTGACGAGATTTACCTAAGTGCAGCATTAAGTTGGCTATCATGCAGCTTGATTGAAGAAGCCGATAACGGAAAGATTAGTACGTGCCTGAGAAAGTTAGTTTGTAAGTTAGTAAAAGTTAAAGCAAAGGCTTCAAAACCTACCATATCCAAATCGTCGTTAGTAATATCTCCAGGACGAAGAAAATACTATATATGCCAACATAGTAACTAATATGGCCAGAGTCCTCATCGCTTGCCCAAGCATTTAGCCATAGATCTATGATGCATTAACATTAGCATGAAATCGACACCGCCGCAACTCTCAGGGGTGGGTTGCAACATACTTTGTGCAGGTCCAAATCCCATGCATATTGCCCCTAATATGGCAAATAGAAGCGTGTGCTTCAACCCCATTGTCTTTAGGTAGTACCAATAGACTCGTAGGTCACCAGTTTGCCTTGAAGCATCGGTGGTCGCAGCATCGGCAGTGGGTAGTTCTGGATTCAAAGAGATTTCAGTATCCTCTAAGTCGACTGATAACTCTCTCACGCTAGAATCGTCCGTTTGAGAGTCACGTTTCTGTCCAACAGCAGACACGTCTCGCATAGATACCAAATTTGGTGGGAGGTTAGCTGGAGTTCCCTGATACTTAATGGTTCCATTGTCTCCGAGAACGACGAGAAGATCTGTTGAGGGAAGTAAATGGACGGCGTGTGTGGCCAGGATAACAGTTGTAGATTCTTGCCTAAGAATCCCATTCTCACCCAAAAGGCTTTGAAATATAGTTTCCTCTGTGACTGGATCTAAACCACTGAAGATGTCATCCAAAAGCATGATTGGCTTCTTCGAATATACGGCTCTTGCAAGGGCCTTTCGAATCAGCATGGGAAAACATCAGGATATGATAAATGCTTACAATTCTTTGTTTCTGGCCTCCACTCAAGGTAATACCCTTTGAGCCGACAAGTGTTCGATCGCCGGCGGGATAGTTTTTCAGGTCTTCAAATAGAGCACATGCAGTTAAAACCTTTTTGTACCAGGGGCCATTAAATAACGACGTTCCTAGAATGTTCTTCTGGATAGACTTGTTTACTAGCCAAGGTGTTTGGGCACAGAAGGCAATGGAGTCGGTCGAGCCCATTGTGATAAATCCTCTATGGGTGACTGTCTCTCCAAGTAAGGCCTGTATCAGAGTTGATTTGCCACTGCCAATACTGCGATTTATGTCAGTATAATGCCACAACTTAATATGTGGTACTCACGGCCCAATAATCATTGCGAAATTTCCCACCGGAATCTGTAACGTTATATCTTTGAGTACTGCATGATCTTCCGTCCAACCCGTGCTGAGATCTCTAATGACAATTGCATCTTCAGTCTGCCGCTGAATGGTAACCAGTTCGTGCCCGAAATAAGGGTCGATGACTTCGCGCTCTTGTTCTATGACCATTCTGTTGTCTCTTTTCGTCTCGGCCTTGAGAAACACTTCAATGCGCCGAATGCATCCAAACGCGCTCGCGATTCTTGGCATCTGGCGGATGAGTATTTCCAGGCGCTCCATGAAAATATTGAGGATTGCCATAGACGTGAAGAGACGGTTAACCCCCAGGCTCCCGTTTCCAGACCCATAAAGAGCTATTAATCCAAATACTGTGTATGTGACCCATCTTGTCCCACTCAAACTCAGTGTCTGCAGCAAAGTAAAAATGGCGTAAAAGATCCTCCATTTCTTTCCGCATTTAACTTCCTTGTGCCGCAATTTTCGGATCGTTGATCCCACCATATCAACTAGGCCCAGTATCTTAACACCCTTCATTGAAGCAATGGTAGATGCAGTGAGGGCAACTCTCTCTTCTGTTGCTTCGAGCCAAACCATTTGTCGAGTCATCAAAGGTTGAGCCACAAGGCCTGACACCAAAGACAAAATTGTAGAGAATACCAACGGTGCGATAAAGCTAGAAATAGTTAGCAATAACCTTGACTAAAATGCAGAGATTATTAGTTACGCTAAACCCAGTTCTCGATAGAGTAGGGCCAATGCTATGATGGTCATAGCAGTATTTGACGAAATCTCATGTAGAAGGGGAAACCCTTTCACAATATGTTCAACATCGGCGCTCATAAGTGTCAAGCTTTCGCCCCTTCCAGCTTCTTTCAGATCTAGCCGGAGAGTTTTCTTGTAAATAATGCTTACCAAACATCCGCGAAGTGTGGTAGCAAATCTATCAAGCTGGTGCATGTAGAATGCAGTGCAAATAGCTTTGCTGATATAGACAAGTGCATAGCCAACAACAATTATGTATCCAACCTCCTTCGATTCAGAGGTTGATGCAATGAAGTCCAACATGGCGCTTACAAGGAATGGCTGGGCGAAAGTAAGTGCCATTACCAACAGGTTGGGCAAAATAGGGGCAGCAAATAAATGCAGTAACGACAAGACGATGGCCTTAAACAGTCTGCGCTTCTGTACGTGCGACGTTGATTCCCACTTTCTTTCAAACTTTTGGATGGGTTTCTCTGAGGCTATCTCTTCGTCCAGATGACAGAGATCTTCTAAAACTAACACTTTGTTGTATCCTAAATTATGTCAACGGCGCCCTTGCTCCCTAGATTGATACTAGCGAACCTGTGAGGAACAAAGAGTTGAGCCACCAAAATACACTTCTGTTCAAAATACCACTTGTCTCTTGGTGTGGGCGCTCTGAGTCCGCATTCGAAAAATAGGCTCTCTTGTTCTTCCCTTCAAGGAAGAGGAGGCATACTTTGATCGCCATGTCCGCCGCAACCAGTGACACGATTAGTGAGTAGTAACCCATATTTAAAAGTGTTCTTATCCGGATAAAGTCAAATACCAACGACAGTAAGAGGTACAAGTTCAGGAGTGTGCTTGGCCGTAGGCAATAAAAGTGCTCCGAACGAGAGAGTACCATGAAAGCGAGAGATTCGAGGAAATACGCCACAGCGGATGGCACTGAAACCTCTGATCTTAGCGGAGCCTGGGTAACCCATAGCACGAGGAGAGCAAAGCGTAGGATCACAAGGAATGTCACATTGATCTAGATTTACGGCGTCAATCTCTTAAACTTAGTGTAGCATTGAGAGCGACTTACAAATTTAACATCATAAAACGAATGGCTAAGGACCACCTTCCGCCTGTTACGGAGAAAGAACACCCGTATAGTGGAAGCAATGATCATCAAAGCTGCTGGCAAAATAGTCAAAAAACTTTCCTGGAAAAGTAGTGTGAAATCGAGTCCATGTCTGCATTGTGTCGAGGTGGTAGGTCCAAAAGACCGATCCTCAGGGCAAAAAGTGGCAGCCATGCTTTCAAAGTCTCACAAAAGTAGTCGGTATTCGCAATTTATTATTGGTCTCAGCTACGTCTCCTAAGATCTAAATAAACGAAGCTTTCGTCGTTGGGAACGAGGGACAGTCATTGCATGTTATAGTCACTCACATGCAAAGCGGGTCTAGGCAGGATCTGATAAGATTAGACCGAGCATCTGATAAGGCTAACCGTAATAGGCAGGCAAGTGACCCTGATCCTCCCCCGGACTTCTCGGTCAGCCCAGGCAGACATCTCAGGTAATTGTAAAGGGACGTCACGTGAGGAAGCCCCCTCGTGCAGGACACGGTAGGGCTCGGTAAATCGCTGTATCTACGTAGACCTATTGTGCTTACTGAATACGATACCCTTCCTGCCTCCTGACGTGGTTCCCTGGACTCCCGTGAGACCCTAGACTTACGCTCTACAATTACACAGGGATGCATTTATCTATCACATTTTCTCAATACATCCATCCATCCATCCATCCACCAGTATTATACATATGTACTATACAGTCGGTCAGAGTCCACATGGCGCTGAGTACAGTATATCAATTGACTCACTGTGCTACCACCTCATAACCGGCGCCCAACACCACACGATACCAAACAGCAGCAGCTGACCTGTAATATTGATATCCGACATCTTGTATCCTATCCTGTATAAAAAAAAAACACACCGTAGACACCACTACAACCCTCCATCCCACCCCCATCCCAACCCCATCCCGTCCCCCTACAACGCCCCCAACTCGCGCCAAGCTAGCCCCCCATGGCGCTGACGTAGGGCGGTGAAAGTTGTTCCGCAACGCCAACTCCTCACTGGCTAGCGCTGACCCGCACTTGACTTTAGATGAGGGCATCCATTATCACGCCACCGTACTTGCCATGTGCTGGTGTGATACTATTGCAGTGGTGTACCGTAGTGTACCGTAGTGGGCGTGTGGCATATGCGTACCCCGCGTGCTAACCACGGGCTGAGCCCGATCGGCGGCGAGAGGTCTTATCTTAGTGTGTAGAGGGCAGGGTAGGCTGGGAAAAGGATGAGATGAGGAGCTATAAGTCCCTCAACCCTTCCTATTTCAAGGCGTGGTAATTAAGGCTTTGTTTGTGCAGAACAAAGATAGCAAATACTGTCAAGTCAGTGTTGAGCTGCTTAGCTGTGACTATTTACAGCGAGTTGCTTGCTCTTTGTGCGAGACGACAAGCTTAATCAGGCGGCTGCTGCTTCTACAGCCAGCCAGCGAGGGAGACGGAACAACATACGAGATCAGGAGAGAGGCTGGGGGGCAGTATAGAGGCACCAGAGAGACAGCTGAGAGACCACAGAGAGAGATATACAACAAGTGGCAGCTGAGAGGCAGCTGAGGCAAACACACAGCAAGTGGCAAAGACTGCCAGCTTGAGAAACAGATTAACGACAACCACCCACGACCCCAAACACACACACACCATGTCCAACACCATCTCCTCCGCCGTCTCGAACACGGCAGCTGCTGCGGCGGCTGCCACCACGGCGCTACGTGCAACACCGCAGGGCGGTATCCTCGAGGGCGCGAACCCAGCGACGTATGACCCAAAGAATCCGATTATTTTGTTCATTATACAGGTTAGTTGGCCTCACTACTGGCGAGGCGTGGGATGTGGTTGAGTAGTTGAGAAGAGGTGCTTGAGGAGTTTTCAAATATGTGTTGGCCATGAGTGGATACGTATTTCGTCTCCGAAGCCCGTCGAGAAAGGACACTATGTCGTCGATTCTGCGTGCCATTTTCCTGTTGTCAAGAAAGACGGCGGATTACTTCATCCCATGCAGACTGCTAACACCCACTAGGTAACCATTATCATCATCTTCTGCCGCCTCCTCCACTACCCCCTCTCCCTCATCCGCCAACCCCGCGTCATCGCCGAAGTCATTGGCGGCATTGTCCTGGGCCCCTCCGTTATGATGCACATCCCCGGGTTTAAAGCGGCCATCTTCCCCGACGCGAGTCTACCCATCCTCAATCTCGTCGCCAACCTCGGCCTTATTCTATTCCTCTTCCTCGTCGCCCTCGAGACAGACCTCCAAATGTTCATGAGAAACTGGCGGGTCGCCCTCTCCGTCGGCCTCGCCGGTATGATTCTCCCCTTCGGCCTCGGGTGCGGCATTGCGTATGGACTATATCATCAATTCCGTACCGACGAGGGCATTGTCCCCATCTCGTTCCCCGTGTACATGCTCTTCATCGGCACGGCGCTCAGCATCACGGCGTTTCCGGTTCTGTGCCGTATCCTCACCGAGCTGAACCTCCTCGGCACGCCAGTCGGTGTTACGGTTCTCGCGGCAGGTGTAGGGAACGATGTCGTGGGCTGGGTGCTCCTCGCTCTGTGCGTTGCGCTCGTTAATAACGGGTCCGGCATCACAGCGTTGTACGTCGTTCTCTGCACAATCGGGTGGATCTTATTCCTCTTCTATGCTGTTCGGCCGTGTCTTATCTGGTTGCTGCGACGCACGGGGAGCATCAAGAACGGGCCAACCCAGGGGATGATCACGCTGATTTTGCTTCTGACGCTGTTCTCGGCGTGGTTCACTGGCGTCATTGGCGTGCATCCTATTTTCGGCGGCTTCTTGGTCGGGCTAATATGTCCCCATGATCAAGGCTTTAAAGTGAAACTAACGGAGAAGATTGAAGATCTAGTGACTGTGTTGTTCCTCCCGCTCTACTTTGCGCTGTCGGGACTGAACACGAATCTGGGGCTGTTGAATGATGGAACAGCATGGGCGTATGTTGTTGGGATTATTGCAGTTGCTCTGGTAGGGAAGATCGTAGGCGGGACGCTGGCGGCGAGATCTTGCAAGCTGGTTTGGAGAGAAAGTCTTACCATTGGCGTGCTGATGAGTTGTAAGGGATTGGTAGAACTGATTGTGCTGGTAAGCTCCCCAAGCAGTCGACCACACCAACAGCTATTAACATCCGTAGAACATCGGTCTCCAAGCCAAGATCCTCTCTACAAGAACCTTCACCATGTTCGTCATCATGGCCCTCGTCACAACCGTCATCACTTCCCCCGCAACCAGCGCCCTCTATCCGCCCTGGTACCAGAAGAAGCTCGAAGCCTGGAAGCGCGGCGACATCGACTGGGAGGGCAACGAGCTCCGCGCCTCCGCCGACTCCCTCGAGAAACTCGAGTCCACACAAATCCACAAACTCCTCGTCTACCTACGCCTCGAGTCTCTTCCAGCGCTATTCACACTCATCGACCTTCTCGGCGGCGAAAAGCCCGCCCCCATCACCCGCGTGCACAAATCGCGCCTCCCCTCCGTCCCCGAAGACCCCTCCTCCGAAACTACCACCCCCGAACACGCGCTCGAAGTCCACGGCGCGCGCCTCCTCCCCCTCACCGAGCGTACCTCGTCCGTAATGAAAGTTTCAGCAGCAGACGACTCCTCGTCCGATCCTATCCTCAACACCTTCCGCACCTTTGCGCGCCTCAACGCACTCCCCGTCTCTGGTACAATCAGCACCGTCCCTGTCACCTCCTTCGCCACCGAGCTGCTCTCCAAAACCTCTTCTCTCTCTCCCGACCTCCTTCTCGTCCCCTGGCCATCCTCCCTCCCGGCCGATAGCGAAGCCGACGCCCCGCCACGCAGACCCGCGCCGTTCACACCAGGCGCACACTCGGCATTCATTTCAGAGCTCTTATCCGAAGCCCCATGCAACGCAGCGATCCTTATTGATCGCAGTTTCGGCGCACCCGTCTCATCAGCCGACAGGGGACACCACATTTTCTTCCCCTTCGTCGGCGGAGCGGACGACCGCGTAGCTCTACGTTTCGTCCTTCAACTCGCGAAGAACAGACATGTCACCGCGACCGTGCTCCAGGTAATCCACACCGCAGCACCCGAGGTGAAGCCTCCCCCTCCCACAGTGCCAGGGATTGGCGCGGAGGCGTTCGCGCCGCGGTTGGGGATGGGTAGTCGACGCGGGAGCCGGGCGAGTGCGGTTGCGGCGGCGGAGGATGCCGTGCGGGGGATGGTGGAGAGGAGAGAGGCAGATGCGGCGTTCTTGTGTGCGCTGAGGGATTCGTTGCCTGCGGGGTTGGGGGAGCGGGTTGTGTTTTTGGAGGGGGAGGGGGGACAAGCGGTAATTGATGTTGCGAAGGGGGAGGTTGGGGGGGTGGGGGATTTGGTGGTTGTGGGAAGGGGGATTGGGGGTGAGGGAGAGGTGGGGAGGGTGTTGGGGGGGTTGGCAGCGGAGATGGTGGATGGGAATGTAGGGGGCAGCTTGGTAGTTGTTAAGGCTGGGGGAAGAGGGTTGGAGATGTAGAGGGGGGGTTTTGAGATGTGATCTGGGAGTTAGTTGGTATCGGATGTTTATACGGTGCATGGCTGTTCGTTGTTTATACTGCATTCCATATCCCCTGATTTACCAGCAACATCCACGATAATAATTATGACATTTGGGTTGTTCACACACACCAGAATACCACTGCTAAATTCTCAAGTCCAAAATATCAATATTATATCCTGCACCCCTTAACATAGATCTACAGCCCACCTCATCCCTCTCCCGGGCCCATTTCCGATCAAGACTTTGCAGATGTCAATTAGCCCCCCATAACCTCTCTCCGCATCTTATTCCACGCCAATGCGAAATTTCCCATCAGCTCAGCATTGATCAACGCTCACAAACTCTGTTCTAGAGGACTGCAATAGGTACCTTGATCTGTAATTAATCTTATGTCCCCTCAGTCAGTATATCCGGTTTCACATCTTCTAGATTTATTAGATTCCCTACTTTGAATTAGCAACCATGTGCAAAATTAGAAAGAATCGCACATAACCTATTATCTTCCCCGCCTTCAGGATGCCATCACTGTCGTTGTCGATTCGTCCGTCTTCTTCTTGGTCCTTGGGATCGTCCTCCACTCCATTCCCAAGCTCGCCACAAAGCAAACACCAGCAGAGGCCACAGCAACAAGAAACGCCGACGAAATCGCAACATTATACGCATCTCTCACCCCTCCCAACAGAGGAGCTGGGACAACATCTACCACACCAACCCCCCCAGCACTAACCACGCGGTTTACGTCAATGCCCGGGATCTTATTAAGATTCCCCACCAGCGAGCTCTGAAAGACATTCTGCGCGACTGCCGCGCCAATCGTGCCACCGAGAGACTGACAAAACGCTATCAGCGCGCCGGCAACAGGAATATCAGCCGCGTCGAGGACGACTTGGATGGCGAAGAACGGAATCTGCACGCCGATTCCGAAGCCGATCCCGCTGATGACCTGGTACCCGAACCACTCCCGCATCAGGCTTGAGCGGTGAAGGGTATGCAGGAGGCCGGTGCCGACGGCGAGGAGAGCAGCGCCGAGCCACATGAAGGGGATGTAGATGCCGCTGAGGGTGACGATGGCGCTGCTGATTAGGGTTGCGATGGCGGTGGTGATGCCGAAGGGGAGGATGCTTAGGCCGGAGGTTTTGGCGCTGGAGCCTTGAACGGCTTGGAAGAAGAATGGGAGGAAGTAGGAGAGTGCGAGGATGGCAAGTTGCATGAAGGAGACGTAGAGACAGCAGATGGAGACGGATCGCTGGGTGACGATTCGTGGGGGGATGAGTGCTCTGGTGGAATTGTAAGTTTTTTTCCATACAGCTGAAAAGTAGAGGGGAGTGTAGGAGTGTAGGAGTGTAGGAGCAGAATGGAGGTATGTATATACTCTTCCTTTCCTCGAATCTGTAGGCCGATAAATAGAATGGTGAGAAGCCCAAATCCGAGAAGCAGGCCCCAAACCCGAGAGTTGGACCAGGGATATACAGATCCTCCCCACTGTAGAGCCAACACCAGGCAAGTCAAATCAGCCAGCAATATAACAACATGAGCAATCCCCGACTTGGCCAGTTTTTGTTGAATCGAAAGTCCAGTTTTAACAACCGTAGTTGGCTTAAAAACAAACGTGACGATAGCCACTGCAATGGCACCAAATGCTGTTCTATATTAGCTTTTACCTCTTCCCCAATGACTAAAAAACATACGTAGGTTTACCCAGAAGCAGAACCTCCACGTCAGCCGAGGGGAATCTGTCATCAGTCCTCCAAGCGTTGGTCCAAGGACCGATGCCACGCCATACATACTCGTCACTATACCAACAAAGAGAGGTCTTAGGCGCATATGCACAGTATTGGCTACAATTACCAGACCTCCACAGAAGATTCCAGCAGCGCCAAACCCCGCCACTGCTCTGCCGATGATGAACGCCATAGAGCTTGGAGCGGCAGCGCATACTACTGAGCCTACCTCGAATATGGCAATGGAGGTTAGGAAGGTCAGTTTTAGGTCAAAATAGGTGTAGATCTTGCCGAAGGACGGCTGGAAGGCCATTTGGGTGAGGAGGTAGGCGCTCCCATACCAGCCAGTGACTTGTTAGTTTACGAGTAGCTGGTTCTGAAAAGATTTCTCACCAACGTCTCCCAAGCTATTGAAGCGGGTTGTGATTTTGGGAATAGCAGTAGCTTCAAAGAACTCGTCAGTAATGTCAGATCTGCAAAGAGAGCATTGAAGCATGCTGCATACTAATAATGCTAAGATCCAAAGCAATCATGAAAATCGATGCCATCAACGCAAGCCCTAGGAGGTGTAATGGAAGGCCAGTGAGATATTTTGTCTCGGGGGCAGCTGTGATTTCGGCCGTATCCTGGACAATTCCTTGAGGTGGCTCGCCAACTTCAGTATTTGCATTATTTGCCTTCTCATTTTCCTTGCTGGTGGCTCTTCGGCGAACAGTAAGCGTTGTAGCTCAATAATGCAAATAAAGACAGGAATTGGGTACTTAGGATGCCTTACTCTTTCATCTTGAAGTTAGGGGTGCGAACGTTAACAAGTATGTATGTAGTAGCTCGTAGTCGTCGACTCAAGCAATCGCAAATATGAAAATAGCAGTACAGTATTCCGATGTTCAGTTCAAAAGGTGGGACTTAAATATATACCTAGTTATTTGAAGCGCATTTATCACGCCCTCCATCTTACATTCTTAATAACCAATCACTTGGAGACGCGCATCACATTTATACGCCGATACTGAAAAGGGCGCTCAAACTGTTGGGGGGTGGCTGGCCTATTTAGCCGGCTCTTTTTAACCTTGCTACATCACCAACTTCGGCATTGTTCAAGCTGTTGCCTAGGTCTTCATCAGACAGTAAATCAACAGGATCAGAAACTCCGCGCGTCGTCGGATATGTCAGATGAGATAGATCGACGAATAGGATGTGTTTAATTTGCAGCTTATCAGATGCCGTAACGGGGTTTCAAAGCTTCATGTGCTGTACTAATCTGCGGAACAGAGAAACGGCTGAAGAAGACCACAACATATGGCAAAATATGAGGGGCATCCTGAGCTTATCGCGGGAATAAAACACGAAGGGTTTTGGGCGGTTGGCTTGATGTGCTGCCCGATTGGAGCCTTCCGTTATGGCTATTTAGCGCCCTGTGCTTGCTAATGCTGCAGTTCTCTGGATGCTAAAATGGTGTCTTAAGGGTGTAGGGGGTGGCCAGCCCCACTCGCTGACACTCCTCAATCGCACTCTGGCTCTAAAAACCTTGAACCTCATGAGCTGAGCCATCCTCCATTCCCCGATCAACATTTGCGCCATATAAATCGTAGGCTTTCGTTTGCAATGCATCCAGCAGCCGGTGACTCCAGAGAGTCATGCGGTCACCGACAGTATCCTCAGCTAAAGGCTCTTTCGGTTTGTTGGGAATTCTGAGTCGTATACGCGGTCAGCGTCACAACTCTCCGTTAGAATCCTTTCAATCCGTTGGGAATCTAGGGTCGTAGTGCTGATAGTCCTCGTCATCCGTATCACTTTCCTCCATCACATCCCTCACGGTCTTGACTTCCTTCGTGACCACCTCCTCTCCCTTCACGACCTCGGCTTCGCTCTTCTGCTCCTCTGGTTCAGCAGGTGTAAACGCGCTCTTAAACCCAGACTTCTTGAATCCCCCTTTCTTAGGCGCACCAGCTGCATTATCCCCACCTAACTTTATACTAATAAGGCCACTTCCAGCATTCGCTTTCGCCTCTGCCTTTCGAGCTTTCGTAGACGCCATAGGGTCACGCGTTAGTTGCTTCATGTCTCGTAGGCGCTGCTTATGGGCATGGTCGTAAGAGGAGAGGTGGGCTTCATAGTCGGGCATGCGCGAGTAGCCTTTGGTGCAGAGCTCGCAGTAGAACGATTTCGCCGCCTCGCGCGCGGATTCGGTTTTGGGAGCTGGGTTTTGAAAGCCGCGCTGGTTCTTATGTTAGCAGAAGTTATTGTAGATATTGTAATCAATAGTTAACGTACTGGAGGCATGGTTGCGTGTTTGTAATGTTCAAATTTTGAATTGGGAAAAGAGTGAAGCTCCAAACGCGATTTAATGGCGGGGCCTGGCAGGTAGGACCGAGCTTAGCACGGCTAGCACCAAACAGGCACAAGTGCAACCTTAACTGCACCCCGGAATTTGAGCTTATCCGCAGTGCCGCACATCACTTCTATCCCACCAGTTGCGACAGTTGCATTACTATTCACATAGTTTACAACCTACATAGTGCGAGATATGGAGCGGCAAAACTCCGCCGCAGAGGCTTCTCAAGAAACTCTTATATCCTTACAACAACTCGAGCCGTCGCCTGTTGAGTCGCCCCTAAACCTGGATAAACAACTTCCCAATCTTCCCAATGAAGTCTCACCCCCCCACCACGGAGTTGGAACTCTCGGTCTGAGCGGCTTCAATAATGGCCATGGCACTGTATATTACCGTGAGCCCCTCGTTATTTCGTTCACCCCTGCAACCGCAGACTAACAACCTCCACAGTAACCCGCCTCCAAAAATATTCCACTTACGCCTTCTCCCTCTTCGCCGCCATGCACATAACCAACACCTCCCTCCTCCCGCTGGTCACCAGCTCCCTCCCCGATGCCGACAAATACCTCCTCCTAACACGCCCCTTCTACCAATCTTTCCCCATGGAAGCCGCCCTCGTCACCGCGCCGCTTCTCACACACGTTCTCGCCGGACTCGCGCTGCGCGTGCACCGCCGCAACGCGACCCTCAAGCGCTACGGTGCCTCGAACCTCTCCATCGCGAACAGGCTGCAACAGCGCTTACGAATTTGGCCGGGCTTCAGCTGGCAACAGCTGGGGGGGTACGCGCTTGTTGGACTAGTGGGCGGCCATGCATATGTCAACCGCATCGTGCCGCTGATCCATGAGGGGAGCAGTGCGGGGGTTGGACTACAGTACGTGGCGCATGGGTTTGCGAAGCACCCGTTTATAGCGTGGTCGGCGCAGGTGGCGCTGGTGGGGGTTACGGCTGGGCATGTGGTGTGGGGATGGGCGAGGTGGATGGGGTGGGCCGGGGCGGTGGATCAGAAGACGGCGAGGAGGAGGTTTTGGACTATCAACGGTGTTGTGGCTACGGTTGCAGGTATTTGGGCTGCTGGTGGATTTGGTGTAGTTGCTAGAGGTGGGTTGACTACGGGGTGGGTGGGAAAGGGATTTGATGAGCTGTACAAGACGATTCCAGGTGTGGGTGTGTATATGTAAAGATTTGGATACTAAGGATGAAGGTGTATTTCGTTGTGAGGAAAGGGAGTCTGGAAGCCTGATATATTATAGAAATGAGATGAGAGACGACTTGTATGAATCAATGCCCAACAAGTCACGTATTCTAATATAGAGAACCGCATATAGTTCTAGTACAAGCCAATTTTATTTCCAAGCCGTATGAGGGGCTAGGCAAGAAGTTACGAAGCGGTTTGCACTGTCATCCGGTTAGGTATGCCCCATAGATAGGAAACACATCCACAACGACTCAGCTCAGTCCACCCTCCCCTCTTCCTCCCTCAAAGCACCTCTCTCCCCATCTTCATAAACTCTCGTAAGAAAATTTAGCCTACTTCTTAAGTAACCGAGTACACTCGTCTTTCCTGTATCGACAAAGGCTAAAATGACAGTTAGACACGCCTAAATGCTCCACCTGAAGAGATCTCACTCTTCTTGACGACAAGATTCCCCAGCTGGAGACCGTACTTCTGTTTCGAGCCGTCGTTCAGGTGGATGGCTGCAAAGCCGCTTGCCTGTTTTGTGTCGGGGCGATCCGAGCCATCTTGCTGGTAAGACGGCAGCGAAGACATGCCGCAACAAAGGCAGGTTAGCACACACTGAATGAGAAACCGACTTACCATTGCTAACATAATTAGATAGTCGTCTAGTCCCAGACTCAGGTCTCTCATTCTCCTTGACACAATGCGCAACGCCACAGACGCTATGGACACTACTCCGATAACCGCCATGATGGCGACGATGGCCCTGCCATCTTCGGCTCGCAGGCCGTATTGGCCCATTTCGTCGGACGACTCTAATGGAACAGGAAACGTCTTATTTCAAGACCGTTTAATATGAGAATGAGATATGAGATGCATACAGTCGTAAAAAAAACGTTCAGAAGCGGCAACAGAGACAAAGCTTTAACATTACATAGTCTACCATCCAGGGCTCACAAACTCGGACCATTGTCCCCATTGCAACATTCCAACATTCCAACAGACCATGAAACGTTAGAATAGACCGGTATCGATTGTTGGGTGATGGGAAAATGCAACTATTAAGATTAGTGTGAATAAGCGGGTCCTCGCTCCCTGCATCCTCGTTACACTGGTAAAGGAGGGGTATAATGGGGGCCAACTGAATTTCCTCTAAACAATACATACCCAGCTCCTCCTCGCCTTTTTTTAATGTAAGTACCAGTTCTAGACATTGCTTCTGTAAAACTGACTGCTTCTACTACTCTTAAACCAAATTGTTCGTGGTATCATGGCTCCCATTGATACAGACTCGGCCGCCGGACTGGAAGATGTCGCCTTCGATTTCGTCGTTATTGGAGGAGGAACGTCAGGCCTCGTTGTCGCGAACCGACTAATAGAAGACCCCCACGTACAGGTTCTCGTGCTGGAGGCCGGCACCAACCGCCTCAATGACCCCCGTCTGATGGCACCTGGACTAGGTATAGCGACATATGAGGATCCTGACTTCGACTGGAACTTCAGGTCAAGTCCGCAAGTGAGTCTCTGTTTTATCGCGACGTGATAAGGGCCGGCGCTGATGACGGCTATGTGCATCGCTATAGGAGCAACTCAATGGCCGCCAGTTGCTCGCATCCCAGGGACGGACGCTGGGCGGTTCGTCCGCTATCAATCTGGGCATGGTTATCTATCCCTCAAAGGTAGGGATGGATGCATGGGAAAAGCTAGGAACCCCCGGCTGGGGATGGGACGGCGTGTCGCCCTATATCCGCAAGTTCCACAAAGCAGCGGCACCACCTGACGAGGTTCGTCAGTTCTTCCAAGGGATGAAATACGATCTGCGGGATCAGGGCAGCGACGGCCCAGTCCAGGTCTCGTTTGGGGATCAATACATGCCGTATCATAGAGCATAGCTCGAGACTTTCAAATCCTTAGAGTATCCACAGATTGAAGATCCGATCAAGGGCGCTGGAACAGGCCCATTTGTCAGTCCTGGTGCCGTGGACCCGATTACTCACACGCGGAGCCATGCCGGCGCCGCTTACTTTGGGGACTCAATACAAAAGTGCCAACCTGCGAGTTGTAAACGGAGCGCTGATGGAAAAGCCCATCTTCGAGAGGAGGGACGGTCTCTTTGTGGCGACTGCCGTCCAAGTAAGAAAAGACGGTAACACATACAATATTCCTGTTAAGAAAGAGGTTATTTTAGCTGCGGGAGCAACGCACACTCCCCATATCCGTGAGCTCTCGGGCATTGGAAATGCCGATCTTCTTCGTTCTCATGGCATAGAGCCTGTCGTAAATAACCCCGGGGTGGGAGAGAATCTCCAGGATCATGGAACCGTTTCGTTTGAATAAGAGGTCGCTGATGGATTGCCCTCCGGCGACATGGCACGGGACCCTGCAGTCGCGGCTGCGGCCATGGCCGCTTATCAAAAAGACGGTTCCGGCCCGCTGGGTATGGTGCCACTCGTGTCTGCGTTCATGCCGTGCCTAGACTTCCCTCCGGACGAACGTGCGCAGCTGCTCCATATTATCGACATCCATAACGGCGGTGACATCTCCTCCGGCCAGAAGAAGCAGTTCGATGCTCTACGGCAGATCTTGCAAGATCCAAACGAACCTGCAGCTCAGTACATTCTTGCTCCTTTCCAGCTTCTGCCTAGAGAAGGGGCCCAGCCCCAAGGGAATCTTCGGGCTGGGACACCCTGGCTTCTTCGTCAGCATTGTCTCTCTCCTCACTTATCCCTTCTCTCGAGGCTCAGTGCACCTAAAGTCAAATGACCCAACGGGGTCACCCATAATTAACAGTGGCATTCTCCGCCATCCCGTCGACCTAGAGCTTCAGGCGCGCCATTCCATTTGGATGGAAAAGATTGCCGAGACGGACCCAATGGCTTCGCTTCTCAAGACTGTTGGCGCGCGTTTGCATACTGCGGAGAGGCTTACTGATGTGCACAAGGCCAAAGAGCTCTGCAAGGAACTCGTGCTGTCCATGATCCATCTCAGCGGGACGTGCGCAATGTTGCCGCCCAAGGACGGTGGCGTGGTGGACTCGAAACTTAGGGTCTATGGGACTTCGAATGTCAGGGTTGTTGACGCCAGCTTGTTTCCATTGGAGCCGCGGGGGACTATCCAGGCGACGGTATTTGCTGTGGCGGAAAAGGCGGCTGATATCATCAAGCAGAATGCATGACCTCCGTTACCGTACTACACGTCGCTATGGGTATGACCGTCTAGATTTTTAATTTCAATTTGCATAGAACTGGTAGAATCGTTTAAGTAAGAAGCAAAACCCTGGTATTTTGACATGTAACATTACCTGCTCACGTTAGTCACCTGCTGTTCACTTCACTTCACTTCACCCCAAAACTACCTTTAGGGGGAAATAGTGATAGATTCAGATCATATTTCTTGGTGTTATAACGTGATGCATTGTGTTGTACCGCGGTTTGGACAGCTATAGAGAACTAAATTGTAGATTGAGGAGTCTGGGCCCGTTGCTGCCTCAAGGTCGATCTTGGGGTGAAGCGAGGTTCAATTTCGTAAAAGTGCCGGACTTTAGCTGTTCTAGCTTACGTACCACTAATATAGCTCGTTATCCAGTAGTCTAGTCCATTAGCCGATGGCCTAGGCCGCCCATAATGCGAGCATAAGCACTTTCGTACTGTCGGTCTCCGCATAGTCATATCTTACGCGCGGGGCAAGCGCGGAGATCAAGAGTGTGGAAATGACGAGTGCGGATATCGTCCTAGCTCGGCATTGGAGTTACGCCCCGCTTTGTGGAGTTGGGCTATAGTTAGGTAGTTAGGCATCTTCAGAAGTTAAGCACAAGAGTAAACCCAAATTCTATCATCGGTGTTTTGGGACAACTGCGGTCACCGCGGTCGGCCATGGACTCTTACGCAGCACAGTAGATATATTGTGGCCTCGTCGGCTATAAAAAGCCCCGTCGTGTAGAAATGCTGTAAATACTACGGACTTTCAATAGTTGCAACGTTTTTCTGCTCTCTCCAACTAATTTCAGGCTCACTCAAAATGGCAACTAAGAAGATAGCCAAGATCGCGCTTGAAGAGGCATTTAATCTTCCCGACATCGATAATAGCAACAATAATTTCACGGCTCCAAATGGTGCTAAAGATCTCGGAGCGCAACTGGTAGATATTCACGAGCAACGTTTGAAAGGAATGGACGAGAATGGCGTATCATATATGATTCTTTCTCTTACAGCCCCGGGACCACAAGGCGAGACTAATCCGGAGGCTGCCCAGGCCCTGGCGGAACGGGCCAACAATTACCTTGCTGGTGAGATAGGAAAAAACCCTGCGCGATTTGGTGGGTTTGCCGCATTGAGCATGCACGATCCAAAGTCTGCCGCTCTGGAGGCCAGGCGCGCGATTAAAGAATTAGGTTTCCATGGGCTCCTCGTTAACGACTTTCAGTCGACTGGCGCTGATGGAGAGGGAGCAATTTTCTACGATCAACCGGAGTGGGATATATTTTGGGAGGAGGTTCAGGCCCTAGATGTGCCTTTCTATATCCATCCCAGGCTTACAACTCCGGCTGTCACAAAGCTGTTTTTAGATGGGAGACCATGGCTGCGAGGAGCCACTTATTTTTTCAGTGTTGGTAGGGTAACACCTTCCCTGGAATAGCAAGGCCGACGTGCTGACTTGAACCCATATAGGAGTTTCGCTCCACATTTTAGGAATCTATGTGAATGGAATCTTCGATCGTTTTCCCAAGCTACAGATTGTGATCGGACACATGGGTGAAAATTTACCATATCAGTTATGGCGTTTCGACCATCGTATGAGTTATTACGTGCATGAGCCCTTGCCAAAGGCAAAAAGATCTCTGCGTGAAACTATGAAAACCGTAATTCTTCCGTGCCACACACTTCATGGAATCTAACAACGCACAGAATATTTCGATTACAACAAGTGGGCATTACGGAACGCCCTCTTTATTGTTCGCAATCCAGGAGCTAGGCATTGACCGGTATGTAATATGAGCATACTAGAGTTTAGGCAGCCTCTAACGAGAAATTAGGGTACTGTTCTCTATTGACTACCCATACGAAACGATCGATGAAGGCCCCAAGTGGTTTGATAGTATTACGGAGTTGACTGAGGACCAGAAAAAGCAAATTGCATTCGGAAATGCAGAGAAGCTACTCAAGCTCAGTCCATTTCCCAAATAGGAATTAGCTGAATAAATGGACGGGGATTGTCTTCTCAGAATGAAGGTCATAGTTACATCATAGTAAAGCCTTCATTATCACTTCAAGACAAATTAAACTCCATGCAATGTCTCAGCTTGCCGCTCGTGATATTTACATTTTATCTTTCGAGGGAAATTGTCTTGTTAGCAGTTTAATCTAAACTTTCTCTCTAGTAATTTCAAGACCGCAAAAATGTCTGCGGAAATTTTGTAAGAGCCATAGCGCCGCTCTATACCACATCTACGTGAAATCCCCAATGCTCAGGTTGTCAAACACATACGCATAAGCTTGATATAGGCAAAGACCTAGGTTTCTAACACTACGAACGGGAGTCTAGCTGACTTTGGTGTTGTTGCTCGACAATGTCCATTCAAATTAAATTCATACAGAACGCAAAGGCGTACGCTTTGGGAGGGTGCATTTTACTTCTGGATCAAGCCGCCCCACCACACAAAATAGGTGAATAGGTGCGGCTCAGAGTCAACCGGCCTAGTACTCAAAGAGGTGAGTTTGAGCGAGGATCAAAAGGAGCTTCCGACCTCCAAGAGTGCCATGAGCCTATAAAGCTGTCGGTGGGACATGGATCCATGCTGGCTAGTTGGATAAATGGAAATTACCGACATGTGAAGCAAGAAAAGAAAATGGGGCTGAAGCTGAAGCGGAGTGCACTGGTATGAGACCGTAGAACTATTGCAGTTGTCTCTTGGCGGGCGGGTTCCGCTCTCTTGGAGTGCGGATCCCGCCTGCTTGGAGTGGGGACCAGAAGTCTGGGGTAGACCCGTTTTTACCCTCAAACAGTGGGTTCACCCTGCGATTTCCATCGCAACCCCTGATCTCCAACAGCACTACAATAAATACGACGTAGATAATTGGAGATTCTCCAAAACACCTCTAGTATACCAACTGTTTTGCAAGGTAGGACGACGGGACAGGAGCGGGGTTTAGGTCCTTTGTCTCATGAAGTATTGATTCGGCAGTTCTATTATTTGGTCAACTACCTTCTTTCGCTCTTGGCCATTACCCCAGATTCTAAACATACACTTATGGAGATTGACTATGCATGGTAGGGCAATATTGAGGTTGGCATTCTGCTAGCCTGCTGACTGAATATAAAGCATAGACGCTGGTACGCCCTATTTTTTTTATGTTTGTACAGAAATCCTTATATGTGCTGAACAGAGAGAATGGAACACAACACCGACCAGAAGCAGGTTATTAAGGCTGAGAGCGATGTATCTCATGTCGAAACCATTGAATATCCCATGGGCTACGCAGACCCGCATCGAGCTGCTTTAGAGGACAATCCAGAACACGCCGAAAAGTTGACTCTGTCCGTCGCCCTATCCGCTTTCTTTCTAGGCACATCGCTCACTGGGCCAATTGTGTTTGGCTTCCTCTTCGTCAGCACTATTCTTGTGCAGCTCACGCATAAGATTGGTGGCGAAAACAACAGCTTCTGGATTCCGTCAGGATGGAGCGCTGCGGCAGGAGTCGTTTCCTGTATTGCTGGTCGTCTTTCGGATATCTTTGGTCGACGTGATATCCTCCTTTTTGGCCAGTTTCTTACGATCGCGGGGGGAATTGTTGCTGCAACGGCAAACACAATGAATCAGCTTATTGCTGGAGAGGTCATGCTTGGCGCATCTATTGGCGCTGTAGCTGTAGCCTACGCTGGTTAGTTCAAGTGTCTTGAGATGTTATAGCATTTGTTGGGTGTATTCTGATATACTCTAGGAATCTCTGAAATTCTTCCAAACAAATACCGTGGCATCGGCCTAGCTTGGACTGAACTCAACCTGGCTGTTTGGGCTGTTCCGGCTACCCTCCTAGCTAACTTGATGGTGACCAACGCGAGTTGGCGGATCATGTATTACATCGCCATAGGATATGGCACATTTTCCCTAGTTGGCACCGCCTGTGTCTACTTCCCACCCAAAAATCCTCGTGCTGATGGTAAGACAAAGTGGCAGCAGTGTAAAGAGCTTGATTTCATGGCCATCTTTCTTTTCGTGGCCGGCCTTGTGGTGTTCCTTTACGGTCTCAACTCTGGTGGCACCACCTACCCATGGGTTAGTGTTGGCACTCTTGTTCCATTGGTTCTCGGCTTGACTACCCTTCTTGCTGCATTTGCGTACGACTTCACCGTTGCAGATGATCCAATCTTCCCGTGGTATCTTTTCAAGGCCTTTCGAAGATATTCAGCCCTCCTCGTTCTCATCTTCATTGCTAGCATGGTGTTTTACGCTGCCGCAGCTCTTAATGCGCAGACGATTCTATTCCTCCATTCGGCGGACCCTGTCAAGATCGGGATATACTCTCTACCAAGCGGGTATGTACATGAAATTTGACCCTAATAGAAAGCTACAGCTAATGTCCCCTTCTAGTTTTGCTCAGCTCGTCGGCGGTGCTATATTACCTGCCTTTGTTCATCGCATTAAACACGTCCATTATCAGATCGCCTTCGGCCTCTTTATGCAGACCTTATTTTTCGGACTTGCTGCCCTGATAACGCCTACCAATCTTAACTGGCTTATGGCCGTTCAATTCCTCGCTATGTTTCCATTCGGATGGGTTACCCTCAATTGCTACACGACGGCATCCCTTAATATACCTCAACGAGATCTCGGCGTCGCTATCGGATTAATTGGCAGCTTTCGCTCCATAGGAGGTTCTATCGGCTCGGTTCTGTTCTCCTCAATTTTCAACCAAGTCGCCGCCAAACAGGTTGCTAGTCGCATCGCCGTGACAGCAGCAAAGGCTGGAATTACCCCAAATATGATCCCTGCTCTCATCGGCGCGGTTGAGGGCACGATAGTGGGCGTTCCTGGCCTAGACGCCAAGTTTCCTAACGTGCCCGCCTCAGTCTTCAGCGATTGTGTCAGTGCAGCACGGCATGGGTATGCTTATGGACTCCGTATTACATGGTTATCTTCTATACCTTTTGGCATCGTTGCTGTCGTCTGCGGTTTGTGTGTCCTGGACCCGTCGAAATATTTCACGAATCACGTTGAAATCCACCTTGAGAAGGAAATTGGAAGGGGGGAGTCATCAGCGCGGGATAAGGAAATACACGAAGAAAAGGCTATGGGTGTTACAGGTTCAGCATGATTAGGACTCAGGCTCAGTGCTAGTGGAAGTTTAAACATATGCCCACTGTGAGCACGTTCCACTTACTGCTTCTACCTTTTGCTTCTCGACTTGATTAAGTTTGTGTCCTTGTCGCACCTTTGCCTTGCCTAATCTGGCGCAAAGCTTCCCTTACCCTTACCTACAACGTTGCGATGAGAAAATGATACTTTGGTCGCTAGTAGACGTTGAACTATATCCCTGTGGTAGAGTCCAAATGCGCTCTCGTCTCTTATATGTAGCTCGATATGAGAGTTACTGGATATACAACCATGGACCCAAGAGAATTGGGCATCTAGCCCACTATACCATACACAAGCGCACGTAATATTAAATTAATACTCTCGATCGCGCCTATAGGCTTGGTGTGGATTATGAGCCCCTTGCCGCCTCAAGGAATTTCTAGGTATGTAGTATTTCGGCACTGTAGCCCATTCCCCTCAATTGTTCTATGATTTAAGAGCCATGGCTATTTATTGCCTTGGCGTACAAACGGCGATGCCAACGACGGCGGTGAAGGTCTAGCGGATAGGATTTGTCTACAGGATCACACCACTTATCATACCACTTATCACACCACTTGCCATTTTCAGGACGAACAGGGGTGCCGAGCTTACTCGTGCGGGCTAGAAGTCTCCGTGTACCGTAGTACGTGCACGCAAAATAGCTACTCTAAGTACCAAATGGCCTGTAGTTCTTACGTTTGTGACTTCGTGGGCAGATTGAGACAAGGTTATAATTGGCTACAGTGCACGGACCTAATACTACAAGACCTTGGAACTCTCACTTGTGCTATACCCATCCACGACTACAGTCAGTTCGGAGTCATAGTCATACTAAGATGAAGTGCAAATTGCAATTAAATATCCACTCATCTGATTTATTGTGCTTTTAAGGACTCTCCTACATTCCTCCATCTCTCTCTGTTTATTTCGCCTGTATAACTTTAACATTGGCCTTCTTTCTGTTCGAGTAAGTCTTAGTTGTTGGAATTGGCCATATCTATCCACGCTCACCACTTCGTAGCAGACTCCTGTCACATCAACGTCATTCTGTGGAAGAAATATCCTGCAACTTGCTTGCCATCAGTTGAAATATCTCACCTAATTCACCAATAAACTGGGTCATAAAGTGGTTGCGCATGAACAGCAAGTTCGTCTTGGCTTGCAGCTATGATCATCACACGGGGATTCTCCTTTACCAACTTTGCTATCGCCACATCCGCTCTATGCTTCCAAGTTTTTGTCTTGTACCCATGGCACCAGCGATTAGATGATGACTTCCAAGATCTAAAGGCGGAACATCTCAGGGTTCTACATGGAGGCGAGAAGGCTCGTATGGCCGAGCTGAAAGAAATAAGGGAGGGCCTGAGCGTTTTGAAGAAAAGGCCAACCTAAGATGGTTATAGTTTTGTGTACAATCTTCATCTCCGCCCACACTCACATCTTGTCTTTGTCTTTTAAAGGCAGAAATTCCAAAATACTGTCTTGAAAGGATATCGACAATGGCACAATCAGTTAGTACCTGTCGCAAAATATGCGCGTATAGACTAGACTTCTTATAGAGCGTAGCAACAATTACGATATGGGAAGATCGTTTAAACGATTCATGATTTATTACTATCTCTTGAGTAACCTATGTTAAGTTCATTCAAAATAACACCAAGAACTCGATAGTGAAAAGGGCCCACAATCCCTGCAACGTGTTAGAACTAAATCCTGTATGTAGTCTCGAATCGAAGACTATATTCAATTCCCCCCACATTTTTCTACGTAGTCGCTCGGGCTAGAAGGCTGGAAGCCGGGGGTAGTGGTGCTACGCGCAGCAGTGCCACCCAATCTAGATATCTCGGGTTAATTGCAGACCAGTGCACCGTTCGCCTTCTTCATCGCAACCCATCCTTACATTTATGTGCCTGACGAATACAGAAGAGAGTTTTTGAGTGAACGATTAAGACCCAGGTCTCTCTCGGTGTTTTATAACCTCAAATATACTGATTGGCATACTCTGTTGTGCAGTATTTCTTCATTAAATGTCATGACCAGTCCACCCACCAACACGCAGCTGATGAGGATCGATGCGGCTGCGTCAAAGACGACGCATATGCGTCCTGATACGCACACCGGGCTCCAGCTATACTCTAGATATGCTTTCGCTGGAGCAATTTGCTGCTCAGTAACTCATGGGGTTCTCACACCCGTGGATGTGTCCGTCTCCTCACGCTACACCTCTCTACCAAGTTTGCTAACCTGCGATGTTTCCATAGGATCAAAACCCGAATCCAGCTTGACCCTGTCACGTATAACAGAGGTCTGATAGGTACTCTCCGACAAGTCGTTGCTAAAGAGGGCGCTCAGACTCTTCTCACCGGCCTTGGGCCTACAGTCGTTGGTTACTTCTTGCAAGGAGGGCTTCGATTTGGAGGCTACGAGTTTTTCAAAAGACAGAGCACTGAATGGTTTGGGCATGAGACTGCGTCAAACAATCGCACCGCCATTTACCTTACATCAGCTGCACTTGCTGAGTTCTTTGGCGATATCGCTCTATGTCCACTTGAGGCCACCCGCATTCGTCTGGTAGCTGAGCCTAACTTCGCCAGTGGCCTTGTGAGTGGTTTCGCCAAGATAGCCAGGCACGAGGGTATCAGTGCATTCTATTCCGGCTTTGGGCCCATATTGTTGAAGCAGTAGGCATTTCTGTCCGTTATCTATGATATAGCCCTGATGCAGCTAATAACCAGTATTTAGGGTCCCATATACAATGGCTGCGTTCGTCGTCTTCGAAAATGCTCAGTCAGTCGCATATAAAGCGATCGACAAGTCGACGATCTCCAACACTGCACAAACTGCCATAGACTTGGGCTCTGGCCTTCTCGCTGGTTTTGCAGCTGCGTTCGTCTCGCAACCTGCCGATACTATGTTGAGCAAGATCAATAAGACTAGGGGCCTTCCTGGAGAGGGGACTATAAGTCGGTTGAGTAAGATAACAAAGGAGCTTGGGTTTCGTGGCAGCTACAGTGGAATTGGACCTCGCCTGGTTATGGTTGGCGGTATGGGCGCTGGCCAATTCGCCATTTATGGTTCTATCAAGAAGGTATGTGTGCTCTCTCTGATCTATGCTAAGTTTGATAAACTAATACAAAACAAGGCCCTTGGAGCGACTGAATGAGTAGAGATCTCAGGGGCGGGTCCAACATTATTGTTTGAGATAGAAGGTGGCTTTTCAGCGCCTACTTTACTAAGTAGTCACCTCCTTAGGCGCGGAGAATTCATATCCAAGACAAATTCTGCATCATCATGTATGTCTTTCGCGATGCTCTAGATTACTTTAGTTATAGGTTCATAGTATCCATATATAAGTGCTATTCATGCTAAAAATTTATAGCCCCTTCTCGGGACGCTTCCTTCCTGCTAATGGTCGTCTTATACCACAATATGAGAGTTAATGTCACATACGACCATAGACTCAAGAGAATTGGGCATCCCGTCCGCTCTGCCATACACAAGCTTGAGATCGGTGGATTAGTAGTTGGGTGGGTGACCACCAGCGAATACCCACTGTTGTATGTTTTTTACTTTTTGCCGTTATGATATATCAGCGGTCGGTGTATGGCGGTAACACGCCCCCCACTATCGCAGAATAGATATTAGCTTGTTTCTGGCTTTTGTTGTGTGCAGAGGAGTCTGAGAGATGCTCAATGAAGTACCTACGATCCCGCAGACAGCCTTCTCCGTGCATATGTAGTGTTCATCAGGGGCTAGTGAACTTCATGACCCCTTTTGCAGGTGTATATGCGATCAAGACTGCCATATCAACGAAATAAATCGGCGGACTACTTACCTGCAAGATAATCGTAAGAATGCCACCTAATATATATCAATATATCCACCCTACGACGAATTGGCTCTGAAGACACAATCTTCAAATTTGCCTTTTCCCGAACCCAGCCGAGGGCAACCACAATTCTGCCAATAATCAAAGTGAAGAGGATGGCTAGCCTGCACGGATACATCCATGCGGCAGAGCACATAGAAGTAGCAAAGGCATATACACGACGGTCTCGTCTGAGCAGGAGCAGAGTTTATGTGGCAACTTCGTGGGTAATATTCTGACCCTGGCTTCCAGCCACTTCGCTGGCGTCGCGGTGACGAACTCGGGCCGGCAGTGAAAAGGGTCGGTGACAGGAGAGTGGTGGCGGTGGTGGTGAGACCAACTAGTGACAGGAGAGTAAAACTGGCAGCACGGCCATGGTGGGAAGAACCGAATGTCGCCCCGGCCTTGTCGCCGAGGGCAGCAACTTGGCCATGCTCTCTTGGTGGAAGGAGTCTTCGTTCGGGATTCCGAGACGGGCGGTGTGATATTCGAGGACCGCGCGATTGGGCTACTGGTTGCAGGGTCGCGGAGCGAGCATTATTTGTAGGTGATCGTACGGCCCACGGGATTCAAATGGGGAAGGGAAAGGCGAACGCGGAGAGTAAGTAAGCCAGTCGAATACGCATAAGAAAGGACATTTCTCCCATGGCATCTCCGTTGTTCAGCGTCTTGTCACCTCTTTTCACCCACAATACTCGGAACAATCACATATGACCATAGACTCAAGAGAATTGGGCATCCCGTCCGCTCTGCCATACACAAGGGCTCTGGCCCCAACCACTAAGTTAAACCAACCGTTTTGAGGCACAGATCTTTCACACCGAGTGCGGAGGAGGATGATACCTGTCTAATAACTGCCGAGTCAACTGAAGGCACGGCATGACTTTGAAAGGGAGGTGTCAGCTGTATGTAGCAATGCTATTCTAAATTTGTAGACATTCTTAGTAATTTAGATCGCAAAGAAGGCATGTTTATTGTTTGTAGTTTATGTGAATAGCGGCTAGCTGCACCCATCTCTTGCAATCGGGGCGGAAACCAACGGGCCTAGCATCCTCGTTGGCTAAGCCGCGAGATCGTCACCGAACCAACGAGGGTTTTGGCTTGTCAGGCTTGTCGATCGAAGCTTGACCTTTCCCTAACAGGGGACGATTCTTGCCCATTTTGGTAGGCGGGGGTCTTGCTTAACGTATACGACCCTCTTCACTGTTGTAGGCACTAACACATGTTCACTGGTGCTCATTCCCACCAACTTCGTCAAAGTTATACAGGTTCGCTATAGTAATATTTAATTGATTGCTGAAGTCTTTGAATTCATGAAACCACTGTTGGATGGCATTTGCATCATGGGAAGCAACACGAGCTGTGTTGCTCTAGAGCATGTTCTAGTATCTAGTTCACAATTTAGGCTTGATCGTCCTTTTCGCTTTTATAATACTGGAAGGGTTGCATTTTCGTACGAAAGTGCCGCATGTCTGATTTTGTACAGTTTGGCGAATGTGTAGACAAGCACATTGCAGTTAGGCAAGAAGTTATGGCGTAAGCATCTTGGATTCAGTATAATTGAGATCCCTGACTAGCTGACACGTCTGACATCGAATGGCAGCCTGCTGCTCTCGCCCATCTCCAAATCTCCGACAAGAAAAAGAAGGCTATGCAGGCTCTTTCCTAGGCGCACATGAGGCGAGCATCTGGCGAGCATCTGGCGACGGCTTCGAAGATTTCGTAGTTGGGAAAGGCCAAGGCCTTAATGTGCTCCTGCAGTACTGTGAGTGATCTTATGAACTAATAATAGTATACTAACTTTCATATAGCAGCCCACTAGGTGTAGGGAAGGCCTTGATAGCTAAGGTCCTATCTAAGCATCTTCGGAAGCTACTATATTTAGTATATCCGCTTATACATCATCTTACTGCACGTACTAATAATACAGGTCTCTGCGGGCGAGCTGGGCACGAGTGCAGAGAGCGTTAAGGCGCGCATTCTAGGTATCTTCCAACGCGCTTTAAAATGGAAAGCTCTTCTCCTACTTAATGGAGCAGATGTTTACTTAGAGCAGCACTTGCCCTTAGTGATAATTCGCAATGCTATAGTCTATGTATTCTTACGAACGCTTAAATATTATCAGGGGATTAAGTTCCTGACGACTAATTGGGTCGCACACATTGATGATGCTATCGCTAGCAAAATCCAGTTCAAGATCAACTATAATGCCCTTAGCGTAGATCAAAGAAGGAAGATCTAGGAAGTCTTTCCGAGAAAGGCGGTTACAAATCAAGGACAGCCGGATTACGACAGCTGGGGCCTCGAGAACCTAGTGCGAAGGGAGCCCAATCTCATTTGGACATCGCTATTGATGCAAGTGCCAATTTCGAATCCGACTTTCGAGGCGGGGGAAGGACCGAAAATATGCGCAATTACATAGGATCTGAGAAGCCCACTAAGCTGTGATCTTTGTCTTCTGTCTGCATAAGTAGACCCGAAACGTCAACTACAATTAAATCATCCTCGGATGACGCCGAGTTAGGGATGCTCGATGAAGTTGTTGTATCTGTCGGAGCCATGATAAATATATGATGAGACAAGAGTGACGCTGAAAAGGTGCGAAGATTCTGGATAGTTCAGAGATTGTGAGAGCAGTAGACAAGCCATAACAAATTCACATTTACTTCGCCACTATCTGCCTAACTGTAACTAATATTAAATATATATCTACTTGAAACAGAACTGCAGCGGTTTCTTAGTAGCCAACCCGTGTCTCTCTCGGCTTTAACCTAAAGTCACAGGCGCATAGCTCTGGTTAGGTGTAACCACAACCCCATTAGCCAGCTGTTTGTCGGTATAAGCGGGCCACACAATCAGCTTGTTCGAGTTATCAACGACCGACAGCGTCGTGAAACCGTTGCCGGGACCGAACTGTCCGCTCCACCCGGAACTGATGGTGAATCCCCCACAGTGAACCCCATTAGTAGAAGCATGAGACGCGGGCTTTCCCGTCACCGTGTACTGGCATGGCGTCGGATTCGCCGTGTGCGTTGCGATGTTAAAAGACCATGTACAGGAGGTGTCTGCCGCGTTGCAGGTGCGCACCATTCGCTCGATCGTCCACTGGGCTACGTTGGCCATCATGGACTTGGCGTCGGCGGGGGCTGGAGCCGGGGCGGCGATGATGCCAGCGGTGACGACCGCAGCGAGGAGCATTGTGGTGAGTTGCATTGTTGGATATTGTTTAAGGAGGCTGGGACAAATCTCTGGGGGTTGACGGTATGAAATTTGAGACGTTTCAAAAGCAGCTTCGTAACTTTGGGTATTGGTTTGGGTATCGAAATCTGATTAACGTAGCAAACGATTTAGAGGCTTATGAGGGGAGATAGGGGTCTTTATATAGTTACCAGACAGCCCCGCGAACCACAGTTATGACCAAATATACTCTAGTCCGATCAGAAATTGGTGGGACGGTGCGCTCATGCGTTACGACGAGGTGTCTTTCAACTTGCCGTACGAGATGATCTACAGACGCCAAGTTCGTATTCTTCGTACGTACAGTATCGGAACAGCCTCGAAGAGAACCCTCCCCAATCTAGAATCAATCCGCTTGGGAGTTATATTGAATTCTCGTAATATTAATATATTATGCCTTCTAGGGAATTGTGACCTATACTAAAGTGGTGATATTATACCTCCCATGTTTCTTAACCTTGTGTTCCCTCGGCTGCTATACCGGGGATTTCGTGAACATAGGTATGCTGGTAGTTAAAGTTAATGTTCTACTGTATCCGGTCAGGGACTGTCAATGGCAGTTCTCATACGTTATGTTCCTTGTTTACTTGCTATCCGTCCTGGTACAGAAACCAGATAATTTGGTAGTAGCTAGAGGTATGGTTCTGCTGTGTTGGTGTAGCACAGCTCTGAGTAACCTCCTTCCTTCTGCAAGGACTTCTTCCGAGTTTGACTGTGAACTGGTATCCCTTGAACCTAGACTATTTCTATCAGGTGATCGCAAACACGGGTACGTCACTCTCCACCAGTACTTGCACCGATTGAGACACTGACATACCCGGGCTCTCTCAGTATTGTTGGTACCATCCATCTCCACGACTTGGCCACTACCAGCGGCCCAATGAGAGTCGCGCCGTCGTTTGGCTGTCCTCCCGCGCAACTGGAGGGCGGCCTCTCGTCACAAGAGAGAGGTTGCACAGTTAGAAAACGAGGAGCCGCTCATCAGCTGATGCCGCCGCAGGGATAAACTCGATACGAGAGGCTAGAAGTGCTCTAAACTGGTGGCGTGCAGGGCCGAGCGAGGAAGAACCCTAGTTATTATCGTCCTGCGCCCTATCGGTATCAATAAGAGAGAGGTTGCACAGTTAGAAAACGACGAGCTGCTCATCAGCTGATGCTGCAGGTGACAAACTCGATACGAGAGGCTAGACGTGCTCTAAACTGGCGTGCAGGGTCGAGCGAGGAAGAACCCCAGTTATTATCGTCCTGCGGCCTACCAGTATCAATAAGAGAGAGGTTGCACAGTTAGAAGACGAGGAGCCGCTCATCAGCTGATGCTGCAGGGGACAAACTCGATACGAGAGGCTAGACGTGCTCTAAATCCGCTCTGTTGCTCTCGCAACGGGCGCTAGCAAGCTTGTGCCGAGCGGCACACCACTTTACCAAGGCAAGGATTTCTCGCGCACCCCAACCAGTAGCACGCTTTTGTATTAATCGCTCCTGTCGTTTCTAATTTCCTTAACTTGTCTCCGCCTGCTTGTTGAAAGAACTAATGTGAGCGCTTCTAGGTACCTTTTGGCCGTATCGGCCAGTCCTAGGGTCGATTTCATCTTGTCCCCCAGTCCATGATATAGGTCAGAGACCAACGACAGTTCATGGCCTTCAAATCCTTGTGCTAGTGTTTTGAATCCAGAGATATAATCTTCAATAGAACCGTCCTGACGACATGTTTCGAGTTGCTGATTTTTGGCCAATCTCCTATACATAGCAAGAATTTGGAGTTCTATTGACTTCAAGCTGAAGATGCTCGGTTTTTCTGATCGGTCTTTCGAGATGAGCAAATCCTTAATCTCATCTCGCAACCCCGCATGGAAATGAGCGGTCAGCGCCGCATCGTTCATTTTGAGTTTGCAGTAGCTGATTGAAAGTCAGAAGCGTATTCATCGATAAAGCCGTTCTGAGTGATGTCCATCAGCTTTGCACTCATCTTGAAAACCATGTATCTCAGCAAGTTGTAAGACGACAAGCCAATAATAAGTAGAGTTGTGAAGGAAGGGCCGGAATAGTACGAGCGGGTGAAAGGCTGAATGATGCAGTGCAGGCCATAGGAGTCATAATGCGGGAAACTGTCGAAATCACAGACCCCATGGGCTAATGATAGCTACGTCAACGAATGTCACGATAGAAAATGCAACGCTGTCAATGCGGCATACGCCTTCGTCAGAGCAAAATCAGGCGTCTGTACCATCCCCGTATCCACAAACTACTTCTCCCAATGATCAACCAGCCGCTCCAAACGCCTGGCTCCCTCTCCGCTAGATCATCCAGCTCCCCTGGATCAACTTCCAAATCATACAGCTCCCACAGACGCCACAGACGCCACATGTGGGACCTACGATTTCCCCCGCGGCACGACGTCCGCGCCGTGGTGCGCCACGCCAGCCGTCCTTGACTGTTGTGAAGGCTGGGGTTATGGTATTAGCTTGCGCGGTGAAGGGGGTAGCGGACCAGGCAGGGGCAGCGGATGCCGCCCTCTGTGATACAAGCTTGTCGATTATCATGCATGTTGGTTCAAATTAGCCCATTACTCGTAAGTGGTAACTGGTTACAAAGTCCAACAAAAGCAATCTCCGTCTCTCAACTGTACAGTATAACCTCGCCTTTGTGCGATAGCAAGTCTGTCGTCAGGAGTAAGGACTAGTCGTCCCATAGTAGCAGTCACCTTAACAAAAAATATATATGATGTAGACAGAGGCTATAAAATATGAAGCGGGTGACTAGCCCTTTATACCATTTTCTTAGTTCGTCCGTACTCCCCTTGCTCACCCATCTAGCTCACCTCCTCACCCTGCTCACCATGCTCACCTTGCTTAGCATGCTCACCCACTCACCCATAGGCGTCCACTCGCGATATAACGCGTTGTAAAAATAAGACCCACTTTTAGGTAGTCGAGGAGTCGAGATAGTCGCGATTACAAATAAAGGTAAGGGCGGCGGGGCTCACCCACTAGGCTAGATGAAACCCCGATTTAACTATTAGCTAGAGGATTGCTTGAGATCGGTGGATTAGTAGTTGGGTGGGTGACCACCAGCGAATACCCACTGTTGTATGTTTTCTATTTTGCCATTTTGTTCTTGACTGCCACAAGTTAGCAGCGTTTCCGTCCTGAGAATAAAAGAGAGATGTGAGTATATACGCCTGCTAGCCATGCAGAACCGGGAAGTCACGGGTATGTTTTTAACGGTGTTTTAAATCCACCAGCTACACTCACAGACACAATTCACCAACTACAGTTCTATAGACTTCGATCTTCTAATCCGAAGACAAACCGAGATCCCGCGTATCAACCCAATTACCATGCAGACCAGCTCGCAGTCGTATTGGAAGGTAAACAATAGCTTGCGCCTTCGAGAAATCCCTTGTATCAACGATGTGAAGCTCACTCGACATCAGACCGTAATTGTTCACCAACGCCATCAACCATCCATCTCCCTCCTCCGCGCTGTCCGACCGAGGAATGAACACAGGCTCCTGAACAAAGTGCTTCGTCCCAGGAAAGTACTTCTCATACCGGCCCGTCTCGACATTGAGATGGCCCAACGCGTTGTACGGCGCATGACCCCCGCCCATGACTGGCGCAATGGCAGCAAAATCGGTGCCGAGCCTCGAATCCATGACGTCGAAGAAGCAGTGCGCGTGCTTGCTCATTGAGAAGCGGTCATCGATCCGGTAAAACTCCGAGTCCTCGCGCAGCAGGACTTCTGGGGTGGGGAGATCAAGGTCCGTGGATTGCGGGTCGATCGTGAATCGCGTGAGGTTCGCGGTGATCTGCTCCGGGTTTGGTGCACCGCCCTCGGCGTCGGGCCACCAGAAGAACACGTTCTTGTCGCTCAGGGGGAGGTCGAATATGAGCTTTCCGTCGGCTGTCTCATAGGCGTTGGAGGTATGGCCTGGGAACGAATTGGGCGCGCGGAACCACTAGGCACATGGTCAGACTGGGATTTCTGAGTTTGGAGAGGCGCGGGGATCAGAATCAAGTGATTGGGCTAACCTTGACGTCAGAGCCTTTCGCTCCGCGCCGGGGCAATACACCGATATAGAATGGGATCTTTGGATTCCACTGCCAGTGCTCGCCCCCTTGCTTCAACCGTTCACTATCGCAGGTCTGAGGGATTATAGGGAATATGACCTGCGCCTTCGAATTAGCTGTTTTTTCTGCTCAATCACGTGGTCCTTGGTGATCATCGCCACCGCCACAGTCAGAACATACCCAATTCTCTGTTACGGCGAAATCGTGAATCATAGCCACGACTGGCGAAACCAGCCAAACAGTCTCCTTGAAAGTTCCATCAGGCGCGATCGAATAATAACAAATATCTGGCGTGCCGTCCCCCTTTGCCTCATAACCAAAGCAGATCAGTTCTTTTGTAACGGGATCAACCTTTGGGTGAGCTGTAAAGGTTAGCGATGGCAGCTGTCCGTTAAAGTCCCATAATCCAATCGTCTCAAGTGTTACGGGATCCATGGCATATGGAGGCGAATCTTCTTTGCAGGCTAGCAGTACCCCATTGAAATAGACAACATTTGTATTTGCAGTGCTGCGGACCTTGAATTCTACGGCATCGGTGTATTTGTTTCGATACTTTCCTGCAATATTAGAGAGTAAGACTAGGTTTTCCAAGGCCACTCTCTTGGAATTGGCTACTCACCCAGTAATGCGCGCTGTGCCTTCCTCTCCCTGAGAAACTTTTCTGTCCTGACGTACTTTTGCTTAAAATTGATTTTTCCACACTGAATCCGAAAAGCGCTGACATTGCCATCGCCATTAAACCACTGATTGATATTAGATACGACCCTAGTTAAGAGGAAGTGAGACTTACAGGATCATTTTCAATGAACGGAACGAACTGGGGATCTGGCATCACGCGATAGAATGTGCCATCGATCTCTGGTGGGATTGAGCCCTGAACCTCTAGATTCTGCACTTCGCCCTCAAAGCGACAGGGCTTCATAAACCCCGAGAATTGGGGGTAATTAGGGAAACACTGGGATCCCTGCTGCTGGGATCCCTGCTCCTGGAGAGCTCGAAAATGGCCTGACATGATCTGAAGAGTTAACCTTAATGGGTGTGTTAAACAGAAAATTCGAAAATGAATATACAAATAAGTCAGGATTTCTGGGGAAGGGTGGTAGTTGAAAGGTAGCTATGGACCTGTTGAATAAACGCCCTGTCATAGTTGTGGCGACCTTCCTCTCCCCGGATTGTCCCCCCCGGATTGTCTCCTCGGATTGTCTCCTCGGATTGTCTCCCCGGATCGCCTATTTCGGGGTGGGGCTCCGGGGATAGATCGGCCCAGTCCCCGCGCTTCCTAACTACAGTAAAATCTCGATAAGTAGATTGTGCTCCAGATACCCCTGTTCTGAGTATTTTCTAACGGCTTATAGTGAACATCGTAATATCGTAATATTCTTGCAGTGAACAGGGGGGCTGGTGCCAACGAAACATATCAATTTAACGTGAATATCGGCTGATGGTGTATCGACTTGCCGAAGGGTGGTTCAACACCACCGTCGAAGCTCCTGATGGTAAGGCACCTCTCCTACTACTACAGGAAAATAAAACAACTGCAATGCTTCTTCGATTTGGCGAAATTATGCTGTACCCACCAGTGTTTATTTCACCCTAGTCACTTTTGCCCAGAAGTTCAGCCGTACCGTACGAAACAACAGTAAATTTATGGTAACTAACTCTAATAAATTTATCGAATCAGAGCCATTTATGAACCTGTAAGCCTGAAGTGAACCGCCGGCACCTAGCTCCATAGAACCACAGCGGGATCGCAGCAGCCAAAGTCAATATAGATAACATGAACATAATCATGTACACCTGCATCCATCCGGACGCCGCAATCCAATTAACCGCAACATAGAGGAATGTGAATGCAACAAGATTCTTAAAAACGTTGATCAAGACCAGACACTGCGATGCATGTTCCGGATAGCAATCAATAACGTATGTAAGGGCAATGTTGGGCGCATATACGGTTCCGAATGAGACTAAAAGAATAAGTTATCAATGTGACTTGACAAGCGATCGATTTCAATAATGCTTGGAGAAGACCTACCCATGCCAAACCCTACCGCGATTACAGCCCAATGCATCTGTTGCGAGCAGGCGCAGGCAACGATGATACAGCCGATGGGTGCGATTAAAGCCCCAGGGATAATCGATAGCAGTCGCTGCTCAGGATAAATGACACCGCCCTCACGGCGAATGAGCTTCGTAGTGATCACATCGGAAACATAACCGCCGACGTAGCAGGCAATGGTGAAACCGATGAGCGCAGCGATCTGCATGAGACCAACGCCACTAGGAGAGAAGAGGTACGGCGGTGCAAGTAGTAGCGAGGGAAATGCGAAACTGTAGTTAAGTTGTCAGAAGCTTGAACGAGATGGGGTTAGAAGTTCCTACATCAGAATCACTTGGCTGCCCAGTGAAATGCCATAAACAAAGATTGCCCACACGACTGGAGGGTAGGCTAGGAAAATAAATGGACGGAGAAAAGCCTTGAAGATGTTGACGGAATCATCAACCTTGACAAAAGAAAACCAAATGCTATGCCATGGAACTTTGATGTGATTAACGTGCTGGATATCGTTCGGCTCGCCGACGCTTAAGTGTTCGATTCCGTATTCAGATGGCGTGCCTTTATCATTCTCGTTGCCATGAGCATTAGCTGCTCTTCGAGGCTCATCTGGCTGGGGTTCGCACTCTGTTGGCAATTGTGGGCGGCGAAAGTTTGACTCGGGGTAGAAAAGAATCAAAAGAATCAGGTTGAAACCGGCGAGAGCGGCACTCAGCCACATGAAGTCTCTCCAGGTGCCTACAGAATACTGTACCATGTAGCTGGCGATCAATGGCCCCATGGCTGATGAACAGGATATAAGTATGGTGTATCTGTTGCGATAATCCTCGTTAATATTTTTAGTGTAGCGTAGTTATTGATTCAAACTTACATGGACATCATAGCGCCGTGTTCGTGAATAAAAAACAAGTCAGATACGATTCCAGGTACGATACTCTGTCAAGTCAGACGGAGGCCAAAACATTTAGAAACACAAGTGTTTGTAAACATACCTCGCCAGCTGCGGAAGCAAATCCAGAGACACAACGGGCTGCAAGCAGACTGTTGAAAGTGGTCGCTGACGCACCCCAACATAGTGCTGCAAACAACATGACCATGGATGTTATGAGAACTGCACGCTTGCCAAATTTTACAGACATGGGAACCCATATCATGTTACCAAGTCCAAGAAGGAGAAAGTTAAACTGCGAGTCGCGTCAGCATCCTAGATAAAGATGTGTATTTTAGTAGCAGAGCTACTCACTGTCAAGAGTCCGTTGACTTCCGAAGCAGACTTCATGAACTGCGCTTGAATCAATGTCGTGGCCACCGAGGGACCTGCTGCGGCGAAGTTGGAAGTAAAGTTGAAGAATGCAGTCGTGCACAGCGCCAAGACCTTGAGCCATCGTGGCCAGCGAAGAGGATCATGGGGATCATTTGATGGTGGAGGCCAGAGAGATATGCCATGATGCTTAGCAGATGCATGTAGAACAACGCCAGTCAAAGCACTGTCATCAATGTTGCCCTGTCGTAGGTGAGCCATGTCGCGAATAGAAAATTAATGGTAGAGTAATTTTGGTATGAGGTCGACGGACGACATGTGCAGCAGCATGGAGCCTTTAATAAACTAAATAGGGGCGCTCAATGCTCTGGGGTAGGTTCGAAACCCGGGGCTCCGCAGATCCACAAGCTAGGTTAGGAAATTATACCCCGCATTGACTCGTAACCCATCCGATCATTCCCAAGCTTTCGTGGCTTAGAACAGCGAAAAGGACTATCCGGCAGGATACAATATTGCTTTAAGCGTGAGTACGTTTGAGGCGCAAGACTAAGCTGAGAGAGTGTAGGCCACGCGGTTTCCGACCGGAAAACGCGGAAAACTAAACAATAACTGAATCAATTCTAAAGATAACAGCCATCAATTGAAATTTCTTGAGCATTTTTCAAATTTACTTTATGAACACTTTCAACATAAAGTAAAATATGCACGCTTATACTAACTAGAGACAGAGTTGCTTGATATCCTAGCCAATTCTTATTTAATGGGTGGTCGTCAATCCCTCAATATCATCGCCGCTGGTTCGGTAGAAACCTAATGCCTTCAGCATCGGCTTGTCATCAAACTGATACAAGTAAACAGCCTCTGCTGTGCCAGTCTAACGCCGGTACTCGCACACTCTGCAAGATAACTTAGAGTCTTTGATACCCTAAGCCATGAAATACGCAGGGAAGATGTAATAAACGTCATATCCGCTGCATACCACAGGCGAAGGTCGGAAGTTACGCCCCAGAGTTATATCCCTATCGTAGAGTTAACTTACTCAAACCCACTTGCCGATATACCCCCGGATCCAAACACCGTCAGTATTTAGTGTAGTGGCGGGGCCTTAGGTTGTCGGAAATAACAATAGAATAAGTAGCGGTCCGCTTGGCAATTCAACTCGATTAATTCAGCATTCACTAAGTAAGATGGCGGTAGCTTGGAATCGATTAATTCGTTTTGTTGCAACTGACGGGCGCATATTGCGCGGAGAGCCTATCCTACCTTCTCCTGACTTCGATCTCGGCAACACGACAGCTGAAACGCAATTAAAAGCCTTAATTATCTCAGGCCATGATTTATATGATACTACTGGGGCGACAGAAGTAACAAATGAGGTCGCCATCGTAAAAGAGCTTCTGGGACCGTTAGCTCAAACTGATGTGCCAATTTTGAGATGCGTAGGATTAAACTATGCGAAACATAGTATGTAATTAAAACTCGTAGCACTGTTCTTCCAGCGAGCTGACTCAATATTCAAAACAGTCAAGGAAGCCAATCGATCCGCTCCGCCATTTCCGTTCATATTCTTTAAGCCAATCACCACCGTCACCGATCATAACGTAAATGTTGTTATCCCTAAGATCTGTCAAGACGATCAAGCAGACTATGAAGGCGAATTGGTACGTGATAATATTGCTTTTCAGAAAGATGGCGATTGAACAAATAGTGTATCGTGATAGGTCGTGATGCCAAAGACGTTTCTGAAGCGGATGCACTGGACTATGTTGCAGCCTACACATGCGGAAACGGCATCTCCTCGAGAAAGCTACAGAGAGACGCTGCATATGCAGGACGCATTCCACAATGGGGGTTTAGCAAGGGATTTGATACTTTTGCGCCGCTAGGCCCTTGCTTGGTGAGTTCAAAGCTGATTGATGACCCAGCAAAACTGCACCTGAAGACGACTGTCGACGGTGAGGTGAGGCAAGATGAAGGAGTTTCAGATCTTTGTTCAACTGTGCGTATTTGATAAGCTACTTAAGTAGCGGTACAACGCTACAGAAAGGAAGTATCATCATGACTGGAACCCCAGGAGGCAAGCCGCTACCAAAACATCTAATTTTGAATAATGCTGACCTTCGAAGGTGTTGGCGCTGGGATGAACCCCCCAAGTATTTGATTCCAGGAACTATTATGGAAGTGCATATCACGAGGGTTGGAACTTTAAGGAATGGCGTGGAGTTTAAATAGAAGCCCTAATATGGTATAAATCGGACAAATGGAATCATTGTTGGCTTTTACTTAGCTTTCAGAAGTATGAAATAAAATGGAGCTTCACATTCGAACTTGGTCTATTTAGTTATGGATGTAGAAATGCCGTTGCAATAAGTTTTGAATATATACAATTGCTTGGACGACGACCTATCGTGGATAATTGTTTCATTACAGAGGATATGAGAAATTTATGTGCTAAGCTGAACATGCGGTCTCTGTAATCTATAATAAGTTACACATCCCGAACCGAACCGTAAAAGCCTTTACATGAAGGTTGAAAAATTGTCTTGGGGAGGAGGAGTTCGGGGATATAGCGGCTACAAACGCCTAGCTTCTTTCAGAATCTTGGCATAAATGAAAGGGAATTACCACTATAGGGAGCCGGCTATAGCACCTAGAGACTAAGCTGGAGTAAAAGGGTAGTTGACGCATATTGCTCAACATTTACTTCGTTCTATTGCAAGATGAAGAGCGACGATATCGTACCATTGATAATTGATGGCCTTGATGTCACAACAGATGTAGAGTTTGTCTTTGAGACGAACCGCTTTGGCGGTAAACCTTCGCCGAAGAAAGCATTCGCCCAGGGAGCGAGTACAGAGACGTGTTTGCGTGCGGTCGAATCGTGTGCAAAAGCGTTCCCATCATGGAAGAGAACAGACGCAGATCAGAAACGAAAGCTTTTCCAGCAGCTTAAACATGTGAGTAGATATATGCAAAGTCGCCATCGTCAGTTTACTGAAATTTACTTCGCAGCTGCTCGAAGTGCGTGGCGACGACGTGAGAGAAATAATAGAGGAAGAGATCAACTGTTCTAAATTATGGTCGCATATCAACTTGCAAGATTCTCTTGGTCTAATTGACGAAGCCGCAGCTTTGGTTACATCCGATGCACTTTCAGGGACCATACCTATAACTAGAAATCACAACGCACCTGCTCTGGTATTTAAGGAACCAATGGGTGTTATTCTGGGGATTGCCCCATGGAACGCACCACTGATCTTGGGATTTCGTGCTGTCGTTGCGCCAATAGCAGCTGGCAATACTGCAATTCTAAAGGTAACAAACCTGTCGTGTGCTTCGTTCCAAAGTTTAGTTGGTGATATTCAGAACTAGGGCTCAGAACTCAGTCCACGAGTTCACTATTTTATCGCCCAGCTTTTCCAAGACGCTGGCTTTCCACCAGGAGTTCTGAATTTCATCATGCATCGACCCCAAGAAGCATCAGCAGCATACGAAACGATGATCAGCCACCCGGCTGTTCGGAAATGCAACTTCACTGGCTCTACGCCGGTTGGACGATTGATCGCTTCGCGCGCGGCTGCTTCGTTAAAGCCGGTCCTACTTGAGCTTGGAGGAAAGAATTTTGCAATTATTCTTGACGATGCCGACCTGGATAAGAGTGCACGACTAACACTAGAAGGTGCTTTTTTAAATGTACGAATCCCTAGCTCTCTCGTTCTTCAACCCACCAATGAAAACGCGCTAAGAAGACATAGAACGGCCAGATTTGCATGTCGACTGACACCGTGCTCGTGTCACGTTCAGTCTTTGCGGCATATCGGAAGAAATTGATTGTTCTCATGAAGAAAGCAAGCTCTGATATAAGTGCAGTCATCACCACTAAAAGCTCTGAGCGACTACGTGCACTCATCAACGATGCCATCGCGAAGGGCGCAGACATTACTACGGGAGATGATACCGACCCATCAATCATCCCAGCCACTATTGTCGATAACATGATTCCATCTATGGACTTCTACCACGCCGAGTCGTTCGGGCCTATGTTAGGTTTGCAGATATTTGACAGCATAAGTGAAGCCACGAAGATCATCAATGACTGCCCGTTCGGACTATCGTCTGCCATCTTTACTAGGAATCACTACCGGGCTATGATGATAGCGAAAGACCTAAATGTTGGTGCTATTCATATCAACGGCGCCACTGTTCATGATGAGCCGACAATACCGCACGGGGGTCATGGTGATAGCGGTTGGGGCCGCTTTGGAGGCTCTTGGGGTTTGGATGAATTCGTACATACAAAGACTATCATCCTCAACGAGTAGTTTTGTACGGAGCTAGATATTATAGTCAAAGCCTCAAGCCTCGTCAGCATGTGTCGTTTTCTTCAACTCCATATCTTGTGTCCTAAGTTTCTCGCCATGATACCCTTTTAAAATGCGTTTTCGCTGCTGTCAGAGTATGTATTTCACAGTAAGCTAACCCCTATATCCTCTCTAACTAAGTTGACGGCTGTTTTAAATTGCCGACACACCACCAAAAGCCTGGTTATGATAAATTATCCTGTTTTATTTTCTGTCGGCATCTAGCCTACCTATCAATTCCGAAGCTTTAAAACCGACGTAGTAGTAACCGCTTTTGTGGATGTCACTCGAACAAGCCAAGATTATACGCGGATGGGTTCACAGTTCCCCGGATCGTGGTACGTGCGAGCCGATCGTGCCCCGGCCCCGGTAATTTGCCGGGAGGGGACGCATTAGTTATCGATCGATATGGACGATGTTACATATGTTCCGGCCCAACCACGAAATATGCCCGCTCGTGAGCTGGCCGGCCCAACCACGAGTAATTGGAAATAGAAGTAATCAATTGATCTATATAGCTACTTTTCCAGCTGTGTCTACCCGTGCTCGTTTCCGACGAGGCCTCTTAACTAAAGCTATTTCTGTACGAGTAGCAAGGCCTGATAAATTCCCACAGTTATGGTCATCATTATGACAGTGTACGCTACACTCCTTTGCTTCCTTATAGCACCGGCACCGCTTTGTACCACACTGCTGTTTGCACTAGCAAGATATTCTAACCCGTGCACTTATAGAAGCCTCCCTAGCTACACGCCCTAGTGTTACTTCCTTTATAGAAGTAGGAATTACTATATTACCCTATAGAGCTCGCTCTATAACTCTAAGTGATTTAGTAGGAATAAGGCGTTGTATAATACTAGAAGCTATAAGAATCTAATACCTATAAGGGTAAGGCTCTTCTAGAATTCGTGCAAATAGCCTCTTATTATTAGTTGAGGTTCCATCCTCTTAAGGCACCTTTATAGAGACTATTACTCCTATATCAAAGTGCTAAATATCGTGCTTCTTAGTGTATTTCCGTATCATTGCAACCCTTACCCGTTGAGTAGCTGCTATAGCTCTCTTAATTATAGGGTTGGGTGTAGCCTAAAGCTTAGTCCTATGCTGAGCTGGCACGCGAGCCCAGGTCCCACACCAGAGCTTAATTCCGAGCTCAATTCCGAGTTCTGGCTCGGAGTGGGAGCTCTCAATTCTAAGCTCAATTCTAAGCTCTGGCTTAGAGTGGGAGCTCTCAATTCTAAGCTCAATTGAGATCTCTAGCGCTCGGCGGAGCTGTGGGTCAATTAGAGCTTTGGGATCAAGCTCACTCTTAAAAATCGGTGCCATCGTTAGGTCTTCCTGCTCAACTCTAATTAAGAGATCCTTCTAGGCCTAGCTATTAAGCCAGTTAATATGAGAGCTCCTGTCTTAGAATAGTAGTTTAGCTGGCGCATACCTAATTGTAGAGTGGATTTAGGTGTTCATTGCAAGTGTAACCTTAAGCAGCCCATCCTTCCACTCTATAGACCCATGGTCCATTTTCCATGCCTATAGCTTATTCTTAACAACTCCATTTGCCTACTTAACTAGGCCTTGCGTTTATAGTGATTATAGTGCTCCATTTACTACATATATTCTATACTTCTAGAGTAGAATAAGGAGAGCCCCTTTAAATTCCTTCCTATTATTAGCTTGCATAATCTTAGGAGGTAAGAAAGCTGTAATGAATTAAGCAAAGTACTCTGCAATAGGCTCTGCGTGCTTGCTTTTTAATGGATATAGCTATGTATACTTTAAGAAGTGATCCTTTATATAAAGAATCCACTTATACTGTCCTAAAGGCTTATAGTGCATATTAATTAGATTAATTTGAACCTACTCCTATGCTCGCTATAAAGGGGCGTCACGTGAGGACGCCCCTACGTGCAGGACATAGTAGGGCTTAGTAAAACTAGGAGACCTAACATAAAAGGGACTAGAGGCGTAGGACTAAGGCCTCTAGTTAATAGTTGCTATATCTACGTAGACCTATTGTACTTACTAAATACGATTCCTTTCTACCTCCTAACCTAGTTCCCTAGACTCCCGTAAGACCCTAGGCTTACGCGTTACACTCACCCTATAATAATAGGAACTAAGGGAGCTTTTATAGTATTTAGTTAGTTTAAGGTGCAATTCTTACACCGTTTAAGTATAAACTCTACATCCTCACGCTTTATTCCATAGTACTATTACTTAATAGTAGGCTATACCTTATTCTAGCCTACATGTAGAAGCTTTAGGTGCTCTTATGTAATAACATTAAACACCTCTGCTTTTTAAACTATATATTAAGAAGTAGGATGTCTTGTATCACTCTTTCTATATAGCTCATTATAAACAAGTGTAAAGTTCAATATCGTACAGTGTTTAAGATTAACAGCCTCTTTATTTAGTGGTATATAGGCTGCTATATCTTTGAGTATAGTGCGCATACAGCTCTGCTTTTCGTCTGAAAATAGCTCTCGATTATGATAGGTTATACTATTAATATAGGCTTCGAAAGCAGTACGCACATCGTGTGGAAATGGGTTTATTGAAGTAATAGTAGCCATAATTGCTATTACTATACAGTATATAATGGGGTATGTTGAATTTAAAGGGCTTTCTACGTTCTACCCGCCACTTACCCCGCTCGTGGTTGGGCCGGCCAGCTCACGAGCGGGCATATTTCGTGGTTGGGCCGGAACACATATAAGTACCATAAACATTCTATTTCATTTCTCCAAACTAAGTCTTCGTAATTCTTCGTTTTAGAGTACGTTAGGCCGATACTAGGCTACTCTCAATAAAATCTAGCATTATACTATAAGTTGCCTCTCTGGACCCTATCCCGAGGCAAGAATCTGGGGTAAGTTAAGAATCTGAACTACACCAAATTTCAATTCGGAACGATGCACGCATATTAAGATATAACTAACGTGTATCGCAGCTATGGCGGTTCTGCACCTGTCGTTAGAGGCACCGTTGTTCTAGATCTTCACCGAATGAACAAAATTATCGAGGTTAACCATGAATACGCATACGCCGTGGTAGAGCCTGGAGTATCTTTTTTCGACCTCTTCGAATATATAGACAAGAACGACTATAATCTATGGCCATCGGTACCTGCGCTTGGTTGGGGTTCAGTGCTTGGGAATGTACTCGAGCGTGGATTCGGCTACACGCCAAATGGAGAACATTCTCAGCAACAATGTGGTATGGAGATTGTGTTATCCAATGGCGAGATCGTTAGGACAGGCATGTGGGCGAAGAAGGACTGTACCATGGGTCCACTCTTTAAAGGGTGAGTCCACAACTTCTCTCCCAGTTTCAATTTACTTACAACGCGCAGCGGGTATGGTCCTGGAATTGATAGCCTTTTCTACCAGTCAAAGAGAAGTCTTCATTCTTGGGACAAATGTCTAACCCCTTTTCAGGCGTAGTTACTAAGCTCGGTATCCACATGACCCCCGCCCCAACGCAATATATGGATTGTTCAGTCAGTGTTCCAGAGGAAGCTTGATTTAGGTATTCTAAACGGCACCCTTTCTCGTCTGCAACGAGAATCCGTCATCATGAATCATCCAACAATCTCAAATCTTTTCCGACAAATGGCCGTCTCAGAAAACCCAGCAATTCTTCAACAAGTCCTTGCGCCAGGTTCTCAAGGTGGTCACGCCAGCCGCGAACTCCTCGATAGATTGAACCTAACCAAGGAACGAGGATTCTGGAAAGGGATGTTTGCCATTTACGGACCATCCAAAGCCGCTGTTGACACTTCATGGGAAAGCGTACAAGATGCCTTCGAAGGTGTTCCCGGGGTGAAATTTGGGGCCGACTATCACGAAGCGAAACGCGGCCAACGCTTAAAAATTAGAGACATGCCAGAGTTCGAGATTCCACACAATGGATTCCCACGCCTTTCAGCATTACCGATGATGGATACGCGAGGTTATGGCGGTGGACATATCTGTTTCTCTCCTCTTTTCCCACCTGGAGGCAAGGAGCTCTACGAGTGGTACAAATTCGCCAGTCAACGAATCTCGGAAGAAAATTTTGATCTTTTTGCGGATTTCCATTGCTACGGCAGGTATACTATCGCTATTGTTGTAATGGTGTACGGTCCCACTGAGGGAAGACGGGCCGATGCTCTGTACGAGGAGTTGATGGTTCAGGCGCACGAGGAGCATCAGACTTCAGAGTATCGGACGCATATAGACTATATGAGTAAGATCGCTTCTCATTTCGATTTCAATGATGGAGCGTTAAATAAGTTTGTTACTGGATTAAAGGAGCTTTTAGACCCTAATGGGATTCTTTCGCAAGGGAAGTCAGGTATTTGGTCGACTAGACATGACAAGGTTGATGAATGGAAGAGCAATGGAACTGCGGTTCGACTCCACAATGAAGCTTCTGGTGGCATCATATCTCTCCCACCCCTTACGGGACACAAAAACAACACTAATGCTTATAAGGTTGATGAACGTACGCTGCACACAACTTCGAAAATACCTTTACGTGGTTTATTATAAGCGCGGCCTGATATAGTCCAGTCTACAGCCCTTACTAAGATATATTGTAAAGGGTTAACCCACGCACCAGACGAATGCGGCGCCAGTGCCAGTCACGATGTAAGGTGCGAGTCGTGACCAGGCATCCAAACCACGGGCCGAGGGGCCTAGAAAGGCCTATGGTCGGCCTATATATATTGGGTGAGGATCATTAGGTAGAGGATCAGGGTGGGGGTTGGCTGCTCCTTTTCTTCCAACATTCCCGGACCCGCTGTCATCTCAGTCCCCATCACACCATTCCTATCCCACCTTGGTCCAAACCAATGCATAACCCCGGTTATTCACGATCTTTTCGGGTCCCGCTCCGTGTAAAAATAAAATACAGATCACATGAAGTGGGACAGGGGGAGGGGAGAGGAAATGGGGGAGGGCATAGGGGGAATAGGTGAGGTTTTTGACGATGATGATAGGATAGAGGATAATGTGATGGGATTTTTAGGAACCTAGGGAGTAACTTTTCTTTAGTAGTGAGTGCTTGATATTTATATGTATGTTGTTTGCGTGTATTCATCGCTAAAGCCTTCTTTTTCCACGACGCCATTCATTCCACCCTCGCGTTTTTCATTTGACGGTACACATACCAGGATAGAAAGGGGTATATATACTCTTCCAACAGAAGAATAATCACATACGACCATAGACTCAAGAGAATTGGGCATCCCGTCCGCTCTGCCATACACAAGCTTGAGATCGGTGGATTAGTAGTTGGGTGGGTGACCACCAGCGAATACCCACTGTTGTATGTTTTTTTTGCCATTTTATATTTGATGATCTTGTTTATCGGGCGGCGTGCTTGGGGCCTTAGTTGTAGTCTTGATTGGAGACTTTAGCTTGTTGGACAGATTCAGTTCGAGGTCTTCCAAACTGACTCCGGGGTTTAAAGAGATATTGATCGAACAAATATAGCGTAGTGTCGTTGATTTATTTTTCTTTGGAGCCTCGTTTTGCTTTCGTAGAGTCCCTTCTAAATCAGACAAGGCTGAAGTGAGGCACGAGTTTCAAGGTGTTGACTGGGAAGGAGAAAGTTGACGGCGGATGAAAGCAGTGCATGTACCATCTCTAGAGCTTTGGGGACGTTTAAGGGCCGCTTGAGGCCGCTATGTTATAATGTTGCCACTGTGGCTGGAAAGGTGATTGATCCTTTCAAGGTGGAGTATTTAAAATGTGCGGGCCCTTTGAATGAGAAGCTTTAGGATGATTCGTAGCAGCGAAGGGAATTCCCGTTCTCGGTGACTATCTCGCGCTATATAGGAGTAGGTCAAGCAATTGATATGTGTCTTGTATACTCCTCATACTCCTCATACAAGTCGTTGCAGCTTCAATTATAGGTCAAGAAAGTTATCTGTCAAGAAGGGTGAAGAGCATCATATACACATACTCAAAAGCTAAAGAGATAAAATGAGCACTGCGATGGATCATATTTAATTAGCTCAGTTCCTGTCCACGCTACCTTTACAAATACATATCTATCGCTCCTTCTTTTCACCTTTCATTCCCTCATCCCTATAGCTTCAACATCTTCTTGGCAAACGCCTCAATCAAATCCTCGTTGGGGAAGCTCATATCCTCCAACTCCTTAGCATAAGGCGTTGGGACCTCAGCACCAGTGATTCTCTGGGCTGGAGCCTCTAGGTAGTCGAATGCATACTCCATCGTCAGGGCGAGGATCTCGGATCCAACACCGTAAGAGGGGAAGCCAGACTCGACAGCCAGGAGGCGGCCGGTCTTCTTCACGGACTTGACAATGGCCTCAACGTCGAGAGGCTTGATGGAGCGCAGGTTGACAACCTCAACCTCGACGCCGTACTTCTTCTTCAGGTTCTCGGCAGCGATGAGGGACTGGCCAACGCAGCGGGAGAGGGTGATGATGGTGAGGTCCTTTCCTTGGCGCTCGATCTTGGCTTTGCCGAATGGGATGACGAAGTCGCTCCTCTGGGCCTCCTCGGACATCGGGAAGGATTGTCCGTAAAGGAGCTCGTTCTCGAGAACGACGACTGGGTTGGGGTCGCGGATAGCGGCCTTGAGGAGTCCCTTGGCATCTTCGGCGGACCATGGGGTGACGACCTTGAGGCCGGGGATGGAGCCGTACCAGGCGGAGTAATCCTGGGAGTGCTGTGCGGCAACACCGGCGGCGAAGCCGTTGGGCCCACGGAAGGTGATGTTGCAGGGCTGGATACCGCCGGACATATAGTGCGTCTTGGCAGCAGAGTTGATGATTTGATCGATGGCTTGCATAGCGAAGTTGAAGGTCATGAACTCGCACTACAATTACTCCGTCAGCATCCGTCTCCAACAAAACAGCAGAGTAAAATCAGGAGATATCACGGATCAGGGGGAACTCACAACTGGGTGCAGTCCAGCAAGAGCAGCGCCAACAGTCAATCCAGTGAAACCAGACTCAGTGATAGGAGAGTCGATAATTCTCTGGTCTCCGAATCGGTCCAACAAACCCTTTGTGACCTTGTATGCGCCATTGTACTGTGCAACCTCCTCACCAAGGACGAAGACCTTAGGGTTCTGCTCCAATTCCTCCGCCAGTGCCTCGTTAAGCGCCTCTCTGACCGTCATCTCCTTGACGCCGCTGGCATAGCCTCTCCATTGTGCGGCCACAACACGCGGCAGGTCGGAGCGGCGGAATGCCCGTCGCGCGACAGGAGCTGTCCTGCTCGACAGCAGCGATGAAACGGGCCTTAGCAGTCGAGACATCTTGTATATATGTGTGGCCTTAAGCTTGGGATGGAAAGCTTAAGGATGGTGGACGAATCGTTGTGAGGTCGAAATGCAATTGCGAGATCTGCCTCCCCACGGAATTTGGAGTCGTTGAGCGATTGAACGGCGATACGGGCCAAATTTTGGAAAGATTGCTGGGACAAGAGGAGAACGCTAGTCCAAATTAGGAATATTGTCGAGGATTAAATTGGGGTAACGGAGTAATAGGCCCGAGATACAAAAAGCAACTAAAACGTAATAATAGGCAACGAGGAATATATCAATATTATCATTTCAAAAGCAGGTGGTGATCAGAAACTTTAGTCTCTAGGATTTGACACATATTATATATTATTATTGCGTATTTATGCTACTTTACCTGTAACATTGGGCGCCGCTGTACTCAACTCCGCTGCACTCAACTCATGGCAATCGATCCCCGAAAAACATCGCCGGAAATCACCCCCGAACAATGAAAACTAACTATTACCATGCAGGTGCAAACAGGCGGCCAAGTGTATGCCGAAATGGCCCCGCAGTTGATTTTTGTACATGAATATTCTATGCCCCCAGCTAAATCGATACCCAAACTCCTATTCTTCGCAGCTGCTCTTTAGTTCAATGGCTTCCTTGCGACCATCAGGTACATGGGGGTGAACAGGTCCAACTTGGCACCCTCAACCAACATGTCTGCGGCCAACGCGAGGTTGTCAGCGGACTTGTTGGTTCCTGGTGGTGCGATCCTGAGGCACTCGAGACCCCAGACGAACTTGTGGACAAGTCCACGACCAAGCTTTGTCATACGTGCGATAGTTGGGAAATCCCAGATGCTGCCCATGTACTTGAAATCACCGGCAATGGGGTAGTACCATGGGGAAGGGTCATCACGCTTTGCAAGATCCTCGTGCATCTCCAGAACAAATCCGGCAGCCTGGATGGCACGGAGACCCTCAGAGATCTTGACCATGTTGGAGATGCCGTTTCCTTGCTCAATGCCGAGACGGATCTCACGGTGCTTGACGTTGGTTGCATCGTAGTTATCGGTCATGAGCCACTCGTAAACACCGAAGACTCCGCCTGGCTTCAGGGTCTTGAAGATCTCGTGGTATACGCCCTCGAGCGATTGTGCGTGGACGGTAGCCTCGATAGCGTAGACGGCATCGAAAGTCTCCTCTGGGAAACCCATTTGCTAATTTACGTTAGTACAGATATTTTGGGGGGATTGTGAAGTACATACCATGAAATCACCCTTAACGAACTTCAGCTGGTTCGAAAGGCCCTCCTTCTGTGCGTACGCAGTTGCGCGCTCAATCTGGTAGTCGTTGTTATTTAATCCGGTGATGTGGGCGCCGGTGAACTTGGCGATCTCCCTGGCTGGTCCACCAACACCACAGCCAACATCGAGAACCTTCATGCCCTGCTTGATACCAATGCTGTGTGCAAGGTAGTGCTCGTGGCGAGCGATAGCTTGGTTGAATGGCTCGCCGTATGCGAAGCGGCAGAAGTGGAAAGACTGTCCCCATCCGTTCTCGTACAAGTCGGTAGCAAGGTTGTAGTAGCTGTATTCTGTTAGGCTTCGTTCGATATTTCGTCTGATAGAGGTGCTTACTGCTTGGTCAACGTCGCGTATTCTGCTCTTCTGGCCTTCATGGACGTTGTCAGTATTGTTCACTTCCCAGATCGACATAGCAACTTACCTCACGGACTTCCTCAGTCTCGTCCTTAGCAGCCTTATTGTCCCAGTGCTTGAAGTACTCATCCACAGCCTCCTTCTGGGCACCCTTATCCTTCTTCATCCAGGCCATGAAGTGGTTCTGCTCAGCAGCAGACTTGCCGTGCATGGCCTTCGCGAACTCCTGGTCGCGAACATGGTTCTCGGTCTCAAGTACGGACGGCATTGTAGCGAAAATGTATTAGACAATTGAAGAAGTAAGATAAGTGATCGATTGAAAGGTAACGGTGGGGTATCGTGTGAAAAGAAGGACGTAAGCTGGGGGGTGTCAAAATAATTTCAGGGAGATGGGCGACGCTTCTTAAGGGGATATTTTAACATCTGATAGCGGGAGCCACGCGAAATTGAAAATCATAGGGGGGTTCCCGCCATGTTCGTTTTCGGATTAATCCCTGTCATCTCCAGCACCCACCAATAAGGCTTGCAGCTTCTATAGTCACGTGATTGTGCCTTAAGATTTCCCAGATCTTGTTTATTTGGATTAGCGTTGCTCGTCTTCGTATTCGGCATGATATGCGCCATGTCGATAATATCTGGTAGAGTGTTCTTGTTCGTCTTCGCATCCCAAACATATTACCGTATGGTACCAGCGCCGGATACTTCATTCTCTTCATAGTTCATAGTAAATATTCCTACCACAGATCTCACGTCGCAGATCTCGCGAGGGTCAAGAATATGAAACGTCTCGGGTTATCACCCTCCATCGACCTGGTATTCCTAATCTAGTTATACAACTAAATAACCTGTACTGTACAGTGTAGTATAACCCTTTTACTTTTGCTCTCAACGCCAGCAAGACGCCGCCCTTGTAAACCTCATTCCCATAGCTTGCATTCCCGCTCAGTTTCCTGCCAGACTAGCATAATTCACATCGTCAGCTCCCGGCGGCGCAGCCACGACAGCCATGTTAGCCAAATCATCATTTTGCCGCCGCACTGCCTGCACCTCCTGGCTCTGCTCCACAGCTTGTCGGCCAGCGTTGGCAAACGCGCTCCTGCCCTCTCTCCCCGTAGCCGACCTCTCGTCTCTATCCATCGTCCCAATCGGCCTCGGTCGACCCCATTGAACACGTAACGGGCATCCTGCGATGACAGCTTTCCCCTGTAGCGCCAGGGCAGCTGCTTCTGCTCCCTGCCTTTCGGCGTAGTTGACAAACGCGCAATGGCTCATGTGTGAACATACTAAACTCCGTAGCTTGCCATAGGCAGTAAAGAAGTCCCGGATCTTGTGTTCTGGGAGGTCGTCTTCGATGCCAGTCACGAATAGGGAGGTGATGGCGGTGTCGGAAGGAGGTGCGATGTCGGCTTGGGTTGGAGGCAGTACCGCCGCAGAAGGGAAACGGCCGCCTCTCCCACCTCCTCTTCCTCCGCGTACACCTCCACGAGCAGCGGCTCCCCCGCGTTGTGTGCGTATTGGTCCAGGCCCAGAGCGTTGACTTTGTTCTCCTGCACCGCCACCAGAACCAGACGCCGCAGCGCTGCCCTCTCCTTCAACTGGTGCGATTCGTCTTTGCTTCTTGAAATACGGCTCGCTGTTCGCCAACCTCCTCAGTAGCTCCCTCGCCTTGTCATCTGTCTTCTCGTATTCCTCCAGCGCCTCGCCCCTCCCCTCCTCAATATCCCTCTCGTGGTTCTGCGCGAAGAACTCTCTGTTGACGGCGCTTTGTGGGCCGGGCGCGATCATCTTGAGCGCCGCATCGCGAACAACGATCGGCAGGCCGAACGACAGATCGAGCATACAGCACTGGCAGCAGTTCTTCAGTCGGGCGCATGTGAGGCAGATACCGGTGGACTTTGAGCGCGAAGTTCGATCGGTTTTCCAGGTGAAGACAGTGAATGGGCGGGTGCATAGTTTGCATTCGGCTGAGTAATCTTGTTTGAGCATCTGGACAAAAGGGTTCTCTGGAAGACACTGTGGTGGCACTGTTAGCTTGTGGTTTCTTTTGGGAGAGGCACAGTGTATGACATACATTTTCGCAAACTGACGGAAAATCAGTTGTCTCCCACCCAGAGCGGTTCAGATCTTGTTTAATTTGGGGAGGCATCGTTATGGTTGTGGACTGTTCGTAGTGATGTTGAGGAGAGAGGTGGCGGAAAGATGGCACAACACTCGAATTCTATGTGAGGCCTCAGCCTCGAGCTAAACCAGCGATTTATGTCATTATAAATCTAGTCACGTGATATCGCGTTTACATCACATTGTCGATTGAAAATAGTGATAAATATAATGGTATCTATTATAATAGTAGGCTTTCTAACAGATTAATTCGTTTGATATTCATATTTTAGCAACTCCAATAAATTACAGCGATCAATTTGCAACCAAGCCTACCTTAGTTTGGTATTTATGATGGTCCCAAAATAATATTACACCACTTATATTTATAATTATAAATAAATTATTAGAAACTAGTTTGTATCTCTCGCAATGTATCTAGTGCTTATAGGAACTTAAAATATGGAAGATAGAACCGTTTCATTTCACTGGCATTATACGAAACCCGTTATAGGAATTACATGTCTCCTTGACCTTGAATATTTCTACACTTCAATCCTCTATTTAGTTGCTTATATTTCAGGTTTCTCCACCTGTTCTACGTACGCTGGATATGGGCACTTAAGGCCTTGGGAAAGTCTGGGGTATATGGGCTGTGATAGCCACTGGATAGTTCGTGTGGCTGGTTTGGCGCCTGGTCTCCCTCCGCTTTGGAGCAAGATCGCAACTAGGAACCAGAGTTAATGACGGGCCACAACCTGATGATGAGTGATCCCATGGCAAGGTTTGTGCGCAAACTGACGTAGGAGACAAGTTGAATAGAAGTGCAGATGAGACGGCATCAGCTGAGGCGCAAAGAAGCGCTGGATTTATAACCCGGGAGCAGAATCCGGCCACAGCAAAGCTATAAGGGCAGTTGATAAGCACAAATTTCAGTTTCTTCTCGAAGTATATTTGCCCCTCTATAATACATATTCATACACCCATAGGCATCTGTTATGAGCAGCACTTCTTGCCCTCAATCTTGACCTTCTGTCCGTTCGGCATTTTGATCGAATCGTTATCGCCCCTCTCCGTTTCCGCGTGTATCCGTAATTCTGCGACTATAGTTAGCTCCCGTACAAAGAAATCCGCATAGACAGGACTTTAAGAAGGCGCGGGACGCAATAATTGGCGCAGGTGTAAATGGAAGAGACACATACTGTACTTGTTGTCGCCAACGTTCTTCCCCTGCACAATGTTCTCTCTCAAGATCGCAGATACCTCTTTTGCATGTGTAATAGCCTTCACCGCAAGAGGATCTTCTGGAGCAAGTGATGCGTTCTCCCGGAATGCACCGCGTGCCTGAGCTTGGGCGGCGTGGAGTAGATGGGTGTCTCCTGTGGCAATTGTAAGCAAACATTGTAAGCAGCCGGTGAAGAGGATTACGTACCCTCAAATGCCAGCCGCGCTGAGCGCAATAAATGCCTATAAGCTTGAAGCGCCATACTTAAGTTTCCCCGTAAATTCGATTATAGCCAGGAAGTTCGAGTTGCGCCTATCGACCTAGACTTTTGACGTTCCGCCACGCCTTGACAGGGGTCGGTCGCATGGCGTTACTGATTTTCCGACCCGGCTCCACAATCGAATTCTTTCTGGTGGGCTACTCCAACCCCGGAGATTTTTATCTATCAAAAGCAACGATCTGTGAAAACAAGCAATCGACATCAAAATGAGTGTTGCACAAGTTTCCCTCCCCCTCCCAATCCTTCCATCCGGATGGGCTGCGGACAAGGATTTCAAGGCCGTCGGCACTGTGTCCCGTGCCAATGACCGCAGCATTGAGCCTGTCGGCCCACACTTCCTGGCCCACGCCCGTCGTGCCCGTCACAAGCGCACCTTCTCTGAGGATGACCGCATCCAGGCCCAGAACAGCGTGAAGAAGGTTGAGGATGATGATGCTGGTGAGATCAGTGAGCCTGAGGACCCATCCATGCTCCTCCGTGATGCCAAGGACTGGAAGGTAAGCTTTATCCGGATCTGACTTGTTGGATTGATCTTCGTGCTAACAACCACCTAGCAACAAGATCACTACGCTGTTCTTGGTCTTTCCAAGTACCGCTACAAGGCTTCTGAGGACCAGATCAAGCGCGCCCACCGCAAGAAGGTTCTCCGCCATCACCCAGATAAGAAGGCTGCCGCTGGCTCCACCGAGGATGACAGCTTCTTCAAGTGCATCCAGAAGGCCACCGAGGTCCTCCTCGACCCCACGAAGCGTCGCCAGTTCGACTCCGTCGATGAGCGCGCCGATGTCGAGCCCCCGAGCAAGAAGAAGACCCAAGCCGGCAACTTCTACAAGCTCTGGAGCCCCGTCTTCAAGGCCGAGGGCCGCTTCTCCAAGACCCAGCCAGTCCCCAGGCTTGGTGACGAGAACTCCACCAAGGAGGAGGTCGAGACCTTCTACAACTTCTGGTACAGCTTCGACTCGTGGCGCTCATTCGAGTACCAAGACGAGGATGTGCCTGATGACAACGAGAACCGCGACCAGAAGCGCCACATGGAGCGCAAGAACAACAACGCTCGCAAGAAGAAGAAGGTCGAGGATAACGCACGCCTGCGCAAGCTGCTAGATGACGCATCCGCCATGGACGAGCGCATTAAGAAGTTCCGCAACGAGGCTAACGCCACCAAGAACAAGAAGAAGATCGAGCGTGAGGCTGCCGAGAAGAAGGCCGCTGAGGAGGCTAAGGCGCAGAAGGAGGCTGAGGCCGCGGCTGCACTGAAGGCTGAGGAGGCCGCCAAGGCCGAGCGCGAGCAGGGCAAGAAGGCTAAGGAGGCCGCGAAGAACGCTGTTAAGAAGAACAAGCGTGTCCTCAAGGGCTCAGTCAAGGATGCCAACTACTTCGTCTCTGGCGATGCCCCGGCCTCTGCTATTGACGGCGTGCTCAACGACGTTGACCTCATCCAGGGCAAGATTGACGCCGATGAGATTGCGGCTCTTGCTGGCAAGCTCAACGGCCTCAAGGTCGCTGACGAGATCAAGGGCGTCTGGTCTGAGGAGGTTAAGAGGCTCGTTGCTGCTGGCAAGCTCCAGGAGGGAGAGGCCAAGACTCTTGCTTAGAGGTCATAATGCTCTGATACTTGCACTGCTGCTGTTTGCACTGGTTTTGCTTAGCGAATGCCAGAAGTTACTGGATGAAACAATGGTCACGTTGTGAAGATGATACGATATCAGATGAGGGGATGACTTTAGATTAGATTGTGTAGATGGATGTTTCATATACATTTCCTAACAATAGAGCCTCTTCAGTTGTATATTTTTGTCTATATTAGAGCCCGGTGGATGACCCTCGTATGGTTGGTTAAAGGCGAACGGGTATCTTCGTCTATCCGCTTTGCTTAGTCTTACATCTATTTACAAATATTCCGTCTTCTCCAGTCTTGACTTTCAACTTAGACCCAGATATATTCACGCCTCGGATCCTCAGCACGTACCTCCCTTACTTGTCACCAAACCCTACCGGTCTCCTAAACTCATAGTTCCTCGCTGCATTTTCCCTCTGTATCCTCCACTTCTCCTGTAGCTTCTCCAGCCTCGACGGCCACCTCACCCCCGCCGCGACCATGGTCCCTACATTAATAACATGAAAATCGTCAAAATACTGCCCAATAACCTGCATGCCCACGAACCCCACGTTGCCCTCCTCCCTCGCCTCCTTCGCGATCGGCACCGGCACCGATATCGCCGGCAGCCCCGCCAGCGACGCGGGGACTGTAAACACATCGTTGGTGTAGCCCGCGAGCGAGCCCTGGGACTTCACGTCCTTTAGCAACGGCGGCAGCGTCGGCGCCGTCGGGACGACCAGCACGTCGACCTCCGCGGGGCCGAGCTTGCTGTCCATTTCCGTCGTCTCGGGCATGTCGGCGAGATCGAATTGATTTTCGGGGTGCAGGGGATTCGGCATGGCGAAGACGCGGTCGAAGTCGCGCTGGACGAGGCGGCGCACCCGCTGGGCCTGCACGAAGAAGTTGTCCATGGCGGAGGCGCTGAGGGAGTAAGTGCCGAGGAGGATGCGGCGGCGGACTTCGTCGCCGAAGCCTGCGCCGCGGGTGGAGGCGTAGAGGACGCCGGTGGGGTTGTCGGAGGCGTCTTCGCGGGAGCCGTAGCGGACGCCGTCGAACTTGGCGAGGTTGGAGGAGGCCTCGGCGGCGGCGATGATGTAGTAGGCGCTCAGAGCGTGCTTGGTGGAGGGTAGGGAGACGGGGACAATGGTGTGGCCGTGGGAGCGGAGGGTATCGAGGGTGCGTTGCCAGGTGTGGCGGACGGCGGGGGAGAGCTCGGCGATGTTGTATTCGGCGGGCACGCCGATGCGGAGGGGCTTGGTGTCTGTCACGGGCCAGCGGCCGAGGCGTGCTTCTTCACGGCGGATGGCATCGGTCATGCGCTTGGTGGCGGGCTCTGTTGGGGTTGTAGGGTCGCGGGTGCGTAGATCCTGGCTGGCGATCAGGAATGCGGTCATCTCCTCTGGGTCTTTGCAGAAGAGGCCTACGGTGTCGAGGCTATGGGCGTAAGGGATTACGCCGTGACGAGAGATGCGGCCGTAGGAGGGCTTGAGGCCAGTGACGCCGCTGTACGCAGCGGGGAGTCGGACCGAGCCACCAGTGTCTGTTCCTAGAGCGGCCTGGAAGGAGCCGCTTGCTACGGCTTGTGCGCTACCGCCAGAGCTGCCGCCGGCAGAATACGCCTCGAATGGCGGGGAGTTTGTGACGGCGCCGTAGTGAGAGTTAACTGAGTGAGAACCCATGCCGAATTCGTCCATGTTCGTTTTGCTGCCGACCGCCGCGCCGCCCCGCTTGTACAAAGTTTTGATGACATCGGCATCGAATGGGGGCTCATAGTCTCTGAGAAAGTTGGAGGCGCAGGTCGTTTCAAAGGATGTTGTGGAGATATTGTCCTTCACGGCGAGTATCCTGAATCTATTGGGGAGTATCGTAGGGCGATCTGGGCTGGTTAGCGACGGAGAATGTGTGCTGGGGGGGAGGGCTCGTACATATCTTCCATTGTCGAAAGGATTTCTCCTGGCGGATGAAGGCATTGGAAGAGGAGTCGCGGGGCCCTTTCTTGAATCTAGCTTTGTAAGGGGAGTTGCGGGCCCCTCTCTTCCATCCAGATTTGGCCACCGCCACAACCTCTTCAGATATCCGTGATCCCATACGAGGTGGTTGTCGAGAAGGTAGGGCCTACTTGGAGCTTCAGTCATGGCCGAAAGCCTCGTCGTGAAGCCTCGCCGGAACAATTCTCCGAACGCCGATCACCGTAACCGCTGTGGGTATCCGATAAGGACCTCGAGCTCCCAACGTCCAACAGTCACAAACAACTTCCACACTGATGACCATGCAACCATTAATATTATTAGCAGGGCTTCTGGCCTTGGGGGTAGACGGTTCGCAACCTTCTGCTCCAAAGCCGGTTGCGGCACCCATGAGGGAGCTGCCTTGGGGGCAACTGAACTTCCTAGCTACGACGGATACCCATGGGTGGCTGGGAGGCCATTTACAAGAGTATGACTCTTGATTGCCTTTCACGGCCTTTGACTAACAGGTTACTAGATCCCAATACTCGGCCGACTGGGGAGACTACATATCTTTCACAGAGCATATGCGGGCAGATGCCGACAGACGGGGCGTTGATCTACTAGTCGTCGACACAGGCGACAGAGTAGACGGCAACGGGCTGTACGATGGATCTGCCCCGAAGGGTTTATACACCAACAACATACTCCAACGACAAGATATCGATATCCTCTGCTCCGGCAACCACGAACTCTACAAAATCCCCACCTCAGAGCGAGAGTACAACGAGACCGTCGCCGCCTTCCCCGAGCAGTACATCGCCTCCAACATCGACATCCTGCACCCCACGACCGGGCAGCGCGTGCCCCTCTCGCGGCGGTACCGACAATTCAAGACCAAGAACCAAGGGATCCACGTCCTCGCCTTCGGGTTCCTCTTCGACTTCACCGGCAACGCGCACAACACCTTCGTGCAGCGCGTCGAGGACACAGTGAAGGAGCCGTGGTTCCAGCAGGCGATCCGCGAGCACGTCGACATCTTCGTGGTGATCGGGCACGTGCCCCCGCACTCCCCCGAATACCAGGCCGTCTTCTCCGCCATCCGGAGCCAGAATTGGGACACCCCGATTCAGTTCTTCAGCGGGCACAGCCATGTTCGCGATTTTGCTAAGCTGGATGATAAGGCGTATGCGCTGCAGAGCGGGCGGTATATGGAGACGGTGGGGTGGATGTCGGTGGATGGGATTAAGATTGGGGGGAAGGAGGTGGATGCGGAGAGGGGGATGAAGTTCCAGAGACGGTATATCGATAATAACCTCTTCGGATACCATCACCACACCGGACTGAACGCATCCACCTTCCCTACTGAGCGCGGTATGAACGCCTCCCTCGCCATCGCCTCGGCGCGCAAGTCTATGAAATTAGACAAAGTCTTCGGATGCGCACCGCAAGACTTCTGGGTGAACCGCACGCCCTACCCCAGCCCCACAAGTATCTTCAGCCTCCTCGTCGACTCGATCCTGCCGGACATCCTCACTCCAACCGACCCCCCCTCAAAACCCCGCATAGCCATCTTCAACACCGGTGGCCTCCGCTTCGACATCTTCAAGGGGACTTTCACGAAGGACACCACCTACCTCATCTCCCCCTTCGACAACTCCTTCCGCGTCATCCGCGACGTGCCATGGGAGGCCGCGAAGAAGGTGCTCCCCCTCATCAACGCGGGGGGGCATGTTTTCGCTGCTGACTCTGGGTCGCTCGAGGAGTGGAGACTCGCGCCACCTCAGCAGATGGGCGTGCAGTCTGACACCGTCGCCGAGGAAACTGCGACGCACTCGTCGCGCGGCGGAGCGCAGATGCCGTTAGGAGGCGGAAGGGAGGATGAGGTGCCACTGATCCCGGGCTACACGACCAGCGACGATGGCGGGAAAGACGGGGACGACACAGCGCACGCGCCTCTGTCGTTCTATCGCGTCCCGAACGTCGTGGAGTCGCGGATGGGGTTCCCGACTGACGTGGGGGTGCCGGAGCCGGAGGCGGTGGATGTGGTGTTTGTTGATTTCGTGGAGCCGTGGATACTGCTTGCGCTGCGGTTTGCGGGGAGGGGGTATGAGAAGGGGGATGTGCAGGAGTGGGAGGGTGGGAGGGGGTTTACGAGTATGTTGGTTGAGTGGGTGGCGGAGAGGTGGGGGAAGGGGGATGGGGAGGGAGGGTGTTGATGGGTTGGAGTGTGCGAGTTAGTGGTACCGGCGAGAGATTCGGATGGGATTATGATATGTTATACCTTGTTAGGGCTGCAGCTTGCTAGAGCTGCATGGAGTTATTTAGAGTTAAGCCATGGCATACCCCTTTTACTATAGTATTGTGTCGTTTGCTCCCGCTCCCGCTCCGCGCCCCTCCATGGCGGATGGGATGGCTGGGATAGTTTGGACTGTGTTAGTGAGAAAAGAGGAAAGAGGTTTATCTGCTCTGTAATACCTTGTTGGAGCCATATGGAGTTATTTAGAGCCAAGAACTGGCCTCCCTTCCTCCCGTGCCGTGGTTTGGGGAAAGATAGGAGCGTGCTAGTGTAAGGAGATCTGGGCGGGGATATCCGAATCGTGATACAATGTTAGGTAGGGGCTGGTGATACTTCAAAATCTAGAATTGGCACACCCCTTTTTACTATACAATAAATACAGAAGCCTCGCCCTTCCCTCTCCCTCCCTCTCCTTCCCTCGCTCCCGCTCTTTCAGGAATCCAGACGACATCGATTTGACCCCGTCACGTCAACCACGTCAACCACCCCCATCTTCAAATCTCCCCATGACTGATGAGTCAACCCCCAATCTGGCGCTACAGGCAGATCGATAGACGGTATCGCCGCATTGGCATCCCATTATTGGGCAATGGCAAGTGTAAGCTACAGTAGTGCTGGTACGTTAGTGGTATGTTGGTTTCTCATCCCTGGCCATGTTTCCTGGCTGTGTCTGCACGCACTCTCAGGCGCCATCTCGTGTCTGTCTCATCTGGATGACTCTTCTCTCCTTCCCGAAGGCTGTGCAAGCGTGTAAATTATGTGCAAGGCCGTGCAAGCTTCCTTTTTAGATCCTCTAGATGACCCCACACTGTGGCATGATAGAAGTACCTCTAAGTATTCTTAGCGAACTTTGACACCACATCCCGCCCTGTAATCTCTCTAAAAATACTTCCAACTACATACTCCCCCTACCCCCCCAGTTAGAATTGACAGTGGCTTAGAGTAGTCTACCCTCTCTTCCCTCGCCGATTCCTCTTTCGTCTTGCCGTAGCCAACGAATCACGATTCACGATTCATCACTCCATCCACTCCATCCTCTCCATCCACTCCCATCCTCTCACCATCCGACCACCCAAACCCCAGTCCAAACCTTGCTCTGCCCACCCCTCCGCCCACCCCGCCCCAGACATCGAGACCTCATAATGTGAGAGTTTCCCACTGTCTGCCTGATGGCCTCTTTTTTCTCTTCTTATCTTTTTCCACATTATACGACAATCAACGACTACGAGTGATATTTTTATCTACTCCCAGCGACAAACGTAAGCTCCATTACAGCTACGAGTCTGCTTTTCCAGTTTTTCAAGACCTCGTCTACGTACTATATTTTTACAACGTACCGTAAGACTTGAGGCAGCAGCAACTACTACTTTCAATTGCATGCTCTCGCGCATTCCCTCCCCGCGCACAACGCTATTCTTCTCCCAATAAACCTCGAGAAATCACTTCCAATGGAACATCAGGCCCCCCTCCAAATCTTCACCATCACGCAGCTTGAGCTTGGCTCGCCGCTGATCTGGGAGCCCGCCGTCGGCACCGTCGAGCACGACCGCCTCGTGGACGCCTACATCCCAGGCCCCGCGAACCTGCAGCAGAAGCGCGCGACCATTGCCCTCGACTTCTTTGACACGGCCGCTGCATCCACCATGCCCGCGCCCTTCTGCCGCACCTACCTCGTCGCGACCAGCACGCCCGAGTTCGCCGCAAAGCCGTACTCCCCCGCCTTCGCGCCTACCACCTCCTTCTCTCCATCCACCACCTCCTCCCTCTCCTCCAAATCAAGCAAGCGCTCCATCTCCTCGCTCTCCTCCGCTGCTTCCGCCAGCCCCGCAAAGCGCCTCCCCGGCTTCTCCATCATGACCGCCGACGGCGTTGACATCACCAACAACCAATCGCGCGGTCCCAAGACCAAGGCGCAGCGCGAGCAGGCCGCCAAGATGCGCAAGCTCGGCGCCTGCCCAGCATGCAAGCGCAGCAAGCAAAAGTGCGAGCCCTCGCACCACCGCCCGGCGCCGATGTCCGCCTCATCGTCGCAGAACGCCAGCTCGGTCAGCTCGCCGTGGCAGAGCAGCGGATCCGCGTCCGCTTCGACGTCTCCGGGATCGCGCGCGAGCATCTCCCCGCAGACCAGCTTCGGGCAGTCGTTCAGCCCGGCGTCGCAGGCTCCGATGGCCGCGGCCGATTTAGCATGGAGCTTCGCTCTTCCGGCGGGAGACTTCGTGCCCGGAGATTGGGGATTCACATCGGACCAGCTACTGGCGGAGAACAGCAATGTTCCGGGACTCTTCCCGTCGGACCTTCTCGATTTCGATGCGCTGGACGAGGACTTCTTCGCGCCGGCGCCCGCGTCAGCTGACAACTTCTTCCCACATGTTCAAGACAGGCCGAATGTACAACCACGTGGCTTCGAGGGCGGGGCATGGTACGATGACTTTGTGCTATCATCGTACTTCAACGGCGGAGAAGCGGATGTATCTCTGTCATCAGCCCAAGCGTCGGTGGGCGAGTCGTCTGCCAGGACCCAGGCATCGTCGTCTTCGACGTCGCCATCCGGACAGACTGACTCCTCGCACGTCCTTGGCGGGCTGGAACGCGTTCGCGATCTAAGCCCGACGTCATCATCTAGTGAGATAGGTGGTAGTAGTAGGAGTCCCGAGCTGGATCTCTTTAGGGACCGCAGCGTCCATGCCAGCGAGCTCGTTGTCAACGGCACGTTATGCGGCACGTTATGGGACAACTTACAATCCGACTCCAGCAGTCCGACGCACGATCCGCGCACCGCTACCCCGACGCTCCAGCGCCAGAGTAGCGATGGCATAGTCGACGACCCATCTGATCCAGATCCAGTTCCATGGGCCGTACCACCGAACACGACGTCCACGACGCCACGTCGCCAGACACGCGTAACATCGAAGCAGATTCGCGCGCCGACATCGCGCGCCAATCCGATAGCGCACGCAGTTCCGTATATTACTGACCTGCGCGTCTCCGACGAAGGCGATTTGCCCCCGTCTCACGCCATGGCTCAAGCCATGGCTGCTAACCAACACCAACGCTTGGAGTACCTCAAGGTGCTCCGAGACTCACGAAGGGACTTAGCTACTGGTAGTCACAGACTCCCATCTGCGTCCGCATCCTCGGTCCCATTGGAACGAGACACGCAACTTCGAGCCGCCGTTGCGCGCTCCCTGGTCTCTTCCTCTCCGACTACATCCGCACCCTCGGTATCGTTGGATCAAACCACCCAACGTCACGCCGCCGTTGCGAACTACCTTGTTTCTTCGCCACCGTCTGCGTCCGCACCGTCGGTCCCATCGGAACGAAACATCCAGCTCCACGCCGCCGTTGCGCGAAACCTTGTTTCTTCCTCGCCGTCTGCATTCGCATCCTCGGTATCGCCGGATCGAACCACCCAGCTCCACGCCGCCGTTGCGCGCTACATCGCCTCTTCCTCAGTCTCAACACCATATTCCCCCCCCGCTGCCGCGTCTGGGGAAGATGGACTTGGAGAATGCAGGGATAGGCACAAGGCGGTCCGGAAGCCAGTGGCGCTGTGCTCATGCACCGTCAGTACGGCTGTACCTGCGACTGCGACTGCGCTCTGTGCGTGCACCCCTACCTCCCCAACAAAAACCATACCTGCGAACTTGGTGGCACCACCGTCGCGACTCAGTACTGGCGTGCTGGGTGGTATGCTGGATGGTATACGAAGACGTGTGCTTTCTTTCTTTGGGGCGGGGGACGCTGCTGGGGTTGAGGGGTTGGTAGGGGGGATGGGGAGACTGGGGGTGGTATAGGTAGTATAGTGGGAATTTAGTTAGGGCTGTTCTGTCGGAGATGATGGGATGGTAGTGTGCGCTGTGCCGCGGTGGACTGTAGATACTTTTACTCGTAGATGATAATGAGACAGCCGTGAGCACGTTAAGGTTTTTACGCCGTGGCTTTTGTGAAGATCGATATTCGCTATAGATGAGACTTATGCTATGAGTACCAACGAACTGATGCATTGTGAAGTGTGAAGCTTATTGATAATAGCATCAACCCCTTATTATATATATCTAGTCATATCCAGCAAGGCAACGGAAACGCCCTATAATTCCGTTCACCACAACAAACCCAATAACCTCTCAAGTCCACGGGTATCGCTTCATCTCCCCCGTCAGCACCAGGAAGCTGCCGCCAAAACCGCTCATCGCCCAACCCCCCATCATCTGACCCCTCGCCCGTCGCTTCCCCCCTTTCCCTTCGCTCCTCGTAGATATGCCAAGGGATGTAGACATAGCACTCCTCCAGACGCGGACGCATCCTGCGCACCATGTCGTCGATGGGAGTTGAGGCTGTAGGGTTGTCGTCTTTATGGCCGAGAGTTAGATCGGAAGATAGGGTGAGGGAAAGGCGCTTTAGGTTTGGGAGGGATGTTTCGAGAACTTCCATGAGGCTGTGGGTGGCTGGCAGGCCGAAGGAGTCTAGGGAGTTGGGCTGGTCGGTGCCGTAGCGGGTTGGGTGCGTGGTCCAGATCATTTCGATGGAGGTGATGGTGCTGAGTCGCTGGGGGAGGAGCAGCTGGGGGAGGTGGCGGATCATGATGGAGCTGGCCATGTGGATTGTGTTGGTGGAGTAGAGGATTGTTATGCACTCTGCGTAGCTAGAAAAATTGGAGTGTTAATACGTAGTGGCATTTGCAGAAAAGGAGAGGCTCCAACCAGCATAGCTAGTTGTCAACTCGAAGCTCTGAAATAGAGGCACTGACGCTTGGCGACAAGACAGCAACCACCCCATCACGCCAATAAAGCACTTCCCCGGCGCCTCCCCAGGCCAGAACTCGCACCAGGATGAACCAATGGTAGTGTAGCACCCATCATAGCAAGGTTTATCCAGCTGCGTAGTAGGCGGCCGCGATTGCGACAGCGTCCACGGCGAGGCGCGATGACATATGCAGCTCCACCACTGCCAGGTCTTCCTTTTCGGGATGCTGAACTTTGATTGCGGCGGTGAGAGCGGTGGCACTTTTCTGACGTTGGCGTGCCGGTGTTTGGGGTCCTGTTGTCGGATGGAGAGGGGGGGTTTGGGGAGGTCGTAGCTGAGATGCATGTGCATGGTGTAGTTACCAAAAGCTTCTTTGAGAATCTTGTGCCGGATTTCGAAGGGGAGGGTTTGGAAGAAGGCGCTGGTGGATGTGGCGGATGCGGCGGACGAGGTGAGAGTCTCGCGGGAGGGGGAGGGAGTGAGGACGCGGGGTCGGGTTGGGGGAAGGGTTGGAAGAGGCGGTTCTTGGTCCCATTTTGGAAGAGGAAGGGAAAGCTTCTTGTCAATCCATTTGGAGAATGTGTTGGGCATTTTGTTGCACCCTTTGAAACCTAGAATATGTTGTTGAGAGCATAAACATCCAGGGGGGACGTTGGAATTGGCGGTGCATGATAGACGAGGCAGGATTGGTCTCCCATTCGCATCCCCTTCCCCTTTCCAACACTCACAACCATAAGTTTTTTATGCCTCTTTTTTCTTTCCATCCACCAGAACAACATCGCAACTACAATCACAAACGATCAATACTGTTATCCCTCCTGTCGCTGCCATCAAAACCCTCTCTCATCTCACCCCTTCCACTCTCCCAAACTCCCGCGAAAGGGTCCCCGCCCCGCCCCTAGCTGCCCCGCTATAATGGGTGGAGAGTGCGGCGACATGACATCAGCGTGCAGGAGTGGCGTTTGTGATGGGTTTTCCAGGGATAGTGGGGAAGATACAGATTGGTGGGAGCAACAAAGCAAATGGTGCTGGACGAGTGAGTGGATGTGAAATGGATCGGGGAGGTGCGCTTGCCGACCGCGCATCGATGCCGTACGTGTGTCCACAGATGAAGCTCTCGAGACCTTGATCCAGCGCTGGATACTGGGCACTGGGATCGATGTGACGATACGTCGTGTGGTGCCAGACACACGACGTCGTTGATAGATGGGGGATCGCGTACTGTGATGGCTGGTCGATCACCGCGCCGCGGGCTCGAAGGGGGAAGACGGTGGGCTTGGCTATGTTTGCGCTGGGGATCGGCGGTGGTGGTGGTGGAGGGTAGGGTTCGGTAAAAGGGGGAGAGGGGAGGGGAGGGAGGAGATTTGGGTTGATGAGGGGGTATAAGGGGGAGGTGGTTGCTGTTTCGTTGTTGAAGGGTATATGTTTTGACTTCTTCGGTCAATATATTAGGCTTCTACGCGCACTGGCTTGGATTCGATATTGGAGCTTTGACCTGTACTGGCTTGGATTCGATATTGAAGCTTCGACGCGCGCGCGCTTGGCACTTGAATCTTGGATCTGTGAACGGCAAGACGGCACAAACGGGAGAAGGAAGAAGGAAGGAAGCTACTGAGGCGGCTTCGTATCCATCCATATAGTAGTTACAACAATCCACCTTTACTACCTACTACCCCACGACACAAAGAAGGCCACCAATCTATCTACCTCTCTATAACAATAGCACACCTCGACGTAGGCCAAGCCCTCGTATCGCCGGGAATATCGATCCTTCACCTCCATCTCCACCTCACAACACAACAAAGATCAAAACTGCGCGGAGAAAGGATTCTCAAAAAGAAAGACCCTCGCTCGCACCACACACCACCCAACCAACATCCACCAGCAATTACCCAGCAAATTACCCAGCCATACCACCCCCTCCGACTCTCCCACGGCGCCAACCACCTCAAGCGCCCTCCTCGCATCAAACGCATACATACCATGACACCCCGCCCTCGCATGTCCTCGCTCTCCCTACGCCCCAGTCTCCTCTCCCGCGCCTCCTCACATTCCAACAACATGCTCCACGCGCGCTCGCCGGCCGGTTCCCCCTCTCCCGGCGGCGGTATAGAGTGGTCTTCATATTTCATGACCTCCGCGTCCGCATCATCGCCGTCCGCGGAGATGGCGCATTATGGCGGGTGTACGTGCAACCCGTGGATGAATGGTGAGTCCCTCCCCTTTCGTACCCCCCCTTCGGTGTCTGCCTTGGTGTCGGTGGTTGGTGCCTCGCTACAGCAGTGGCGCTCTACGGCGCTGGCACGGGCCACGCGGCTGGCGCGTTGGACCCTGGATTCCCTGGGCATGTGTGCGTGCATGGTGGCTGACGTCGTGATTGCGCAGGTCCCGGGAGTGGGTATACACCGACTTCTCAGTTACCACCACAGCAGCAGCAGCAGAAGTCCACACAACAGCAACAGGGGCAGACACAGAGTGACCCGCTCAACCGATCCCACCGCCCCGTCACCGACACCCGCACGCCTACGCCGCTGTCTGCGCGCGGCGGCGCCGATATTGGGTACGTGCCTACCGTGCTTGTCTCTCGTCTGATATTTCCCTCCTAGTTAATCTCCACCTGCGTCACTCCCCGCCTTTTCCCCATTCCCAGATTTATCTTGCCGGGCACCCGATTGAGTCACAAGACAACCACTGACGTCGGTGAACTACAGAAGCTACTTCTCCCCTTGGAGCTCCGAGTGCGCGCACACGCCGCCGCTCGGCTCGCGCGGAGCGGACGGCGAGGTTATTAAGACGAGGGAGCAGGACGGATTTTTCGCCCACAGAACTACACATACACTTACACATACTTCTCCCACTTCCGCATCAACCGCCTCTACAGCAGCATCATCAGCAGTACCGCAGATACACCTCCAACACCGACATACCCACGCCCACAACCAGACACGTCCGCACCTCCGCCCACCACCACCGCCCACCACAGTAACATTCCCGCTCACAATGGCTGTAGCGCAGGGGAAATACCACCCTTCTAACTACCGCAACCCCTCGCCGCCCTCTTCCTCCGCCCACCTTTCATCCACCACCACAAGCTCACCCCTCATCACCACCTCTCCCCCTTCCGCATCCCCGCCGACAACAACACAAACACAATCCCCACTCTCCCCCCCGGCACAGCAGGCACCAGATACCCGCCGCCTCCTCCTCCAGTACCAGCGCGACATGGTGGAGGCGGCGGCGCGGGCGGCGCAGTTGAGTATTTCCCGCTCGCCGGCGAGTCCGAGGCTGGGGCCGTTGGGGAGTCCGGGGCCGGTTACGCCGTGGGAGTTGGAGGGGGAGGGGAGTGGGGGGGGTTGGTTGGAACGGAAGGGGTCGGCGGCGGCTACTGAGGCGGGGAAGGAGGGGGGGGAGAGGGGGGAGGCGTGAGGCGGGGGGTGAGAATGCGTTGATTGGGCCTTGAAGTACTGAGACTGAGAGATGGATGCCTTGGCTTGGCTGACTCGAAGTTGTGCCCATGATGATGGGTGCGATTATGACGCGGTGAGACGCGGTGATGAAACGGGTGATACGCGGTGCTGAGTCGTGCTCCACGGAATTGCACGACGCATACCACCATCATCGTGCATATCCGATGACGATGCCTTCGTTACAGTGACGATCCATCGCATCGCCCCTCGTTTCTCAACCCTCGCGAAGGAGGGGAGGCTGTTTCGTTCGTTCGTTTTCTAGATGCGATGGGATGGGGCTGGGATGGGTGGGAAGCAATACGCTGCACCGCACCCAGGTGCACCGCACACCCAGGGGGATATCTACCTACACCCAAGGAATAGGAGGGAGGGAGGGAGGGAGGGAGGCGTTAATCGTGCGTTTGTTTTCTGTGGATACCTTGGCTTGGGTTTGTTTTTGCTGGTGTATTTTCTGGGCTGGGAATGGGGCTGGAATGGGATGGATGGGATGGAATAGGGCACACACAACAAGACAAGAACGGATAGATAGATAGATGGATATTGGTGATCAATCACGCCAGGTTACTGGATTAACCGCTGCTTCTTGTGAGAGGAGAGGTGTGAGATACCTTACTTCCCCGCCTTTCTCGCTCCAACTTCCTCATAATGACTCTCAATCCACTCTCATCCACCCACTCATTCATCTACTCACATCACATCACCCCCATCACTCACCACCCACCACCCATCATCTCCATTCCAAATCTCCCCCCGCCCCCCCCCATCACAGCGTTGTCATAGCAAATCCCCTCCCCCCCCCGCTCCCCCCCTCCGGCCCCCGCACTACAAAACGCCTAAAGCTAAGACCTCGCCCACCCGCCCCCTCGATCCCAGACACTTCCCACCCAGCACGTCCTATGATCAACGATCCCGAGATCTGAGATCGGACATCTGAGATCGGAGACCGGAGGTGCGGTAAGTGGGGGTGTGGGCTGGAGTAAGTGAGACACGGCTGAGGAGGATATGGATGGGATGGGATGTGGAGATGCCGGATCCGCGGATAGCGGGCTGGCTGAGGGGGGAGGTTGTGTGTGGATGGTTTCATGTGGAATACATATCACAACAAAGGATCGAATCACTGTCACAAATCACATAACATACCATATCACATCATAACAAAGCAGATACACGATCAAAGTAAGGTAAAATAAGGTAGAAATTGCTCTCGCATTTTATTCCTTTTGCATCCCCATCCCCATCCATCCATTCTTAAAATGATGGTGCTTACTACACGTACACATATCGATACGAGTACATCCATCCATCCACCTCCCCGTTAAAATAAATCCCAATAATCAAAGAAGGATGGCCTATCCAGCCACCCCCATCGCTCCATGATGCACCGTAATCCCATCCCATCCCAATCCCACCCAAATAAACCCTTTAGGAAACTCGTAATCGTTCTCTCATTTCACACTCCCACTCCCTTGCTTGATAAAAAGACAGGCAGACCTATAACGCAACCCGACTCGACCCGCCTACGCGCGACTGAACCGACGATCTCCGCCTAACCTTCCCGCCATCCCGCGCATAACAGCGCGTGGCCCACAACAACCCCGCCAGCGCCTCCATCGACGGGCCCTCTTCAACTACGCCGTCAGTACTAACCCGGGGAGCCAGACGCCGCTCAGACAGTGACCGCATTGCGCCCATCGTCGCATCCATCAGTGGACGCGCCAAATGGGGGCTGCAGGCCAGCAGTCGTCGCAGGTGCGCACTCCTCAGGGAAGAACGAGGGCGAGTTGTCGAAGGCGTCGTGGTGGGCGACGAGGAAGTCGTCGAGGTGGAAGTCGGGGAAGATGTCGGCGTTGCCGTGGCTGTTGTTGACGTTGATGTTGGCGAGCGAGGGGTGGGCTTGAGAAGCGTCGAGATGAGCGAGGTCCAGAGCGAAGCTGTCGGCGACGGGGAGGATGTCGTCGAAGAGCGAGGACTGCGAGGGCGAGGAGGGAGCATAAGAGTAGTAGTGAGAGAGATCAGGGTTGGTAAGAGCGCGAGGGGCGTCCAGGGCCGATGCGCCGCCGACGGACACTGCAGGTCCCACAACACCGCGGCAGAGTGTTGTGTCACGTCGGGGGCGCGGGCGTTAGACGACTCGGCTCCTGTGGAGGAGACGGGGCGGATGGAAGGGGAGAGGGAGGCGGGGTTGACGGTCTGGGGTTGTTGGTTGGTGAATGGCGCCGAGTCGCCAGAGGGGAAGAGTGGCTGCGAGAATGTGACCTGGGGTGATGATGACGCATCCACGGCCTTTTGGGAGGGAGAAGAGAGGTATGGTGATGTCGAGGAGAGGCGGAGGAGTTGCTGCTCAAGCGCCAGGTTCCGCGCCTCGGCTTCCGCTAGGCGGAGCTCGAGGTCGCGGTTTCGGCGCTCGATGGCTACCTTCTCCGACTCGAGAGCCTCGACTTCTTGACGCTTGCGCTCGCGTGATGATTGTGCGGCGCGGCGGTTACGGAGGACGCGCTCGACGCGGCGTTGCTCCTTTTCGTCTTCTGTCTTGGCACGTTTCCTGCTGTTGTTAGATGGGTAGTTGGGGCGGTGGTGGTGATGGGAATTTACCTTGGAGGGAGGTTGGTCTTTGGCTCTGGGAGTTGTTGGCCCCACGACTTGCGCTTCTTGACGACCTTCTTCTCTGGTTGTGTCTGGTCGCCCCCGTTGGCGGCAGCTGTGACGCTGTCATTGTCTGTCTGGGTCTCGAAGCGCTCGTAGTCGGCGTAGTCGTACTCTGAGCCGTCGATCTCGGATGGGTTCATGCCATCGAAGAGGGAGGGGTAGGATTCATTCGGGGAGGAGCCCTCGAACTGCTCGATCAGCGACTCCGCGGGGGAGAGCTCGAACTTGATGCTGGGAGACATGGTGGGACTTTGGATGTAGGCCCGGCAGTATGTTATTGCTGCTGTCTCTGATATGAAAGCGCGTAATGTTTGGTACTGTCGATATCTTCTATTGAGATGTCGATCAATTGTCGATGGTGGTGATGATTTGATGATGATGTAGGAATATGGTTCAATAGAAGTAAGCGAGCATTAACATACTGCCTGCCAGGCTCCCAACAGTGTAATAATCAAGTTCGTGAGTCAGCTCGAGTTAGTAGTGGATCCCCCAGAGGCAACGAGATGAATGATAGGGTGAGAGGACAAGAAGAGGGGGGTTTGGGGGTTGTGTGTAGTGAATCGAGATGAATTGAGGCAAGAGAGGACGACGCTTTTGGAGGGGAAACGGTGTCCTTTATGGACTTGAGGACAGATGTCTAGGTAAGAGTACGTACCACTGTGTAAGAAGCAAAGGCCAGGGGGGGGAGTATGGGTGTACGGGGGGCGACAAGGGGGCCGTGGACTGGGTGGAACCTAAGCGAGACATGATGGGCCAATGAGGGGATAGAATAGATTGTCGTGGTACGCACCATCTGCAACGTCTACTAGCATCTACCAGCATCTACACCATTCCGAGTGAACCCCGTCTCAGCTTGCTTACCGGTGCAGTTTCAGTGCATTCCCCGCTAATTCGTCAGTATACGAGACCACTGTATATCCTAGTATGTCCCAGCACATCTCAGCACAGCCAGCACAACAACAGCGTATATTGCAGTACACCTCACCCACCTCCCCCACCTCCCCCTTATCTGACCCGACCCACCACTACAACACACCCACACACCAAGGCAGGAAGGTCTAGAGGGGCCATATACTCGATTAGTGACCGTAGTTGGGCGATGGCGGTCGATTAGTGGGCGATGGCGAGCGACGGTGGTGGGGGAGATCATCGTAACACTGCCATGCTATGAATAGAAGGTGCGAATAGCGTTGCGAATAGAATAGCGTCCTTCCTACTCTCGCTCTCAGCCCCTCGATCCTCACACGCCTCACACGAGCTGGAGTCTGTAAATAACTGTTACCATGGATTACGACCATACACTGGTCTAGGGTTAACTCCAGTTAACACCAACTCCGCCTTGCTCAGACACACGATCGGCTTCAGCTTCCATCTTGCCCAGTAGAGTGCGTTGGCGCTGGAACTGATTGATCCGTTTCTTACTGTACACATACAGCACAGCTTACACAGGAGTGCTGTTCTGTGCTGTTCTTGGTACACTAACACTCTACTACACTCTACGGAGTATTGCACTCTATTCCCTGACTCCACATACTGTACTCTACATGCACAATCAATAAGCAACTCATCCCTCACTCAACCTCCCACCGCGGAAGCACGGGGTCAGACACACATCCTCGCACCCGCCATCCATTCCTCCGTCCCGGCCCTACCACCCTCAATTGCACTAAATTGACAACTCAACTCGGCGGCTCTACGGGCCTCAATTCAAGTTCAAGGGGGGAGGCAAGGGGAGGGTCGGTGCTTGTACGGAGGCTTGTATGGAAGTACGCCCGACGTACAGCTCCTAGTCGAGTCTGGTAGGTAGCGCATTCTCCACTCTCTCACAGAATGCGGGGTGGCTGGGCAATCTATATCCCGCACCACCTCCCTCTTCTCGCATGCGTACAGGAAGCAAGCAAGGAAATAAGAGGGAAGAGTCCGGGGTAATGCACTCACTTAGTCGCTCGCTCGCTATCTTTTCCCTGGTGGTGGTGCGGGAATGAAGGGATGGCGGCGCGATGGATGTTGATTAACTTGGCCAACATATAGATTAACCCTCCCTAACTCTGTCTCCCCGCATTCCTCAAGTTGCCGGACGAGCGAGTGTGGAGCACACATACATTACATACTGTACTCGAGAATGCGCTGTATAGTAGTAGTAGTAGTAGTATGCGGTATGTAACAGTAGTATGCGGTATGCGGTATATGACAGTAACTCTCCGACCGACCAGCACTCGCTCGCACGCTGCAGAGTACAACCCCAACCCCTTGCTTCCCCGCACAAAGCCAATTCGAATAGATTAACTCCCCCTGATATGACAAGAAGCCCGCACGCAACTAGAGGACTCGCGGTAGTGCGGATGGCGATGCAGATGCGTGTGTTGTGGCGCGGGGAGGGGGAGGTGGTGCCGTCGGTCGGGGCTGAAGGGGTTGGTTTGTGTTTGTGGTATGTGGTATGTGATGGGGAGTTGGTATCATCGTATAGCTCATATCATATCACCGTGTCTGAGGAGTTGTTACCATCGTATATCTCATATCACATCGCCATTCCGCTTCCGTAAGGAGATCCTATCTACACCCTCCATCTATCTCTATTCCGCCAGTGCGTACAGACAGACACTCCGCATACCACACTCCTCTTCCCTTCCCCAGATTCCCAGCCCAACCACCACCACCACTACTACACCACTCAAAAGTAAAATAAACACCCATGTCCCATTACGAAGCTTCTCGAAGCCCCTCCCCTTCCATCCCCTCAACCAGCAATATACAATAAACCCTCAACTCTAGCTCACACTACACTACACCACACTACACTACTCTACAGCAATCTGCAGTACTCTACAGCACACACTCTAACTAACATCACCAAAACAGCGGGGGCGGGATGATCCCCCCTAATCTCCCGGATCGCATCCCCGGGCCACGTGCGGTGGATGAGCCGCCTCGGGCGTTTATCCGGCGGACGGAGGAATTATAGGGGGCTTGCATGGCGTAGCGCGGATGGATGCAGGGGAAGGGGATGGGTGGCAAGAGAGGGGGGAGGTTAGGGTTTAGGGTTTCTTTTGCGGTGGCTTGAGTTGACTTGAGTTGTGTCGTCCTTGGTAGAGATTTAGTGCATGCGTGTGAGAGGGATTGGAATTGGGATTGTTAGAGTAGTGTATCTAGTATGGAAATGCCGCCCCTTTCTCCGCTCAGGATATTAGACGTATTGCCAATAAACCCCACTACGACGCACCACTCCTGCATACCTGCCCCCTCCGAACCTCAACCAACTCCCGCGTGAGGCAAATAGGATAAATACCCCGAAAAACAACCTTCCATCTTAATACATTAACTATGCGGAGCGTAGAAGGAGAAAAGAAGACTGTATATATTAACTGCGGAGGCTAGAAGGAAAATGAGGCTTCTGCGGTATATTAACCGTCCCGTAAAACCTGGGGGACGGGGAATTTACCCGCCGTCACGTTGGCAGAGAGAGGGAGGGTTAATATGGCTCTTCTATCTTAACCGTCCGTCTATGGCGCTGCACGTGGGAGGTGTACCTTGCATGCCTTGTTCTACGGTGGGCGCGCTGGTGCAGCGGCGGAGGGAGCGTGGGTGCGTGGGTGCGTGATGCTTTCTGTGTTGATGAATATTATATTAGAGTGAGTCTGTTACGGCGGCGCGGTAGTTGTATGTTCAAAACCCTATTGATCCCTCAACTCCCCGTCCTTGCTTTCCAGTCCTCATCCTCGTCATCAAGGTATCATTTCTAGGGCTGGTGTGTCTACTACTGTACCAACACCTGCCTTCGTCTGGCCCCAAAAGGGGATTACGATAGGGTAGGGCATGAAGCAATGAATGACGCATCCAGTATACACACGTTCCTTTCAATTCATTTCTATTCCCTTCAATTCCTTTCCACCCCTTCCATCCCCAAGGACCTGAATCCTCAAGCTGCCGCCCCTTAAAATCCACCCCTAGATAACGATATATCACGTGATAATATGAATGACAATGCACGTGACACCACCCAAAACTCCCCCACCGAATTACCCCGCTGCGTCATCACGCGTATCAGCCACCACCAACCAACCACGAAACCTTGATACGCAGTGCTAGGTGCCAACCTCGACGTTTGATTCAGTTCAGCCTCATCGCATCATCACTCGTCTTTCTCTGGTAGAACTGTTTCCTTATACCGAGATTATACGACAAGAACCACACGCCACCTACCGGTCTTACAAGTACGGAAACGAACTGAAGAGAGAAAGAGATATAGAGAGAAGGGGGCAAAGAAGACATCAAGAGATCAAGAGATAAACGCAGACAAAGATGTCGAAAGCAGCAGAGGCGGGGTTGATGAACGCGGAGATGGTGCTGAGGGTACGTCCGCCAAAGCGCCCGCCGCAGACGGATTCAACATCCAGATTTGAGACAGCTAGCTAACTAACTCGCCCCTTCCAGTTCCGCGAAGGCGATCTCAAGAAGGCGATTGAGAAATTGACAAAGGAGCAAGCCAAGGAGACGAAGGAACTGCTAAAGGTACCCACCCCCACCTCCCCTTCCCCACCTCCCCCCCTTCCCCGTCCCTCCCACGCACCCCAAGAACCCCACTAACCCCCTCCCAGCTCATGAAAACCGGCGACGAAGACCTCATCAACGGCCAAGCCTCCCTCGTCGCCTCCCTCCAAGGCACCATACGCGACCTAACCCGCTCCAAACAACGCCTCCACATCTTCGCCGCCAAAATAAAATCCGCGCGCCTCAACCAATCCATCGGGACCTCCATGGTTGCCGTATCGCGCGCCCTCGGCCGGGTAACCAAGAACATCGAGCTCGAGCGCGTGGAGGCCGTCATGGCGGACCTGGGGAGGCAGTATGAGGATATCGATGTTATGACGCAGGTGCTTGATAGTGCGACGGCGACGGGGAGCGCGAGCACGGCGAGTCCGGAGGATGTGGAGAAGGTGAAGAGGCAGGTGGCGGATGCGGCGGGGGTGGAGATGGGGAGGGAGTTGGAGGGGGGGAGGGTGCCGACTACGAAGGTTGGACCGACGGCTGAGGAGGAGGAGGCGAGTAGTGAGAGGTTGAAGGCGCTGAGGCAGGGTGCGTAGATGGAGGGGTGGGGGTAGAGAGGGGGAGGGCGTTTTAGGGGTTTGGGTTTGGGAAGCGACGATGTTTGAGTTTGCTTTTAAGATTGATAGGGGGAGTGAAATGTATCCTATTCAACTCATGAATCCCCTTCTCCATCTATCTACCGTACGAGTAATTTCCCCCCTTACATATACAAACTCGCCACAGCCGTAATATCCCTCTTAATCATCTCCTGACACTTCTGCATCTTCAAAAACAGCTCCGGATCCCCCACAATCCGCGCCGCATTCTTGACCTCCCTACACGTCTCATCCAGCCGCGTAATCACCCTCACGATCGTTCCCTCCAGCACATCCGTCAGGTCCGTGATATTCCTAAAGCTCATCCCGCGCGCCCACTCATAGACAACTTCCACCAGCCCGAATCGCGGGCGCGAGACGAAATCATTCGAGTCCTCTGTCGACAAAATCACCTGGTGCAGAGTCTGCACCGCATTAACTTTCTCCGAGATCTCGATGATGGTAGCCATCCCGGCCTTCAGGTTGGGGGTGAGCGTCGGAACGGTGTCGGTCTTTTCTTGGAAGACGAAGGCGGATAGCAGGGCGACTATCTCGGCGGGTTCGTAGGCGGCGAGGACGTTGTCGAGGATTAACTCGGTCAGGACGAGTTCGTCGGCCGAGTGGATCTCGCAGGCTACTTTGCCCTTGAGCTCGACGCGGGAGGTGGAGTCGATGAAGGAGAGGTCGCGGAGGACTTGGATGCGCTGCTCGTAGTCGGGGAGGAGCTGGAGGTTCTGGTCGGACATGAGTTGGCGGAGTTGGTGGATGTTTTCTTTGATGACCCATTCGTCTTGTCGCATTGCGTACTGGTTTTGGTTAGCTATTTGAGTATTTCTTACGGGGGGGGACGGGGTCTTACATGTTTGAGGAACTCGGGACAAGAGATACAAGCTCCCTGTTGCGCACTCTCTGCAACTTGCCTTCGCTTCTCGAGAAGCTCGCGCGTGGTCATGTCCTTAATTTTGCTCCAGTCCAGCTCGTCCCATTCAGGGAGCGTCCAGGACTGGCAGAGGCGCGACAGCTCCGCCACAGCAGCGAGGTATCCGTCACCGCCCTGGAAGATCTCAGGGACGATACCCTTGAGTGTCGTTTTCGTGACGCAGAGGAGGTCAGTGACAGGAACCCAGAGCGTCTTGGTTGAGATGTGCTTCTTCGCTTGTGGGAGCTTGGTCATCATCTCCCTGTACTGGGGGAGGAAGGGTAGCAGATCCGTCGAGTCCCGGACGTCTCTCCGCGTACGGATCTCAAGAACGTGGATAGTCGGGTTAGGGCCGCTCGTCGCACCTTCGCGCAGGAGGATACCAGGCGTCCTAACACCGTCTTTCATATACACAACCAGTTTCCTCGGCGCGAACATCCTGCGACCCACCGGCGTCCCAAGAACACCAAGATGCAAGTCGAGAGTGAGTTGCATATACTCTTGCCCTGCCTGGTGACAAGCGTCAAGATCCACATCGCAGATATCACACGGCTCGCGCTTGATCTTAGCCAAGTCTGCCTCGGAGATCTTGACCTGCTTCTCGTGCTCGGGCAGCAGTTGCTGCGTCGCGTGCTCGCTGAAACTGCGCTTGATCATCTCTTCGATCTTGAGCGCCTCCACGCGCAGTAAGTTTAGGATCATGTTGTATGTGAGACGGAACTGCGAGCGCAGCTTTGACGGTTCGCCGAGAATCATCTGTCGTAGCTCAGTGACAGGGGGTGCTTCGTCGCCGCCGGGTGCGACGATTATCACTGTCCCGATTGTGTCGAGACCGCGGCGGCCGGCGCGCCCAGCCATCTGGGTGTATTCTCCAGGGAGAAGGTTGCGGAAAGAGTGTCCGTCATGCTTGCGGTATCCCGAGAATACGACTGTGCGAGTCGGCAAATTCAGACCCATGGCGAACGTCTCAGTGGCAAAGAGAACCTTGACTAGAGTCTGCGCAAACAGCATCTCCACGACCTCCTTGACAATAGGGAGCAGCCCACCATGATGAACCGCAATACCTCTTCCAAGTAAGTCGCGCAGCCGCACGATCTGAGGAAGCACACGGTCCTCGGGCTTGAGTCTCGCAATCGACTTCTCGATAGTCATATGGATAGCGCTCTTCTCAATCGCAGTACAGAAGTCCTGGTTGCTCAACGCATCCGCGTTCTCCTCGCAACGCTTCTTCGAGAAAACGAATATGCATGCAGGAAGCAGGGATTCCTTCTTTAGAAACTGCACAAGGTGCACCCACAGCGTCTTATCTTGCGCTGCTGACGTCCTGCCGCCCGGTCGCCCGCCTCGTCCCATGTGTCCGGGGTTGTGGCTGGCGCGGGGAGGACCTCCTCTTCCTCGTTGCTGGGCGCCTCCTCTTTGGGCACCGCCACGTTGGTTTCCACCTCGGCCGCCTCTATCGCCTCTTCCTCCTCTCTGGTCGCCTCTGCCCCGGCCTGACGCCTCGGCGGGTGGTAGCGCCTTAATCTTATCGCGTCCCGACATAGCATCGTTGGCCGCCTTCCAGCCCTTCTCTATAAACTTTTTATCCGAGTCTACGATCTTGTGGATGTCTTTGTTCGCCCATAAATAATGCTCTAGTGGAATTGGTCGCTTCGCAGTTGAAATGACGTAGATGTCCTTCTTCTTCGTCCTCCCCACCCACGATGCAAATTCGTAGGTATTGGGGACTGTGGCAGACAACAGGATGAGTGTAACATGCTCTGGCAACATAATGATAACCTCCTCCCATACAACACCTCTCTCTAGATCGTTGACATAATGAACTTCGTCGAAAATGACAAACTCAACATCTCGGATCAAGTCGGCTCCTCTGTACAGCATACTCCTGAGAATCTCCGTTGTCATGATAAGGCAGCTAGCCTCTGGGGCAATCTGGACATCACCAGTGAGAATACCAACCTCGTCAAAGATCTGCCTAAAGTCGCGGAACTTTTGGTTACTCAGTGCCTTGATCGGAGACGTGTAGATAGCCTTCGTCATATGCTTCGCCGCGAGAGCAATAGCGTATTCGGCAACCACAGTCTTCCCCGCAGAGGTATGCGCAGCGACGAAGACGGAATCACCATTCTCCAAATGGTAAACGGCCTCCTTCTGGAAAGTGTCCAGTTCGAACGGCCACTCCCTCGCCATATCAGGCACTAGCTCTCTGAAATTGGTGATCCCACGCTTGATATCGACCATATGTGCCCACTCTCTCGCTCCCCTCTTCGCCGCCGACGTAGCTAGAGCACTACGGGGTTCAAAGGCAGCAAACTCAACCGGCAATATCGAATCAATATCCTCATCTTCCTCCTCCTCCTCCTCCTCCTCTGCCACCCCCGGACTCTCCTCCTCACCCCTCTCCAGGCCCTCATCCTCCACCGGCTCCTGATCAAGCACCTTCTCCACCTCTTCCGCCTCCACCTCCTCCCCCTTCCCCTTCTTCGGCTTAAAATTCACCCCCCTCGCAAACCCCGGCGCAACCTCCAACAGCCCATCCCCAGCCCCAAAATTAATCACCCTCTCCAGCTTCGCCGCCCCCGCCACCCCCTTCCCCTCAACCCGCATCATCTGTTCCTCCAGCGCGGCAGCCTGCTCAACGCCCTCCAGTCCGCCCGGCGCAAACGGGAAGAAGCCCGCGGCGCCGCGTACGAACTCGGCGCGGTTCCCCGGCTTGCGCAGCAGGGAGGTCGAGTTCTTGGCTGTTGCGCTGTTGGCGGGGACGGTTACTTCTTTGTAGCCTGTTACGCGACCCTCGAGGCCTTCGCGCGTGAAGCGGGTTATGGTTCGTGTTTGTGTTGGCGCGATCTTGAAGAGGTTGGTGTAATCGGTGGGGCAGTCCCAGCGTCTGCGCGGTCAGTATTTGTCTGGGTATGGGGGATGGGCAAAGGTAAGCTTACTGTTGTAGCTTGTTTAGCCATTCTGTCGAGAAGGAGGTCGACGGCGTGAGGAACTTGCGGTCCAGCTCCGCCTTGAGGTCGTCGGGGTGCTGCTTGACCCGTTTGCGGGGTCCTTGTTGGTTGAGGATGCTGTCGATCCAGGCATCGTCTCTGGAGGGGTCGGTGCTGCCTATGTGCACTTTCTGCAGCGATTCGGCGAGGGCCTCCGCCATTGTGTTGGGTATGCGCGGTGAGCTTAGCCAAGGTGGTTGTGTTGGGGCCGTAGCTATGGTTGGCGGTGGGGTTTTGGCGATGTCGTTTGGGCGTCATCAAGGTGGTGGGTAGGCGACGATACCCCACAATTTTTATTTACAGCCAAATTTTATAAAATGTTGGTTTTAAATGACATGTTTGTAGTAGTTATTTGATAGCGTTCATTGTTATTATTTCTATATTCAAAGCTGTTTTCAGGAATATTAGCTTGACTTTGCAAACGTGGTCCATGCCGAGATATTGGGCCCTGATACATAAAACTCTTGGGCCAGCCATCCCATCACGATACCAATATCAGAGTTGCCAGCCTTCTTGTCCACACTAAATCCAAGCTTCTATGTCCAATATAAAATCTTAATTGGCGGCTCAGAGATAAAATGACCATAGGATCCCATTATCCCAACCAACCCCCGACGAAACATCACCAACACATTCAATAGCAAGCAAAATCATCGAATACAAGTCCATTCTACCCCCACAATTTATATACACACATCTAACACCCCCCTTCACCCACTCCATCTCATACCCGCCTAATTCTGCGAGTAAATCTGTCGTTCCCTCAAATGCACCGGCACCTCTCCCTTCGGCGTATCCGGGATGACCTTCTCCAATTTCTGCCTCGCGTCAGCCAATGTCCAGCACACCCTCCCATGATACGCCTATCTACCACAGGGTAGGTAAATAAAACGGTATAAGGGAACTTACCAGGGTCTCGAAGACACACTTGTTCAGCACGCGCTCAGCGGGGCGGCACTGCCACAGCTGCTGGTTGTTGGTGTCGAGGCAGGACCAGTGGCGACGGAACTCCTTGAGGCAGTTTTTGTTGATATCATCAATGCTGCGTTCAATTAGCCATTGCTCCCTTCCTCCCCAGGTCATCCCTTCCCTCCACCCTCCCTTCTCCATCACCCACCCCCCCCCCCCTAAAAAACCGCCCCTAAGACCCAAAAGAAGCAGAAAAAAGCACTCACACACTAGCCGCACACCTCGTAACCCTCCGTCCCTCCTTCAAGCAATCCATCTCGGCCGTCCCATTATTCTCCGTCTTACACTGCATAAAATCATCATTATACTTCCCGCACCTGGCCCCGATAAAAAAACTCGCGCTCAGCAATGGCGCCGAGCTCGCCCCAACCTCCTGCACCGCCGGGATAGAGTCGGGGAGGGGGGTCGTATCGATGAGCGTCGATTGCGAGAATCTAAGGAATTCAAAAAAGCTGTCAGCGACTCGGTTCCGGGGCGTCAATTGCGGCGTCAATTGGCTGCGGACGAGGGGGCGACCGGGTGGAGGGAAAGGGGGACTGACCTGGCCTGGCGTGCGGACATGGTGACGGTTTGTTGAGCGCGGTGGTGGTGGGGATGGGGGGGTGAGGGCTGGTGAGGTGTCTGTGGTCGTCGTCGTGGTCTGCGAATCGTTGCAAGCTGCGTTGCCGAATCTGCGCTAGTGGATTACCACTGGCGGAAACGCGCGCACGGACCAGGCGTAGAGTGAAAGAGCCGCCGCCCCCGACGCGTCTCCCGCTTTTTGTGGTTTACGCGTAGTGGGAGGAGGAGCAAGCAACGTTGATATTCAATTATTACCACGATTGGAACTGGGGAGATATAGTCACGACGAGGGGTATTTGAGTTGGGATTGACTTGGATTTTTTTTTACACTCCTGTCTGCGACTGAATTACACACAAACAACCACCAACTCGACACCCACCACCCACCACCCACCATGCCACCCCCCGCCGAAACAGACGACCTCGACGCCCTCTTCAACGACTACACCTCCGTCTTCGACCGACCCCTCTCCCCTCCCCCCCAGCTCCCCTCCTCCCCCCCCCGCACCACCAACAACGCCCTCGGCCTCGACGCCCCCCTCACCCTCCCCACCCACGCCCCTCGCCCCAAGCTCGACGAATCCCGCATCCTCTCCTCGCGCGGGATCCCCAAGCTGCGCGAGCGCGCCCGCACCCTGCGCTTGAAGGGGAGGGGCCACGAGTATGGCGATGCGGATAGGTTGTTGGGGTTGTATCAGACGTGGTTGGATGAGTTGTATCCGAAGGCGAAGTTTGGGGATGCGTTGAGGATGGTGGAGAGCGCGGGGCATAAGAGGGATGTGGCGGTTGCGAGGAGGGGGTGGATTGAGGAGGGGAGGCCGGGACGGGAGGGGGAGGGAGAGGGGGATGGGGAGGTGAGACCGCAGGCGCAGGAGCAGCGGCAGGGGACGGAGAGGATAGCGCCTATTTTCACGGATCTTGCGTCTCGTGCCGCGGAGCGGAGGGAGACGCCTGGCGCTGATGTCCCTGATGACGACCCAGATGCAATAGCAGAGCTGTATGGCGCGTCGCCGCGGCGTGGAGCTGCTGCCGCCAAACCCGCCACACAAGGACAGACGAGTATTTTCGGGCCCGGAGCTGCGGTTGTGCCACTCCCTGGCGCGGCAGGGGAAGAGGAGGAGGATGAGGATGATCTCGCTGCGCTGCTGGCGGAGGGGGGGATGGATGTCGATACTGTTACTGCCACCGCGGCCCCAACGAACAAAACGAAGGCGCCAGAGGAGGATGAGTTTGACGACGATATGGATGCTATGGCAGAGATGGGGTGGTGAAGAACCTTACGATATCGTACACAACATTTGCACGGCACCGCTCCGCTCCGCATCACATACTCACGCACACGCACACGATGCGGACGACGAAGAAACGAACCCCTCAACCCAGCGCTCCACCCACCCCGCAGTCCCACAGATCGACCATCTCCAACCCGCCATCACAGATCCACACCCCCCCTTAGAAACGCACAAGCACGCCCACCCATCCCTTCCAGGCGCCAGCCCTACGGATAGAGCAAGCAAGAGCCCACATGTGTGCAGCGGGAGGAAGGAGCGATGGGAAAGAGCGACGGAAAGAGCTACCCAGGGAAAGAGCGATGGACATACGATGTAGGGAAACCAGCGACCGAAACACTGAATCGTTAGCCCGGGAAAGCTCTTAGGGAAGGAGCGAGGGAAGAAGCTGTATACGACGGAAGGGACAATTGATGTAGGAGGGAGAGATGGAAAGAACGAGGAAAGGAAGGCACGAGGAAGGGAAGGAACGAGGGAGGGAAGGAACAAAAGAGCGAGGGAGGGAAGTAACGAGGGAAGGAAAGAACGAGAGAAGGAAGGAATGACTTACGTCAAAAGCCCGAGGGGAAGGAAGGAGCGAGGGAGGGAGATGGAAGTGGAGCGCTGGGGTGGGGTGGGGTGTACTTTTCGCTCAGGCACTGTGGTGTACTGTACTGTACTGTGCTTCTGGCTTATGGTTCAGCTGGTGAACCGCTCATATATGTTAGGTTGGCTGGGCAGCTATAGTAGTAGATTGTCGAAGGCGGATATCAGATCCCAGTCTCTCCTCACGGTTTCATCTCACATAAGTCTGGGGTTATCACAAGTTACGTGGTGTAGTGTAGTGTACTGTAGTCATTTGATTGTGATTGCGATAGCGATTGATTGATAACACTACTGATGTGCTTGAGCATCTGATTTGTATACGTATGCTATGTACGACACGCTTTGCGCCCGCAAGTACCTGCTGTGCTGTTGCTATACTGTGCTAGAGTAAACAAAACAAACGCATCCCCTCGCTCGCTCGCGCTGCTGTGTATCTACCTCCACATCAACCATAACCATAACCATATGTACCCCGCTCGCTCAGTTCCCTTGATGGGAAACTCTCTGCTCCCGCTATCATCGCCACTCTCTTGAGAGGGGGAAAAAGGGGGGGGTTGTTCCCTTGATGAGAAACTACCCCCCGCACGCGCTGTGTTCCCATGAATGGGAACGTATGTATGCAAAAAAAAAACGAACAATCTAATCGCCCAAACCCCAAGTCAGTCCAGTCCAGTCCAGTCCGAACAACCCCAAACCCGTGCGACGTTGAGTGGCACTCCCCCACCCCGCACCAGGGTGCAAAAAAGACAAGAAACTCCTCGATGCAAAAAACCTCCACAGAAACGCACAGTAATCAAAAACGAAGTCCCAGAAAGCCAGAGCAAAATCAAAGGACAAAAGCTCGTAGCGAACGGAATGTGTATGTGTGCCAGCGTGCCGAAGCCAACTATACGGCCATGAATTCAAAAAAAACATAAAAGATGCAGCTGCGATAAAAACAAGACCGCCCAACCCCGTCCGTCCGTTCCAATGCTACCCCCCCCCCCCAACCCCCATCCAGAGCTTGGGATGTTCCCGAGAGCTCGATCCAATGAATGCCAGCCTGCCCTGTCCCCGTCCAGCCAGTGTGATGGCTAAGGTATCTCCGTATCCCATCCCATCCTGATATGCAACCCTCCGCCGTCGTTCGCGGCGATAAAAAAACCCCAAAAGAGTAGAGTAGATGAAGAATCAAACAAGGAAAGATTGACAAATGAGAAATCTGAAGAGGCGTGTTGTCGTGAGGTGAGTGTCGTGGAGTGGAGTTGTGTTGAGGAGAGATGGAGGTGTGATGTAGAGTTGGGTGTGGAGTTTGGGTAGAGAGTCCATCTCATCAGCCGTGGCTGATTGTCCTCGAGGTCTCGCTCCGGGTATATGTGTTATCGTGGTCGTAAGTCATGGTCGTTATGTATCGTGTATTGAGTGGTGTGTATGGTAGGTGTGTAATGTGTGGTACGGCGTGTATGTTTGTGGTGGTATGGTATGTGTGTCGTCGTGGTGAATATGTATATCGGCGACGACCACCTCGCCATCAACTATGTCGAGCGACAGCGACACTATGGTATCAAGTCTCGTCATCAACAGCGACGTCGTCGCGAATAATCCCGTCGTCGTCGCCGTCGCCAACATCGATAGTAAAGATCACTATCTTATCGCACCTCCACTACGTCATCCCCCCGCGTCCCCTGCCACCCCCATCATCCACCCGGGTTACCTCTCCCCGCGCTCTAAACACACCACTTCTCATCCAGCCACCCCACCTTCTCAAACGCCATCCACAGCTTACTCGCCTTATTAACATCAATCTTGCAAGCCTGCTGCGCATCCGTCTTCCTAAACTCCTTCTTCCCCTTCCCCCCCCACGTCCCAGCCCAGCACTCTCGTCGCGCCACGAAAATCCGCCTCTTACTCGTCAAGTACGTCGCGCAATCCAGCCGCAGATTAGCAGCCAGCGAAACCTCCTCCGGATCCAGAAGCGCACGGTGCGGATCCGCGGACAAGTCTAGCGGCGCTCCCTTCCACTCGACCTTCAGCGCGTTGGGACGCAGCCGCGATTCAATCGCAGGACACAGATCGGGGAGGAGATGGAACTCCTTGTCCTCCCTCGTGCTCGTCCCCGTGTTGCGGCTGCGACTCGGCGCGTCCGGCGTCGCTGTCCTGTCTCTCCTCGGCTTCGCGCGGGGCTTTGGAGGCGCGCGCGGTCGAGAGGCGGAGACGCCGGCGGGGCTGGGTGCGAGGGCTGGGTAGGTCCTGTTGTTGGAGCTGCGGGGGGAGGATTTGGCGGGTGAACGCGAGGTGGCGGCGGCGGCGGCGGCGGCGCGGCGGCGTGCGGCTTCCATGAGGAACTGGCGCTCGCGGGCGAGGTAGGCGTCTGGGTCGCGGGTGAAGTTGCGCATGACCTGGGAGTGGAACTCGATGGTGAGGATGTAGTCTGAGCGGTTTGGGGGGGATGTGGCGCGGAAGAGGTTCTTGCGGTGGGCGCGGGAGATGTGTTGGTCGACGAGGCGGTTGGTGGGGGAGTCGTGGGGGTGTGTTGGGGTTTGTGGTGGTTGTAATTGTTGTAGTGGGGGAGCGAAGAGGGGTTGAGAGATACTGTTGTCGCTCTCTGTTGCAGTGGGTGGGTAGAGGATTGGGTCGCGGATTCGTGAGTCGAAGGTTGTGGGGGAGGAGGAGGGACCCGCTGTCGTGGGTGTGTCGGGCGACACGGGTGGCGAGAGGAATTGCAACTTCGCACCGATTGACGATTTCCTGTGCGAGTCGGCCGCTGAGGGCGAGGAGGACAGGAGTTCTGCCGTCGGAAAGCGGTCGTAGGGTGTCGCTTCAGGTGGCGACATGAGGGCGCTCATGGCGAGGTGCTTGTGAGGGTTGTTGGTCGCCATTGCGATGTGGCGATTGCTGTGCGTTGGTAGAATCGTAGAGAGTTTTTCGATCCGATTGATCGATTGAATTGATCGAAGAAGAGATGACGACGATGTTTAAGAGCGAAAGATTTACTTCTTAAGCCCGTCCAGAGAAGGCAATCGAAGGCAGCCGTTGGGGTTTGTCATCCGCCGCGCCACGCAACTGAGTGTGGGCGGAGATGCGACCTTAAATCCGATCTGACGGCTTCGTCGGAAAGAAAATGGTCAGCGTGGAATCGTAGTCCTTGTCGCAAAACTGCAGTAGGCCAAAATGTGTGATGATGATGTTGGAGCGAGGTTGTTGTGGCGGGTTCTGGGGGTTTATGGAAGCGGAGGGTTGGGTTGGGTTTCTTTGTTCTGTTGGCGGGTTTGGTGGGTGGTGGTGGGTGGTGGTGGTGTTTCGGCGCGGGGTTGTGTGTGGGTGGGTGATAAATGCCAAACGAGACGGGAGCGTCAATGCAGGCGGGAGTTCTCAATGGCAGTACCTCTCGTACCCTCCAGTATTTGGGTGGGCGTAGTAGTGGAAGTAGCAGCGGGATTGGATCACAAGCTGAGGGATCAGATTGGGCGTGACTTGGATGCGTGGGTGTGCGTGTGCGTCGTGCGTGCGTGGAATGTGGCAAAGGTGGATAGGCAGACAGTTGTTAAGTAGGTAAGTAGGCAGTTAAGTCAGCAAACCAGGCAGTCGTTTGTTCGAGTTTTCGAGTTTGCGAGTGGTCGAGTAATGAAGTAAGTAGTGGGGAAGCGGAGAGGAGAAGAGGAAGAGGAAGGGTTGGAGGGAGAGGGAGGAGGCGGTGTCTTATAGTAATAGTAGTAGTAGTTGTGGTTGGTGGTGGTGGAGGTGGTAGTGTAAGATATTGTGGGATGGACTGGATGGGGATGTATGGATGTATGGATAGATGGGCTACTACAGGCAGCTATGGGTGTGTGGTGTGAGCGGGCCAGTTGAGTGGGCTGGCAAATAATAATAGTTGGGTTGTGTGTGTGAATGGGGTGTGTCGTCTGGTCTGGTTTGCGGCGTGAGCGTGAGCGTGGGGAGAGGCGTAGGCGTAGGCGTAGGCGTAGGCGTATCTGATTCATATGCTCGGCCGCGGTGAATGTGTGTGTGTGTGAGAGAGAGAGCGTGAATCAGAGAGAGCGAGGGAGCCGGCTATAACAGCGATAGTTAGAGTGAGCAAGAATGTATTCGGTGTGTGGTGTGTGCCGGTGACTGGATTGAGAAAATGAGTAAAACCAGCCGTGGTTGGGGTGAATGAAGGAAGGGAAGCCTAAAGCCTGGTTCTCAGGGTCGAATAAGAGAGGCGCGGCGGCGGATGTCAAACAGGAGTCAAAGTCAAAAAGTCAATCAGGCGTTTTGTTTGTCTGTTGGTTCTTTCTCTTTTGCACTGCCCATTCCATCCACCATCCACCATCCACCAGCACCACCAACACACACCACGAATCCTTCCTTCCTTCCTTCCTCCCTCTTCCCCAACCGCGGGTCGCCTGGCCGCAATGGCAATGGCAATGGCAATCTACGCCGGATGGCTAGTGGTTGTTGTGTCCAATGTGTCCATTCTCAAAGCGCCAGCCCATACCGCCCAGCCCATTCAGCCATACCGCCATACAGTTCAGCCATTCGGCGTAAGTTGCTATGGATGGTGCTATGGTGTCAATCAATGGAACAGCAGCGGCGTTGTATACATCATGCATACCTCCCACTCCTCCAATCCACCCCCCAGCCCATCAGTGGTTGGCTGTGGGGGTGGGGTAAGTGGCATGTATTGCCTAAGTAGAGGGGTGCATCTGCCTCTCCCCCCCTCTCGTAGCGCTCCTCTCTCAGCCGGGACACCAGGCCAGTCTCAGCTAAGTTTGGTAGTCTAGAGTTAGCCCCGGCGGTAGTTTTGTTGTTTCGATTGCCTTGCCTCTATAGAGTAATCCTAACTTGTGGAGTATTGGGGCAGGCAGACAGATATCCGCGCGGACGTATCACCAGGCAGCCTTTTCGTCAGGAAAGGCGAAGGTGTGACTCCAGTCTCCTGATCTCCAATTGGGGGTGGGATGATGGGATGCGGGATGAGAGGCTGACCAATGAGAGGGAAGGGGAGGGACGTGAAGAGTGGTAGTGGTGATGAAAGATGACCTCTGGGATGACCCCGCGCTAGGGAAATGCTAAAGCTGTAAATAGATAATATAGTATTGTTTTGTATTTTTGTCGTGCACACCGCACATAAATATCAGAGAACGGTACATTGGTGGCCTAGAGGGGAGATGTGGGAGATGTGTGAGTCGTTCGGGGTATGGTACTTTGGCGTTGTATGTATGGTACTATGGCATACTATAGCAGGTAGCAGGTTACTCTTTTCTCTAGTAGTGAGATAGTGAGGTTCTTCGGTTTCAGAAGTTGCACCCCCCTCCATCCAATTGAAGGAGGGGTGTGAGACTAGATGAGGCGCGTGTGTGGGTGAGTGTGAGTGTGTGAGTAAGAGTACAGTAGTAGTATACCCTACCATCATCATAGAACCACATAAGCCGAGTAGGTACATCTATCCTACGCGTACACCATTGCCACATATATGTCCACACAAATAATCAACCCGTTAAATCCTCATTAAATCCTCTTAAATCCCCATTTAATTCCTCACAATTAACCACAACCACAACCCAACACACTCTATCCATCCTCCCCACCGTCCGTGCCCCCAAAATGTGACGCATCGCCCTCCCCACCCCACCCACCCGTATCCACCCAGGTGTGTGTGCCTCACCAGCGATAAGCGCCTTACCAATCGATAGACCGCAATGGAAGGTTATTGTTGGGTACGTCTAGGCTGTTAACCAGGCTGTACCGGGGCGAGTGGGACAGGGGTGGGTGGGTACATGTCATGTGTACTGGCTGTACCTAGAGGTGTAGGGTTATAGCGGGGTGAGAGGAAGTATGGTACAAGGCATACTCGCACTCGCACTCACACTCGGTACTTGGTAATCCAGATTGATTCCATAATCCCATTCCTCTCTCTCGTGCGGGTGATCTGGTTAGTAATCTCTCTTTCCTTCCTCCTCATCCGTATTATCCATACCATCATTCTATTACCACCCACCAATCCCCCTTTCCTTCTCCCTCCTCTACCAGAAGCGGGGGAATTGGTTGGGCACATCGCATCATCAATGCCGTCCTCAGGCCTCAACCCAATTCCCACTGTCGTCTGTTTGTGGGGTGGGTACTTACTTACTTTCCACTCTACTAACCCTCACCATCACCGTCTGTGTGTTGTGTTGTAACCTTTCCAGGGCCCTCATGTACACGCACTCACTTCCACTAATGCCGGGCTACAGACGGGTTAGGCAGCAGGGCATGCATGGGACGTGGGTGATGGTGTTGGGATTGGCGAATCAGAGGGGGATTGAGGGGTGGTGCGATTGATGTGTGCTTAGTAGTGTGAGTAGTGGTAGTGGTAGTGGTGGTAGTAGTGTTAGTATGGAGAGAGTGAATGGATGATTATGAGCCAGCCTACTAGAAGGGGGCGATAGAAGAGTGAGTCACGGCGGGGAGGGGAGGGGACTCGTATGAGGTGTGCATGCGCGAAGAAGGATGACAATGACAATTGATGACAATTGGGAAGTGGGAAGGCGATAATTGAGTGAGTAGGTAGGGTAGGGTAGGGTGTAGGATGACAATTGAGAGGGAGAAGGGAGAAGATTGCGTGTATCACTCTCTCGTGGTGGTGGGATGGGAGAAACTAAACGGCCGCCGCCCGCCCTTCTCACTCATAAGGGCTAGCTACACTACCACTGAGACACACTCACTCACTCACTCCGGTCCGCTGATCCTGTCATTCGTCAATTCAATGGCGACGTGCGGGTGTGTGTCTTACAATAGTACAATCCCTCCTCTGCTCTCCATATCTCACACACACACCACACACCCTCCACACACAAAGAGAAAGAGAAAGCGATAAGCCGGGCGATAAGACTAAACACAAGTACCTCCCCTCCCGTTCTTCGCCTTGGTGTACATCCACCACTTCTACCGCATCTACCACTTCCTTCCGACTACCACCGCTTACCCCCTCCATTGCCATCTTGAACCCTCATCTCATCTCGTGCCCACACCACCACACACATACCATAATTCACACACACACACAGCCGCCTTTCCAAGCACCCACTAACGGGCGCCCGCACTCACCGCCCGCGTCATGTGGTGGTGATTCCAATGGCGGTGGTGGGTGGGCGCGTGGGGAGTGAGTGAGTGGTGGGGTGGGGTGCATGTTTGTGTGTATGAAGAAGGTATGTATGTATACTTTAGGTGTGCATAGTGCGCATAGTAGGGTAAAGTGGGAAACGGGGGAAAGTTGATCTTTCGGAGCTGGAATAGAGGGGCAGGAGAGGGATTGTGGGAGGTGGGTAGTTGGATAGGTGGATAGATGGATGGGAGGGAGGTAAGTATGGTATGGATAGAGGGAGGGAGGTGAGATATGTGTGATGCAGGTGTATAGTATCTCACTGTAGGGACAGCACAGAGAAGGGGGGAGGGGATTGTGAGAATGGCATGTTAGGCATTGGTGGTGTAGAACTGTAGGAACAGCATGTTAGGCATTGGTCCTATAGACCACAGGAACAGACTGTAGGAACAGCATACCATGCATTAATAGTATAGTAGTATAGTAGTAGTGTAGTAGTGAGGTGAGAACAACAAGCAGTGCATACAATACCATACCCTCTCATCTCTTCTCTCATCTCCCCTCTCAATGCACTCCCTCTCAATCCCACAACCCTCCTCCACTCCCTCTTAGCCAGCACAGCAGTACATACATACACTTCTCTCCCTCCCTCTACAGCATCTCTCTTGCAACCACCTAATTTACACCTACATATACACAGTACTCTTCTGTCTACAAACCATCCATATACACACACAACACACACATCAACATACACACATCCCATCCATCATCAACTTCCTTTATCTGGACAGACACCACCACCCCTCCATCTAC